ACTTAGCGCAAATAATTTATTTAAATTTAGCACTAATTAATGCCAATTACAATTAAATTCTTATATTTAATTAATTTGGTTTATTTAAAGTAATATGGGTGGTTATAGCTTAGATGAAAGTAATTAAGTTTTAGTGAGGGGATTATTTTTTGATGGAAATTGCGTTAATGCTTTTTGCGTTAATTTCCTATTTATCCACTTATTTAAATATTTAATACATTAAAGATTAATAACCATAATGCTAAAACCTTTTAAAGAAGATAAAATACTTTTAGTTATTTAGGTAATTAAAAACTTTTAAGAAAAATACATTAAGCCTTTTAAATTATATAAAGCTGCTTAAATCTTTAACGTCTTTAAAATTACATTTTACCGCAAGATAAATTAATAATGCTCTTATAAAGAATTACGTATTAATAAATATAAACTTAACTTAATTAAAGAATAAATGCTTATTTAATACATTATTAATTAAGATATTTAAGGATTCCCCTTATGACTTTTTAATATGGAAGATATGGCTAACCTTTTGCTAGCATTGCAAAATGCTAAACTTATTAATAAGCATTAAGCTTAATGCTTTATAAATTAATAACTTAGCCTTAAGATTAAGTTTAATTATCTTTATAATTATTAAAGGGCTTTTTATAAAGATTTAAAGATTATTAAGAATTAATTTAAATTACTTTGTAATATAATAGCTAAGTATTAAATTATTAATGATAACTTTTATAACTTTAATGAAATTGGCTTTATAATGGGTATAATTGCTGCGTTAATAGTTATTATATGCGTTAATAAATGTGGAAAGGCTAAATTAGTTTAGCTTAGTAATTAGAAATGGGTAACTATTATTAAATGTATTAATGTAAGCGGGTTGTGGATCCCTTTGTTTATGATTATTTAAGGCGCTTATTACCTTGCTAGCTAAGTAATAAAGTTAGGTTTTTTAAATAATTAGGTTATTAAGCCTATTCTTAATGAATAAATAGATAATGAGATTAATTTAGAATGGATTTAATATTTTAATAAATATATTAAATTAAAAAGAAATGCTGATTACTAAATGTTAATTATAAATAGTTATAAAAGCTATATATTAATTAAATTTAATTAATATTGCAAGGATAATAAAATTATTATTATTAATATATTGCTATATTTATTTTATTTGCTTTAACTATTAAATATTGCATTATATTTGCCTTTAAAGCGCGTATATGGCAACTAAATTAACCTCTTTATCCAAGCCTTTATTAATTATATTATTAAGTTTAAGTTTTTTCTTGCATTTAAGGCAGCTTATAATAAGACTTTTATAATAAAAAATATTAAGTTTGTATTTAAAGGAGCTGGAATTTCCCCTTAGGACCTTAATTTTATAATTTTTAAGCTTAATGTTTGCTTATAAACTCTTATATAGTTTATCTTTGTTTTTCCCTAGAAATGGGAGTTTTAAATATTATTAAATGCTTAATAAACTATTTAGTAATTAAGTTTTATTAAGGGCAAGATCTTTGCTTATTAAGGGAGCTTCCTTATATTAATTATAAAGGCTGTTAATTAGATAGTAAAAGGGGCATAGGCTATAGCGCATTTAATTACTTTTATAAGTAAGCAGATTTATATACTTTAAAAGGTTAATATAGCACTTATAAAATGCCAGAGGGTTAAAAGAACTTAAGTATAGCTTGGAGGAGCACTTATGATTAAGGAATCTTAAGCTTTTATTTAAGAGAAATAAAAGGGGAAGCGATTAACTAGTAAAATGAGTGGTGGTGCTAAGGAGTCAATCCGCGGCGAATTGATTAAAAGATGGTGTGGTAATTGCGGTAAGACTAGGCATAATGCAAGAACTTATGAAAAAAATAAAGCAGGGTTTATTTAATTAAATTCTAATTATATTATAGCAAATCCAGCTTAGTTGGCATTAATTGGTGTGAATATATGTATATTGGTGGTCCGCGGTAAACCGACTTTTTAAGGGTGTAATTAGCATTAAATGGTGCTAAATGCATATTTCTTATTAAAAGTTAACTAGTTTAAATTAGCATTGCAATCATATTAACGCCTTTAAATTAGCTAAATTAATTAAAAATAAGCAATTTAAACCAGTTAAATCTAATTAATATCAATTGATTTAAATTATTTGGCCCTGGGTGGGTACTGGGGTTGACTAAAGTTGGCTGAAGTTGCAAAAGTGCGCCACTCACTGATATGCGCCACTCACTGGTAAACCACGTTAGTGGTTTTAATATAAATTATAGCGGAATATTTAAACTATATTTTTAGCTATTAAAATGGAATATCTTTTATTATTATTAAGATAATAATACTTGTAATAAGGGGTGTATTAAAAGGTGCGAGGGTTGTATGCTTATATGTTAGTGCTAGCCTATAAATAGGAGTCAGCGTACGCCCACCCAGCTTCCACAGTACGCCCACCCAGCTTCCAGCGTTGGCCCACCCAGTACAAAGAAAATTAGCTGCATCCGCACCAAAATACAGGTACTGCGGGGTTCCTAAGTTAGCAAAGCTATAGCTATTTTAAAGGGGTCTTATAGCTACCCCTCTATTTGCGACTTGAAGTTTACTTCTGCCCTTTGCCCTCTGCCCTTGCCCTCTGCCGCCCTCTGCCGCCCTCTGCCCTTGCCCTCTGCGGCCCTCTATGCCCTCTGCGGCCCTCTAGCCCTCTGCGGCCCTCTATGCCCTCTGCGGCCCTCTAGCCCTCTGCGGCCCCTAAGCGCTCTGCGCCCCTCTGGGCGCTCTGCGGCCCTCTGGGCGCTCTGCGGCCCTCTGGGCGCTCTGGGGCCCTCTGGGCGCTCTGGGGCCCTCTAGGCTTTTTAGGCTTGTATTTTTAAAGTATCGCTTAAATTGGAAAATAGCTACCCTAGCTTCTTATATGCGGGGTAAACTTAGAAAAGTACCTAGTCTTATTAATATAATACTAAGAAAAGGAAGTACTGGGTGGGCCAACGCTGGAAGCTGGGTGGGCGTACTGTGGAAGCTGGGTGGGCGTACGCTGACTCTATAAATAGGCTCCTTCTAAGCATTTAATAGCAGGGAGATTTCTCTCCTCAACAACAACAATCAACTGTCGTTTGCTTTATTGCTTCATCAGTAATGTCTTGTCTCTTCTGACATAACTGGTTGAGGCGCTCCAGAACTTAGCCGAATCGTGTGAAGGGCTATTCCCTCTCCTCACATGCAGCATAAGGACTTCTGTATCTAGCAGCTCATCTGTCCCAATTATGATCTCATTCCGTATAATAAAACGCCAAAGTCTTAAATACTGGTTGAGAATCTCGTCAGCCTTTCTACCTCCTAAGATGCTCTCAAAGCTTTAATCGGATCAAATGCTCAATCAATTCCATGCGACCGCCTTGAACGGAGAATTCATTTGGTCAGGCGTATTTATCCTCTGCTATGACGTGCAGGAGGTCGCCGCTGGCCGACATCCTCGTGTACTTAACATTACCCAGAATCACCCAAATACGATCCCATTCACGGCCTGAGAAAAGTGCAATGTGCATTTAAACGGGCTTTGTGGAACAATATCGAGCCAAGAATCGTAGAGATGGTATCGAGGCCCGGAATAAAGCGGCAAACTTCATCAAGAAAACTTTTGCGGAAGTAGATGAGACTCCTGAGTCCTAAGGGATACATCACACTATGATTCACACCGGTGAGTCCTACGAAAATGAGCGACAAGTCTCGTGATGTCGAAGGAAGGGGGTAGTTTGCGATCATGCAGTATTTGAGATCAAAAAGGCTCGCATTAGATCTACTAGGTAACGGCAACCACGTGGGATCGTGACAGTGACAGTTCAAAGGTAACATTCAGCTCCTTGGGAGGATTATCTGGCGTGCTTCTGGCGTTGCACAATTACAACAGGAGGTCCCTTGCAACTTTCGGTCCCAGTGTCACACACCGCGGGGACCCTTGGCTTCACGATGGAGTGTGTAACTGGCGATGCATAGCTCCCGGTCTTACAGCAGACGTCCGTCCGTGAATCTGGTAACCACCTGCCTAGCTAGGTCACTATTCTCAGGGTATGACAGGACGTTAAATTGCAGCGGTAGCATCAGGAATGCATGCCAATATTTATGCATTGTGAACGGAAAAGACCATGAGGCTGTTATTGGCCCGAGTGTCCATGCCGTGCCCGGCTTTAAGTCGCACGACACAGTAAAAAAAAAGTATCATCAATGCAACGGCTTTGAAAGGTGACCTGCAACTACAGGATTTGGTCCTCCCATGCAAGCGTATGTGACAAAGTGCATACACATCATCTTAGCGTCAAGCTCCGGAGCTCCTTCACATGAGCCATCCATCCTGCCTTCGGAACATGTTGAATTTCCCCTTCCGGCTCGTCCGGGGTGATTCAGCATTGCCTCCATACCAAGCACTCGAAGTCTGAATATCTTCGGCAAGCTTGAGGTCCCGGCAGAACGGCTGATTGGACCCGAGAACCAGTGATACCAGTTCCGCGTGAATTACTCTTGGTCAGTAAAGACCACTGCACCTATTTGCCGCCGAAGCAGTACTTGTAGACAATTTCCAACTGACCTAATTCTATACCGATCCCACACATGTCGCACTTGATTATACTCAAGACAAGTCCAGTCAGTCATCTCAAGATGAGCCGGCCGCACTCCTTTGTGAGCCCAAATGAAGCTCAATAGTACATGGCCAGACATAGATCTGCAGCAACTAGCACTGGTACTGATCTCAGTAAATTGTCTCTTTGGGAATAAAACTAGATATCTGCTACGTAAGCACTCCAATGTTTCAACGCGGCCAAGGCATGTCTTCGGAATCACGGTATCTAGTTGTGTCCTCCGCATGATCCACGATGCTCTCAACGCCAAAATATTCGCCATGTCTGCGCATTGGCGAGGTCTTCGATGCATTACGGTCGGATGCACAATCCCTGGCCCCGCAGCCGCAGCCGCAGTCATGCCTGCCGAGCGGGCGAGAGATCCTCGCCCTGACTTCATCAGGGGTACTCATCCACGGTCTGCCGCATCGCCTCCTCCGGGCTGTTCGCGTACACCCTGCCTCCCCTACCGTTGACGACGTGCGTGATCTCGCTGCCGCTGGTGCCGTTCAGCCAGACGGTCGTCATGCGATGCACCCTCGCCGCCTCAGGCACCTCGATCGCGTTCTCCACCTTGGCCGGCGCGTCGCGGAAGTACGAGTACACGCCCAGGCCCCAGGCCTCGTGGCTCCCTACCGAATCCGACACCTTGTACGATGCATACCCGTTGCGCGTGCCCTGTTCAGACTTGTATGCCTCCTGTCGGGGCGGGTCGTACGGGATCTCGCTCTGGTAGAAGTACACGCGGCCCTGTTCCCCGTTCCACAGCGTCTGGTACTCCTCATGGTGCTCGTTGAAAAGCCCGTACGCCGTGACGCGGTCCCCGTTGACGACCAGGCCGTTCTTGGTCGGGTTGACGTCCCAGCCGGCGCAGGTCGCGGGCCCGTGGTCGGCGCGCCACAGCCAGAGCTGGTCGCATACGACGTCGTGGCTGTTGATGACGATGCCGGCGCTGTTCCTGCCGGGCTGGACACCGCCCGTGCGGATTGTGAGGTCGTACAGGAAGGTCGGGTTGGAGGAGTGCCCGGTGGAGCAACCCGAGGGCCCTACCTCCAGGAGAGACGGTGAGTTGACAGGTCCGGCGTCGATGATCAAGCCTGCTACAGTGACACCGTCGACATCGTCCACAGAGATGGCTGATCTTCCATTTGTTGGAAGGTGCGAGGGTTGTATGCCCATACGCTAGCGCTAGCCTATAAATAGGCTCCTTTTAAGCGTTTAATAGCGGGGAGATTTCTCTCCTTAATAACCATAATCAACTATTATTTGCTTAATTGCTTTATTAAGTTGTGAGCTTAGCGTTGCTTAAGATATCTTAAAATGTTGGGAAATATTAATACCCTTATTTCTATAATTATTTTTATACTTAAATTATTAGGATTTTAACATTGCTAGCCTTTGCTTATATATTATTATTATATCCTATAATAGCTATCATGGCTAATAATAACTTATAATAATTTAGCATTCTTGCCTTATTTAATATTTTAATTATTTGCTCTTTTTTTATTTATTTATTTATATTAATTAATGCTAATTATTATAAATAAATAAATATATAAATATTATTTAAAATATACTTAAAAACATATAAACTTTATTTAAAAGATATTAAATATACTTAACTTTAAGCTTAATTTATTATTTCTTTTAAAGTTAAACTTAAAAGAGGAGAACTTCTTAAATTAAAGGGCAGCATAAAGTTATAGCTTTTAGTTTGCCAACCTTAGTAAATATATTATAGGCATTAAGAAATAATTAAAAAAAGGTGCGATTCTTATAAAATAGAAAAAGCTTAATAATTAAGTCTTTATTATATTCTTAAGCTTAATATATTTAAGCCTTATAATATTTATTATATTATATGGAAAATCTTTTAATACTTAGAAAATATTAATTAATTAATTTAATTATAACATTAATAACTTAACTATTTACTTCTTTTATTAATTAATAAACTTATAATATAAGGATGGCTTTAACTTATAAGGCTATTTAAACGCTTTTTAAAACCTTTAAATAAAACTTTATATTAAAACCTTAATATTAAGATAATTAATTAAGAGGTTAATAAAGTTACTTTTTAAAAGCAATAAGGTTAAAGGCTTCTTTTTCTTAATAATGCTGCTAGATATTATAGATAATGTTGTTAATAACCTAAATAACTAAAACCTTATAATGTTTTTTAAAATTAAACTTAAGATAATAAATATTATTTTCCATGCAAAGGTTAAATAATTTAAAACTTACTTTACCTTTATTTAAAAGAAATTAGCATTAAAGGGTATGAAAAAGGCTATAAAGTCCGCATTAATAAATATTAACTTTATATTAAGCAATAAAAAATGCACTTAATATTGCATGCAAAACTTTATATTTATTAATTATTTATATATTAATTATATAAAGCTTATTAAATATAAAGCTAATTAAGAATAAAAAAAGAATAAAAAATAAGTTATTATAAATTAAGCTATAAATAAAGAAGTTATTAAAATTTTTAATAATAATAAGGAAGATATAATAGCACTGCATGTTAATATTTTAATATATGCGGCAAAGCTATTGGTAATTGTAAATACTTTAATATTATGGATTTTTAATTCTAATGCTTTAAAGCATATAATAAAATGCATAAAAGACTTTAGCTTTTTGTAATTATATTTAGGTATGATTATTATTGCGGGTAATAATTAACTTGCTATGAAAGGTATTGGCTTTATAAAGATCTTCTTATAATTACTAGATGAATTAATTATTAAAAGCATTTTTATTAACATTTTATATAGTTATATATTAAGGAATACTTATTTATTTAATTAAATTATAATTTAAAAAAGGTTTTAATTAAATATATAGGGAAACAATATTTTTTTATTATTAAAAGATAATAAATCTTGCAGGATACTATAGGTAAAGTTTTAATATAGAAATTTTAAAATCCAAACGATAGAAAATAACTCTGTAATATTTATAATATATGGCGAATTTCATAAAGCTTTTGGCTATAGTAATTTATTAAAATTAATTACTTAATGCCTATATGGAAATGAAGATATTATGCTAGGTAAATTAATGGATTTTCACTATAAATTATGCTAATTTGCAAAGTTTATTAAGAAATGCTTATATTTATTGCTGGAATAATAATTTATGCAGCTATTTAAGTATATTTAATTTAATTTATCAGGCAAATTCTTAGTAGGATCATTAAAAGGTTTTTAATACTTCATTTTATTCATTAATAATTATACTTAGTTTTATTAAGTTTACTTTATTGCTTAAAAGGATAATATTTTAAATGTTATTAAGGGATTCTTAAATTTAATTAAAACTTAATTTAGCGCGAAAGTTAAGATATTTAATTTAGATAATAAGGGTAAATATATAAATAAGATAACTATTGCAATATTTTAAAGATGCGGAATTATTTATAAGAAATTACCCCCTTATTATTATAAATTAAATAACATGCCTAAAAGGTTTATATATATTATTATTACCAACGCTTATATAATAATTTATAATAAAGATTACTTATTCCTATAGCTTAAAGCGATTTCCTATATAACGTACTTATAAAATTAAAAACTATACTTAGCCCTATTATGCTAAATAACGCTATTTAAGGCGCTTTATAAATAAAAGCTTAATATTAGATATTTCCAACTATACTTTTACCCTGCATACCTTTACATCCTTATTAAGGCTTGCAAACTAGAAATGAAATTATTAAATAAAGCTAAAAAGGCATACTTTATAGGATTTAAGGCCAAAGGTAAGACTATCTTTTATTTATTTATACTACTTTGGAAAGTTATTATAATTGCAATATTAAGCCATATTACTTAATTTAATTTAGTAATAAAGATTGTATGGATAATTAGCTAGCTAAATGAAAATATATTACTTAAGATAAAGGTATTATTAGCGTTTTAGCTAATGGAACTTGCTAATAATGCAGGACCTGCAGATAAACTTATAGATAAACCGCTTAAACCTGCAAAACTCATTAATGAATTACTTAAACCCGCGGGACTTATATAGTTATATAATTTTTAAGAACAATGAATTTAGCCTTTGCAGAAAGCAAAAAAAAATGCAAACGTTATTATGAAATGTTTTAAAGATTTTAATAACTTAGCATTAATTAATGCAAACCTTATACTAAGTTTTGCTTAATTAGCATTAATTAATGCTAACTACCTTAATTAAATCTTTGCTTAAGCGTTGCTTATTAATATAGCAAATGTTAACAATATCCCTAATATATATATATAAGCTATAAAAAGCAGTAAAAGGGACGCTTAGCAATAGGTTATTAAAAGAAAACTTGAATTACTTTTAAATATAGGTATATAAATTAAAGTGCCTGCTATTATAAACCAATATATCGTTAATTCTCATTAGGTATATATAAAGAAGTTTAATGCTTTTAGTAAGCTTATTTGCTATAAGGCTTAACTTATTGCTCGCGAATATATGCAAGTCCATAGCGTGAATTATAATAATACCTATAGCCCTATAGCATGCTATAATAGTTTAAGATTAATCATTGCCATTACCGCTATAATGAGCTAGTGGCTTTAGCAATTTAATATTGAAATAGCATACTTACATAGCCATTTAAAATACAATATTTACATGCAATTATTGCAAGGGTATTAAACATTATCCAACAATTAATAAGTTATTTTAAAACTTCTTAATGCTCTGTATGGACTTAAATAATTAGGCCGTGAATAGTTTGATATTCTTAAAGAGAAATTAATTAAATATTTAATGGAAACGATATTTAACCCTTGCGTTTTTATTAAAGACTAAATTATCGTTGCTATTTATATTAATGACATTCTTATTATTAAGAGTCCTTCTTAAGTTAATGAATTTTGCATTAAGCTTATACAACGTTTTAAGTGCAAGGATTTTGGTTTTTGTAAATACCTGCTTAAATTGAAAATCATATAAACCGATAATAAGATTTGCATTTCCTAAAAGGGATATGCTTAATGGATTTTAAAATGCTTTAATATATTTAATTATAATTAAAGATAAACTCTTATGGACCCAAATTCATTTCCGCGATAAGAGGAACCTAATAACATTGCAATAAATGCAATAATATATTAATTACTTACTGGATTTATTAATTTTCTCATTATTAAAATAAGACTTAATCTTGCATTTCCATATGCAATGCTCTTAATATTTAATGCAAAGCCTATAATTCATTATTTAAACATTGCAAAGGGGGTGCTTTAATATATTTAGCATATATTAAATTATGCCTTGTAATTTTTAAAATAAATATCATTATTTTAATTTGCTATACTTAATATACATGTTAATGCTTCTTATAATACTAATTTAGATAATTTAAAAGCATTTAGTGGATATATGCAACTTTTTAATGGCGGCTTAGTTGCTTAATTATTAAAGCGCCAATTTATCATTGCAAAATCTACTTGCAAGGCAGAATATATAGTATATTTATTAATATTATTATATCTTTATTAGATGATTTAAGTATTAAAAGATTTAAATGTTAACTATATTAAATATCTGCTTATTTTATATATTAATAATTAGCTAGCATTAAACCTTATTTAAAATTATAAAGTTAATGTTTAATTAAAATATATCGCTATTCATTATTACTTTGTTTATGAAGGAATTGGAAAGATATATAATGTTTATTACATTGCATTTAAAGATAATCTTATTAATATTTGCATGAAAGCATTACCTTATCCTGCCCTTAAAGAAGCTTGTATGAGATTAAGATTAAGATGAGTATAGGGTTTGTACTGCCGAAAGGGCGTTTAAATAGTTAATTGGAAATGATGCGAGCTGAATATATGGACGTTAGATGATGTTTGTATAGTGGTCTTGGTATAGATTATAGCGGAATATTTAGACTGTATTTTTTAGCTATTGGAATGGAATATCTCTTATTATCGTTAGGATGATGATACTCGCGATGAGGGGTGTGTTGGAAGGTGCGAGGGTTGTATGCCCATACGCTAGCGCTAGCCTACAAATAGGCTCCTTCTGAGCGTTCGATAGCGGGGAGATTTCTCTCCTTAACAACCACAATCAACTATCGTTTGCTTGATTGCTTCATCACCATTGACTGGTACCAAAGAGGGATAACCTAGGCCGAAGATGATTGTGTTTGGGCGAGACACTCTCAAAGCATCATCGAGACTGTAGACGCCTGGTGTGAACAAGACGTGCTTGCCCGAGCTGAGTGCCGCGTTGATGGTTGCCGCATCCGCGCCAGCCTGTACCACGTAGAAAGCCTCAAGGGGAATTGATTCACCCTGGGTAGCACCACCCGCCCAGGTCGGCCCACTGGTATCCCTCTGTAAAGCTGGTTTGAACACAGCCAGCTCATCCTGCTCGTCGACGCAGAGGTATGGCTTCTCTCGGATAATAGGTGTCTGGTCCACCGTCGTGTATGGCTCCTTGGGCCAGTTGGCCTGGCTGGGGGCATTGTCGCAGCCGACAAAGACCATATTCCACACTCCATTAGCCCAGCTGCCCCACTTGCTGTTCCTCGACAGCCACTGCTGTTGCGACCCAGGGAGGACCTGCCCGTCGACGACCGTGTCGGCCATGTACCCCCCGCTGGCCCAGCCACCCGCACCCGTGGCAGGGTCGACCTGGAACAGCCAGAGGCCGTTGGGGCTCCTGATGTGCAACCTCCGGAGGGGCGCGGCCTGCGACACGGCGATGGTCGTCGTCTTGTTGGTCGCGTCGGACGCCTCGATGGCTAGGTTCTCAAAGGACCTCCAGAAGTTGCACGTGGCGTTCCGGCTGGGCATCCAGTAGGCCGGGACGTTGGCTCCGCCCCGGATGAGGACATCGTCCGGGTTCCGGCCTAGCCCGCAGACAGAGGTGTAGAAGCCGACGTCGAAGAGGACGTCGTACACGCCGGGCTTGAAGAGGAGTGCGTAGCGCTCGGGGCCGAACTCGTTGGCCTCCATGCGCTTGAAAATGTCTGTCGCTTGGGCCTGCACCGCGGGCGCGGGCATGCTCTGGTCGAAGACGAAGACATTGGGACCCAGGATGGTCGCGTTGGCGTTCATTGTCGCGGTGAGTTATGCCGAGATCATGCAGACAATCTGACCGCGGCCGAAGAATTGGCACAGGTTCCCGTGTGAGCTGTACGACCGGAACGTTCCTCAGTACCAGTTCGGTGGTGCTGGTGTGATGTCATGAAACCTTCTGTGAAGTGGTGTTTACAAGTTAGAGTGATGCAAGAGAGCTCAGAGCTCCGGGAGTCGGGTGTCACTCACATGCATCAATCGGCTGCCCCATCTTATTTACTTGGGCGCTGCGCCACCCTTAGGTACAGAAACAACTGTTTGCCCGAGAACCTGATGCAAGTAGCTTGAAATGCACATTCGGTATTATTTCGACCTCTGTGCCTACATGTACATGCTACGCTGTTCGTCCATACCCGCAGTGTGTGGAACGTTTCGGAGACAAGTCCAGTCAGATATATCTACTGGCACAACTCGAGGTCATCGGGCGCAAATACGAAGTGAAGCCACCCCAGACAGGTGGACAGCCTATTCCCCTGTTCTTGTATCTCGTGTTCTAGGTCTAAGAGAACAGGTTACACCGATGTATCATTAGAATTGTCATTCTAAGCCGCGAGCACAGTCCTCAGCAGACCCCCGAGGACTCCTCTAACCCTCCTCTTGTTCTCCATCACACACGTGAACACCACCGCCGTGCTAGCGGCGAAGACGACTGTCTCTCTCCACTGCTTGTCGGCGTCGTACTTGCGCGGAAGCATCGTCGCTACGGCTCTCGGGGCAACAAACAAGGCTAATTCCCTGCGCCTGCTCGACGGCTCAAGCAGAACGCTCCAGCCGCATAGGAAACACCCTGCCCCAACACACAACCCACCATCGATCTTCTGCCGCGCCTTGGCGTCCTTCCCCACGATGTGCGGCCCAACGCGCGTCCGCGACAGGCACACACCGTAGTAGAACAGTGTGATGAACGATCCCAGGAACGCAGACGATCGTGACGCAGACAGGAAGGCGCGGACCACGTCACGCCTTAGAGTCTTGAATGACCGGAACCTCAGGAGCAGCACCGCCATCTGGAGCGGCAGGTACGTCCTCATGCTCCACAACCAAGCCCTGCGGAACCTGCTCAGGGCGTGCAGCTCGCAGGATGGCCCAACTCCCATGTGGACCATCTCACAAGGAAAGGGAACGCTGACGGCAGGGTCTCCCCACTGCATGGGCCAGCGGTACTCCTCGCACATCTCCTGTAGGAGAGGTGCGTGTCCCGTGTCCTCGCCGTACCGCATGATACCGTCCCTGACGCGTTGGAGGGCAACTACGAGGCGCCGGTCGACGGAGGCGGCGCTTGCGATCCACTTGTTGTAGGCGCGGGGAAGCGCGGAGGGGTTGTAGAACCAGTTCCACATAATGAGGCTCGATGAGGCGGCGAAGATCAGGGGGTCGGCCAGGCTGGACGTGAAGTGGTCGAGGGCCTTTGTTGTTGTGCTAGCAGAAGGAGAGCGGATGGTCCGACGGCGGGACCAGATCTCCCCTACCAACACATCCAGGGCACGGGTCGCGGCGAAGAGTGTGAGATCCAGGGTGCGGCCAGCTTGGGGCCTCGGTCTCTGGTCTGGCCCGGGCGACCCCAGCGGGGTTGCAGCTGTAGCGAGCGTGGTGGTGGACGGGATGCTCTGTTTGGACTGGAGCAGTCGTAGGCTGAGCCATGCCGCGATGAACGAGGACAGCCATCTTGATAATCTAGGTGCATCTTGTCTCAGTATGGACGGACAGGATGGGAATGATCTGGCAATTGCCGACACGTTTCTATTTCAACTCACCTGATCCTGTTTGTTTCTGCTATACCGTGCAAGACGCGAGCAATTGCTTTGCGAAGGATGGGCTACCAAGTGCATGGTTAGCAGGCGGTCAACGAGTGATCGTTGACGTTCTCGTCTATGTGGGCCCATACCTCCACCAAGGTGCTGCCGCCGACAAGAGCAGCACAGAAAGTAGGAAACCTTTGCCATTCAAGCCCGGCTCGCACCGTCTTGGTAAGAGACTCGAGCAGCTGAGGCTCAGGTTTGTTTTCGGCTAGGCCATCTGCAGCCTTGTGTCGCCTCCGGGCGAGCTTCAAGGCGTGATGGAGGACCAAGGCCAACAGCCTTGGACCAACGGAGAATGCGTAGCCAAGTAGGTATGCACGAAGGACAGGTCTGAACAAGGGCGGGACGCTCCTATCCCATCTTGCCGACCCGCTTCCGAGTCTGATTGAGACAGAACCATGGTGTGACGGTTGTGGTGAAGACATTGACAGAGCAAACGCAAAGAAAAAGTCACAGAAACCTTGAAAGGCTGTTGGGCAAGGGAGGTTCAGTGGGACGTGACATGTGATTGTGACGCGTGAGATCCCAGATTACGTGTTGCACTGTTGGGCCCCTGCGCTATCATCAGCTTCCCGAAGGTTCGGATCCGAAGAATACTGGATACAGTGAGGAGTTCCGAGGTGGTAGCGGATCGTGTCTTGGACGACGATGATTCACTTGAGAATCGCCCAAGACGCCTGACGATGGAGGGACAGATACATCAATGGACTACCGGTAATCCATTGACTCGCCGGAACCTCTCGATGACCATTTGTGTATCAAAGGTCAGTCAGTCGCACTTTCCAGCAATCTCGAGACCCGTGACGGATGTCGAAGGCATCGCAGGAGGGAACAGACATGTTGGCTGTCACCTCTGGGCCTCGCAGGTAAAGCGGAGAATGGAATGCGCCCCGAGAGAATGCACTGGGCGGATGCGTGTGCACCGTCCATCGCGTCGCCGGCGGGAAGCACACCGCGCGGCAGACATCATGACCAGGGCGGGAAGCGGGAAGAAGGGTGAGGGGTATATAGGAAAACCGAGCAGGATATATGTGACTTTCGATGACGGATTGCTAAGACTTTGACGGGACGGGTAAACACACAAGGAGGCCGAGAGGGAACGTACGGTTGGCGGCAATGCGTGGGCAGTGGCCGTGGCCGTGGGCGCTATGTGGAATGATCGGACGGCCAGGCGAGGCCAAAGTCTAAAGGGTCTTGAAGTGATGCTCAAAGATGGGACTCAACAGCGTCGACGGGGTCGGTGGGCATCTGACACGGTCGAGGATCAAGGGGGACTGACGCCGTCGTTCTCGCAACAATGCGGCCAGAAAGGGAACCAGTAGGACAAAATGCAACGTCGGGACGTTGAAACGGATGGACAAGGGCGCAGGGCGAAGCACAACATCTGGCAAGCATCGAAACATCAGCACTGCGCATGCAGTCTGCACTCTGCGCTCTGCTGCACTCTGCACTCTGCGCTCTGCTGCACTCTGCGCTCTGCACTCTGCAGTATGCAGTATGCAGTCTGCAGTCTGCAGTCAGTCGGTGGTCTGCAGCAGATGCGGGCGTTTCCCTCTTCGTCCTGTTCTTCCTTCCCCTGGCCTCCCTGTGCGCGTGGTCCCTTGTCCCAATCTCCCCTTCTCTTCTCCCTCACACAGTTACAGCACATACGGTGTCAACATGCGCCCCAAACCTTGCCACGTTCGTCGGATTGGCCATCCATGCCATCCCAAGACCACAGTAGTTCGATGCGCCTGCTCATCCGTAGATCTGCAAACAACCAAAGGGGGGGCTAGGAATCCGCAAGCGCTTGGCGTACAAGTTGCTAGCTCCCTGTCATGTTTTACTGCTGCAGTAGACCCGGCGGAGCATCAAACAACCCAGCTCCAGAGCTCATCTCGTCCCTCACCATCTCTCATGGGATTTCCCAATGCAGCCACCCATGCGGGCTCGGGACAGCACCGGGGACTTTGAACGGCATCGGGGACTTTGCCTTGGGCCTTGGACCTCGGGAGATGAGGGCAAAGGTGTTCCCTCTCTTCTTGTTGTGCGTTCTGGGCGCTGCTTAGCAGTGCTTAGCAGCTGCTAGGGTTGTGATGCGATGATGCGAAGCGATGCGATACACGAGGAATTTGTCAAGTTGCCGCCGAGGTGTGACTGACGGACTGACGGACTGACTGACTGACTGAGGGCCGAGTCCCCCGCCCCCCTCCCTGCCCTGGTCGAGTCGAGATCCAAAAGCCCATCAAATGACTGAACGAACAGACAGCAGAATGGTCAGGGTCGGGATGATCTTGGCTTTGCCTGCCCACCCATTGTCAGACATGCAGACCAGCCCGCCAGCCGGTCCACCTCCCGCTCACAGTTAGTGCCCGCGGCCAAAGGAAATGAACCAAGAGCGTGCAGTGCGGTGTGGTGCAGCACATCGCTGTGCGGTGCAGCACTAGGTGACTGACTGAGTGAGCAGCTAACTGACTGAGGGTGCTTGACATGTGAAAGAGGACGTCATGTGGGATTGCTGCATGGCGGCAATGGGCGCCTGCTTAAACGGTATAGATGCTTCTAATGGACCCGAGACACCCCCTGTCGCGCCCAGGGCGCCCACGGCTTTGGTGCATACCTGCGGGCACATGACCCCGGTTTTGCCATAGTCGGGCCCCTCTGGCAGGCCCCTAGCTCCTCCCGTTCCAAGGTTTGCGTGGTGCATGCAGCTTTCGAGTCAGGCGGGGACACTTGCCCACCGGAGGCTAGGCAGTCTAGGTACCTGGGCCCTGGTCGATGTCGACTACCGCTCCTGCTTCTGCTTCTGGTACAGCACTGGTGTTGGTGCTGGTGCTAAAGGTGACTGCGCCTGCGCCAGTCTCATTCTCCAGTCCGGACGACTTCGATTCCCAAACCAAGTCCCTTCTTATCTCCTTCTTAGCAACGTTGTCACAGCGTTCTCAACCTTCTCAACGTTCTCAGGGTCCCCGTTTCTCAACGCTTGCTTCCCCCATGGAGAATGCAGGCCGGCACCCCTCGCCGTCTTGATATGCCCACTCGCTCGAGACGCACACAAAGACAAACACCGCCGCCATAACCACCACTCCCACCGCGGAGAGACTGTCAGTCAGACAGACCCTGGACCAAGCTTGCTCGAACAGCCACAGAAAAAGCAAAAGGAGCAGCGGCGATCTTGGACACCTGCCAGCCCACGCCTGGTGTCGAGGAAGCTCGCCCGTGTCACTCGGCCGAACAAAACCCACCCGAGCTCTAGTTCTACGTCGCCGCACCTTGTGCGAGTGCGACTGCACTGTGTGCAACACCTCCATCCTCAGCGGCAGTTTCCAGTCATAGCATATACAGCGCTGCATTGTTGCGACCTAGACCAGCCTTCCACCTTGGCAGCTACACCCTCACAACCCTCCGTGAGCTGTGCTGCCCGGACAAGTCGTATTTCGCACCTTCTGTCATGCCACACGCCTCAGAAGCCTGACACTACCTTGCACCATTTCCAGTCATCCGGCTCAAAAGTTCTGCTCTGGGTGAGACGGTGATAGGCCAGAGTTGGAACATTTTCCCACGCACATCCACAGATCCCTCCCGACTGTCCGTCAGACCACAGGTGTTGTTGGCCTGATCGAAAACGCACTCATGCTGGCCGTTCAGCGTCCCAGAATGGGTTCGTCGCAGCCGAATAACGGCAGCAGACTGCCATTTGGTTGTATGCGCCCCCCAACCCGTCAGAGTAGTCTTTCAATGCACTCGTCTCGCTAACACAACGACAGACTTGTCCGAGGACCCAAACTCAGACCCATCCATCTTCGATTTCCTCCCAGACCCGCCGCCCGATCCTGCCCCCGGCAACCCCATCCTCACCACGGCGGAAGAGAATGGCCTGGCGAACATCTTGGCTGGAATCGTCTCAAATGGCTATGGCGAGCAGAACTTTGGCGAGGGAGTAACCGGGGACGAGTGGATGATGCCTCCTAACTTGATGGGCACCGCTACGTCTTTCGGCCTCCATCCTCAAATATCCATGCAAGACCATCTTCTCAACAACGCCTTCTTTCAGACTACCACCCCTCAGACATTCGCGACGAACGATTCCCTGCTTGCGTCCGCTCCACCCGCAACAACGACATCAAATGGCTACGCCGCCGGTCCCGGTCCTTCACACCCCACCTCCTCACCCGTGACAGGCGCACCCCCAAACGCTTACGCAACGGCTGGCGCTCCCCTCACCGACGCTTCCCCCATACATCATCACCCGATTGATCAGCCACAGCCATCAGAGGACGTCCTGGCGGCAGCAAATGTTCTCCACAGCGGATCTCATGGCCGGTCGCACAGCGTCCAACACGAGACCATGTTCTCAAATGCTTCCCAAAGGACGAGTACCATGGGGCCCCCAGTTGGCCACCTGAGGCACCAGCAATGGAGCGAGTTCAAGCAAGAAGGACGGCGCATGTCACAGTCTACTCACGCAGCTGAGCAAGAAGCGGCCTTTTCCAGCTGGATCTATGGCTCCGGGGCCCAGCCGAGCCAGAGAAACGATCCACCTCGGGCTCCGATAGACTTGCAATACGGCACGGATCAGAACTTCAACAACAACAACCAGCCCTTTGTACCCCCAAGCGAGAAGGACAGCTCAGAAGCAATACAAAAAGAACACATGCGGTACTTCAGCGCTATAGAACTGTCGAAGAGTGCAAATCCGACGCGGCCAGCGAGTCCGACCATGAACGCCGAGGGGCTACCTTTCAACCTCAAAACCCGCGTGCCACCGCCGATCAAAATTGAGGCGAACGGTGACGGTGGGAAGAAATGGCGCAAGGGCAAGCGTGAAGAGGAAGAAGATGATGAGGAGCCTCAGTCCGCAGTGTCGAAAACATCGGCACGAAAACGGAAACAGAAAGGCGATCCTGCCCACTCTCCTGGTGGTGTCGCAGAGGGCGCAGGGTCCGGAAAGCGGAGGAAATCGTCTGCTGCAGCCAAGAGGGAAAACTTGACTGAGGATCAGAAACGCGAGAACCACATTAACAGCGAAAAGAAGCGAAGAAAGGTCATTCAGACCGGGTTTGAGAACCTGGCCGTCATGGTGCCTGCTATCAAGGGTGGCAACCCGAGCAAGAGCGCCATGCTGGAGGCGGCCGTCGCGTGGCTGGAGGAACTGTTGGACGGCAACGAGACCCTCAAGGCGCAGCTGTCCCAACTCTAGTCACTTCGGGTTGGCTTACAGTCTTCAACAAAAAAGTCGTATTTGTAAATTGATTGCATTACCCCCAGCCACGCGGGGTCGGCGGTCGACGGAAGTTGCATGGGGAAGGGAAGGCCACGGCTTGGGGTTGTAGCACGAGATCTCGTGGGCGTATGTGTCGCTTGCGTTGGTCCGTCGGTGGTCTCTCTGTGTGTTTAATGGCGTTTGATGGGCCTCGGGAGTACAGGAATGCTCGGAGTGGTTTCCAGATTGGGTAGGGAGTCCTTCTATTAGGTGGCAGGGATGACTATGGCTGTTTCCCTCGGTTGATATCCAAGTGTTGGTTGGGTGGACTTGAAATGCTGGAATGGCTGGGCAGTTGAGTAGGCAGGACGGGCCAGCCGAATGTCCATAATGACAACTGGACTGTCGGAACTTCTATATCAAATCCAGCAAGGGTCATTTGATCCATACCCACTTTCTTCTCTACAATTTCTCGTGTAATGCTCTGACACTGGGGGGTTTTCTCCCGGGCTGGGATCAACGGCCATCGCGATGTGATCCGGCCGCCACAAGATGTGTTGCCAGGCTGACGGGCAGTACTCATTGAGATGGGCTGACTTCTGTAAACAAGCTAAGGATTTCTCATCTAGGAGAGACTTTCGGTGTGCCTTGAGCAGTCAGGATATCGCATCTTGGTCACCCCTTGCTCGACCTTCTTCTCATGAAGGCTCTGGAGCACCTGTATTGGAGTGCCAGAAGCCACCGGTAGGGCGTCACACCAACCGCATCGGACAAGGTACCAAAGCACTCAATTATGCTCCACAATAGGAGGAAGAGGACGAGAAGGGAATCGGACTCCTCAAGCAGTGGGGATGCAACTGGAGGCGAGCAGCCATAGTTGCAGCCGCAACGGAATCGCCCATAACAAGTAGAGGAACAAGTGTCCGAACGACCACACGTGTCCCACTTAATCATGGGACAAGGTGTGACATAGGGATGTCTAGCTCAGTCGCATGCCTGTGAGTTCAAACAGTGTAAACCGCGATTCACCAAGCGTCGCCGGCTGGGTAGTCAGTTAAGGTGGCTATCAGTCCGACCAAAGGTAGACATCGAGAACATCCGAGGAAATGTCAACATACCATCTTCTTTTGAATTTCGAACACTAACACATAGCCTGTCAGCCATAACTTTCTTGAGAATAACTCAAGGCTCAGACATTGGGATCAAGGTCTTTGTCGGTTGATCTGTTCTGGGATAATCTGTTGTAGGATACTCTATAAGATGACCTCCTGTGGGATAACCTCATGTGAGAAAATTGCCACCGACTGGAAGCCGGTGCCGACTGTGGTATGAATAATAGGACATCATAAATAGCCTCTGGCCGTCTCCACCTGACTTGCATGGAATTTTCTTGACCTATCCCTGTTGAGTGACTGCATACCGAAGTGCGTGGGGAAGCATCAAGCTGTTGTGTACAAGATTTCAGGGAACGTGTACTCATTATGCCTATCAAGACAGATATTTCTACTCAGGAGTACAAGACACGTGTATCCTGCAAGGATCCAGAGGAATCAAAATGTTTCGTTATCAATACTTCATACAATTACTCATGACTCCTCATTACTGACCATTCAACAAGGCACCAATTCGTTTTGCTTTAACCTCCCTATGCCACAAGCCAAAATGGTACATTGACGAGAAAACAAATGCCACGCCGTACCGAGAAGAAGAATAAAACAAGGCATCGAAATTTCTCCGCTCATACCTCCGTCTCAACATCAGGCTTCCGACCGCTCAGGGATCCGACCTTGGTGATCCGACGAACTGCGAAGGTAGCCTCGTTCTTGGCGAATTGGACATTTCGCATGGGTTTCCTGTCATATTTCCAGTCAGCATCGGATAGAACTGGAATAAAGAAGAACACAAGGTGAGGACTCTTACCATTGCATTAGTCCCCGGTGTTGACGGTGCAGGTCCCTACTCCGCGTGTTGTAGTCCTTCAGCGCCTTGATGGGGTTCTTGCTGCTGGAGGACTTGCCGCTGCTGCTCTTGGTCGACTGAGGCGACAGCTGGCTGCCGTGCCCGCTATCCACCGACTGGCGCGCGCCCGTGCTCGACTGCTCACCGGTGGCGTCCCCACCGCTGTAGATGGAAGGATCGGTGGTGGCATCTGCGATGCCCAGGTCGGGGTTGCTCGAGTCCTCGTCGTCGTACTCGTACTCGTCGGTGTCCGAGCCCTCGTCGGCGCCGCGGCTCTTGCCCATGGTCTCCACGGGGTCCTTGCCGAAGGCACCGCTCCAGTCGGTGCCGTCCCTGGAGAGCCACTTCTCTTTGTCTTTCTCGTCCGCCTGGGCGAGGACGTCTCGCCCCTGCGTGAGGCTGGCATCGTGCAGCTTCTGAATGCTCGGCGGCACCTCTGCGACGACGAGCTCCTTCCTCACGCCCTCGGCGTAGCACGCTTCCCAGCTCTCGATCGTCTCGCGGGAGTCGTTATCACTTACAAACTTGAGATGGTCGCGGTCAGTTCCCGGCTTGAACCTTCCCCGGAATCTAAGCCGTCCAATCTCCTCGATATTCAGATTGGGAACATCTTTGTAGTTGGCCTCGGTGATGTAGTTTTGGCTCAGGCGGGTGCCGTTGTTGCACCGCCAGATAGGGATATCGAAGTCCTTCTCTTCGAGATCGATGAGATCTTGCAACCATACAGAAGCATAGGTGTCGGTGTGCCGTTTCCCGGTCGGGTGGAATTCGAAAAAGACAGGTGAGCGGTAGCGATACCGAACAGGAAGTCGAATGTGACCTTCTACGTTGGTAGTAGTTCCATCGTCGTTTCTTCTGGGCTGAGACTCAGTGATATCCCAAACGAGGCTGCCATCTTCTGCCTGGCTGCATTTCTCGCTCTTGATCACGGCGGAACTTCCTCCGGTGCGGAGCTTTAACTTTGTACGAGAATTTCCGTCGTAATTGACGGCGGTGAGCTTGTCTGAGAGGAATTCGAAGGTTCCAATTTCGCCGAAGCCGAGCTGCTGAGGTGGCAACCTGAGGTCGACAGAGCGGAAAAGGAGCGAAATGCGGACACGTCCAAAGCCGATGCCGCCGTCGAGGGGATACCATCGTGTGCTCTGACTGCTAGTCAGGAGGATGTCGGACAATTTCAGCGGGACCACTCCAATGATCGGATCGTGCTGACGGTTGCGCGAGTCTCGCACAGTGACAGTGATAATGGCAGCTCTCCAGTCCCGGATGAATCGCTCTGTTCCAGCTTCGAAGATGGGTTTTGATGACACCACCTTGGTGCGGGTCTTGTATGCGAGTTCATCGTTGATAAGAATCGTGCAGTACGAGCTCGGTAGTTTCTTTCCCGTCTCCTCCTTGATGTCCCCAGCTTCGGGCCTGGCAGGCTCGAATTCACGTCCCTTCCTCTTGCCCTGTGACCCCTTGACGTTCTCAAGTTCGAGATTGACGATTTGATGGACAACGACGCTCACAATTCCGCTTGGCCAAAGAGGGTCAGGGGGTGTATGCACGACGGCGTCTTCGTTAGCGGTATCCAGAGAGCCGACGTCCTGCTGTAGCTCCTTCTTATCCTGCAGTTCCTTCGGGAGGTTGGGATCCTTGCCGTCAGTCCGAAGAGCCTTGCGGTACTGGGTCTTGCCGAAAAAGCCGACTTCCCAAGACAGCGTGCCCGGCATTGTGCTTTCTGCTTTGGTGCCTCTGAGAGTCGACTTCTGAGGAAACATTTTGCCTGGGTGTTGAATGAGTTTCTGGATACTTAGCTCGACCTTCCCCACAACATCATCCGCGGAGGACCTGTCACTGTCCCAGAGCTCCAACGAAAGCTGCTCGTCCGCCTTGATGATGTCAGGGGTGACGAGAAGAGCGGCGCACTCAGAGAAGATCGGATCGAGGTTATCCTGGATAACACGCGTACAGTACTGGGGCTTGCCGAACTTGGAAAACGCGACGCAAATATAGGGATCGGACCCGCCACCTTCGCTGCCTCTGCGATCCTGCTTTGAGAGACCAGTAGCCTTGTGGATACGAATAAAGAGAACGCCAAGGGCCTGGGTCTCTTTGGTGATATCGTCACCTGATAACATCTTGCCGATATCAAGGGTTAGTGACTTGGGGGCAACGTACATGCCAGCCGCGGTTGCGATGGCCCAGTTCACAAAATTGGAGATAAGGGGAAGGTTGAGAACGTTCGCGCCCTTCTCGATCAGCGGTATGCAACTGGCCTCGACCTTGGGCAGGCCCATAAGGGTCACGCTGAGTGTCTTGATGAACGGTGGGTTAGGGGCAAGGGCCACGCGGATACGGGCGGTGCAGACCAGGCCATTGAGTTCAACCCAGATGGGAAACGGTACTCCAAAGAGGCCTTTCAAGCCCAGATAGAATACCAGTTGCATGCCCATGTTTTTGGCCTTGGAAGACACGTCCGCCCCGGACGGCAGTGAGTGGTAGGCGATGGTTGCTTCGAGGTTGTAGAAATCACCCCCTTCTTCGTCAGCTGCTAGTTCTTGGGGGTCCTTGGTCTTCTCGTCTTGCTTGCGGATCTCGTCTTTCAGGTCCTGTACGTGGCTGTCCGGGAGAGCACGCAGACTCAAGACTCTTATGGGGTTGCTGCCTTGCGAGATATCGTTGACTTTGACATTTTCAATGACACCCGGAACGCTTGCTTGCATGACGTCTTCCAAGGTATCCGCAACAGCAGCAAACATGTCTGGGTTAATCAACCCCCAGATCAGACCGATGGCGGTGTTCATCCACTCAACAGACTCAGGGATGAGGTTGATGACCGCAGTCTCGCCACGCTGCTGTTCGCTTGACCATTCGACATCACGGCCCTGGCGGATAAGATCCTTGACCCAGAGGAAGACTCCCGAGGCGACGCAGAACCCCAGAGGAACCAGTCCCCACAGCGAGCCACCCAGGATTTTGCCGATGAAGGCGATGGCGAAGAAAATGCCGGCACATAGGACATTTGCCCTGGCCTCGAGGGCGGCGTACATGGGCTCGTAGCTGACGGACGGGGTCGGGTGGAAGAGCACGTTGGTCTTCTCGCCGTGAATGGGCACGTCGCTCGTCGTGCCAGGTTCGACTGGGTCCGGCGGTGCTGTGATGTCCTGGTTGCGCCGGTACTCCTCGCCAGACTGGGTAGGTTCCGTCTTGACGGTGGTCTCCTTGCCCAGATTGGCGTTTGGCACGAAGAGCTGGGCAGATAATGAGCGAGGGTTCTCGTTCAACACAAGCTGGTATAAAGTGGTACGTGACTTACATGGGGGTCATCAACAGCCTTCACCATCTCTGGGCCAATATCATCGATCTCGACGTCCTTGCCAGTGACTGGATCGCGGACTGTCCTGCGGTTTCTTCCCTTGGGCTTCTCGGTGTGGTGAGCCTTGACCTCGCCCTCGCCGGTTTTGTGCTGCTTCTGTTCGGCATCGATCTTGGCGTCTCGCTCCCTCTTATCCTTGTCCAGGCCCTCCATGAACTGCTTGATGTTGGGAATCCTGTTGGTGCCAGAATAGTGGCCCGCAGGCGCCTTGTGTTCTTGCTGCTCCATGTTGCGTATATTTGCAACCGTGGACAACGTGAATTCTGCAAAAGAAAGAAATCTGGGGGGGGGGGGGGGAAGCACGTGAGTCACGATCACGGCTGGACGTTGACGGCGTCCAGTGTTAAAGTTGGGCCGTTCTCAGAGTGGACGTAATATCCGCGAACGTCTGCGGCGATGCTTTTCAAAAGGTGACCAACGAGAGGGCGCGGCAACACAAGGTTGCGAGAGTTACGAGACTCTTGGAGGCCCAGGAACAAGTAGAAACAGGGAATAGGAGAGGTTGGGAGGAGATCTGGACTCCAAGCTACTGCGCGTCGGTAGCAACTCACCAGGATGATGGAGGTCAAAAGGTGAGGATCACGATCAGGACCGGAAGCTGTGCATGAGATTGATTCACGCCATTGGGTCATTGACTTCCATTGACTGAGATCGGCAACTAGCCGTGCTCGATTGGACTTGTTTGACCTGATTCCAAGCTGAAGAGGCTAGCCTGGTGCGACTTGACCAGCTGGACGGGCTGACGGGCTGGCCCAGCTCTCGTCGCAAAGCAGCAGCAGCTAGAAGGCGGCTCCTTGGTTTCGCGGGATATGACGTCTTGTCTCATTCTCCAAGCAGGCGGGAAGCAACGCCACCCACCTCATAGCACCCACTTGACCTGCCGGTGGGACGCGATTCTCGTCTGTCTTTCTGCCAATTCCGCCAATTCTGTCAAGGACCTCTGTACCGGTGGGATTGGCATTTAGTCTGCTAGTTTGCTGTCACTCTGGACAAAATATCCCGAAGAGGTGGACGCTCGCAGGGATCCCGATTATCCGCACTCAGTAGCCTCAAAACCCCAGCAGCTCCTCAGCTGCCAATGGGAATGACCTTTGGGATAACCCCCTCCTACTGTATGAGATGACCTCACACGGGATAATCTGGCGGAGGACAAGCTCCACCCAAATAACCCTTTCAGTTCTGATGATGGTTGGATGAGAGCCTCATGTAGAGGCAGATCTGTCCGTGCCTTTCGACAGCCTCGTAAGATTCGCAAGGACAGCTGGGACAAGCTCGATGCTCCGACCCTCGCAGCACCTTGGAAGCAACGACGTGTTAGAAGCTCAACTGGAACTGGTGGTTCTCTTGGCCAAGACCAAGACATCACTTTGGAGCTGGAGAAGGTGTTTAGGCGGAACTGGGGCCGCAGGGTTGGCAGGGCTCCACCTTCCTCAACCCTGGTCTGATAATCCGAGCGGCTGATGTCACCCCTGCCCGTCCCCCAAGCTTTGGGGTACCATGCAAATGACGATCCTCGGTACTGTACGTGTTCGGAAGACTCGTGGCAATTGCTGACCAGCTTTTCCAACGAACAGCAGAAAACGAAACCACACCGACGACTACATCCTATCGAGCCAATTGACACGCCAGCCCTTATACTGTTAGACCTCTAGCGCCCCAATCGTCCCTCTCACCCGCGGCTCATGTCCACGAAATTCAGCCTCCCAGCCCTCGTCAAAGACACCCGCACCCGCACCAAGAAGTTCAGCAACAAGCGCGACGGCGAGGGCGGCCTCCTGCCAGGGGCATATGGCAGCTACGGCGTGTACAGCCCTTCATCGGTGGCGCCCAGCTTATGGAGCCCTTATGCCAGACCGCCTAGGCGCTCCAAGAAGCTCGTCCTGCTCTGGCTGTTTACCTTCTTGATCATTGGCTTCCTCACCTGGTACATTTCAACACGGCGAGGCGCCATGACAGAGGCTTATGCCGAGGTCTTGACTGAGGCACCGCCCAAGGAGATCGTGGTGGACGAATAGAGACACCCAGGGCGCAGAGGCAGCAGAGACGTGTATCTGCAATGGTTTCGCCCAATCCTTGAAGCTATTCGGGCTACAAGAGAGGATCAGCATAACGTGAAGGGGGCATGGGGAAGGCAACGCATTGTCAACTGACGATATGCCCTGGAAATCACAAAGTTGCAACAGGCTGGCACGTCGACATTGCAACAAGCTTGTGGCCAAATCGTGAACTTGGACATGCGGGATAGGGGCAGACGTAACATTCGAGAGCAGTCACAAGATGTCAGCGACTCCACGGCAAATACCTGCATTTCTCACCGCGACTCGGACGCTGGAAGAAGTGACTGAGTCGACTCAAGCATTACACTGCGGTCAACCTGGCCCAGGGGGTTCGCCGCCCTTTGCCGCTGCGCCGAAACCTACCGGCTCAGGCAGAGTAGCACTGAACGCGTACGCCGACCCGCTCGTATAATGCGTGGCCCGGACCCTTTAAAGTTACACAAGGACGCGTGTTGTTTAAATTCTGCAAATCAACCCAGGAGGCCAATCAACTTTCCATTGCTTCAACCGTGTCCCGACGCTACTGTTCGGATTGTGGGCTGCATTACGAAGCAATGTTGGATTGGCTTCACTCGTGGCTACGCTTTAGCTTCAGGATCAACCCGCCTTGGCACGAGATGCGATGAACCATTCACTACATGATAATACATCACCACTATGAAGTCGTTGTATATAAATATAGAGGTTGAGATATCCAATCGAAGACTAGATTCGCTCGTTCAATAGGCTTTCAGACATTCTTTACATTCATTCATTCATTCATTCATTCGTTCATTCGTTCATTCGTTCGTTTGCCCGAAAAAGGTCTCACAACCATGTCGCTCTCTTCAGTCCGCTCCGGCATCATCTGGCTTCTCGCACTTTGTTTTATGGCTGAGTCCTCTCCAGTGACTCCGAGACAGTCCAACACCACCTGTACAACGCTCAACCAGACGGGCTTCGCGACTGATTACTGCCTGAGCCGGGACCTGAAACAGAGTAGCTTCCTCAACCAGGCTAATACGTCCCTTCTCGAGACGTGTTTCGCGAGCGCAAATTACTCAGAAGCTTGGACGTGCTACAAGAAGGACCCTCATGGAGCCGGCCACTCAGGTATCGGCGGTGTTGTAAGTAAACCTTGATCTTCGTTGCGGCACGCGGATGCAGGTGTGCGAGTGTGAAGCATGGAATCTCGCTGATCAAGTCTCCAATTCAGATGTTGGACGTGACGCTCAGCCCGGGCGATCCCCTCTTCTACCTTCACCATACGTTCCTGGACTACCTCTGGTGGCAGTGGCAAGCCGTGGACCTCTCCAGCCGTCTTACCGACATGACCGGGCGCAATGTTCCTCTGGTCGATTACCTGCTTGTTGACGAGGACTACGTCTTCGCTATCTCCGTGCTCTTGGAGAACAACGGTGATCCTGGCAACGTGACGACTCTGAACCACAACCTGTGGATGGCAGGCCTGGTCCCTAATGCGCCTATCGCCGAGGTCATGGACATCCGGGGTGACTTGATCTGTGCAGAGTACGTTTAGACTAGGACTTGCGGCGATGCGGGTGAAGATGATACAGACTTGTAATCATTTCTCGCCACCGGCGAGGTAGAATAATAGTTAATCGGAAATTGGTAGCAGTTTTGGTGCGACGGCATGCCTAACTCCCCTTAGCTTGAGTTTCCCTACCCAGTGCCACCATGAAAGCCATCTTTCGAACCTCTCGGCATGCTCAGGAGTCGACTCAAGCAAATCAAGTGCGTCAAGACTGTGACTGTGGTGCGGTCGACTATCAGCTGAGGCTGTCCGTAGTCCCAGCCGTTGTTACCATTATCATCAGAGTTTGAAGACCCACCCCATGGACAAAGCCGGGCTGTGGCCAAAAATTGCTTGGGTAGGCCTGTCTTTGAGCACATCGCACAACCGAGTTTATCTCTGCCGTCCCGACAGTGCCGATGTTGCTAGAGTCTCGGTACCTCTGGAGCATACCGGCTGCTCCACAAAGTTGCATTGTCCTGTGAACAAGGACAGGATGCAAGGACAATCGAGGACCAGAATTGTTACTTCAACGGCCTCCAGAGGGGGACTCGACAAAGGACACGGACAACCTTGGATGGCATTGTACAAGGCCCAAATCGTCTCACATAAGAAGGACGATTAATTCCACTGACAGCAACTCTCACTTCTCCTCATCACAGCCAGTGGCTTAAGATCCAGAATCTTCACATCGATCCACACAGCTCTTTTCAGCCCGCTTAAGACTATCCAACTCATTATCCAAGGTAAGCAGTCAGTAGAGAAGATGACTACCACCACGAACAAGCCAGCCTCGTCCGCCAAGGACGAAGTCGTCCATGCTAGGCCTTTGGGCGTCTACACCGGTGAGAACGAGGGCAAGCGCCGCAAGAGCGACGCGGACCGCAGAACCGCCCGGGAGTTTGACCTCAAGCAACAGCAGCGCGCATCGTCGCTCGCGCAAGCGTTCGATCGCGACGGCAAGATTAAGGTTCAGGTCAAGGACTGGCAGCCGGAAGCCCTGAGCGACGGCACGTATGGTAGCATTGCAATGAAGGACCTCTGTGATGAATTCGCGCACCTTGCATCGGACATTGTCCAGGACTTCACAGGAGGTAAGTAAAGCTGGGCTCCGGGCTCTTGTCCACGGGTGGGCTTTCGGTATGAAAAAGGAAATAGACCTGGTTGTCTTCCCAACTGAGCCAAATCAAGCTACAACATGCGTATGTGACAATGAAAGAAAATGTGCAATGTGAAAGTTGAAGGTATCACTTGATACGCGTGCCCTTGTATCTGGCGGAGCCGGCCGTGAGTATGCCGTGGGTGGGTTATTATGCAGAAGTTGAGTAGGTCTCACCTTGAGCTAGACTCTCGACGTTGTCAGCACACGTAGAATGCAAATTATTCGAGTTAGGGTAGAAGCACCTTCTGGGATTCCAAATAACGTCTATCGTACTCGAGTCGTGAATAAAGCCCCTGATTGTCAACCCATAATTTAAGCCAGGCGTACACCAGCCTCCTTCCGCTTCTTAGTCTGTTGTGCGGTAGCGGACGATATACCTGCCTCCCCGCTGGCATCGAAAATGCTCTTGGCAATGCGACCCTTCTCCTGCTCGATCTTGGACAGCTTCTTGTCTGTCTTCCCCTTGCCGCTGGTCTTGCCGTGGAACTGATGCGACAGCTCCTTGAATGCCTCCTTCTGGTTGAGGTGACGGCCCTGCTCATCCACGTACTTGAGCTCGACATTGAATTTGTGCTTCTTGAGCAGGTTCGCCCTGATGTTGGACAACTTGAACTCGCGCTCTGCATTCTGCCTGCGGGCGTACTCTTCTCGGTCGCGGGCATTCATGCGGTCCAGGTGACCGCTCGCTCGGTCCCGCTCGCGCTGTCGCTTGGCATCCTCGTCGATTTGCGCAACCAGTCGTGCCTGTTCCGCAAGGAATAGCTCTCTCCGACGGAAGTGCTCGTTCTTCTCAGCGCCGGTGTTGTCTTCATCGATGATCTTGCGCTCTTTGAGGAGCGATAATGTTGCACCCAAACCTTGTGCGACATACTTTTCTTCATCAACACCAGTCGTTGCGAGTTCTTCCGGTGCTGCTGACACATCTCTTTCGACGGACTCATCCTTGATCTGCGGCGCATTCTCCATCTCCTCATCTGAAGCCTCATCATCCATTGCAGTGACAGGTTCTCTAGATTTGGACTTCTTCCTCGGCCGCGCATCCTCATCAGCTTCAGGCTTGTTGATAGCGCTCAAGAATTCGGACGTCTCGTCAAGGACAAGCCCTCCATTCTCCGCTCCTTGATCATCATTCTGATCATCCTGCGCCGCCTCTGCTCTTAGCTGTTTGGCTAGATCCTCTGGCCGAACCCGCTTTTGCTTTTTTAAAGCCTGCCTGCGCTGGATCGACAGAGACGCCTGTAGATCTTCATCGTCCACGAACGTGTCGTCAATGATCTTTCGCTTCTTGGTGATCGGCGCAGAATCGATGTCCATGGCCTCCTCAGCTGCCGGCGCCTGATCCCCAGGAAACAGCGCATCTTCATCGTCCCGTTGCCGTGTCGACTTCGCCTTCTTCTTCTTTTTAGGCTTCTTGACCTTGATTTCTGAGGGGTCGAGATAGTCGGAAACTGGGGCATCTTGCATAATGTCGACGTCAAGATTTTGCAGCATCCTCTTCCGCTGTGCTGGGGCTTCCAGTATGCCGGCGAGGTCTGAGATCGTTCCCTTCCCATCCAGATTAAAAGTCTTTTTCTTTTTACCATTGATTTCTTCGTCGTATTGAGCAAGAATGCTATGGTCGCCCGTGTCGTCGATATCGTTGGGGTCGTACACTGGTCGCTTCTTCTTCAGGTTTAACCTTTCGTTGAGCTTCTCCTGCTCACGCAGGCTCAGATTCTCTAGCTCATCGCCCTCGCCGTCCTCGCCCAGCACGGCGCTGTCCTTGAGCGTAAGGATCTGGTCATCGCCATCGAGGAGGGTCGACATATCATGCCCGACCTTGACACCGGCAAGATCTTTGGAAGAGTAGTCGGCAGCCTTCCTCGCAGCTTCGGCCGCAGCGTCTGCCTCCTCTTGCCGCTTTCTAGACTCGGAAATCTTCTTCTGCTTCTTCTTCATGCCTTTGAGCCATGACTTTGCGTCTCCATCATCCTCGTCGTCGAGGTCGCCTAGGCCTTTGCCCTTCAGGGTGGCCAGTCGTTGGGCTCTGTCGCGCTCCTTCTTGATGGCTGCGATCTTTGCCTCGCGGTCCCGCTTGGCCTTCTCGGCTTCGAGAACCTTTCTGTAGTTGTCACCCGCAGCCGCCTCGCGGGTCTCGATGGTGCTGGCAACCTCCTCTGTGTCGTCCGTGGACGACTGTTTGGGCTGAGCCGGGGCCGCATTCGGCACGGGCAAGGGCTTGAGGCCCATAGTCTTGCGGACCTCATTCAGCTCCTGGATTGTGTTCGCATCCATCTTTGCGCCGTTTCAAGGATACTGAGTGACAGATTTCAAAGAGGATGGGCCTGCAGACGGAGGCAGGTGTGATATCCTTTACAGCGCAAGACGAGGTCGAACAGGACCAGGTGCCTTTGCGCCCAAGACGTGACTTGAAGTTCTGGGATGGTCTGTGCACGCTTACATAATAAATTGACTGGGTCACTTGCAGTCCCGGCTGGACGCGCTGCAGACGCGCTCCTCCGCATAGTCGAAACTGGGGTGCATATTTGATGTGTGTTGGAACTTATTAGACTATTTGCCTCTGACCTGCGGCTACAGATCTGCGGTCAGCAACATCCTGTATGATCCTGCAGTCCAAGATCGATTGGGAACAGAAAGAAACAAACAAATCCAAATCCAAATCCAAATCCAAATCATGATGTCAGTCTCTCGATCGACATGCTCTAATCGGAGACGTCTGCAGGGGCACCGGGCCACCGGGTGGGCACGCACATAAACAGCACAGTATCTATCCTGAGGGCATCAAATTCTTCTACACCAGGTTGAACCGTTCGCCGAGGCCGACAGATCAGATCAGCGCAACTGGCCACAGCAATCACCATGCCAACGTGCAAGGCGTGACCATCAACCGAGGTGAGTGGAGCGAGAATAATCGCGGCACCAAGGCGTCTCGAGATCATCGTCAGCCTAGACTGTTAGGTCGTGCCAACGTACAGTAGAGCGACACCACGGCCATTGCAAGGAACCGGACCATCATACTCCAAGCACGCCACGGTGCACAACTCTGCAGGCAACCGTTCGATTGTCATGTCCTCACACACCTCACCGTCGCTAGCCGCCTCTCGACCTGCTGCTGGGGCCCCACCGCCCACGCACATTATCGTCTTCCTTTTCCTCCTGTTCCTGGTCGCGTTGCCTGCAGGATATCTGTCACTCGAAAGATCCCCTGCTGCTCAGACAACTCCTCGCCGCGGCACCCTCCACCAGCCTCGGCCTGCGAGCTCTCGATGGGTGACATATCGCGTTTGTTCGACCCTGTGCGATGCCCTTTTCATCTCGAATCGGCCCTTTACACGGCGCAGAATTGCATATGCTCCGGAGGCTTGCTGCCGTGGCTCTTGGTCCATGATGTGGGTGTGGTCAGGGTGATGAGCGCCCCTCTGCATAAGAGATGAAAGAGTCTGGAAGCGAAGTCCTTTTTGAGATCCAGCGCCTTCCGGTGTCATCGGTATGATTGCCGTCTTGGTGATAGTGCCGGGAGCCCGAGTGGATTCGGCTCTCGCCGGGCGATCTTTCCCCGCGCTCTCGACGGGTTGGGCTGATGTCTGCTTGGTATTGAGAGTCTGGGGAACCGGGCACCCAGGCACCCAGGTTACTTGTGTAATGATGCGTGTGCCCGCCCGCGAACAGTAGGCCGTCTACGTGTGCACCCACCACACCGCTCGGTGTCGCAAAGGAACATGTCTTGCCCTGATCGCGCCATCTGAGACCGCAGACGGATGCCACGACGGGCCGATTCGATGCTTGGTCCTGCCGTCAGACAGTCCCCAAGCCGTGACATCGCCCGTGGCTCCGGCCTGTTCTCCATGATCACCTGCCCAGGCGCCAGAGGAAAGGGGCCGGCTCGATCACACCTACCCCACAAAATAGACGTCAATGGCACAACCTAGACCCCGTAGCCTCTCTTCCTGGGCACCTGCGCCCCCATGTTTCCCGGCGACTTGACTGCCTGAGTCGCGCACCATAGGGAGGCCAGGCAAGTCCCACAATCACATGGGAAGTTCATCTCATCTCCGCCGTTGTCTTATTAGCACCCCTTGGGCCACCGTATGGCCCCCCGTCCTCTTTCTTGGCCTAGTCTAAGAATGGCAACCCCCAACTGTGCCAGCGGTCGTGTAATTGGCGACACGGCGAGCTGTACCCCATCGCAGTGCTTCTTCTGGTCTTGCACCTCGATGCAGGAACTCTCGGCTGCGTCCCGGGAAAAAAGCCTTGCAAACCCCCCGGCACGACATCGGTGCTTCTTTCTCGACGCTGCCGCCTCGTGACAGTCTCCCATGATGCTGGTTTGTGGAAAACTGCTACCCTGGAAACGCCATGCACGTGAAGTTACTTTGTGTAATTGCTCCTTGGCTGTCAACACCGGTACCGTCAACGCCACCGAGCAGGATTTGGAACCGCGGATATAAATGGCCTACGATATCCAGCCCAGCGGCACGGCCAACATCACCGCCCTGCCAGTCAACAGCTCCAGCTTGGTTCAGCCCATCATGACCGGTCTCACTTCTCTCTTGCTCCTGGGCACATACGCCTTCCAGGCCGTCCTGGGCCGGCCAGATGCTGGCCTCGTCCGGAATAACGGCGAGGTCATCAAGCGCTCGGTGGACTCGTTCGTTGCAACGGAGAGTCCCATCGCTCTGAGCCGCCTGCTTTGCAATATCGGAGCAACCGGCTGCTACTCACAAGGCGTAGCATCCGGCGCGGTCATTGCATCCCCTAGCAAAGCCAACCCGGACTACTGGTACACCTGGACGCGCGATGCAGGCCTGGTTCTGAAGGAACTCATTGACACCTTTGCCAATAATTACAATACCACCCTCCAATCCGACATCCAGAATTACATCAGTGCGCAGGCGAGACTCCAAGGCGTGTCCAACCCGTCCGGCTCGCTGTCAAATGGTGCTGGCCTGGGAGAGCCCAAGTTCAACGTCGACCTCAGCCAGTTCACGGGAGACTGGGGTACGTACATAGCATTGCAACCCTTCTCTTGGCTCGACATATCTCGCTAACAAACACCTCAGGGAGGCCACAAAGAGACGGTCCTGCTCTCAGGGCGATCGCACTCATCACCTATGCCAACTGGCTCGTCAGCAATGGCTACTCTTCAACTGCCTCAGACCTTGTCTGGCCCATCATCCGCAACGACTTGAGCTATGTGGCCCAGTACTGGAACCAGACCGGCTTTGATCTCTGGGAAGAGGTCCAAGGCAGCTCGTTCTTCACGACGGCCAGCCAGCACCGTGCACTCGTCCAGGGTGCTGCGCTTGCATCCTCGCTGGGTACTACCTGTACAGCTTGCACCTCTGTCGCGCCTCAGATTCTCTGCTTCCTCCAACGCTTCTGGTCGTCGTCTAGTGGGTACATTGTTGCCAATAGTAAGTGTCCTTGAGTGCGATTCCATCTCTGCATCCATCCTTTCTCTTCGTATACCGACGACCTTGTGTTCAGAGGGATGTTAACACGGCAGCAGTCAACGTGAACAATGGCCGTTCTGGCAAGGACGCGAACACGCTTATTTCATCGATCGCTACTTTCGATCCCGCCGTGGCTTGCGATGCTGCAACCTTCCAGCCATGCAGTGACAAGGCCTTGTAAGTCTTGTTTTTTGTCTCATTGTTATCCATACCAGCTAGCTGCCCAACTCAGCATTCCACCACGTTGCCTTCCACATCTCACCGAGGCCGTCACAAGCGCCCTACCTTGACCTGCTGATGAATTCATTCCCGATCAATTTCTGCTATGATTAGTTCCGCCCAGCTTCTGAGCCGTGGCTTGTCAGCGAGGAGTGAACTGACCTGGAATGTTGCATAGGGCCAACCACAAAGCCGTGACAGACTCTTTCCGTTCTGTTTACGGCATCAACTCTGGAATCCCGCAGGGCACTGCAGTCGCTGTCGGTAGATACTCCGAAGATGTCTACTACAACGGGAACCCCTGGTATTTGACCACACTTGCTGCAGCAGAGCAGCTCTACGATGCTCTGATGGTATGGAAGTCCCAGGGATCCATCGAAGTCACATCGACATCGCTGGCCTTCTTCAAGGATTTCGACTCTTCCGTCACTGCTGGCACATACCAATCCGGCTCTTCGACGTACACAACATTGGTCAACGCCGTTACAGCGTATGCCGATGGTTACGTGAATGTCGTAGCAACCTACGCCGCACCCAACGGGTCGCTTTCCGAGCAATTCGAAAAGTCAAACGGCTCGCCTCTCTCGGCCTATGACCTGACATGGTCATACGCCGCGTTCCTGAGCGCGGCCGCCCGTCGGGCTGGCACCGTTCCCCCATCTTGGGTCGGAGCCTCTGGCAATGTCGTGCCTGGGACATGCTCTACTCCGTCAGTATCCGGCTCATACTCGTCCGTACCCGCACCCTCTTTCCCTGCCTCGCAGACCCCACAGACTGGCTACACCCCTACTGCGACAACTACCGGGCCTGCCCCAACCTCCACGGGTTGCACCGTCGCCTCCTCGGTCCTGGTCACGTTCGACGAGGTCGTTACCACGACGTACGGGGAAACCATCAAGATCGTCGGCAACAACGCCGCCCTCGGCAACTGGGACACCAGCAAGGCCGTGGAGCTCAGCGCGAGCCAGTATACCTCGTCGAACCCGCTGTGGTCCGTCACCATTGAATTGGCTCCTGGCACAGTGGTCTACAAGTACATTAGGGTCTCATCCAGCGGGACGGTCTCATGGGAGGCCGACCCGAACCACACCCTCACGGTGGCGGCATCTTGCGCCACTGCTACCACTGTCTCCAACAAATGGCAGTAGAAGGCTAGGAGATGACGGCAGGAACGAGTCTTTCTCACATTGGCTAGAAGAGAGGCGGGGTGTCTGGGAGGCTGCGTCTTATTCCTACGAAGATCTGGGACAAGCAAAGCTGTCGACTCACGTCTAGAGTATTCTCCTTGGTTTCCTTGCACTACCACACACTAGTAACAGATATAAAACAATGCCAGTAATTATGTGCATCGCGTCCGTCCTTGTATATAGGTGATTTCAAAGCACCCCACCTTGACACGCGCTAGGAAAGACTGCAAAGACGACCTGTTCGGCCTGCTCCATTTCAATTTACAAGTAATCTAGCCTAAAGATCTATCTAGTGACTGCCGTACGAGACACGTGCTGAGAGACATCCATAGGGCTTGGCTTACACCGCCGGAAACAGAGGCTCGCGCACCTCCCTGACAAAACTCCCACATGCTCTTGGTGCCTGCTCAGCCCTTATGCCACCTCTCCAGCGCCGCCATGACCTCCCCCACAGCCCACTCCAGCGTCTCCTCAAAGTCGAGGTCCACGCCTCCCCCGGGGCCCGGCTGCCCGCGCTGGGCGAGCACCTGCTTCTCCCTCAGCACGTCCCAGTCCAGCTCCCCGCGCTCGACGTCCCCGCCGGCGAACAGCCACCGGTGCGCGTCGACGTAGTTGGGCCAGACGACCCTGTCCACGTACCCGGGCGGGTCCTTCCAGAACCCCTCGAGCGTGACGTAGCCGTCGCGCGCCTCGCGCCGCTGCGTCGCCCTGGCCCGTGACACCTGCAGGAACAGCTTGACGTCGATCGTGTCCATGACGGCCGAGAACTTGGGCGGCGAGTAGAGGAGGAACCCGTCCAGGAGGCACATGCGCGGGGCCTCGCCGCCGGAGAATATCTCGTGGCCTGGCCCGCCCGGCTGCGCCCACCGGCGCACCCTCTCCTTCTCGGCCTCGATCTTGGCGTCCGAGGCGGGGCACTTTCCTACGGAGTTCTTGTCTTCCTTGGAGTCTACAAAGGGCTGCTCCGGGGGAGGCGGGTGGTGGTCTGGTAAGCGGTAGGAAGACGACGATTTGGACAGGGTGGGGGGCGACGCTGCTTGTGAAGGCGATGTGGGCACGCCGTGGCTGCTGCGGCGGGCGCAGGCCAGGTCGGAGCCGTTGTTGCTTACCGGAAATGTCCCCTCGGAGCGGATGTGCGACAGCGCCCTCTCCATGTCCGGGATGTTGATGGACTCGGCGCAGTCCCAGTCCAGAAGGCCGTCTTTGTACGGCAGTCTGAGGACAGGGGGTCAGTTTCATGCATTCTGGTCGCCCCCTTTCGGTAGCGGTGGCTGGCTCGCTCACTCACTCGTCCTCGGGCCGGTAAAAGTCATCCTCGTGCAGCACAAAGCTGTTTGGGAATATGTCTCTGAGCAGCCTGGCGAGGGTTGTCTTGCCGCTCGAGGAGCAGCCTGACAGGCCCACGATGATTGCTTTCTGGCCGCCCATCTTCAGGGAGGGTTCGAAAGGGTACGTCGTCTCCTCGGCCAATTCGTATTGTATATTGTGGGGCTGGTCTGCCGGTGCGAGAAGACGAGTGAAGTCAAAAATGCCCGGGCCGTAAGACGGGAGGGGCCGCGCCGGCTCCGGAGACGCACAGATGCCCCGACCGAGTCCACAGCCGAGCCCGGGCGGGCTGCCACGCCGGCGTCAGACTTTCCTACTGGGAATACTGAATAGGCGGAGCAGGTTTGATGGCCCTGTGATATTTTCGACCCCAGCACCATGTGTGTCCCTTTTCTATATTCCACTATATGTACAGCCCTTGTTGTCCATCCGTCATAGACGTTCAATACTAACTAATCCGTTTACGGTAACTCACAAGTTGGAGACATCGTAAGCCATCTCCAGCTCGGTCCTGAAGAGCATGTCTGAGGTAACGTCACACAAGTCTGGAGAGGGATGACAGCTTATTACCGGCCTGAGCAATTGAAAAGGTTTGAGAACGTGTTAGAAGCCTTGGTCTCTTAGGCTTGCCCGCCTAGGCTCATTGTCAGGTAACCTGCACAAGGCCCGAGTCGATCTGTGGATTGCATACAAGATGCTAAGTTGGTCAATGGAGCGCAAACACGAATTCGAACAAGTAGGCATAAGCGATCCTCCCCATGTGCTTGCACCCCTATGAATCCGCGCAGGCCGGCGTATCCGCTCGTCGAATTCATGTAGCACAATCTGTTCATGCAAGGAACTTCCACAACCCACAAGACGGACAATAACTTGATGGGGAGCAAGGCCACGGCCTCCACTCTATTGTAGAAATATCTGTACTGTATCTCTGAAATTTCCAGTATCAGAATTGCTGCAGCTCTATGCGCGTGTTAGGATCATTGATTGTGCTAGTTCGTGTCGGTCGTTAGCAATCCCTGGGCCTGGATCTGCCATCCTGTCTTTGAGCAGGGGGCCCCTGTTGATCGCTGCAGTGACGCAAGGCTGGGGACCTGAACAGGCCAAGCAAAAAAAAAAGGAGCACCTGAACCCGACCGGCCGAAATCCCCAATGACAAATCCCATCTTTGTCACGGCTCCCATTCATTAGATCCAACAAACCATTCCACTGCACCGTATGCAGTAGTGGTGAGATAACTGAGATTCTGCTCGTCGACTTCAATCTCTGACCCGTTACTACAATACGAGTCCCGTAATCAATCCACCTGCCCGCCCGCGTCGATTCACCACCGACCATCATGCCCGAGGACACCACCCTCGTGGTGATATCCACGTCCGTCGTCGCCCTGCTCACCGGCTTCCTATTGGGGATCTACAGCATTCAGGGCTACATCATTACCCCTGAGTTCGCAAAGCAGTCGCGCGCCAACTACGAGGACCCCGTCGACAGCGACGAGACCGACATCGACGAGGACGAAACCCACCTGGACCACGCCCCCAACTGGGCTAACGGCAAGGAGGCAGACAAGAGGCAAGGGCTGCGTTACACCGAGAAGCACAAGTCCAAGACAGACAGCAAGAAATCGAAAGCAGACTTTGTGCCGTCGGTCGAGGACACCGGGGAGGAGTGCAAGCTCATCCTGGTCGTCAGGACAGACCTGGGCATGACAAAGGGTAAGCGCGCCCGACCCACCAACCTCTACTCAAGAGACCAGGCCGAAACTGACCCCATCCAACCGTCTCTAGGCAAGATCGCAGCGCAGTGCGGCCACGCGACCCTCGCGTGCTTCAAGTCCATCTCCAAGGCGGCGCGCGCCTCCGGGCCCAGCAGCCCCGCGGCGAGGCTCCTGCAGCGCTGGGAGCGATACGGCCAGGCCAAGGTCGCCCTACAGACCAAGAGCGCCGACGAGATGCACGAGCTCATGGCCAAGGCGCGCTCGCTGGGCATCACCGCCGAGGTCATCGCCGACGCCGGCCGCACCCAGATCGACCCGGGCAGCCTGACCGTCCTCGGCGTCGGGCCCGCGCCCAAGAGCGCCGTGGACCAGGTCACGGGCCACCTGAAGCTGCTGTAGGGCCATGGGGGTCGTCTAGCTTCTGCGTGTTATGGGTTCGGGCTGGGGTTCGTGCCCCGATTTGTTAGGGAATATATGCATTGCTCGGCGTTGGGGGGTGGCAAAAGAGATCAACCACGGGCTCTTGATAGACAGGTTTACCTAGGATGGACCAGCACAGTACATGGTTGTAACACGATAATGTGAAGCCCAGAACAAGTTCACAGCATCTTGGGAATACCACCTCGGAAACCACACTTCTACAGAGCCAGAGCCAACTGGCAGGTATCCAAATGATTATGCAGAGCCAGAGCACCAGAATCTTGCAAGAATTAGCTTGGGCCGCCACCCATCGACCTGCAGTGATCGGGCCGCGGACAGCCAAATGACTAGAGCATTCTTCTCACGTACCCTGTTTCTACACTTATCTGTGCCACAGTACGTCGCCATGCACGTTCCACAATTGGACGGATGCTTTCAACTATAGCTGAGAAGATCGAGAAGACCTATCGGCCCAGAAACAGATTATTCATCCGCGACGCAAGAGAACAAGCATCGACAGCGATGATCGGAATGTAGACTCGAGGCAATCCTATTGCGGATTCAGTGCCTCCCAATGGTCTGGAATTTATGGCAAGGGCAGCGAACAAGTCCCATTATCTGCCTGCTCGGGTATCTGCTCAGCCTCTCATTTCTCCTTCCTCGCGAACCGCCCCAGTGCCGGCCCCAGCTCCTCCTTCTGCTGCTCGTGCTGGGCCTTGTTCTTGTTCTGCAGCTCCTCCCAGATCTCGTCCGCGCGCATCCTCTTCTCGTCGATGATGTTGCGCTTCCTCTGCTTGCGGATGTACTTCTTGAGCGCGCCGTTGCGCCCGCGCGCCTTGTTCCTGATCTCCTCCTCGACGTTCATGGCGGGTGCGTCGAGGTCCTTCTCGGCCTGCCGCTGCTTCTCCGACCGCAGGTCCAGGTTGCCGATGAAGTTGGGGTCCAGCGCGATCATCTCTGGTGGCAGCTTGTTGAGCAGCTGCTTCACCTCAGCCTCTTGTCGCTGCTTGGCCGTTTCATACGGGTTGACCTCGAGCGCGTCGAAGTTGGCCTCGCCAGCGCCGGGCACCAGGATCGATGAGAAGCCCTGGTCGTGACCGATGCCGAGCACATCTTCAAAGGGACACCACCGCACCCGCTCCACCGCCTTGCCCTCTTTGCCCCACGTGAGATATGGGCTTTGCACCTTTTCTTGGACAGATTGGTGTTTGGAGAAGAGGCCCTTCCATATCGTCGCGCTCGTGCCCCAGCCCACTGCGGTTAATCCGGAATCTGATATCGCAACGGAGGATGCAGGAGTTCTTGTGAAGTAAGAGTTGACCTCCTTGAACATCCGTATGTCCCAAACTGCCATCTTCAGATCCTGCCCCGTTGAGACCATGTACCGTCCTTCTCGGTCGACCGCTAGTGCGCGGACTGGGCCTTTGTGCGCGAGGAGTTTGACGAGTGCTTCTGAGGAATTTGGAGACCATAATGAGACTGTGCCGTTCTGGTGGCCGATGTGACATATCGCGTTCCATGGGTTTTGTGTAAAGGAGCAAGGGGCGCCGCCCTTAGTGTGGATCTCGGATACCAGCTGTCCGGTCGAAACGTCCTGGTATTTCAAATTGCTCGACATTCCCAGGGTAGCGAGGAGCATATGATATGGCAGGAACTCCATGTGTGAGACCTCGACGTGTTTCTTCAGGCAGTGCAGCTCGACGCCATTCCTGTCATAGATGTAGACGTATTTCTTTTGCGCGACAGCGAAATATTGGTTGTTGTGAAGCCACCGTATGTCTGCATTCAAACAAAAAATCAGTACTCGTATCATAGATGACATTGTCGAGTGTGAGCCTACCTCTGATCGTCTCTCCCAATTGGAGCTCACACCCCAGTTTCCCTTCGCGGAAGTCCATTGTCGCAACATGGCCTTTGCGACCCGCCAGAAGCAGCTCCTTGCCGTTTCTCGTATATTCACAGTGGTACGGTCCAAGATCGTCGAGTTTCAAGTCGAATCGCTTTTGCGCCGTTCCCACGGCCGTCTCGCTTGTGATTTCGTCCTGGCGCACCCTGTACGTCCGCTCGAGTTCGTGTTCTGGCTCGAGAAAGCCTGGTGCGTTTTCCAATAAGATCTCGGCATCTTTAGCTTTTGAAATGGCGTTCTGGTATTTCTCCTCTTGCTTCTTCATGTTGGTGCGCAACTTCTTGTCGCGGACACCGCGCACGTCGACGCCCTTGCCCCGGCCATAGTCCCGGTTGGCTAGTTTTTGCCGACGCCGTTTTGCTTGTTCTTCTTTTGAGAGTAGTGATGTCCTGGCACTTTGAACCGTCAAAGCGCCATTCGGCTGCGCCTTCGTCTCGTCGGCCATGGTTGGTTGTGGGAATGTTTCAGTTCGCGGTCGGCTACTCAGAACATCGGTCGAGAGTTGATTCGCAGTCTAGGAACTTTTTCAGAGGGTCGTCGGGCGATAAGCTGATAAGAATTGATAAGCCGATAAGCAGGGATGCTGGCTGTAGTTTCCACAAGAAATTTCAAAATATGGCGGGGCAAAGTTCAACTTAGCAAGGCGCCGGCGGGCGGTACCTTCACTCGCTAGTGACGGTTGAGAGAAATCAAGGTCCCTTTCCATTCTCACTTCGCATTGCCCAACACTCACATTTCCTAAATATCTCAAGACATCTGGACGGTATTATACAATCTGGCGTCTTCATCCCTACCATTCAGGTTCAAGGCAGGCGGTGACGGAGGAAGGATGCCGGCCGCTGTCACGAGCCACTCGCACCGGGCGACCACCAAGGTCAACAACAAGGCCTTCAAGTCCCGGAAGGCAACTAAGGGAGCCATGCGAGATCAACTCAAAGGTAGGATGAGTCACCCCGAGAAGAAATCACCGGAAGTGCAAATTGGGAGTTATGTGCCCTACACTTGCATATATAATACCATAATCCCTAGGCAGCAGGATGAAAACTTAAGACCAATCAGCTAACTTTGGCATCGCTGCCTCTTCTCAGGCAAAGTACCAAACGAGCGCCGAAAGACACCTCACCAGCAAGTCATGTCTAAACTCGACCGACGGAACCAGGCCAAGCAGAAGCAGGCCCAGAAGCATAAAGCCCATCAGCAGGAGACCGTTGTCTTCGCCGGCAAGGACGGCGCTCCCCGAAATGTCGCTGTCATCCCTCTCTGCCCGGATGGTGACTCCACTGCTGCTGTTCGAGCCCTGAACCAGAGTCTCGACATCGACCAAGAAATACCCCTTGGCACAGCTCGCGTGCCTATCGATAGGTTCAAGCAGAAGCTGCAATACGTAGCCCTGCCACGCGACCTCACAGCCTGTTCGGATGCTGCCAGAGTCGCCGACTTCGTGGTGCTTATCCTGTCCGCAGATGTCGATGTCGACGACCTTGGCGAGTTGATCCTTCGTAGCGTGGAAAGCCAAGGGTTGTCCACTCTGTTCACCGTCGTTCAGGGCCTGAATAAGACCGAGCCCGCCAAACTCAGGAACCCAGTTCTTGACTCTCTGCGGTCATATATTACACATTTCCACCCGGAGCAGCACAAGATTTACAACCTCGACAACAGGCAGGAGTGTTCAAATTTGATGCGCTCACTCTGCAATTCGACACCAAAGGGCATCAAGTGGCGGGATGAGCGAAGCTGGATGTTGGTGGAGGACGTCAGGTTTGCAGATTCGGAAGAGGATCCCACCATTGTCACGGGTGTTGTGAGGGGCAGAGGCTTACAGGCGGACCGACTGGTGCAAGTTGGCGACTGGGGGTCGTTCAAGATCGAGAAGATCACCGCTGCACCGCTGTCAAGGAGAGGCAAGAAGTCAGATGAGGGGATGAACGTGGACGATCAAACAGAACAACCGCTCGCGGTTCCTACCGAGGATCAAGACGACCTTGATGACCTGGCGCCAGAGGTCGCGGCCATGCGTGATGCGGATGATGACATCGAATTGGATGATGCCACGTCCGTGGCGCCGTCGACCAAGAAGGGAGTTTTGCTGGACGACCATCACTATTTCTCCGAAGATGAGGACAATGCCCAAGTCAAGCACTTGAGGGTGCCCAAGGGAACGTCAAAGTATCAGTCGGCTTGGTACCTGGAGGACGACGTATCTGACGACGGATCTGATATGACTGACATGGACTTGGACGACGAGCAAGGGTCTGAGGCTTCTGTGGCACCAGAAGACGGCATGGAGGGACTTGCCGTGGATCGTATGACTGAGGCTGGGCCATCGGAGTATCCGCAATCAGAGAAATTCGAAGAACTGGATGAGAACGACGACGCTGCGCAGCTGGCGCAGTACCGAGCTAAGAAGAAGGACGAAGCTGAAGAGGATCTGGAATTCCCCGACGAGATTGAATTACATCCCAACGTTCTCGCACGTGAGCGACTGGCGCGATACCGAGGACTGAAGAGCCTGCGGAGCAGCCCCTGGGAACAGGACGAGGATCGAGCTCATGAGCCTGAGGAGTGGCGTCGGCTTCTGCAAGTCCAGAACTACCAGGCCTCTCGGAACAGCGCACGCAATGAGGCCCTTGTGGGAGGTGTGCAACCTGGCACTCGGGTCCATGTTCATATCAAAGGCGTCCCTGCTGAGTCTCGAGCAACATATCACCCAGCCAAGCCTGTGACTCTGTTCTCCTTACTGAGACACGAACAAAAGCGGACGGCGGTCAATTTCCTCATCAACTTGAGCTCGGACTATTCCAGACCAATCAAGTCTAAGGAGGAGATCATCATGCAGTGTGGCCCTCGGAGGTTCATCATCAATCCTCTATTCTCGCAGGGTGGCACTACCCCGAACGACGTGCACAAGTATTGCCGCTATTTGCACCCCGGTCAGTCTGCAGTGGCAACCTTCACGGGCCCTGTGACCTGGGGCGCCGTACCAGCTCTGTTCTACAGGAGATCAAAGCCGGGCGAGGAGAAGGCGGAGGGCGAGCCTGACCTACCTCTGACGTTGATTGGCACGGGTACTGCCATTTCTCCTTCCACCAACCGAGTCATCGCCAAACGAGTAATCCTGACGGGTCACCCGTACCACATCCACAAGAGGATCGTGACCATCCGATACATGTTCTTCAACAGGGAAGACGTGGAATGGTTCAAGGCCCTGCCCTTGTGGACCAAGCGAGGACGAAGTGGCCACGTCAAGGAGCCGCTCGGAACCCATGGATACTTCAAGGCAACATTCGACGCGCATATCAACCCGCAGGACACCATTGGCGTCAGTCTTTACAAGAGGGTCTGGCCTCGCAATGCGATACCATTGCAAGGCCCGCTATTAGACCACGCAGAAGAGGCTACAGTGTCAGGCGAGGTCATGGAGGAGTAGGAGGACCTCCTCGGACAATTGCAAACATCATGAAACGGAGTTGAGGAATAGGGCATCAAGCTGCTTCAAAATAGGGTATCAAGTCTTTCTTTTTTAAATTATGATTACGATGAATACCAACAACCAGCGGCCTAGTCAATGGCAAGCGCTTCTGATACAGGGTCCAGAATTTGGGGCATATGATGTCTATTTACTTGAGAGTGTCCAGGCCAGGCGTTGCTGTCGGGCCTCCTCTTGACTTCTGCACCTCCTCAGCACCGCTTGCCCTCCATGCGCTGAGGATCAGGTTGACAATATGGTCCACACCGACGTCCTTCTTGACCTGCGCGAACACCGTCGGACCACCCTCCCGCATCTTCCTGGCATCCCTCTCCATGACGCCCAGGTCGGCGCCGACGGCCTGGGCGAGGTCGGTCTTGTTGACGACCAGCAGATCGCTCTGGGTGATGCCGGGCCCACCCTTGCGGGGGATCTTGTCGCCGCCGGAGACATCAATGACGTAGATGATGTAGTCGGCCAGCTCCCTGCTGTAGTTGGCGGCGAGGTTGTCGCCGCCGCTCTCGATGAGCAGCAGGTCGGTGTTGAACTCGGCGTGCAGGTCCTCGAGGGCGGCGAGGTTGGCGCTGATGTCCTCGCGCACGGCGGCGTGCGGGCAGCCTCCCGTCTCGATGGCGCGGATGCGCTCGGCGGGGAGGGCGCGGTTGCGCGTCAGGAACTCGGCGTCCTCGCGCGTGAAGATGTCGTTGGTGACGGCCGCGATGTTGTGCCGCGACCGCAGCGCCAGGCACAGCGCCAGCATCAGCGCCGTCTTGCCCGAGCCGACGGGGCCGCCGATCCCGACCGTGAAGGCCCGTGAGGCCCACTGCCGGCCCTCGGTTATGGGCATCTCGCGCCCGATGTAGGAGCCCGGCCCGTCGAGGATCTCGTGCGTGTGCCCGTGCTCCTGGGCGTTGAAGCCGCCGTCGTGCGAGTGTGAGTGAGGGGCGGACCCGTCGTGCGAGTGTGTTGCCATTTTGGGCGGGAGAAGCTGGGGTCACAAATCTTGTGTTCAGTCTGTGCTATAGTGATTAACGGGATCAATTGGTCGGAGGAATAGCTGGTGATACAGCAGTACTTGTTCTCGAGGGGTCGAAGTGGTGGAGGGGCGATTGAGATCTGGGCGCGGGGTCACACTAAGTACCTATGAAGGGTCCTCCACAGCAGCTTGGAGCTCTGGTGGGTCCCCTGATTGAGACCCCTTGGTGGATTACGTAACAGCCCGCTCTTATCTACGACTTCAGTCGACTTCAATCGCAATGTATCTTGACCTGCTCACAGCCCCGAAGGAGGCTGCTCAGCCGTCAGTTCTCAAGTTGACTCGAAGTTTTATAAGGAAACCGACACGCGTGAAACATACCATCCATTTTCTACCAACTGGTACCAGGACGACTGTTATCGTCTTTATCGAAAGTCATTGGTCTCTGAGCACCTCCTGAGGGCGCTGGACTCAGTCGAGACCGTCGTAGTGACGGAGCTCGTAATGGTCTTATATAATAATCAAGGCGACCTGAGACAGCAGACATGAGCGAATGTTGGTGTGACGTGCCTATCACGAGCTCAGAAGCTGTTTTGTCTACTCAATCACACCCTCTGAGCAGTGCCCCTTTCCCTCCTCCCCGCCGTTCTTATTTGTTTCCAATGCGTTAAAGCTTTGAGGGCGAGCCTGACAAGTGTCGAGGACGGCCTGTTTGAAATTATAATCCCCTTGGTATCACACTTGCGTCAGCCGTCCTTTGGCATAGTTTCGCTAGCTCGAGACTCTAACATTATCGTTGTTCTGACTAGACAGGAGCGCCGATACAAGTCATGCGGAGTCGAGGTTACCCAAGTGGGAGGAGGAGCAATGTCGCCAGCTTTGATTTGAGGAGAAGGGTCAAGCAGTCGAAATCGTTGCAGGTGTGACGGGGCGGCTCTGCTGGTCTGGTACAGCAAATGTGCTCAAGCTGGTGGTGACAGCGGCTTAAGTGACCACGTACGAGGAACAAGGACTCCTCAAGGACGGGCTGGTGTTGGGACGCATGGCGAAGCAGGTGTGGTCTTCTCTCACTGTGGACGGCTACCTCGCGGGGGGTGGGTGCCTTGCAGTTGGCACCGCTTGCAATGAACCCAGTCTTTGGATGAAGGAGACAATATAAGCCCTGGGAAGCTGCTGCTACCAATGGAGTTCAGGTCAACGTTCAAGCGCCCTTGGCGCAGTGGTCGAGAACCGGTTAATCGTTCATTCACTGCCTGCTATGACGAGACGACGCAACTGAGGGGGCCTGGCTTCGCACCACCCGGGGTGCACCTTTTTTGGCTTTTTTTTTCCCTAATGCGCATTGACTTGCTGGCTATCCCCGGCGATCACGATCTACTCCCTTTTCCGATTGATGGACAAGGGCTCTAAGAGTGCTTGAGTCTCTTGATTGAGGGAAGGATTGGCAGGCAGGCTCTGGTCATACTGACGCGTCACAATCATAGTCCAGCTTTCAGGCGTGACCTCCACTTCTGCCCGGTCGTGCAGGACCAGGCCAAGTCTCCAAAGGAGCTGCTCAGGTGGGATGCTCGAGCGTCTAGAGGAGCGTCTAGAGACGCCGATTGGATAAGACACTGCGAGTCCTTCTGAAATGTTCAATGCTGAGGCTGGAAACCAGAGGCTAAATCTGCTCAGAGGCAACTTATGGAGGGAGCGGCACAGGGCCGGACATAATAGGGAAAACCCGGATTTAACTCCGTCAGCAGCGCTTTGGGTCTAACCCCCATTCGTATTCTTCTCTCAACTGAGAGCTTTGGGTGGGGCGTTTTGACTCCATCGCCAGTCACCTGCATCGAGATGCTCTCTGAGTCTTGGCTTCGAATTTGAAAGGGATGGTACACGGATTGCAATATAAAAATCGACCTCCTCGTGTGCAGAATGAGACAACCCACCATTGCAATCACTTCATCAATACCTCGAGCATTACTGCCAGACTGATATCATCCGCTGCTTCAAAATTTCTCCAATCATTATGCCTCCTATCAAAGGACAGTCAGTCGTCATTGTAGGTGGCTCCTCTGGCATAGGTGCTGCTGCAGCTAAGCTCGCCTGTGTTGAAGGCCTCAAGGTAGCCATTGCTTCGTCCAACCAGAGCCGCGTCGACCAAGCCATCAAGAAGATACAGGACGTAGTGCCTGATGCCCAGATCTCAGGCTTCACTGTCGATATCAGCGGGGACGACATGGAGTCGCGTCTGGAGAAGCTATTCACCGATGTCACAGAGGCCAATGGAGGGCAGATCGACCATGTCATTCTGACCGCTGGAGTTGCCAACATCAAACCTATTTCGGAGTTTACCACTGAGTATTTCAAAGAAGTTGCTCCGCTGTAAGATTCCGATCAACCCATGGACAGCAATGCTGCCCTTCTGTCGTTGTCGATGCTGACGCAGGTCACTACAAGCCGCCTCGTCGCCCCGATACTCATCGCAAAGCTAGCCCCACGTTTCCTCGAGCCACACTGGACGTCCTCCATCATCTTCACTGGCGGCCAGGTCGGTGAGAAACCTGTAAAGGGGTACGCCGTGGGTGCCGGGTGGGCTGCTTCACTCTACGGGACCGTCCGCGCCCTCGCCCTCGAGCTGGCGCCGATCCGGGTTAACGCAGTCAGTCCTGGCGCAACGGCCACAGAGCTCTGGGGGCCGCCGGGGGAGGCGCGCGAGAGGCTGGAGACTGCCGTCTCCGCGAGGGCGCTGCTGGGCAAACCTGGGCTGCCCGAGGAGGTTGGCGAGGCTTATATCTATCTGATGAGGGACACTAATAACACTGGGAGCGTGATCAGCTCTAGTGGAGGCTCTTTGGTTCAGTGATAGAAACATCCGTTTTAAGGGTGGTTCTTTGGCATTGCTCATCTGACTCCCAGCATCTAGTCACAATATGCAGCCTGTTGATTCTAGGTGAATTTCAGCTCTGGATCCAGCCCGTCTTACATATGTAGCGACCTACCTCAAGCAGCTAAACATGACTTGCTTCTCCTTTTTGGAGGATAGTGTGCTCGCTTACCTGCTGTGTAACATAATCCAAGCGCAGGCAATTGGCAGGGCAGATTACAGGCATTATGCCAGCTGCAGTGCCTCTTACAGATGGCGTCCAGTATGAATTCTCTCACTCATCCGAGTTGCCCCGCCTTGGAGGCCCCAATGTGATCTTTTCTCGGTCTGTGTTTTCTGCGCGACTATTAATGTAACAGAACAGACCTTCTGACCCCGAGCCTCCTTAGTCTCCCGTCAACGGCATTTCAAGGAAAAGAATTTACAGGAGTCTAGGACGAGAAGTCAAGATGAGTGAAGCGGTTGCAGGGCTGGCCTTAGCGGCTAGTATTCTGCAAGTGCTGGACTACGGTCGACAATTCGTCACTACGGCATGGAAACTCTACGATTCTGGAGTGGACAAGGTCGAAAGCTTAACAATTCTCCAACGTCTCTCAAAAGATCTGGATTCCATACTGCAGTCTGCCAAACGGGACTCTTCGGCTGTTAGTGCCGAGGTCGATTAAGAAACATCTGTCCTCGCCACCGAAAGCCGTGCAGCCTCGGTCAAAATTCAGGAGTTGCTGAGTCGGGCCAGTGTTACCCAGGATGCCAGACGCACCAAAAGAAAAGCCCTCCGAGCGGCTTTCATCACCTTATGGAACCGCGACGAGATCAGATCCTTGAGGATCGAGCTAGAGGGAATCAATAAGCAGTTGACTCTAGCTCTCCTTGCGTCCCTCAGGTAATGACATATCTCAGGACCAATGTTTCAAGTCTTTCGCTTATAAAGGCAGAAAGTATACCATGTCGTCACTTTCTGAGCAGCGAGTACTTCTGAAACAGATTGTCGAGAAGACTCACGACAGTAAAGAGAGTCTTGAGGACCAGAAAGTCGACGACTTGAACATAGGATCCGAGGTTGTCTCCTCTGTTTCTCGCATGGCTGGACGGCCAGATCCATGGACGCTCACGAACTCTATCGGAGAAGAAATCCGCAGCGTTGGGCACGACAATGACCAAGTCACCCCCTACTTTGACCCTTGCAGTATGCAAATTAGTGGTCATGAAAAAAGACGATTGCAAGACGAATACCTCAAAGGGCTACACTACGACGGAATGTACTATCGCGAGGCCTCGATTGCTCCTGCCCATGCAAAGACTTTCCAGTGGATATTCGAGAAAGGCACAGAGCTTCAAACACACTGGGAAGACTTTGGTAAGTGGCTAGAATCAGAGAGTCAGATTTACTGGATCACGGGAAAAGCAGGCTCCGGGAAATCGACCTTGATGAAATTCATTTCCGCGCCTCAATCGGGCCGGATGGCTCTGACTGAGGGTGTGAAAACCACAAATCCTCCAAAGACATCTGAACTCCGATGCTCAGAGTACTTGAAGAAATGGTCTGGAGACAAACAGTTACTGATCGGGTCGTTCTATTTCTGGGCAGCTGGTTCTCAGATACAGACTTCAACCGAGGGTCTATTCCGGACACTTCTCCACAAAGTCCTTGTGCGGAACAAACATATCGTCCCCAATGTTTCGCCAAGAAAATGGGAGAAGCTATTTTTCTTTGGTCGACATAGTCTGGAGTTTAACGTTTCCGAGCTGCAGATCCTTCTGTCTCGTGCCATTAGTTATCTCAGCCCCACGACAAGTATCTGTTTCTTCATAGACGGTCTGGACGAATTCAAAGGGCACCACCAAGACCTTATCGCCTACTTCAAAGATCTGATTGCTGCGCATCCGGTCAAGATATGCTTCGCCAGTCGTCCGTGGGTTGTCTTCGAGGGCGCCTTTCGGGAACAGCCAAGTCTTATGTTGGAACACCTCACACACGATGACCGAATGACTTACGTCAAGTCCCACTTCGAGGGGGGACAACAACTTCGAGCGGGTTCAGACCCTCGACCCGGGATTTTCTCGCAGCCTCTTCCACAAGATTGTCAACAATTCAGAAGGGGTGTTCCTTTGGGTTCGCCTAGTTGTAGAGTCTCTGCTCGATGGTATGCGCGAAGGTGATCGCGTTTCAGATTTACAGAAGCGATTGGACGCCATTCCTAAAGACCTCGAGGACCTTTTCCAGTGGATGCTCGACGACCTGAGCCCTGATTATAAGGACCATGCCGCGCAGTATTTTCAGTTGGTCGCTAGCGGCCCGACACCCTTGCCGACAATACTTCTCTCCTTTGCCGATGAAGAGGACGACTACGCTGTGAGACTCCCAGTGAAGGAGATGGAATCCAATGTGTACGAGGCACGTATAGAGACAATGAGGATACGACTCAACAGCCGATGCAAGGGGCTTTTAGAGACGACCGCACCTTGCCAGCCAAAAAGAAAGCAGGGTTCGAGGGTGGGGAACGATCCACCCACGAACAGTCCGTTACCTACACCGCACGGTGAAAGACTTCCTTGAAACCCCGGAACGGAGGGAAAATATGATGAAGGAGGTTGACCCTTCGTTCGGCCCTCACGTAAGGCTTTGTTCAGGTTACTTAGCCGTGTACAAATCATGTCACTACCGAGAACCCGTGGAAACGCTGGACGACGAATCACGGAAAATGGCACTGGGATGCATGATGCAAATGTCGGATGTCCCGACAGCTACGGCATTGATAATGTTTCCCATTCTGGAGCAGCTGAAACGACTTATGCCAGCGTTGGCAGGATTCTCCGGCGGCGATGTGAGGGAGCTCTGGGCTCTCCGGATGATAATGAGTGCGGATGAAGAGGCAAACTCGTCATTTAAGCTTGCTCCCACCACCCGAGCCCTGCTAGTCGACAGCACGATGTCGGCCGGGGACACAGTATTTCTGTCTGGTGCGACCTATTGCGGAGCCACTCCGTTCGTTCTATCAAAGATCAGGAAGGGGTCGAATGGGGCTTCAAATGTCTTAAGAGATACTCGAGCTAAGCCCACGACTTCTTCTTCCAAGTTGTCTCGAATGCGACTTACCCCTGCGGACACTTTGAGGGGCTATGGCGAGAGGAAACGGAAATTCTCATGGCCACTATACCATGCCGTAGTCGGTGGCATCTCCGAATCACACCTGGTATCGGAACCACTTATACAGCTGCTGCTGAACAAAGGAGCCAACCCAAACTTTGAGGTCCCGACGACCCTGTGGACAAAGCAGGACCATACAAATGATTACAGCCCTTGGATGATTGCAGTTGCTATCGCCGTCAGGGTATCCTCTGATGACCAAAAGGACCTATACGCGGCTGAAACTTGGGGCCGTGTCATCAAATTGATGCTGTCGTTTGGTGCATCTGTCAACAGAGCCACCGTTTCGCAGTCCGTGCACATGCTGGGTGCCGAGAACGACGTCAGAGAAATACTTGCTGTGATTGGGGAAGATATGGTAGACAGGGTTTTGCAAGCCCTTCGGGCAGCGCAGAGGAAAAGGACTGCCTTCAGAATTTCGGGTTATAGTCTGGCAGGTATCAATAAAGGACTTATATAGTCAAAGCTCCATTAGCATAGAAGAATCTCTCGGGTCATTTCAGAGACGCATGAGCCGCTCACAGGTGCTGTACAACTCTATATTGCAGGCATCGATTGCCTGATGCAGAACATGATTAGATCCTTAGATGCAAAAGCCTCATTCAATTGCGAGATTGATTCTGTCGTGAGCCGAGAAAAGGGTGGATATATCTCGTGTTTATCCATTGAATAGAATCTTGCTACTGTAAAACTGTGCAAGTCATGCCAATGATCTAGATTTTATAGAATTGATACGAAGTGAATAATACTCATCGATTACTGGATATAAAAGTGCAACATCACTACAGAAAGGCTGTTCAGAGGACTCTTTACTTGATGAATTTCCTTGCATTATCAGTTCCTCACACTCGACTGAACCCGTTGCATTGCCCATTTCCCGTCGCTCAAGTTATCTCACAATGCCTAGATAAGATGTACATCTTCTGCCTCCAATCCCAGCTCCTGAATTTCACCGTTCATCATCCCATGGATATAGGCCGCAGCCACCAGCTTGTAAGTCCCATCCTCCTCGTTCACTTTACGCAGGACTTGTGGTGTTACTGCACCATTGAAAATACATACCACATCACCTTCCTGAATACCCACGTTCCCGAATCCAAACCGTCCATCGGCCGTGCTGAACAATTGCCTACCGACCTGGACTTCACCCATGTTTTTCGAGAAGGCCAGCGGCGGCGAATGTTTTCGTAGGACCAGGGTCTCCTTGTATTCTTCGGTCGAAGTGTAGCCTCCCTCACTGAATGCTGCATCATAACTGCCATACCTGCCAGGAATGAGATTAGTCTTCTCAGAACACAACAGGCAGAGACAAAGGTCATCTTCATTCTCACCTTTCTTTCAGTTCTTCGAGTTTTGTCTTCGATCTCGTCATCCGGACATGGAAGTCTCTGAGGGCGTATAGTATCTCACACGTGAATTCTGAGTCGCCTGCCGAAAGGGCAGTCTGGTTCCCGACCAAAGTCCGCCAGTAGGTATCCAAGCTCACAATGCCCCCGTCCTCAGCCCTGTCTCCCCGAGGGCCCAACACCCTGCTCGCGATCTCCTGTTCCCACTGTCCTATATTTGCATGCATTTTCAAATGACCCACTTCATCGAGGCCGAAATGCAAATCTAGCTCAGGGAAAGCCGGGTATACCTCTTTCAGACAACCGAACACTGCGCCCTTCACCACAAACTTGTTCTGACTGCCCCCTCGTCTCATATTCATCACCCCAGCGTCGGCTGTGTAAAGGTAATCATGCGAGGCAAAACCCAAGGCGTTTTTTGCATTTGACGCAGAAAATCCTCTTTTAGCCAGTAGCGAAAGTCCGTACGGCGTGCTCGGTCCACGCTGCACCTGAAGGTCTGGACACCAGCTAGGAAGCCCAGCCTGTTGGCAAGTACGACCCTCGTCACTTGGAAGGCTACTTTAGTTATCCCTTCCGAGGCATGTAGCCTCTTAGAACTTAAACAGAATAACACCAATATATAATTACTTCCCATATAATTATTATACATATAAGAAACCTATTAATACTAATTAATGGTTATAGGTATTATAGATTAATAAGATAGAAAAGGCAACCCTATAAGGATTTCCTTAACTTAAAAATCATATCCTCCTTGTTAGTAAGCGTTATATAGCAATAATTGCTTCTTTAGGCCTCCTTATATTATTAAACTCCTTAAGTAAATATTACAAAGATTAAATAAATTAAGTAGCATTCCTTATAATATCCATATATATATTTATCGCCATTTAGGAGATATATGTTTATTATGCATAAGACTTTATTAAAAACAAACCCATTTTTAAATCCTTTTTAAGACTTAATAAAACTTAATAAAGCTTTATTTTATTAAATGGATAAAGCTTATAATTATTATAACTGCTAAATAAATAAAGCTCGTAATTATTATAATTACTAAAGTTAATGCAATGCTATATTATAAGCAAGCGTAAGTTATGCATTATGCTTTTGGCTAATATAAAAGGACTTAATAATGAGAAAAAGCCCTAGCTTTTAAGGCTTAAAGGAATTAATAACTTTTTCCTTTTAATAATCATAACTTGCTTATTATTAAATTACCATTATTAACTTGCTCTTAAATATTATTTATTTTATTAATAGCTTACTCCTTATAATATTTATCATAAAAACCTATAAGCATAGCTAATAATGCTAAGGAGCTATTAGCTTTTATTAAAGGGTATATAATTAATAAAATGCTTGCTTAAACTTTAATTAACTTAGCCTATTATGAATATATTAACTTAAAATTATAGTTTATAGCCTTTGCATAAGGAGCATTAATAAAATACTTAGTTACCTACTTAGCAAGTACTTTAGTAAGTTATATATAATAAAATCTTTATAATAATAACCTTTTCATTACTTACCGCAAGGATTATATAATGTAAATATAAGTAATATTTAAAGCATTGCTAAATTCTTGCTAATAATGCTTAAAAGTCTTTCTTTAGATATAAGGTATTTACATAGAATGCAATAATTAACCTATGGTATTATAATTAGTTATTATAGCTTAAGCTAAGGAAAGATTAAAATGGATTGATAATAAGCTTTGCAATATTCTATTAGCCTTGGAATTAAGCATAAATAAATATTGCATATAACTTTAAAGATAGTAATTATAAGCATAGCCCTTATAAGCATTATAAGTAGGCTTTAAATAATAATAATCACCAAAAGGATAGTTTCCAAGGTAATATTTATTACTATCATTAGCTTTAAGCATATAATTATAAAACTTAAACTTAGTAATACAATTTATTAAAAATTAATATAGCTAGCAAGGCTTATTATTATTAATGAAAAGATAAAGATAAAGCTTATATTAAAAATATATATTATACTTAATATAACCTTAGGCTGCCTTAGGAATATTTTCGCTAAATAAAAAGTATAACCTATATAAAATTCTTTCCTTATAATATATTTTTAATAAATACTTAAATTTAGTAAAGTTAATATAGTTTATAAAAACCTTTAATAATTTTCATAAGTATATTAAGGACTTATATAACTTATTAAATAATAAGATAAAGATATTTTTTAATATTTATTATTATATTAAAATTCAGTTAAGTTAATTTTATGCGGTTTTTCCTTAAATGCTTAAAGACTAAGCCAAGGCCTATTATCTTTATTTTATAAATTAAACTAATATATTTATAATAACATATCTTAAAATTAAGATGCATTTTAATATAAACCTTAATTATTAATATTATTATATAAATTAAATAATAATAATATTTATAAAAATAAAAATATAAAATTTAAATAAAAACTTATATAAGGTTTTATATTTAATACTTAATAAGCTATAACTTTGCTAATAAGCATTAAGTTAAGATTATGCTAAAAAGGATAACTTAAGAATAATGGTAATTAAAGCTTATAAAGAAGTTCTTAAGCTAAAAATAGCTCTTTTTAAGCTAACTTAATTATGCAAAAAGTTATTTTTAAACTTAAGATTTATAATAAAAACATAGCTTAGCTATATAATTATAATTTATATTATAAATAAAGTTTTAAATTAATATTATATTAATTATAAATATAATAGCTAAAAGCTAAGGAAAAGATAATAATTATAATCTTAAGCGTTTTAAGGAAATTAAAGGTTTAGCTAATTAAACTTAAGCTATTTAAACTTTAAGTAGTTAAAATCCTATAATATTAATTATAAAGCTTAAAGTAATAATACTTACAAAGGAGAAGGAGAATAACCTTAAAAGAAAAGATATTATGTTTATAAAAAGGAGAAATGCTAATTAACTAAATATTTAATTAATAAGCAATATTTAGCAAAAAAAAGCTATTTAATATAATATAAATATAAAGGTTATAATAATAACTTTAATACTTTTTTAAATAAATTTAAGGAATATAAAATAAATAATAAAGATAAATTTTATAAATATAAAGATAAATAAAATTAAGATAATAATTATAATGGTAATACCTATATTATAAAGATAGAACCTAATAAGAAGGTTTATTATATAAATATTAATTTCTTAACTAATAAAGCATTTATATATTAAATTATAAAAGATAATGTTTTTTAAATAAAAATAATTATTACAGCTAGTTAATTTATTTTAAAGAATAAATATAATTAAACTTATTTTTAAGGAATTTTGCTAAATATAAAAGCATTATTAATATTCATAGCTAAATATAAGCAATTTCTTATACTATAATAAAAAGACTTAAAGTATTAAATTAATATAATTACTGTAAGAAAAGCTAAAGTTAAATTTAATAATAAAATAGTTATTAATTTGCTTGGCATAATGGAAATTTCTACCTTAGTTAATTATATTAACTTTCATATTGTTTAAATATAAACCCCATTCTTGCTTTACCTAGCAAATATAAATAAACTCTAAATATATTATAATAATATTATAAATAAAATAATTTCCTTTAATAATATAACTATTATATTAATATTTAAAAAATAGGGTTACTTATGGTTTTTCTTAAATTAAATTATTAATGCTATATATTTCTTTTTAAAAATAAAAATAAGGAAACTTTACTATTGCTTTAAATATCTATTAATAAATTAATTATATTAAATGCTTAAAAAAGCCGGTAATTTAAATATTAATAAATAAGTAATGATAAAGATTAAGAAGATATATTATTATTATTAAATAAGCGGACTTGCGTTTAGGCGTTTTAAGTTTATATTATATAATAATTATGAATTTAATTATAAAATCTTAGTTAATGTAATATATTTAAGCGGATATTTAGTTCTTTATATTATAAATTAGGCTATTGCTTTTTAAGGAGTAAAATTCTTAAAATTTATATTTATAAAAACTGCATAGTAAATACTATAAATGCTTTAAATTAATATATATTAAGAATTACTAAATATTATTAAATATAATGCAGAAATGAACTTTATATTTTTGGAATTCTGTTTAAAGGTATGGATAATGGGAATTAAATGTAAATAAGTCCTTATAAAGGTATATTAGTTTATTAGGAAAGTTAAGAGATATTATTAAGCCCTTAAATAAGCATATAAAATTTTATATATTAAATTATATAATAGCATAAATAATAATGTTATCTTATAAATAGCTATAAAAGCTATTAATAATATTGCTAGATTAGATAAATTAATTCTTATGCTCCTAATCTTTAGCGCCTACCCATGAGTGTTGCATAAGTTACTATTATTATTATTAATATAAAAGTAAGTAAAAGCTATTTTAAAGGCTATAAAGATGCTATAAAAAACTATGGCTAAATGGTAAGTATAAGATATATTAAATACTAAGGTTAAACCTATCTTTAATATAGAATATTTGCTATAATATAAGGTTTGTATGTAAAGAAAAAGAAAGGGATAAAAGGGTTTATATAAGGTTATTGCTATGGATGGCTATAATATAACCTTGGATATATTAAATAAAGCCGTGATATTTAAGTTAACGGTTATTTAATTATATTATTAAGATAATAATAAGAAAATGCAATCCTTATAAGCAGAAAACCTAGCTATAAAACCTTAAATGTAACCTATTATATAATTACCATTATTAAAGATAAAAGACTGCATTATTATATTATATATTTTAAAGAAAGAAAATGAAAATTATAATTTAGTAATTAAATTAAGATAAGATAGAGTTATTATAATATTAAGCTTACTATTTAAAGAGTTTAATAAAATGAAAATTAATAACCTTATTGCTAAAGGTATCTTTTAAATTAAGAAATAATTAATAAAGCAATATAGTAAATATTATTTTTTTAAATCCTATATAATATAAGAGGTAAAAGGTAAAATTATAAAACTTTATAAAAAATCTTAATTTATTATTTAAGGTTATAATAATAATAAAAAGAAATTAATTTTAATATAAAGCCTAATTATTTAAAAAATAAGCTAATAAATAATCCTTACACTTACTCTTTTATTAATTTAAGAAAAAAGCATAATTTTTATACTTTAAAATATTACTTAAGCTTACCCTTAAGTAAAGTTTAAATTATATAAAATAATCCTTGCAAAGCTATTAAAAAAACTAAAGAATAAATACCCTTTAGGCATAATTATCTATATTATTTAATCTTTATATAGCATAGCAAAATCCAGCATTTACTAATTTAATATATACTAGAAATATTATTAATAAAAGCTTAAGATGAACTGCTTTATATATAATCCTTACTTAATAATTATAAAGCTTGCATAATCCTTTAAAATAATAAGCATATAAATAAATAATATATTAATTTTATTTATGCTAAAATTTTAAGATAAGGAGAAGATTAAGATAAAAGCTATAAAACTATAAGGAAAATTAAAATAAAAGCTAATGCTTAAAAACTTAATAAATTATAATAAGGCTTATATAATTATAAATATTATTAGCTTAATTACTATTTAATAAAAAGAATAAGCTAATAAACTTGCCCTTATTAATGCAATAATTAAAAACGCTCCCTAAAGATACCTTAAATAAAGAGCTTACAAAGTATACATAGCTTTAATTTATTAATTAAAAGCTTTATATAATCTTTTAATAGTTATATAAATATAAAACCTAAAGGCAGGAAATTATAAGAGCCTAAATATGCAATTATTATAATAAATAAATAATGCTATATAAGGAATTAAGTATATACCTTTGGATTTTAAAATAATAAAACTTTTTATATTTATAAATAAATTATTTATAAATAATTAAAACTTAATATCTTAACTTAAATATATTATTATCCTTATAAATAAAACTTATAAAGAAATCAAGGGATTTATAATAATAAGCAATATTTTTTATTAATTATTAATAAAGTATAAATATATTACTTAAAGCATATTAATAAGTAAAATTTATAATATAATAAATAAAGTAAATATTAAAATCTCTTTAGTTATAATAATTAAAATAGCTATAAGATAACTCTTATTGCTAAATATACCCTTAATTATTTATATAAACTTATATAGCCTATATAAATACCTTATAAAGTTAAGAATAATAAAGGAAAAGCACCTTATAATTAATATTATATTATTATGAAAATTATATAAAATAAGAAAGATTATTAAAATAAGGTAAATAAATAGGAAAGATAACTCTGCTAATGCAATAATAAAACTAACTTTAAATACCGTATTATAAAAGCTTATTAATAATAATAAGCTTTGCATATAGGTAAATGGGTTGGTTAAAAGACTTAAAGTAGCCCCTTTCTGCTAAAAAAAGAGTAATTTACTGCTAGCACCCTTTTCCTTTTAATTTCGCCACCGCTAGTTACAAAACCTTATATCTTTTAAACTTAAACCCTTAATATAAACTTTAACCTTCTATACTTTAACTAAAACCTTTTTAATATCTTATTATATATAAAAATAACTTTATAATTATTAATATTATTAATAATTATTATTTTAAAGTTAACCTTATTATTATTATTACCTTTTGCTGCTATTTATTAGCGAAACGTTAAAACTAACTTTTATTAAATTTATTTACAACTTATTAACTTTTCTTATAATTAAAAAAAAAAATAAACCAATAATTATTATATAATAATCATAAAGTTTTATACTATAAATATTTATTTTAATTGCTAAATTCCTATAAAATCTTTTTTCTTTTTATTATAATGGAGAATATTAATGATAACTTATAAAAATTATTTAATATTTTTATTAATATACCTTATAAGGATAATAATGGCAAGCAAAATTATTTAGCGAATATTGCATTTACTTCCCGCGCTAAGGATATACTTAATATAATTATTGCTATAGCTGCCATTAACATAGCTAGCATTAAAGGTAGCCTTATTGCAACTCTTAATTAAAATTAAGATTTTCTTGCAAATATTATAATTATAACTCCAATTAATAAAATAAGCTTTGCAATTATAACCTTAATTAATAAAATAAATATTGCAATTATAACCTTAATTAATAAAATGAATATTACAATTATATTCTTATTAAGCGATAAAATAAAAATTGGAATTATTATTAAGGCTGCAAAAAGGGCTAAAATTGCCTTAATTAATAAGAATAAAAATAAGTTTATTAATCTTATTAGTTTTTATAATAAGGTTATTGCTAATAATGCTTATTTAATGAATATTAATAAGGATATTAATAATAATAATTCTTATTTGCTTGCTTATTTAATAAATATTAATAAGGATATTAATAATAATAACTCTTATTTGCTTAATACTAATGGTAATTTAATTATTACTAATGATAAAGATAATTAAAACTAAGCTAATAAGATCTTAATAAAGATTGTAAAAACCGCCTTTAACTTTACTTTTATGCTAGATATTAAAAAGAGCAAGCTGCTTATTAAGGTTAACTTTTATAAAATTATTAAAATTAATAAGCTAAAGGTTATGGCTATAGCTTAAGCTAAGATACTTTTCTTAAATAATGCTATTATAATAACTATTATTTAAATTATTAATAACTTTTAATATTAAGATAAGTAAATATCTTTTAATAATATAATTAAAAAGCTATGCATTTATATTAAAAGTATTAAAACTCTTAATATAAAATTATATAACATTTTTAATAATAAAAACTACTAAGGCAACCATTATCTTAAATATTAAATTATTGCAATCTTTGCAATAAATAACTTAATAAGAGTTTTAATTTTAAGTATCTTTTATATATATTAAATTAGAAAAATTTAGTTATTAAAGGATTAAATTACTATACTAACCTAGCTTTAAAACTTTTTATATTAAATTATTAATAAGCATATATAAGGCCTATATATAAAAGGACTTATTAAGAAATATGCGCTATTACCTAAGCAACCTAAGCAAAAAATAATTATTAAGAAAATTAAAAAGAATAATAAAAAGTAAGAAAAGGATTTAATGGATAATTAGGTTGCTTGTAATGCTTAATTTTAAAAGGATAAAAAGTAGCTAAAGGAAAATAATTTAAAATAATACTAAATGCATTTTAATAATAAAAGTAAGGATAGAAATAATAATATTTATATTATAAAGATATATAATAAAAATAAATATAAGCTAAAGGGTTTAGCATTAACTTTGCAAGCATTAACTTTCCTTATAAAAAAGAAATTTAAGACTAAAGCCTTTATATAAAAGTTAATAATCTTTATAAAAAAGCAACCTTAAAAGCTAAGTATTAAAAATAATAAGTATAATATTTAAGAAATAATATAATAATAAAGGTTATAAGTTTAAAGGGTAATATAATAATAAGGGTTATTAAGACTTGCTTTAAAACTTATAAGTTATAATTTTAAGCCTTTTTAATAATGCTTTCTTATAATAAAGGTTATATATACTTAATATATAATAAATTATGATTTTAAAGCTAATTATAATAAGGATTATATATACTTATTAAAAGAAGAGAAAAACTATAAGTATTGGTAAGTACGACCCTTGTTACTTAAAAGGCTACTTTAGTTATCCCCTCCGGGGCACGTAGCCTCTTAGAACTTAGACAGAACAATATTAATACACGATTGCTTCCTATATGATTATCATACGTACAAGAGACCTACCAACACAGCCGGTCTTCTTTGGTAAGCACGCGAGGCTGAACAACTCCCACAGAAACCTGCGACCAGGGTCTTGTATGACATGCCCGCCGCGCTCAAACACGTATCCCATGAATATCGTGTATAGCTTCGCGAGTTCCGCTGGATCCCATTTGTCCTCCAACCCGAGCGCTCTGGTTTCAGTCCTGTCCTCAGCAAAACCGAGGACTCCGAAGACGCGATCTTGGGCTTCAGTACACTGCTGTGGCATTGTGGTCTTGTAGACGGCATTCAGAAGTGGATCCAAAGTTTCGGGGGTCAAGCTCTGTGGGGCGGGGGAAGGAATAGGTGTGACAACTGATGAGGTCGGCGATAGTATATTGCTGATCTCCGCGAACCATGTCGATGCTGAGACTGTTCGCCACGTTTTGTAGCGATCAATTAAGACAGCCCAACGCCGCCTCCATCTGTTGCGCAGAGCTACTGTGGTAGCAGACGCTTCCCGCAATGACGATGTTTGCTGAGGTTCTGTACCAGGGATATCGTTAAGAACACCGCGGAGAACGATGAATCTGGCGGTGTTCGACAACCTCGCAATGTCAACATTACGCTCGGCGCCTTCCTTTTGCAAGGCTTTGACACCCGGCCCCAAGTTGTGAATATTGCCCGAGAAAACACCCTTCATGAACCCTACGGAAATTCTCGAGCGTGTCGAAATCAAGCATGCTGTCGCCGACAAGAGCCACCACGGACTGTGCCAGAGCGAGCTCTTGCACAATCCACAGTCTGGTGTACCAATCATGGAACATAATGTCGCTGAGGACTTTCCAGACCGGTGAGGACGCGGCCGGCATGGTCATGTTTGAGAAATCCGGCTCGGGCTGGCGGGAGTCCATCATGTACTCAAATGTGGCCTCACCGACCTGGGTGAGCAAAGGAAGCAAGGCGATGGCCGCATCATTATGATCTGCCCCGTGGCCAGGTCCGAGCCACACAACGACCTGTCTTGCGAAGCGGTAGACATTGCCCATGCGGCTGATGTGTTCCGACTTCTCATCCTCGTCCGACTGGTTGATGCAGACCGCATCGATCCAGATCCGACGTGGCGAGGAGCCTGCCTGCTGGAGTCGCCTGGCCAGGCAGCGAAGGGCGTCATGCAGATTCCTACGAACCACGAGGGTCCGGCCATTGCAGATGATGGGAAAACCTTCGTCTGGCTTGCCCCAGGTGTATGAGAGGGCGTCATAGTCGCAAGGTGCTCCAGCCTTGCCCTTGCCCTTGTTGCTTAGGAGTCGTGCTGACTTCAGCTTCCATGTCAGCCCCCTAGGATCGCCAGGCTGGGGAATCAAAGCCGGATCTCACCGCTCTTGAGCGGAGAGTATTTGAAAGGTCGCCGTTCCGTCGACATTGTAAGGATGTGTAACGTGAGAACAAGAACCTTGTCAAAGATAGACCACGAAAGAGGAGAGCTCTGGAACGCCGTTTTTCCTATGCACCGCAACACATCTACATATAATGGCATCGATTTGCGGCTCAGCTTGAATGGCTAAAGTGCGAGCGGCGGAGACGAATTGACAGGCCTCTCGCCGAATGTTGACGGGCGCCCAGGGCGCCTATGCAGGTCCAGTGCTGCGCCGCCGTGTATCATTGGTTGCTAGATGTATACTGGTTGCATATTCCGCTTGAAGCCGCTTCGAACCAAGTTTCGAGTCTACCGTAGTCGGTGTCGTATGGCCACACAACACTTGCTTCGTAGCGCAATGCAGCAGCTCGGGAAATATAGCGCTGAGAGGGTGGGCTAATTGTTTGAGCCCATTGCTGCAGCTGCCACTGTGTTGTATTTAGCCGACATCCTGTACCAAGCATTTGCGGAGCTCTTGAGAGGTGGACCCAGGTGCTAATAGTTGGACAAAAGTCGCAGATAAAGCACACCCAAAGAGCAAATCACTATGAAATGCAATGAATGTTTTGATACACAGTATCGTGTGTTCTCTCTGGATTTCCCTGTGAAGAACAGAACAAGATTTAAAAACTTCACTTCACTGATCATGTAAAATATATGTCATGAAGGCTCCATAAACTGTTGAGAACTTTTCAGTTCAGGACGGTGCTTCTAGACACATGACTGGAAATGCTCGGAATATTTGTGCAGCAATGTGTATCTGACGGCATTTGATTAATTATTCTCTCACAGAATAATTAGTGATTGATCATAAAAATATAGTCTCCAGGCTCAACAATTATTATTTTAATAATATCTTATGCAGAGCTAGATTAGCTAGCTTTACCTGGTAATATGATAGACATGAGGGTTTCTTGAGTCTCTTTACACACTGTGGTCAATACATAGTTGGGCAAAAAGTACCCTTAGCCGAGGAACTCACCCAGATACTCAATGTCTTTTCATCTTTATTCTCCTTCCTAAGCAAGATTCCACCGCGCGGACTTCTATGCGGACTTCCATGCGGCCTTCGAAAATATTGAGCACATGAAACCACCAACGTTATACTGCAACTCTCCCACAAATATCTAGCGACACGTAATTAGGCGCCGTCCTTTGACGACGGTCCTCATTGACACGTGCCCCAAAAACACGATGATTCCCACCCTGGAAGACCGCGTCTGAAAATGTTGGTCGCTAAGATCCGTAGCAGGAGAGCACTACGAAAATGGCAGGATAGGTATCTCAGCCAGTATCATGGTGGCCCCAGCTCCAAGGCTGAGACAGCAAAACTGTTGTTATGTACCACCAGCAATCCACGATCCCTGCCCATAGGTGACCGCTAGAAGACGGTTATCCATCGCCTGAGATCGTGGAACAATGGTTTTTTGTCGGAGATGCTGGGTCGACTGGAATATTTCTCTTCGTCCGGGTGGTGTTGGACCGCCTGGTCTGGGACCAACGGGCAAGAGGAACTGTGGCCCTGCAGCGGCTTCCGCTCCCGGGCCGATTCGATGAACAGCTGCAAATTCGCCGCATGTATCATGGGATCGAAGATCTCCTTCAGCACGACTGTGCGAGTTGTCTGGTGTGACGCAATCTCGAGATTGAGTTCGGGCTGGTAAAAGCACGAGACTGTCTCTTGATCCGTTCCCTCGGCGGGAAAACGGCTCCGCAGTCATTGCCGGTACCACGAAAAGGCCACCCCGTGACGGCGTTCGCGTGGAACTCCCCTGATTTGAGTCAAATAGTAGAGCTTGTCCTGCCTAGACGTCTGACGGGCGACACTGCAGTGCTCATCGGAGCTGACAAAGGCATCGCCGTAGGGGAGGAACCGTCGGCACCAATGCCACGAAAGGGGCTGGTAACGATTCAGGCCTGCATGCAGTGAGGGCATTTCGAACAGCTCGCGGGCCGTAGATCAGAGTTTTGATCTGACAGGAAATTACCCAGCACCGACAAACAACGCCCTTGATATCAACAAATGACCCGGCAAAACATGGCTCAACTGTCTCAACCCATCACGCTGACAGCTAAGAAGCGCCTTAGACAATAGCCGTCAGCAGCATGATCAGAATCGTCGGGAATTACCCACCAGGCCTCCTTAGGACCGAAAGACGTTAACAGTGAGCAGAATTCCATGTACCACCGAGAGATGCTTGTTTGAGGATAGCGAACGTAGATCTCGTATTGCCTCCTCTCAGCGGAGGGAACCCCAGGATCAAATCCTCGGCGGTGATCAATCCTGAGCTGCATGGTCTTCACAATGACTACGTTGCGTGGACCGGGGACACCAAAGACCTCAATCACTTCAAGGATTGAGCAGCATCGATTGGCATGTTGCATATCCGCTGCGGGGTGTCGTCTTGGGTATGCATGAAGCGGCCATGTTGGCAGGCAGCGACGCGTAGCCTTCCGCTGTCCCGAGATGGATCTTCGAGTTGGTTAATGAGCTCACGCGGTAATTGGCTGGATGCTTAAAAACTGGGCCATGGACAGTTTCCGTGACGTCTTTTCGGGAAGCCCAGGCTCTGGTGCCATCCCTTTGATTCGACAGACAGACGGCCCAGTTAAAAAGAACATAGGGGTGGTGTTGTGAGGCTGAAAAGAAGGTTACGGCATTGGCTGTCAAGGTGGTGAAGAAGCAAGTGTCATGTCATGGCTGCAGGAGCACTCCGCCAGCGGGAGCCAGCAGCGTAGGGCGCGGCAAGTCGGGTCTGCAGGGTCCCACAGATTTGAGCGCTGGGCATGTCGAAAGTGGCTCCGGAGGGTAAGGGATGAGGCAATCTGGTCTGACACTATGAGTTGTTGCCGGCATGGGCGGAGGCTGGCCGTGGAGGCGAGCGAGGGAACTCGATCCGGACCCCGATTTAGCACAGATGGCCATGAAGTATGGAAATGGCATGAGCGCATGGTTCGACGTGTGTTTCCAGCACGTGTTTGGACCAGGCTGAGTTGCGTGACGGGGGAAAAGTTTTCATGGTCCGATTCGTAGGCCCAAAGCTTGGCCGCAAGGACCGCAGGGGCCGCAATGGGGAACCTGGGCTCTGGAAACATGGACAAACAGGTCGAGGCTGAAGATGGCCATTGTGGTGATACGTGTGATGCTTGTGCGGCCACTCGGCTGATTACAGCGAGAATAATGCCAACGCCGGGGGCCGAAATCGCCAAGGCTAGTCTGGCCGGCTCGTCACCCATCTGGTTCCTCCGGACAGGACGAGGTGGCACCGGGCGAGCTGTCAAGGTCGATTTCTCATCTGGGGCAGCGGCGTACGGAGCTGGACAGAGAGGCCATCAGGGTGTGAAGGGCGCGTCGGCCATACTCATGCTGACTCCAGCGCTATTTGAGCACCATCTGAGTCAGGCACTTCGAAGCAAGCTTCTACTGGAATGCTTGGATGTTTGGATGGTGCAGCTCAATGCCCGGCCGAGACAGGCTGGAGTGTCTCGGACAGACGACCGTTGCGCGGTGAGATCAAATTAGCAGCAGTCATGGTCTGCTATGTTCTATCATCGGTCCGCCTTTCGGGCATGGAGTGGGCAGGCCGTGGTACTGTGCCTCGTACAGTAGGTATGACGGCGTGGATGAGCGATTTTCGGGACGACAGCCCGGAGTCCACGGCCAGTTCGAAGCTTCCTACGCCTTGTCCGATACAGGGGCGAAGTAAAGATGACTTGTGCGACAGCCGCCAAGCTCATGTTGTGTTTTGTCATGGGTGTTTGGATTCCATCATGCTCGAGCCTAGGTAATGCTGATCAGGTTAACCGGGCTCCGCGACATCTCCCGCTGGCTACCGGGGAGAGGTGGAGGCTGTAGCCGGGCAGTGGATGGATTGGAAGCTGGCTGGCTGCCAAATGGCGTGGCGTGCAGATAGCTTCGAGCAGGATCCGGAAGAGCGCCAGAGACTGAGGCGGCGGGACGGACAAGCTCGGGCCAGCAGAGGCAGGGGGAGCTCTCTGTGGATGCTTGGCCGTGGTGGGATGATTTCAGAAAGCAAGGTGGGGGGCCCTTGTACACTACAGGTTCATGGAGGGGGAGGGGGAGTTGGAGGGGCAGCAGTGCTCCCTGACTCCCAGGCCCCCCCTGGCCCGGTGCCTCTGCTGACATACGTAGGGGCCTCGACGCTGGGACGACAAAGTACCTGCACGGAGGAGCATCGTCACCAGACTGTTGACATCGCACCGAGCCGTCAGCTATCTCACCGTGGGCGTAGGCAACCCACACCAGATAGCTGAAGAGAGATATTTTCAAGATAGTCACCTGTCTGCCCACTCATGTAAGGGGGGCTGGCCTCCATCATCAGCCGTCAGTTGCGTGCGTGAGCCTCCTTCATCAAAAAAATTGCCCCGCCAACGCCTCGCAAGGCCCCGTCCTGAGTCGGAGCTCTCCAGAGCAGAGGCCCAAGAGGCCCAGACGCCGCCCGAGCTTGCGGGCGTAGGTGTGTGGTTTTGCTGGGTACCTGCCCAGATGTGAGCTGTTACGCCCAGCCAATTGCCGTCGTCCCTTTCCCCTCCTGCGACTGATGTTGAGCCTTTAAATCTCTGCCCACTCCCTCCTCCTCAACGTCCTTTTCTGTCCCTTCTCTCCTCTCTCCATTCCTCAACGAAGCATCATCAAGCAATCCTAAGACCCTACCATCTCACTGCCCAACGACAACTCCAGCCCACCGCCTCCCCCAGAACAATCAGTCAAAATGGTCGTCAAGGTTGGCATCAACGGATTTGGCCGTATCGGCCGTATCGTCTTCCGCAACGCGATCGAGCACAATGACGTCGATATCGTTGCTGTCAATGACCCCTTCATTGAGCCCACCTACGCTGTGAGTAGACTTGCGTCTTGACCACCTCCCTAGCTCTGCCGCCAACTCCTCTATCGCGGCCGTACCACGGTGTATGGGGACAGTATCGAGCAAACAAGGCTGACAATGTTACCCCTCACCCCACCAGGCCTACATGCTCAAGTACGACTCCTCCCACGGAAACTTCAAGGGTGAGGTTAAGGTCAACGGCTCCGACCTGACCGTCAACGGCAAGACCGTCAAGTTCTACACCGAGCGTGACCCCGCCGCCATCCCCTGGAGCGAGACCGGCGCCACCTACGTCGTCGAGTCCACCGGTGTCTTCACCACCACCGAGAAGGCCAAGGCTCACTTGAAGGGTGGTGCCAAGAAGGTCATCATCTCTGCCCCCTCCGCCGATGCCCCCATGTACGTGATGGGTGTCAACGAGGACGCCTACGACGGCAGCGCCGACGTCATCTCCAACGCCTCCTGCACCACCAACTGCCTGGCCCCCCTGGCCAAGGTCGTCAACGACAAGTTCGGCATCATTGAGGGTCTCATGACCACCGTCCACTCCTACACTGCCACCCAGAAGACCGTCGACGGTCCCTCGGCCAAGGACTGGCGTGGAGGCCGTGGCGCCGCCCAGAACATTATCCCCTCCTCCACCGGCGCCGCCAAGGCCGTCGGCAAGGTCATCCCCTCGCTCAACGGCAAGCTCACCGGCATGTCCATGCGTGTGCCCACCGCCAACGTCTCCGTTGTCGACTTGACCGTCCGTATCGAGAAGGCTGCTTCCTACGAGGAGATCAAGCAGGCCATCAAGGCCGCCGCTGAGGGTCCCCTGAAGGGTAAGTTCCTCCCGCCGACACGAGTTGTTGGCCCCCTGGTCCGAGAGGAGTCACAATGCTAACACGGTATAATCAGGCTACCTCGCCTACACCGAGGACGACGTTGTCTCCTCCGACCTGAACGGTCACCCCGCCTCGTCCATCTTCGACGCCAAGGCCGGTATCTCGCTCAACAACAACTTCGTCAAGCTGGTCTCCTGGTACGACAACGAGTGGGGATACTCCCGCCGTGTCCTGGACCTCATCGTCCACGCCGCCAAGGTTGACGGCTCCAAGTAAATTGGCCAGCCTCTCAGCTCCGTGCAAGTTGGTGTGAAAAATTAGAGTCGACCACAGGCAGGATGCGGTCAGAACCGCGCAAGAAGGGAAGTTCCGCACCGGACGTGCAGGATGATCCCGAACCGGAACCAAAAAGAGCCTGATATGATTTGGAAGCATTAAAAGTCGGTAACGTCCAACGGCTGCTGCGGTCATTGGAAGGGTAATGGAGTCGGTCCATTAGACAGTGGTAGTGATTTAGTAGCTACGCAACTGCAGAAAATGAAAAACAAAAAATAAGATCAAGTCAAAGACCTCAAGTAACGTGACATTCACTTGCTGGCATGTGTTATTTTCGGAATGCTTTCCATTATTACGGTCTATGAGGTGCATAATGATGGTTCTCCTGCCTTCCAACGCGTTTCGAAGCCAACGGTTGCTTCTTGCTTCTGCAATCGAGCCAGGCGAGGGATATCCCTTCCATATTGGTCTGCCGGACCAAATACGCCAGTTCTCATCGGTCTTATAGACTCAAGCTTCCTTCTTGAGTCATTGTCTTCAAGTTGCTCGAAAAGCCGAATGTGATATGGCGGTAGTAACGGCGTGGATGGACCAGAGTAGGCAGGGAGGCGGGCGGGCAGATCAAGGGTGTAAGTAATCGTATCGTATCATATCGTACAGCGAGCGCGAAGCAGGCAGCCCTTCCTTCTGTATGTAATCTCCGTACGCCGTATGTGTCCACGTGAGAGGGCGCTCAGACTGAAAGAAGAGGTGCAAAGAGGCCGAGTTCACGTAAAACTGATCCATCCAGTCTCAGTTCGGCACGTCCTCGCCTGCAAATGGCAGCCTGGGAAGGGACTGCCCGGTCTTGCAAAGGTGTTTCCTTCATCCTTCGTCGTGAGACCCATATTACTAGAATGCAGCACCGCCCACGCCTTCCCCGGCGATGGTCCTGAGAGAGTTCTCACTCAGGTCGCTCTTGAGCTCGAAACTCTTGGACTCGCGCTCGAGCTTCTCCCACATGCGAAGGCTCTTGCGTAGCTTCTCGTCCTTGACCTTCAGCTCCTCACGGATGCGCTCTTCCTCCTCCTTCAGGCGGCGGTGGTGAGCCTCGAGATCCTTGGTCACACCGGTCATCATTGGCGTTGAGGCCGGTTCGAGCTTGCCGCCGGGGACTATGTGCGGCATCGAAGAAATGAGGTTCTGCGCGAGGGTCTGGCGCTGACCTCCTTGAGCAGCAGGGCCAGTCGGTGGGTTGAAAGGTTTCGAGGAGATGGAAGGAGACGGCGCGGGCGTATCCCTAGATGAGAATGATGCGCGCGGGCCAGTGGGGACACTGCTGGGACCAGTAGGAGGGGTCGCTGGTGACGCGGCCGGCGCCGGTGCGAAATGCGGTCGGGAGGCTGGAGTGCCCCATCCTCCTCCTCGGCCGCGAGAGCTGAAGCTGTTGCCCCTTGGGGGGCCATAGCCACGAGGACCTGAGGGAGGGACCGTTGGGCTGGGGGTATCTGCGCGCGAGGAGTACGACGGGGCCGGCGTAGATCTCAGGGCAGCAGGCGTCGCATGGGGCGTGCTGAAGTTTCTTGTGGCGCTGGGACCAGTGGGAGGGGCCCTCAGGGCTGCTGGACCACGAGGCGGCGACTTGGCGCGCTGTGGTGACTTGAGGGGCGTCTGGAAGGGCTCTGCCGCGGCTCTGGGTGTCGACGTCCGAGCAGGCACCGGGATAGAATTGGCGCCGCTCAGGCCAGCTGGGGAACGTGAAACGGGCGAACGTGGTCGAGAACGGATGTCAAGGCCGCGCGAGCCAGGGCGGGGCGATGAGATGCGCGAGCGGGAGTTTGAGCGCGATGTGATGGCTGAGGGGATGACGACCTCTCGCTCTCTGACAGGGGAGCGCTGCCTGTAACTCGAGCTCGGGCCATATCGATCATCGCGACGATCTGGGCGATCTGGGGAACGCGATCGAGGTCGGTACGATCTGTCGCCGCGAGGTCCAGCTGGAGGAGAGCGCCGAAAAGGAGACCTGGGGCGGTCGCGGCGGTCGCGGTCAAACGGGGATCGTGACCTTCTTCTGTGAGGTGGCCGCCATTGTAAGTATCTGTCGTACTCCGGTTCGTTGTACCAGTCGTAGTACGAATCGTCATGCCTCCTTCGCCGTGACATGATGATTGTCGTCGGGGTTGGTGATGATGTGGAACGAAGTGGATCGAAGGAGGGGAGGGGACAGATGGTGGAGCTCACCTAGCGTCTCTGTTGTCAAAGTCACGGCGTGGGGACCGTGCTCTGTCTGGAAACCTATCATCCCGCCTCGGTGCAGGCGAGTAGCGTGGTGGAGACCGCCGGGGGCTCGAGGTGAAGGGCGCCTGACTGGACTCCTGGCCCGGCCGCGGCTGCTGTCCCGTCGTCGCCAACTCTCGCCACCGCCAACAGCGTCACGGCCTCGGTCTGGTCCCCTGTACCGATCGGCACTTCTGGAACGGCGCCGCGGGGACCTGCCTGGAACGTAACTATCGCTTGTGACCGGGGGTGGTGTTCTCGGTCGGAGGTCTCTGTCCCTATCTCTGTCTCTGTCTCTGTCTCGATCCCTGTCCCTATCTCTCAGTGGGCTCCGGCCCCCTTCGCGGTGACCGGTCTCTGGTGTTGCTGCTGCCGCTGTTAAAGGGCCTGTATGATTCCCCGGCCCCATATCGGACCACCTCTCCGTCATCGTACCTGGGTGCAATCGAATCAGTCTCATGACGAGTAGGCGGCGTCTCGATGTTCGGAAAGAGGAGTAGCGGGCTCGATGGCGCGTAAATAGGAGATGAGCGAGGCGGAGTTGGTGTCCCCCGGAGACGAGTGCCAGTTGGGGTGTGAGTGGGTATTGGAGGAGAGTAGGTGAGGTCAGGCGGACCCCAAATGGGTGAGTCGTCAACCGCGAGCGGTCCCGACGGCTCGCACTTCAGAGAGGAGGTATTAATGGCGGCCTCGTCGTCCTCGTCGTCCTCGTCCCCGTCACCTGACCCAAACACGTTCACCGTAATCTCTGCATCCCCGTTGGCGGTTGGGGGGTCGAGGGGGCCAGCCAGCAGAGACATCGGCATGGAGCCGTTGGTAAAAGGAGGGTGAGGCTGAGGCTGAGGCTGAGGAGGAGGAGGAGAAGCGAAGGGGGGAGAGGATGAAGGGGAGAGAAGGTTGCTGATGCGCGTACGCGCACGAATGCTCTCGGCGGAAGCCATTTCGACGATAGTCTTCTCGTCGAGTATGTCGTTCACAGAAAGGCGAACACGATGCGAGAGGCTCACTATGCCACTCGAAGAAAGAACTCGAGACTACCTCAAGTCCAGTGTGCGGGTGGGTTTATATCCCCCGAGGCCATTTCTCCCAATTTCTCATCGTCCGCGCCAATGCCTATTCTCCTAGGAAATATTGCATTGTTCCATCCCATTCCAACTTTGGGTGAGAGGGCCCTATTGTCCGTCACGAGACACTATAGGCAGCGAGAGCCCGCAGGCTAGGGCAGGGCAGAGGCCATGAAAATTGAAAACAATACATCGCAAATGAAAACCACAATAGCACTTTTACTAACCTTCTGCTTGGGGCTGGCCGGTCCCGATCCATAATGGTCCCGTAGCTTCCCGCAGTCGTCCAGGTGCTTGAGATGGGTCCAACGGAGGTTCCAGTCCGGCCGGCAAACCGGTCAGTACATGCACGGTAGGCCTAGAAGCTATGCCTTTCGAAAGGGTAGGTCTCAAGTGTGATGGACGAGTGCTGGGAGGATGGACGGGTGGGGCGTCACGTTGGGTACATCGATCTTGGGCGGTCCTGGTTGAATGATCAATCTGCGAAACTGAGCGACGATGGTTGGTAGTCAGTCAGGCTGCCCCATGGAAATTTGGCCCCTGGCGGCGGGCTTATCTTATCGATAAGAATGTTCTCGATAAGCTTCTTCCTTGCCCAGCATCACCAAGCCCCGAGCTCGTGCTTCTGCAAACCAATGAAAACTGCCTGCAGTGCCTACAATACTTCGTCGCTCGTTTCAGTTTCTGTTCACGGCCCAAGCAGCGCACAATGAACACAGGACATTCCGGCGGGGCTGAACAAGAGCCCAGAAGTAATCGACTGCATTTCCTCCCTCGCACCACCCTCCACATTACCAAACTACCCAGCTGAGAATCTCGTGGGCTTGTCTGCCAAAGGCCCAACGCAACGGTATCTACTAACCCGAAAGGTCCCACACGTCCTCACCATCAAGCGGGTCATCCGAATCCGCAATCACTTCCTTCTCCCGAACCTTGCCCTTCTGTTTCTGCGGCTGCGGCTGCGGCTGCCGCAACCCACGTCTTACGGGCGTCAGAGGACCAGCGCCAGCCTTCTAAACCAGCTTGTTGGCCTCATCCTCCGTGCTGTCCCCTCCGGTCCCCGGGCGTGGCAACTCGAAGCTCCGGGCCGCGATCCAATCCTGCACCTCCTTGGCGTGCTCCTTCATCATGCCGTTGAGCGAGCCCGCCGGGCTGTGGAGCACCGTGCCGAAGCGCTTTTTCCTAACCTTGCCTTGCAGCTTGGGGTCCGTCCAGCACGAGTGATCCTTTGATACGTACACCCTCGAGTTTTCCTTATACCACGCTGATAGGCGCTCGTCTGTGTCAGATCGGATGGGTCGCAGTGAGCCCGTGACGAAGTTGACCACACCCGAAACTTTCATCTTGCAGTCTGTGGGTTCGTCCGTATTAGTTGAGTTTCTGGGCAACATGAGTCGTGCAAGGGCTGGGCAGGTATCGCCACCCTTACCTCTATTTAAGAGGAGCATCTTAACTCCAAGATAGGCATAACCGACCCCCATGATGAAGACTTCATCCGCGTTCTCGTACAGCTGTATGTAATTGTCCCAGAGGTAGATCAGCTCCTTGATCTCCGCCTCAAGCTGTTTCTCCTCTACATCGGGTGTATAAGGCATGTTGCCCTAGAAGCGTGTTAGCGTCATCCAGAACAGCGACAAGGTGGGATACTCGTACCGAAGGATTGCGAGGAACGTTGATGTCCATGATGCCGAACTTCTTCGACACTGCCCAGTCGACATACTGTGTGACGCCATCGACCTGCGAGCCCTCGAGGTCAGTACACGGGAGCAATGGTCTATTGAGCTTCATGATCAACCACTTACCACCCAAGCATTGCCGGGTTCCAGTGACTTGGTCAAGGGGTCAGGCTGTGCCATAACCTTAGGTCTGAAGCAATTAGTATTCAGTTTCAAATGCCCCGGGAACGAGAACAGACTCACGGATCGTGAATAATAACCAGGATATGTCTGACCATGTCTATGTCCGGCGTTACCAACACCTGGTTCTCATATGTCCTGAAGAGCGCGTCCCGTTGAATATATAGCGGGCACATGCCATGATTCTGCGAGAAGTTCTGGCGCTGGTAGCCCCTGAGGACCTCGTTCAGCCTCTTCCCATCATTGTGCACGATGTCGGGGACGCTCATGATGCTGCGACGCATGCATTCCCAGTACGGAGCCTGGTACGCCTGGACATAAGACAAGACCTTTGCAGCCTCCTTGCTAATCTTGGGAAGGTTGATCCTTGGCGGCGGTTCGCCCATCAGGGTTCGCGCCACGGCCAGAGCAGAGTTAGATATGGCGTGCAGGTTGTAGCCACCTTCGAGGCAGACAGCCAGTTTCCCGCCGGCGAGAGACATGAGCATGTGTGTCATGTGGGCGTAGCATTGCGGCGTGACGAAACACCCGCCCAGCTCGTCGCCGTCTGCGGCGTCAAAGCCGGCGGAAATGATGACCAAGTCGGGATCGAACTCCTGCGCAATGGGCATGACGATCTTCTGGAACGCTGCCAAGTACTCGCCATCGCCCATACCCTGATCGTGCCATCCAATGTTGACATTCTTCCCGATGCCTGCATCTGCGCCGCACTTGTCCAGCCCGCCATCAGCAATGTTTTCGTTTTCAGGCGGTCCAGGATAGAAATGGCCGTTCTGGTAGACGTGTAGGGAAATGTACAGCACGTTCGGGTTGTCGTAAAAGATGTTCTGAATGCCGTTGCCGTGGTGGACATCCCAGTCGAGGATCAGTATCTTGCGGCAGATATCTGGGTACTCGATCTGGCAGCATCGAGCCGCGATGGGCACGTTGTTGAACATACAGAAACCCATGGGCATGTCATACTCTGCGTGATGTCCAGGTGGGCGAATGATTGCGAAGGCGTTTTTGACGTTGCCAGCAACCACACTCTTGCATGTCTCGATGGCGCCACCGGCAGAAACGAGGGAGGCCTCAAAGGTCATACTGCCGACATAGATAGACTCTCTTCCAAGGTCCATTAACTTGGTGATTTGCCGGAGTTCCTCCGTAGACTTGTGAGACAGGGCTCGAACCCAGGAATAATGCTGCGGCAGGTGCACATTGCATATTTCCGACTCCTGGGCCTCTCGAGCTGGGATCCTCCACATGTACTTTGTGGGATTTGTTCGCAGGACCTCGACGTAGTCAGAATCACTTCCCATGAAGATCAAGCCTGCCTTCTTGAACTTCATCATGATGGCCTCGATGCGCCCGGGGTCTTCCGGATGGTGCGGTTTGGCGCCGAAGTCAGCATTTGCATGCAGTTTCATCCTGTCGTCGTAGCAACATCCTGTGGGTAGTTGCCGCCGTTCCAGACCCATGAGTTCCGCATCCCTTGAGTCCAGCGGCGTCTCCGATCCAGCCCCTTCATCAATGTCGTCTGACGATGTGCTGTTCTGGAAGCCTGCAGAAGGATTGCCAAAGTCTTCAAAGACGAAGGTGGTGGAGTCGTCTTGGTTGTCGACGTCCATGGCAACGTCGTTGTCTGCTTCCTCCATCGTGGTCGTCAGGACCATTGTCCAGGGACGTGGCCCCAAACGACCACCTGCCTCTCAACTGCTCCAGGGCGCAACAAGATCCCAATATTGATCAGACAGTGACCTGAGAGGTGTCAGCGAGGTGCGGTCAAGAGGTGCAGCAAAGATGCCGTGAGATGTGACGGGACGGTTGGGGGGAGGGTGGTCCGTTGAGCGAGCGCGCGCTTTGTCTTGGATATCAAGTCCAGGTAAGGCATGTAGGCAGGTATCTACAGATTCTAGCAAGCGACTCAATTTCTTCCATCTACGACGGAGAGGGACGTGGTGAGTTGTGGCCTCACCAGTCTCACCGGTGAAGCACATGATCGCTTGATCTCTTCACCAGAACGGGACGCCTGCACCTTGGGACCCCCAAACCCACGAGACAGCGATTGCGCTCGCTTGAGACGCTTGAAGTCCCTGATGCCTTCAAATCTGGCTGGAAACATAGAAAATCAGCTTACGGAGCAGCGTGGTGTCGTTTGGCGGAGGCGTCCTGCAACAGGTGTAAGGCTGCTTAAGGAAGGCACAGGGCTATCCACGGGTGCAGTCGATGCGCGTCACCGACTGGCGCCTCGAGCGCGGGGCTGAAACAAATGCTGCCTTGTCCGGCGCGAATTTCAGAGGCCTCTTCCACCGTGGTAGCCCAGTGATACGCTTCAGAGGGGCGCTGCACGCCGCCGTGGTCGATGTAAGTCGGGGTGGTTGTGAGGGATAAGGATGAATTTCCCGACTTGTGACGCGGCTGGTCGCAGTCCCAAAGCCGGCCTGGCCAGCCCACGCTAGGGCCATAACACCACTCACCCAGAGTAGGACCCGGCTGCTCTGCTCACCCACGCTTATGCAGTGATTTGGCTGCAGTCGACTATCTTTGTGTATAAATAGAAAGAACAAATTACATGATGTCCTCTGCTCACTTTTCTCAAGAAAATCCGAACGTTGCGGTCTGCGTCTGGGCCACCTGTGGCTCGGAACTGCCTGCACTGCTCTCAGCGCTCCTTAGCCGTGGCCAAAAGCAGTTGTACATCTAGGCAACAAAGAAATCTCAGACCGCATAATAGAGCACGCATCAACAGATTACGGTGATAGAAATTTGCATCCAAGGGCTCTGTCTCGTCCTAATTTACTTAGTCTTTCCGCGCGCCAACACGTAGGGCAGACGATTTCAACAGCTCTACGGCTCCAGCCGACCTCTGTTCATCACAACGCGAATCCCGAGGTCCGGCTCCTCCTGAGCAGACCAGCTAAGTGCCCTCTGGCCCTCCCGAGACCAATCTCCACGTATCTCCTCGTCCCAGAGATGGAAGTCTAAAATCCCACCGCTACCGCCGTTCTTCACGTCTTTGAAAGCCTTATGGCAACTCGCCGACGGTCTGGCATCATTGTCTTCAACTCGCTCGTCCTTGACAACAGAAAGCGCATGCCCAAGGCTCTGTCGGTCGAGGAGGATGCTTGGGTGAGCGAGGCAGACCTCTCGAACCAACCTATCCCTAGTGTATGTAGACTTGTTGGTAGCGAAACTCAGAATCTCAGCAGGCGACAGCTTGAGAAATGTGTCCACAATTGCGGAATTGACATTCGTGTCGAAGTCCACAAAAGTCGAGTCGCTCCAGCTGAACGCAGCCCGCACAAGGCTCAGCCTGGACGTGCCGAAGCCGATCCGCTCTGCCTCCTCTCTCGAGATGGAATAGTCCTGATTCTGATTAGTATCTGTTCTGAATGTGAATAAGGTAGACCAACAACCTACCATTTCTTTCAACACTGCCTCTGTAGACGGGCATATTTCCCCTCTTACCATGCATTGGGCGGTCTCCCACAGGTCGTCCAGCTCGTGGAGCTCATGGTCCGACAGCAGCCGGAGCCGCTTGCATCGGATGTCTGTGGAACCTTGCTGAGGCACGAAGTTGTTGGGCCGCCGGAGATCACCGTGAAAGAATTGGGCGTAAGACATCCAACGATACAGAGCTGCGCGGAGCCTCTTTGACTCACAAGGATGCAGCTCTCGACAATCCGACGCGGGCTGAAACCGATAGCGAGGAAATAGCTGCTCCCATGCTTTGACGGTCTCAAAGAGGCGGAGAAGTCGCTCGAAATGCTCCTCATCAAGCACAGCAGGCGGGAGTAAGACATGATCATCCTCCCCTGCCTGCAGGCTCTCTCCCTCACAAACCAGTCTGTTCTTGTGGTATATCCTTCGGCGCAAGCAAGGGCCTAGAGGCACATCAATGTCCTCGGGCTTGAAGGTAACGATTTGCAGAGCTTCACCAAATGGGCTCAACTCTGTCTCCAAGATGGATAAGAGAATGTGCCCTCGATTGCCATCATAAATCTCCTTGAACCTCTTGTTGGCTCGGATGAGACTCAACACACTGCGGAAGTCCATAAGCTCAATAATCTTCATAATGAGCTCCACTGGTATTCTCAGGACGCCCGGCTCGAACCGCTCTGCATCGCGCGAGGTGGACAGCTGTGAGCCCCACGGGGATCCGTTGAGAATTTCGAAAGCCATCATACCGACTTCGACCGTGGAACGGCCCTGGAATCCGTTAGCATCGTCATCGCACGCTCAGGGAGTGACACGTACAGTGCCGGCTACTTTTCAGCGACTATTATGGGACAAAGCGCAGCCAGTCTGCTGATTCAACGAGTCTCCTCTGAGAAAGAATTCGCCAGAATAGACTTGCCTCGACCAAGAGCGAGTTGGAAACTGTACTGAATCCAAGATGCGCCCCAGTAGCCGGGGACGTGATGCCAATGGGGCTCACAGGCAAGCGACCCCGACGTTGGGGCTATCAAGCAGGGAGGTCAAGTCTCCAGGCATCATTGCTTCACGCGATATCATCCTCGTGGTGAGCACGTAGAGATGCACGTTGAGCTTAGGGCTGATGAGAATGTGATGGCAGGACCGTGTTGTTGTCCTGACTCTAGCCCGCGGCACTCGAGGTCACAACGCTTGTAGGGCTAACAGCAGGGTTCGTACCTCAGGCGGCTCTTCATTGGCCTGCATGATGACATATCTGGGTATCTAGGCGGTCTACTACCAAGCAACCACACTTCCCCAACATCCCTGGAAGTCTTCCGTACCAAGTACCTAGCAGCCCTGGGTCTGCACATATTGAGCCCTGTGGACCCATCCCTTTTCACATGCAGGTCGCGTGCCCCGATGAGAGGCACGACGCAGACACTTCAACGTGGATATCAATTACAAAAACAATGCTTTTCAAGATTCTAGAATTTTATAGTTTCGAATGAGGTCATTGCAACTCAATAGCAACAAAGTGTCTACCGGGCCTACACTGTCCCTCTTTCAGGGTTGCATTTACAACTTGCCAGTCGTCGGTCCGGGCAGTGCATTGCAGGAAACACTCTATCAGGGTATAGCAAACACGCCCTTTCATTTACCAGATCCCAACGCCATTACCGTGATGGATCCCCTCTAAGAAAAGACGGATTTGGTCGACAAAGCGTCTGTCTTTTTGTTTCCCCCATCCGTCCTCAGGCCAAGCTGGCCCTTCCTGCCCATGCTCTCCGTGGCCTGCTCCGCCCTGATGTTCCGCCGCCCGGCCTTCTTCCTCCTCAGCTCCGAGCGCACCTGGTTAGGCGACACGAACTGCTTGTTCTCGTAGATAATGGGACCTCCGAACGAGCCCTCCTGTATGATGATCGGTGTGCAGACGAAACGAGGGCCGATTTCCACCAGCTTGATGTCGGCGTCTTTACTCCGCCCGCCGAACGCCTTCTTCTTTGACGCCTTCTCCGCTTCCTCAACGTCTTCGCCGTCAGCTGTGGCACCGGTCTTTTCCACCTCGTTGATCTGGTAGTTGCGCACCCAGATCTTGCCATCCGCCACCGTGAATCCCATGACGTGGTCGATGAAGGGCTTGGATTTCCTTGCGCCTTGGGGTACGCCGAATATGTGAGTGAAAAGCTCCTTGATAACCAAAAGGTGGGGGTCCTTCTCGAATGCGGCGTCGAACGACAACACCGGCCGTGAGCCCTTCAGGCAGTTTCCTGTGAAGTGTAGCTCCTCCATGGTGTGCACTAATTCCTCATGTCAGCCTGCGACCAAGTCCAAACCGCCCCCATCCCCTGGTATGGCTGGCCTTACTGTTCTGAACGTGCATCTTGACGGTCGGACCGTTAGGCACCTTGCTCGCCCACAGGTACAAGTCCTGGCCCTTCCGCGCCTCGAAAAAGAGGACATTATTGCAGTTGTACAGCTCCGCCAGCTCGTTGAGTTGGTAAAGCTTGGATTTCGAGTCGAACTTGGCGTCTTTCCGCGCGTGGGGCATCATTGCTGCGAGGTCATTGAGCAGGTGTCGATGTCTGTTGATATAGATTCCCTTGGTCAGTCGGCGTGCATGTCTTGCAAAGGACGCATCTCAGGCGCATTTCCGTCTCACCTGTACGTGACGCCTCTCGACGAGAGAGCCAGGACTCTCTGCTTGTTCTTCCTTGGGCCATGGCTCGAGGACTCGTCATCCTTGGAGCCGTTGGATTTGGAGAGGGACTTGTATACTGTCGCCATTGTCTCGGTGGGGTTCAAAGCCGGTCTGGAAATACGAATCCAAGTCGAGATGTCGATGGCAAGACCAAACTCTCTGTGCCAGGTCGCATTTCGATCTGGCTGCCGGCCAAAATTTCTGGCAGGTGCTTATCGATAAGCAGGGATGGCCTGGCCAGAGCCGGGACCTGGCTTTGTCGAGGTGCCCGTTCTAGCGCGGGGGACCTCCTGTCTGGACCCACCATGGCGGGCAACTTCGATGTCGCAACTTGGCGGTGGGCTGGAGAGGTGGGCCACACACCTCAGCCAAACGGGCGTGTTTCGTGGACCTGATCGTCCCAACATTGTCGAAACCATCGGGGTGTCCGTGACCAAGGCGGAACAACGTTTGCTGGCTCTTTCCACGTGTCAGTGTTCTCACTTCGATGAGGGGGGAGGCCATCTTCGGGGTGCCGTCTGCTAGCTGGCTGCCCAGGTGGTCTAGAGCCGCCTCGAGTCCAGCAGCAACAAAGGACACGAGCACGCGGGGCCTTGGGAGGGTCGGTGCTGTCTCAATATCATTACTTGGGCTTCCCATTCAACTCGGCACCCGCCAGACTACGACAGCGAACTCACAGCCCGCGTACAAGAGGCACAAAGTTACACAGAGAAAACAGCAGTTAAACGAGTAGCATGACTCCCTGATTAAAAAAATCGTCAAAAACCTCCCATTGAGAACCGCAGATCCGTAATCCCATCATCACACCATCGCGTGATGGCTCTCTCCTCCTACCAACATGTTCCCCATAGAATATGTGACGCCATGTATCATCAGTTCGTTTCCATGAGCTAGTTCCGTGAGGGCTCCTCCCGAGTGGTGGCTTAACAGCACTTGCCGGCCTGCTTTGAGCCGTCGTCGGCTGGCTTGCTCAGAGAAATGTTGGTTCCTGCCCCAATGGTGGCCTGAGCACCGTCGCCGCTGTCAAGTGCCTTGCTTGATACGATTCGGTAGATCTCTGTGGGACACGTGGTTAGAGATGATTCAGGAGTGATTCGGGCCAAGGGGGGAGGGAGGAGCGGGGTCAAGTACCGGTCAAGATGTTCTGGAATGCAAGCTCAACGTTGCTGGCATCGAGAGCAGACGTCTCGATGAAAGACAGGTGGTTCTCGCCTATTCAAATAATCAATACTTGAGCCTCTTTGCCTTCGTTCCTCGCACCGCATCGGGCAGCGGGTAGGGCAGACTCACTCGCGAACGCCTTGGCCTCCTCTGTCGGCACAGCCCGTAGATGCCGCAAATCGCTCTTGTTACCCACCAGCATGATGACAATGTTCGCGTCGGCGTGGTCCCGCAGCTCCTTGAGCCACCGCGTGACGTTCTCGTATGTCTGGTGCTTGCTAATATCGTAGACGAGCAGGGCGCCGACGGCGCCTCGGTAGTACGCAGACGTGATGGCGCGGTAGCGTTCTTGGCCGGCGGTGTCCCAGATCTGTGCCTTGATGGTCTTGGAGTCGACCTGGATGGAGCGGGTGGCAAACTCGACGCCGATGGTGGACTTCGAGTCTATGTTGAACTCATTCCGGGTGAAACGACTGAGCAGGTTGGACTTTCCGACGCCAGAGTCTCCAATCAGCACAACTGCGGGAAGGCGGCGTTAGCTTGCATCGCGAGGAGGGGCCGCTGGAGCAGCGGATGCTTGGAGGCGAGCGTTACCCTTGAAAAGAAACTGCAGGGAGATCCAAGGTCAGCACAGAGTCAGGACAGAAGAGGAGGAGCGGTGGAGGTGGAGGACTAACATCGTACTCGTCGTTGGCCATGGTTGCGACAAGCTCGGCTGACGTAGTTCAAAGGCGGGTGCGTCTCAAGCAGCAGTGTTGGGGTGATATGTCGTGGGCGATAGTTGCGAGGGCGTTGCGTCAAGTAATGCGTCAATGGTCAGGGCCGGGCAGTCTCGAAGTTGTGTTTAGTTCAAGTGAAGCCAGCTAGCGACGGGAAAAGGAGGTGTAGATGCAAGGCAGCTGGTTGACAGTGACAGGGACGGTTTAGGTTGGGAGAGATACCCAGCGGTCCACCACACTAAAAATTGAGCCGCAGGCTGGCTGGAAAGGGGCTCGGTACAGTCAAGCGGGGGCCACAGTGCTGTCCTCCCCGTTCGTAGGCTTGCCGGGCCTGCTGGATCTAGGGGTCTGTCCAAGGGTCCTCACGGGTCGCAGAGCAATGAGTATGGTTGAGGATGACTGTACGTGTCACTGTCACCGACCCTTTCCCAGACAAAAGGGAGGGATTGATTGCAAGGCCATTCATTCGGAGTCAAAGCCACCAGTGCTACCTATCTGCGGTCCATCCATACCCCCCCTTGTGTGACTCGGGAAGTCGCCCAACCGCAAGCTGGAAATGTTTCACCATCGCGCTTTCAGCGGCCGGGACAGGTACCTAGGAACCGTGGGGAGCTGCCCTCACCCCTCATTTTCTATGCGATTTGAGCAGACCACACGTCACCTCCGATGTACCCCAGCCACGGGCTGCAACGCCACACCCTGCTGTTTGATAACGGCTCCTGATGATCAACCCGCCCTTCTTGTCGGTGGTTTCTGACAAGAGCAGAGTTTTGCCTCGAGGCCCTGGTCTGACAGTTGAAACGCACCTGTGGCCCAGGCGAAGACCCCCAAAGGTCGCGTGGTCATCAGCAGGGCTGCCTGCCTAGGTCACTCGAAGGAAGCTTTGACTCTATGTTTATCGCCCACCCGCGTGGCTGTGTGTGTCCGACCGAGACTCCGGCCGCGATCTATTGGGGTCGATGACGGCGTCGACTTCTCCAATCATCTATCTGTACTGTTGCGCACCATTAGGAGAGTGACCAAGACAGCGTGCAGCGTGCAGCAGGCAGTCCGTCCGTATGGGGATTGACAGGACGGCTTCCAGGGTAGCTCATCCTGGTCGTGCGCTGGGTAAGGTGAGCCTCGGTTTCTCTGGGGGCTCTGGTACATCCTGGGTAGTCAAAATTGCGCCGTAATATGTGCTGCTGTGGGCTGGCCTGAGAGACTGTCCGCACGCTCAATTGGAAACCCCCATTAGCTTGTTTTCTTTTCTTCCCGTCTTATGTTTTCTGTATTTTCAGCTATATACCGTATCGCCAGGTCTCGCTACCAGTTCCAGGCATGCCTTCCAAGATGTATCTACTTACCGCTCGTAGTACCTGATACCTAGGTAGATACCAAATCAAATCTGAGAGGTCGCAACTGCCTTCCTCGACTGAACATCTCAGATCCCTGCACCATCGACACCCAAACCCAGCTGCTCTTCCCTGCAGCTGCTACACAGCTTCTGCGGCAACTACACGACCACACTTCTACATCGCCCTAGATATCCTGACCGCGCGTGGTTTCTTCATCGGCCTCTTGACATCAGGAATGCACCAGCCATCAGCAGGTTGCACGCGAGCAACCCGACGTGTTTTCTGCGGTCCCCACCCCGCTATCAACACTGGCACCATTTCTCTCAATCGCACACAAGCTCGTTGGCATTAGGGATCAGTCTCGCCAGTGCAACTCGACCCTCTCCTTGCCCTGGTGCCTGTGATCTTGGGGAACATCAATTTTTTTATTCGAAATCGGGTAGGGAGCCAACTCCTCTCCCCGATTGAGTTTTGCAGGCTTGGTGACTGTTCGTCGTCGTGACCCCAAGATTGTAAGTTGTCTTGCTTGGCCGGGCCTCGAAGTGTGAGCCTGAGCCCGCGGCCGGTGCTTTCGTCACACTGACTCTGAAGAAGTTGACTACAGACAACTGTACTCTGACCTGAATTTGACCGCATATGCCTGGCTTGGCGGATCTCTTGCGCCAAAGAAACACGGAAACATGCCTCAACGTCACGATTCCTCCGAAATGGTGGATGATGATTCAGACAGTATCTCACTGACATCTGTTGATGACGAGGTGTATGATCCCGATACAGAATTTGTTGTCGAGGACATTCACTGCGAGCGTGTCGACCCAGCAGATGGCATTCTGAAGTATCTTGTAGAGTGGTCCAACTTCCCACTTGATGAATGTACTTGGGAGCCCGAGTCTGAAATCTCAGAGATCTTGAAACAGTCATGGGAAGAGAAAAAGGCTTCGCAGGATCCTCGCGTGGCTGAGGAATTCGAGCAGAAGTACGAAGAGGCATTCAACAGGGTCATGAATGAGCGGCGCGAAATGCATCGACGAAGGAACGCGAAGCGGAGGAGGCTAGGTCTGGAAGAAACCAAATTCTGCTTCCGGAGACACATCTACGCAGATTCAGACGACGACACTGAAATCGTGAACGGGGCAAACAACGACTCGTACAGCGATTCTGGCGCAGCCGCTGATCCCGATTCTGATTCTGAAGAGGCTCAAGAGGATAGCACGATCGATCACAAAGCTGAGAGCGTTGTGCAAACAAGGAAACCTTCATCTCAAACCAAGACCCAGCCGTCCACTCGGCCCAACAGAATCTTTTCCGTCGACCCGTCAGCAACTCGAGCAAAGTCAGGTGTGGGGAATGAAAGGAACCTGTCGCGCCAGAGACCACCGGCCACAACCCCGACGGGCACTTCCATATTCCCGCCGAAGGCTAGATCTAACTCGAGTGCCTCAAGCCGACAGCGCGACCAGCAACCCACTACAGGTTACCAAGGCTCTGCTCGTAGAGCCAGTACTGGAGCCACGCAAGCCAAATCTGCTCCAATTCGCGCGGGATCATCTGGCAGTGCTTCAGCCAAGCCACCGACGAGCACTTCCACCCTCGCGAAGAAGGGTCTCACTGCTAAGAAGAGTGGGAAAGCGCCAATCGCTGCAACCAACATATTCATTGGCGGGAAGAAACGACAGCCAAGGCAGGACCTCGCAAGTGCAATGGTCGATCCCAACAAAGATCCAAAGTTCTTCAAGTTGCATAGGTTTCGGCGTAAGGCCGAGTTAAGGTCTAGAGATCACGACGATCAGGCACCAGATGTCAGCAAAGTGGCGGGTCAACTATTCAACATTAATCAAATCCCCCCTCCTAGGCAAGCATCGGCACAGAACACCAAACAGTCTGGGGACGGCGATGTTGATGCTGACGGCATGTCTTTCGACCTGGCCGACGAGGTCCGGACGGCTGGTGTTCGCCGAAGTAGCACCTCAGCCAGCGAACCAAAATCCGCGCTCTCAAAGAGAAGCTCATTCGATTTTGATCCCGAACGCTCCAAGAAGAGAGCCAAGACCGTCCGTTTTACTGGGGAGGACGGTGACCCTTTCGTGAGCGAACCGGTGGGTATCGAGGAGCTTCCGGCACCCACAAGTAGAATACGTTCGCCGCCTCCTCCGCCTGGCTCCCCGTCGCCACCGCCTGAACCAAAGACGAAGGTCTCACTCGCTACATATCACTCGAGGATTGTGCAGAATGTTGAAAAGAAAATAATTCTTGCTACCGGAAATCGATCACTCAACGTCACCTTCCACGACATCCCGAAGGACAATTCCCGCGAGACGGGCCAGCAATGGCTGCGGGAATTCTGTGACGCAGACTGCCTTTACTTCGGACATACAGTCCTTGCCGAGTCAATCATTGCGCAGCTGGGCCAACTACGAGGCCAGGATCCCTACAGTCGCCACGCGCATGACATCCTCTGTCATGGAAAAATCACGTCCGTGAATGGCGAGAGTCTGGAGGTTCTCGCTGAGCATTTGCGGGTCAGCCACTCTGGACTTTTCATGTCGCGCGAGAATTACAATCTCGTGATCTACCCAACAAGATGCGACGGATTCCAGATGAGTGCTCTCGGTATAGAATCGCCAAATCCCCCTAGTGTGGCTTTGAAGCACTTCGTCTTCAGGTCATCGCACAACATCTTTCGATTGATGAGACCACCCTCGGCCGTGCCCTCCGAACTGGCACAGGCTGCCGTCGGAAAGGGACAAAAGGCTGTTTTTCGCAGTCTTCTTGGAATGCGGTACGGGAAGCTCGTTGCAGGGCCCCGCGAGAAGAAAGATCACCATTTCTTCCTCGTGTTCCCCGATGCTGCGGTCGACTGGTACAGGTCCATCAGCTGTTGGCTATACACATGCAACCCACATTGCAAGATTTACACAAGTTTTGATCCTGGCAGTTGGTCCGCGTTCTTGGAGAAAGCCAACAGTCAGTGTGGCGTTGTTATGATACACGAGACAGCTGTGGATTTTGTGCGGCGGTTTCCGTCCATTGCTGAAATCCTGCAGACTGACAATAACTACAACTTCTGGCGCTTCTCCGCGACTATGAGTCTGCAGCAAGCACAGTCTTCCGGAGGGTCTGCAACGCGGTTGACTCCGGATGTCTTCTCGCGAATTTTCCCCATGGGCAAAGCCATACTAGTGACCCCGAGCTTCCTTGTGTGCGAGCCCCAGAAAACATTACAGTTTTTTGAATGGTTCTTCGGAAATCAGACCATGTATTCCTCCAACAAGCTCGTGACTGCGTACAACATCGTCGATTTCCTCCGAGATCTGGCGAGCGAGGCAAATCAACTTCAGGCAAGGTTGAAACAACAACGATGGATGTACATGAGTGAACTGGAAGCCGCTGACGAGAGAAATGCTCTTGGACTGAGTGATCAAGATTTGATTGCGAGGGGAAAGGCTTGGACTATGGCCGAAGATTGGCTGTCTGTCAGCATGGAGAGAAATGGTGTCCTTTCCGAGGAGAACCATGTGATCTTCGCTGATAGATGCATCGATCCTAATGATGAGCAGAGCCTTGTCAACTGGTTTGGCTGGTGGTCTTTAGTAAAAGTCGATCAGTACCGCAAGTTCTATGTCCTTGGTTCCGGCCCGGCGGTCAAGCAGACGAGACAGCCTGGGGCCGAACTACTTTCGAGGGCCCGCCGTTCCGTTCCTGTCCCCGTTTACGATCGATCTGTCGTCAATGACCCGAACGAAGCCTTGCGCGCCGTGTTGAAGGAGGACAATGGCCCAGCAGAAGGTGCGCCTGGCGGCGAAGATGGCAAACAGATCGTTGGGGTGCCAACTGTGTCCTTTCAGAGTCAGACATTCGCAAACAACGACCGCAACATTCAATATTTTCTACGTGAGAAAGATGGAGGTGGCTCGGTCAGAATTTACGGATTCCCTGTTTCCTGGGCCGACTTTGACATGGCAGACCACTTTGGAGATCCTACGATGGAATTCACGACGCTCAAGCAATGGTTTGCCTGGCCTTATCCTTGGCTTGGAGACTCACGTCAGTCCTTCAATACGTACATTGCTTTCTTCTACACAATCCAAGAAGATTGGGACCCTAGCAAATTCCCAAGGGGACTCAAGCCGAAACGGCACCCGTGGCTTGCGATATACCGCCCGTGGGAGCCTCATGTCAAATGGGAGAAGTACAAGCACGGCAAAATGGAGCTCATCTTCTGGGATGTCCGTGCAGGAAACGAGCTTGAGGCGAATCACTCGCTTCGGTTATCCGATTTGAATTGGATGCAGCGAGAAGTAGTCAAGTTCGTACAGGCGCATGGGGCAGAGAAGAACCCAGGCTCCAGGGTGGACAGAGTGTGGTTGGGTGGTTTCCGAGCTCACCAGCAGCACCTACGCTCTACGCTGCCGGCCGACATGACGGCAGAGTTCCTCGAGTCCCTGTCCATATTGCAGCAACTTAAGTGGAAGTTGCCATCTTCGGATGGCTTCATGCGGCAGAACGGGTGGCGAGAGGTTTCCCTGGCCGAGACGCCGGTAGGGCCAAGGGCGGGATTGGCCAACGCAAGTGCCTCTAGTCGAGACGGCACAGACGACCAAGACAGCAACGAGTGGGATGAAGACACCCGTATCGTGTTCCACCCACCACGCGGCTCCTCGGTCATTGGGCCCCCGCGATCGTCCAGGTGCACCAACGAGCTCTTCGAACAGGCGCGGTTGGCGCGGTTGCGCAACGGGAAAATCACTTCTATGAGCTTCACCTTCAAGCCGACCATGGAATGGTACGCGGAACTTGTGGCTGAGGGCCGTCAGTATGAGCACATTTATGTGGACCGCTGGGAAAAGGTGTTCGACCAGCTGAGGGTTGGCCAGAAAAAGTCGAAGTAGGCCGGGGCCGCGTCCCGGATGAGCTCCGTGTCTAGTAACCACAGCAGCCCCATGGACATGAGCTCCGGCTAGTTTTTCGGCAAGGTTCAGGCGGTCTACGAGTTCAAGACGGAGGCTTATGGGAGAAGACGTGAGGGGGGAAATACTGGGGCTACGCATGTTGTCAAGTATGGAGGTGAGCCGCATAGCAGTTTGTGGGCAGTCGATTGACTATTATCGCGTCATGACCAGGCGTTGAGGGCTTTGCGATCTGTTTCATTTGACGGGATATGGACGCTGAGGCAATCAGCCATTTTCTCATGTTGGATGAGGAAAACAGGAACATGTGGCTCTTGTCTTTATCGAGAACGAATTTGTACGACTGTCGGATCAGGACGGAAAGGTGGAAAGGAAAAGAAGAAGATGGTGACGCCCCCACCCCCTCGGGTGGTCATGGCATTGAAGTGGTGTGTCTGCCTACCTTTTCGCTAGATAGTCATCAGGTGTACAAAGTTGCGGTTGACGGCCGACTCCAGTCCTTCTACTGCTGCAAGACAATGTGTGGACGCGGTTCATGCGTGACAGGATATGTGTGCCCAATCCACTCGTAGGCGAGAGCTAAGGTGCAAGTGAAAGGGTATCATTAGGTACAGCATTCTCATCACTCATATATAATCGTCAGCCGCTTCGTGGCTTGCTGCATATGTGCTGCACTCTGATCGCCTTCCGCCGAAGGTGTACCTCTCTCCTCGCCTCCTGTGCTGCGTCCCTGACAGGCAGATTTCGGCCTCTTGGGAGGACTCGCAAAGTGACAGCCCGCCCGCTTCCCAAGATCTTCGGCGCCTAGTTTCGAGCTCCTCCTGCAGCGGCGAACTCCAGCTTACCTCGTCGGGGCCGCGAAGCTCCTCGTGCTGAGCAGGACCCCCTTGACGCTCCTGATGTTGTTCTTGACCTTCTTGATCTCGTCTTCGGGCTCGTTCCGCGCCGCGCCGTACAAGTAGCCGCTGCCGACGCCGAAGGACTCGGGCGGGTACGTCAGGGCGTGCAGGTCGCGGCCGAAGTCGTCCAGGGCGCTCTTGGCCTCGCCGAAGCCGTCGGCCTGTGAGGCGAGGTCGGCACTGAGGTCGCGGATGGACGTGATGAGCCGGCCCATCTTGTCGGCCTGCTGCTGCGTCGCGACCGCGGGGCTGTGCTTGGCAGACGCGGCGGTGCCGCCCGTGGTGGGATAGGACAGCCCGCCCGGCGTCGGGGGCGGCGAGGTCTGCACGCCCACGTCCCGGTGGAAGAGCTCGGTCGGGTCGTCGTAGCTGCTGGCGTCGTCGTCCGCTGCGTCTGTGTACTCGGCGGCGGCGGCGTGTGTGCTCCCTGCGAGGGCCGCCCTCTTCCCTGCGGTGTGGTACGACTCGGGGATCTCGGACACGGCGTGCTCCAGCTTCTCGACGAGCTGCGACAGGTTCTTGTTTGCATTCTCGTGGAACTCGACGCGAGAATCGGTGAGAGAGTCCACCATGGGGCTGACGAGGTACTTTGTGGCGCCGTAGACGAAGGTGGAGAGGCCGGCGACTATGCCGAGGGAATTGAGGAGGCCGGAGGCGGTGATCAGAGGAGGGGGTTTGGCAGGCTTCGTGAGGAACTCCGGGTAGGTGATTATCGGAGGCTGGTCTGTCTTGATGTCTGGGTTTGAGAGCGCCCTGACACCTTCATAGGCTGGTTCGGTTCGAGGTTCTACATTGGGCGCGTGTTGTGTGCCTGTAGTAGTAGTGGTCGTTGTTGTGGTTGTTGCTGCTGCGCCGAGGTCTGTCTCGTCCAGCAAGGTGTTGATATCGGCTTCGCCTAAGCCCTTGGACTTGAGAAATTCCACCTTCTTTTCCCTGCTTGATTCCCTGACTGATTCATCTTGGAGGAATTTTCTGGCTTGCTCCAATGTGGTGGCACCCGAGTCGCCGGTTGTGGAGGCTGCATGCTGCCATGAAGGTATTGAGCCTCCTTCCTCCTCGTCCTGCTCTCCCATGGTCTGGCCGGGTGGCGATATGCCTGAGATTGCCGGGAATAGGTTTTGGTCTGGAGTGAAATTCAAACTTGGCTATCAGCAGTGGTGTATCTTCGGGAGGGATTGGACATAGTGTAGAGGCAGCGACATGTTGGAGCTCGACCAGAGGAGCGAATCGAGGTCATCCGAGTCCGGCTGTGGCAGCACAATGGACCTCGGCTCGGCGCCCGCTGGGCTGGGTTGGCCGGTGGTGGTGCGCACAGACCGTTTGTCTGCCACGCCCCTGCGCGCCGGCTTGCCTGCTTCTGGCCGCTGGGAAGGAAGTGAGGACCTGCGCCAGGGTGCGCATCTGGACTGGCCTGAAAACGCAGGCAGTACTGGCAGTCCAAACCTCTTCCTCTGGTCGACATTCAACAGCCACCACGCATTTACATTCAGCTGGGCCTGGTTGCAAAGAGCATTGGAGGTCCTTGTTATCAATATATGACCGTCTCTCTCAATTCAGACTGTGCTTATCCGAGTGGCCCGTCTGCTCGACCCTCCGAAATCTCAGCCTTTGTCAAGACCCCCGGCCCTCACTCGGTAAAGCGACCTCATTTATCGTTGTAGGCCCGACTCAGAATTCGCATGCCCACCGCCGGATCTGCTTGTTAAGGAATCATCTCCACAATAGGCCGACAGCCAAGAAGAAGGGCCTGACGGACCTTGACCTGTTGGTGACACAGGCCCGCTCGACGTAAAGTACCGTGCAGTACAATCATCCGGCACAGCCAGTGGGTGCCTTTGAAAGAGAGAGTGAGCGGGACACCAAGCAGTAAGTAGCCAGCCAGCCAGCCTTGTTGCTTGTGTTTGCCAGAGGTGGGACGCTGGCCCGGCATGAGAAAGGGCAGGAATGGGAATGAATGTCTGACAAGACACAAAGCGATAGATCGATCTTTATCCGCCGCTGCCTTCTCGCCCTGCGTCCCAGGTGACAAACAGGGGCTTGGCCAGCCAGCCACAATCCATCGGCAGCAGAGATCTTCGCGTCTCACCGAGTTCAGGCACAGCTGAGTGTATTATACCATATCATAGATATCAGACCACGCGCACCTCGCACAGCAACTGTAAGTCAAGAGGCGTTTCCTTGCTGTCATTGTGTGTTGTGTGCTCTCGTTCCATCATAACGTCCTTGTACAAGACCACATCACATGCCTGCTGGCGTCTCTCTGTCTCTCTCTGTCTCTCTCTCTCTCTCTCGGAGTGAGCCTTGCCCGCACTTGATTGTTTTGGAGATCGATGCAACACGGCGGTCGGGCGCGGCGAGTACGGCACAGCGTCGTACCTGGGCGCGCACATCTGCCACTCATCTCGACCGAAATTGCGGTTCCTGCTTCTCTTCTGCCCAATTGACATCCAAGTGACACTGTCGCCACCAAGTGGGTCGATCATACTGCTGTTGCGGCAGGGGGCCACAATCAGTGCACAAAGCACAAGCAACCGCTTGATTGGGGACGGCTTCACCTCCCCAAAGGAGAGTAAGGCTGGGCTCAAGGTTGGCGCTATCTGGCTGGGACGAGCCCGGCGAGAAGCACCGGCTGCTAGTCGCTGGCAATTGCGGGTGCGTTGCATCACTTCGCACCGCTTCGCATCGCGCCGCAGTGTAGTGTAGTGCAGTGCAGTGCAGTGCAGTGCAGTGCAATTCATTTCGGAGCGCTTGTGGTTGCGGTCAAGGGGCACGGGGGAGCGCAGGAATTTGGTGTTGGCTGCTCGGGCTCCGTCATGTCTAATTGAGACGACCTGATCCAACCATCATCAACAAGGTCCTCGTCACCGTGGCGAGTTCTCATCGTGCCTCCACGTGGAAATTGGCCCAGCCGATCCTGCAAGTCATCAAGACTCCAGCAAAACATAGTCGCGCAAGGCTAGTCAGCGTCAGCTGGGCGCCTCATCCACCAGTGATAATTCACCTACCCTTCTCCCTGCACCATCGCGGCCGGCTGCATGGGCCTTCGCCTGATCTCGACCGCCTCCGCGTTCACTCCTTCAGGGTGGTGACAGACCGCGGGGGTCGGAAGGCTTCTAGCGCGAGCAAGTGGCTGTTGGCGTGGCATCTCGGAGCCTCCCTTGATAGGGTGGGCTTGGCCTCCTTGCTATCCCACAATCCCTCCCGCAGGTTGTGTTCGGCATCTACAGTTCTGTGTCACTGCGTCTCACCTGCGTTGGGTCGCACATGACAGCAAGCACCTCGGACCGGAGCTTAATTGAACCTCAAACACAACCGGCCAGCCCGCTCGTCAATCAGCCTGGGCCCCCACTGCTTACCGATCCAATCAATCCAACGCCAACCCTTCTTTATTGCCTCCCTCTCAACGACATCCCATCATTTCTCATCAACCCATCATCACATTTCATCAACAAGGCTTGCCACCTTGCCCCAACCCAATTGGCAGCAGCCCCTACACATCAAGACACACCCCTTCATTTGCTTGTCATCACCAGCGTGCCACCATCATGGCTTCCAGGCCGCGCCGTTCGGCCGCCCAGAAGGCATCCGTCGCAATCACTGACATGGCCGACAGAGACAATATGTCCTCATCTCGCTCAAGGCGGTCCGGTGACGGTCTCGCCTCTGTCTCAAGAGGATCACAGGGGGGTAAGGACCACACCTACTTGACTGTCAAGCTGCCTTCCAGTAAGCTACGCCAGGCAACGAGCAGCAAGCAAGGCTCCAGCATCTCGGTCAACAACGACTCTACTCCTAAGCGGTCTACTCGGGGCGGAAAGAAGAGCTACGTCGTCGAGTCCGAGAGCGACGAGGAGGAGGACGAAGAGGAGGGCGAGGACGAGATCCAGGTCGGCGCGCCTGCTGTAGTGGCAGACGACGACGATGAGGACGAGGAAATGAACGACGTCGACGAGGATGCCGAGGGTGAGGAAATCGAGGAGGAAATGGACCTCGACGCAGAGGGCGAAGAGGACGAGGACGCAGAAGGCGAGGAAGATGTCGACATGGCCACACCAGCCCCGGCACCTATCATCAAGATCCAAAAGCCTAGCAAGAGGTCGCCCGAGAGCAAGAGGACCAAGGACGTCACCCCCAAGAAGGCCAGCGCACAGGCCTCCGCGCTCAATGACTCGGACGATGACGAGCTCAGCGAGTTGGAGAGTGACGAGGAGCTGGAGGGAGAAGAGGATGCCGAAGGAGAGGAAGACGACGAAGATATGGACGCCGAGGGCGAAGAGATCGAAGAGGACCAAGACGCCGAGGGCGAGCCGGAGCCGAGTGCTGAGGCCGGTCAGGAGGTAGAGGAGATGGACAGTGACGACGAGAGTGCCGCACCTAACAAGACGCGCATGACGGTGCGTCAAAGGGCGCGGTTCGAGGATCTCGACGAGAGCCACTACCAAGCTCTGTCGAACGGTACGTGTTCTTTCCAACATCTCGGAAGTGCTCTACTGATCACAGTGCATTTGCAGAGGTTCAAGCAAAGAAGGTCTTCACGGTGGAGGAAAAGGCCATGCGCCGGGCCGAGATGGCACGAAGGCGGCGCAATCTCAGCGAGAAGCGCAATGAGGAAGTCAAGGTATGCTGAACCCAAGCAACTGCTCACGCAATTGCAGCAAGACCCACTGACACAATGCTCGTCTATAGCAAGAAACGATCAACAAGCTCCTCAAGAAGCAAGCCAGCAAGACCAACCGCAAGGGTGGCCAGGTGCTCGCTGAGGACCTCCTTGGTGAGGGCGAGTCGAGGAGACCCAACCCCATCTTCATCCGCTGGGTCAGCACCAAGGACGGCGAGCGTGTATCTGTGCCAGAGGAGATGCTGGATGGCCCTGCCGGCCGTCTGTTTGTGAACGGCGTCCGTCCTGGTGGCGCTGGCCCTACTGGCTTGGCCGGTCCGAGAAAGATGGTCGAGGAGGTCTCGTAGGAGGGGCCAGAAGACGAGTCCCAGGAAGGCGGGAGCAGGGCGAGGGCGCCAAAGGAATGATCTAACTGTGGCTGGGAGCCTATTGCGAACGCCGTCAGCGAAGTTGCCGAGACGAGACTTCGCAATTCTCTGGTCGCATTTGCAAGTAGGGTCGCACAAAATCATGTCATGCCCAAGTCCTTACGCAAAATGGGACACTGAGGTTGCCCACGAGCGTCATCGGTTGTTTTGAGCACATAATGGAGGGCACCAGATAATTCTGCACAGGAGACGCATGTTGCGCTACAGGTATTTTAGAAGCATAATACGCAGAGGTTTGGGCTGGTGTACCTATGGAACTTGCTTAGGTCTCTGGCAAGCAGGTAGCAGTGCCACAAAGTGACCTAGTCGCTATTGCATGCGTTTGATAATAGCGTGGGTTGACGGCAAACCCAATGGATTCAGAATTAGTCAGTATTGTGGAAATTCTTTGGAAAGCGTGACAAGGCCTCACCGCCCCCCTCCTCTGAAGACAACAATTACTACCAAAGAAAGACGAAGCAACTCTCCTGGTCTGTCCAATAATTTAGGTTAGGAGATTTCACTTGGCTGAGGTCATGGAATAATATCCGAGTATCACAACTAGGCATGGTATACCTGAAGGCGATATATGCTACTAAAGTACTTGCTGCTCTCTTCCACGTCCTCTATACGTCCAAGCATAAAATCACAGACGTCCGTGAGTAAATCACCATCTCCAGCCACCCTTTATACATTGTCCGGCTGGAACAAGTATGCAGAGGCCCAATTTACCTTGGTAGCCTGCTGTCCTCCCAAACCTGACAAAAACTTACGAGGGCCAGGAGGTAGAAAAATAACCCACGGTAAAAGAACAGCTACAGTTCCTCCTTGAAGGCGCTTGACTTGATTTCCGGCCCAGATCTAGCAGTAGAGGCATGCGACCTTAGGAACAGGTTCACGAGAGCATTATGATTAGCGAAAGGAGGGCTGAATACTTGGTAGCTTAAGGAAGTCCCGAGCCGCATTGAAGGGCTAGAAGGACGTTCAAGCTTGAGCAGTTATTCAATGATACGAAGCGATGCTGGGCATGAACACTATTCCCAGGCCCAGGCCGATGTATGCGCCCTGTGTCAGTGGGTCTGCCAGTACTGGTGCAGAATCTGGTCTGATATTTCCAATGACGGTGCCGAGGATTTTCTCAGAGGAACTCAAGTTTGTTGGCATCGGCACATTGACCCCCAGCCTTGTCCTCTTGTGGTGTAAATAATTCAACAGCTTGGTTTCCGGAGGAGATGATCTGCTTCATGGAAGCGCGAGAAGGAGGGAGATCAGTCGAAGGCAGACATGATTCCAATCCACGAATAATCAGGGCTCAAAAAAAAAGTGAGAAATAATGCTTCAGCCAAAAGATCTGCACCAGCCACTCCCATGCTGGGTCTCAACCTGGCAGCCGCCGTCGGTTAAGTCGTTGCCAGTCGGACTAGGTACTTCAAACACTGACTGCTCATATAACTTATTAAACCGGGGCTAATGCTCCTCCCTTGTTCCGGGAAATGCGCTTGACCAGCCCCCTGTATTGTGAAGCTTGTCCCCATGATGGATGAGCGCGAGGCGTCGAAGACGGCCGCTGATCCCTGCGGGGAAAACATCGTGCTCGACATGTTCGCGTGCATGAGACGTCATTTTCGTGATTCAAAGGCTGTAGAATGCAGGTCTACCGGAATTGCCTTGACAGTCTGTGCCGCGCATGCAGGCATGGTGTTCGTGGTGGTGTTCGTGGTGGGGTGGGGCTCGCATGGGAATTACAAGTCGTTGATGGGAAAGTGACGTCGCGACGTTCCCTCTCAAGGAGGCCGCGGTATAAGATGCACTGGTTGCTGTAGGCTGCTGTCGACGATGAGCTCGAGCTACGAGGGTGAAACTACTTGTAATGATTGGAAGAACAATTCTTGGGAACATCATCCACTCACTCCAGCCGGGAGAGAGAGAAGGAAAGAAAGTCAACAAGCCTTACGAGGCAACCAATATCCATCCAGACACCTCTCTCTCTCTCTATTAGACAAGACAGTTGTTCTTCCACTACACGATCCATTTCGGAGGCACAGCCGCAGAGAGAGAAAAGAAACAAAAGAAGAAAGATTCACGTGCCATACCAAAGATGCCACCGCCGAGCCCGACTCTGGTGGATGGTGCCACAAGGGTGCTGCACACACGTACAACACACGGATCAAGTGGCTTTCAGGAACCGGTGGGGCGCAAAGTATCATTGCTTAGGGTGTGTTGCGAGCCCAGGGGCAGAAAATTTACAATGTTAGACTACTTGTTTATGGCGCGCACTATGGGGGATGGCATGGGATGACCAGGCAAGGTACCACGTACACGCGTCATTATTCTGGAGCTGGCCTAACAACATGACCTTACATTCTCTACACACCCAAATAAAAATCTGTAGACGGCCGCGAGTACCCAACCGTCTTTGGCCACCCGCTATAGTCCGGCCGGAACAAGATGGCGTCCTCGCACGCGCTCCCAAGCGACGTGTTATTCAGCCACGCCGGCTCCCAGTACCACACGCCGCGGCCCAGGCCGTCCGGCACGTCCCTCACCACGCTGACGACCTCGTGCATCCACTCGATCTGGCCGTCGACGTTGTACGGGACCTCGGGCTCGGACGGCTCCGGGATCGGGTTGTACTGGCCGTTGCAGATGGCAGGGTAGTCCGTCTCGGCGACGTGCACCTGCCTGCCGTACTCGCCCGCCAGCCAGCCGAGCGTGTCGCGCAGGTTGGCGAGGGTGGCGGAAGTGCCGTAGAAGGGGTAGAAACTGACGCCGAACAAATCCCAGGCGCTCCTGGGCACGCCGTTGGCCTCGAGGGCTCCGTACCACCGCTGCTGCAGCGTCAGGTTCCACCCGTTGTCGACGTGGATCATGATCTGCGGGCGGCGGGCGTGGCCTTTCCTCCTCCCGTGCCCCCCCGCCGCGACCGCGTCGTCTACCCCTTGGCGCGCCGCCGTGTACAGCGTCGCGAGGTTGGTGAAGTTGGCGGCGAGGTCGGCGTCGTCCGTGTCGACGTCAACGTAGCCTAGGGGCCACAGGATGCCGTGGCGCACCTCGTTCCCGAGCGCGACGATGTCCAAGTGGACGCCGGCCTCGGAAAACGCCACCAGGGTGTCGTTCACGTAGGATCTCAGCGTCTCGGCCAGGGCGTCAACACCTTGGTCCGGCGTGGGCCACGCCGCGGGAACGGGCTGCTCCTGTGGATCCGCCCAGCTGTCGGTAAAGTGGAAGTCGAGGTAGAGCCGCTGGCCTTTTGCCTGGAGGCGCTGCGCGAGGGCAAGCGTGTACTCGAAACCGTTGGTACCGCCCTCCGGGTCGACCCAGAGCCGCAGCCTCACGCCGTTCATGCCGCCGTCCGCCAGGATGTCGTCGGCCGGGCGGGTTAGGTTGCCCCGGGCCGTATCGACGTAGAAGTTGTCCGAGGCCTCCATCGTGCCAAGGGACGACAGGTCGTGGCCCTTGTAGAAGAAGTCATGTGGGGACGATGAGCTGTTGTGTCTGGGTCAGTGAGAGGGGACGCGAGGGCCGTGGGTGTTTGGGCGCGCTCACTTTGTCTTCCTGGCGGACGCCGTCAGGGCCGCCAGCGCGGCCGCGCAACATGATGAGAGCTTCATCCTGGCACTCGTCGGCTTGGGAAATCGAGAGGCTTGGCCACATCCTCGGGGGGCGACACGGTCACATTGGCGACATCACCGCCCTTAAGTAGCCAGGTAGCCAGTCGGCAGCAATGAGGTCCAGCTGCCTCGGAAGCCCAGGCCGACGCCAACTCATTTCCACCGCGTCGAACGAGCGCCACCGTCCCACTCGTCTTAGAGCTGGGAGAGAACTCTTGCCAGCGACATGGGTCGGGGACTCCGGTGAGGACCTGCTGTGGGAGGACTTGGGAGGACCGGGGGAGGCGGACTAGCCGGTCACGATGCCTCTCTGCAGAGACCGCTTCAAGTTTAGCCGACCGGCCCAGCACTCAGGGCCGGATCGCACGATTGGCGCGTTTGCTCGTGCCGGGGATGACTGAGGACTTTTATAGGCCTCTTGGGCTTGTGGGGTCTCGGCGCGCGATGGTCATGCTCGGACAGATGGCTGCCGACTATTTCATTACTCTGGTCCTGGATCCTGCAATGTGGCACTTGGACTCTTTCCGGTTTCCACAAAACATGGACCAATTTCCGTCCTTGCTACCAGACGACAAATCAAACTTCAACTGGATCATCCACAGAAGAAATGCATGCTGAACTACCTAGGTAGGCAGCGCCGCCCAAATCAAGCAGAGCTGCAAAAAGTGGTCATCTGTCGTTGATCGGCATCTTGGGACGACTCGTGGAGACTCAACTAAGACGGACCCATGATCCAGCTAGTTGCGGCCCCCATCCCATTCCTGACCTGGCTATCCGTAATGGTAGGAGAGCCCAGATTGTTTGCCCATCCTTCATGCCCAGATGTCTCCGCAGACAGGAAAGCTGAACATGGTAGTTGTGTAGGAAGAGAATCAGCTTGGGCCACTTGTCCAGCTTGAGCTTCAGTCAAACATAGCAAGCCGCAAGGGAATTTCGCTGGTCCTGGACTTCATGGGGGGTGCATACCTAGGTAACCAGTGCTCATGTACGTCCTGTGGCCGACATTCTGAGCAGCCAAGTCTTGTCACATCGAAAGACAGCTCAGCAGTTCCAATAGCTTGTTGAACCAGACGAAGTTCAGTTCCTTGGGCTGGCGACCCAGTACTTTCAAGCAGCTGTTAATAGATGAGCAACAGCTTGTCCAGAAACGATACGACTTGCTGCAACCTCCAGACCCTCACAAACCCCTCCTTGGAGATGTATTCAGTTGGTCTCCTTCCTCGGAATGGCAGTCGATTTGACACACAAGACTCTTAAGCTCGTCGCGGGAAGTCAGGATTGTGCCTGACCACCCATCCTCCACCTGTCTTTCGCATAAACACCCTCGCCCTGTTCGGCAAACGCCCCCCCCCCCCGTTGAGACCAGTCAATACTACACATGACCCATCGTACATTGCCTCTGATATTCTTCAACTCTTTACGGGGCCAGGAGTAGCGCCAAGAAGCCAGAGCACGTTGCAAGAAGCAGCACAATGGCCTGGGATGTCCAGTTCGAACAGCAATACCTCAGTAGCTCCACCAGCTCTTGGAGCAACTCAAAGTATCACGCGGGAGGGAACAAGAAACCACACTCCATGCCCTTTCACGAGCTTGATCATGGCTCGAGCAGCCAGGAGACATCAATTTGATGCCCAGGCATAAGTGAGGCCGGTGCTAGTGCGCCTTCTGCACACAAGTTCATTTGGAACAGAATTTGGGGCTCAAGTGTCCCAGCATGTGGTCCAAGCAGGCTGATCTCCGAAGACAGGCTGTACTGTGGAAATGGTCTTCAGATCTAGCCATCCCATGCTCTATCTTCTGGTTGTCGTTTGGCCCGTTTGCGCTGCTTCAGCGGATGCAACCCGGGCTCGAAACTTGTCAGCCGGTCCTGGTGCGCCGGGCAGGAGGACCCTTATGTAACATGCATAGTGATACTTTTGCCAAGTAAAGAAGTCAGGTGGTTCCACCGAGATTGCAGTGCCAACCTTGTGGTCCGCGAAATAGGAACTTCCAAGGTTTCCCTTGGGTCTGGGCCTATTACCCCTACCCAGATAGTCTTCGCAAGAGGGTGCTTTCCACCTGTACGCCCTTGGCTTCGTCTCCACACGCGGCGATAGAAGGGAAAGGGGCGAGGGTGCATATCTCCATTCCCCCAGGTCCAAAGTGAGGATATCAGGATATCTTGAGAGGGATCACGTGGTGCCTTGCCCTCACAAAGTTCCATTTACGCAAGGGGACAGCCTTTAAGCCGGCGCAAGATCTCGCGGTGACGAAAACTCAAGGCAAACGAGTGTTGCAGGGGTGGGAAGGACTGCTCATACCTCGGTGTTAGTGCTCAATATGAAGCCCACCTAATTCAGGCTGTGCAAGTATATCGTGAGCTCAACCTCCCATGCGTGCCCTTTCACCACTCGACTTCAAGTTTTCATCTCAACTTCCAGCACCAGCCACCTAATTTTTTTTTTTTTTTTTTTTTTTTTTTTTATTTTTTGAATAGGAATGAAGCCATTGACTGTACCTTCGACTGACTTTTTTTCGACTTGCCATTATTCAATTGACTTCGTCGACTTTCCTCCGGACCGACCTTCCCCTCGACCTCTGCAGCAACTGCAAACTCTTCTCATCACCCTCACTTCGTACACTTGCACAGTGACATCGTCAGAACGGCGAGATACTCGTTTCTGACCTCAATTCGAGAGCTTCAGCACTTCGACGCTCTTTCTCAACTTGTGCCATTCGTACGCTCAACCGCCAGGGCTGCAAGTCAGCTTCTGGCACCCGACACCTCACCACCAGAGCTTCAGCGATTTTGACGCTCCTCATCGACAACCAGTACACTTGTACAACGGATCGCCAGGACTGCAAAGGCAGCTTCTGACACGAATCAGCGAGGTAAAGACACATCCCACACCCTCACACCTCACCAACGCCCGCCCAGCTTTGGAACGGCAAGTTCTCCTTCACCATCGCAGCAATCGCAGCTGGCGCACTCGTTTTCCCCTTGCAAAACCATTCCACTCCCCTGTTCCCCCTGACACTCTTCGTCTATCACATCACCAGTCAAACAGACCTATTGTGGTGGCTCGTCTGGATCTTGCGTGCTCCCAGCCCTGGAGTGGGAAAACCACGACGAGACTTGCCTTTCAGCCGCAAATCTGGTGGGTGTCCTTCCCGTTGCAAAAGCACTTCCACTTCCATCTCCTCGCCATCTACACTTTTCCCCTGCCTTTCCCCCAATTGGCCTTTCCTCGGCATTCAATCGGGTCGGACGCATCCCCAGTGGGAAAACGGTGGCAAGACTCCCCATTTTTTCCACACTTGTGGTGGGTAGCTTTCACTACAACGACACATTTCTACTGCTTTCTGCTCAATTGGCGCTCTCGAGACGGTCAATCCGGGTTTTGCGCTCTTCCAGTGGGGAATTGGCGAGAAGACTTGTCCCTTGTCCCATCCTGGTTCGAAAATTCCCTCCAGCAAAGCACACTTTCCCCCCTGCTCGAGCGATTTGACGACGACCATTTTCACACTGAACTCCTTGAGCCCGAGAACGGCGATGAGGCACACTTTCCTCACCTCTTTTTTTGCGCTGCTCGCGATCAATTCTTCCACATCTGCCTCAACTTTGAAGCCGGACCCAAGCTTGTCCAGAAACTTTAGCTGACATCTTCTCCTCAGAGCAAGCATCAAGCACAAGACGACTTGACGGCTTGTACCATACCGCCACGACTCGGCAAAGACTCAATTGACGACCGTGACGATACTCATACCCACCTCGATCTCCTTGCCTTGTCCTCCATCTTGAAGACGGCGGCAAGGTATCCTCCGAAACCTGTACCACCCTTCTCACGACAGTAACGACGAGACGCCACACTTCTCACTAAAAGAGAACGAAGAAAGGTACCTTCAGGCGCAAGGCTTTCTTCCACACCAGATTGGAATGCGATCCATCCAAATAATCCTTCCAATCAGACAAACCAACGAGTTCGACCAAGATGTCGGACCACATTTCCAAGAACAACCAGGCCAAGGCTGGCCGCGCCAATACTACTGGCATCAAACTCAAGCCCGTCGCTGGCGCCACCAAGCTCATTCTTGAGAGCGCCAAGGCCGCCGTTGCCGATACCAACATCAACGACAAGGTCCCCGATACTGATCGCGAGATGGACCTGACTTTCTACGACGCCAACGGCAATGTTGAGACTGCCGACCCCGATGGCGACATCAGCATGGAGGACGATACCACCATGTTGTCAATCGAGAATGACGACGCCTCCAGCTCCATCGATGAATCCGTCTCGGCTAACACCAGCGTCACCTCTGCCTACGACGGCGCGGCTGACTTTGAGTGCGACGGCATCATGCAGTCAACCGAGCAGAACGATGATGCCTCCGCCTCCATTGACGACCTCTTCTCGTCTGACGACGACATGACCAATGCCAGCGGCGGTCTGGACGAGGACAGCGCCGCTAAGTCGGACTGCGAGGCCCTTGTCGCCTCCTCTGCCCCGAAGCTGTTCAATAGAGACGTCCGCGGACACTCAGTTTCCCTCACCAAAGACAGCGAGAACTCGGTCTCTGCTGAGGATCGCGCCTATTACTCCGAGGACGATGGTGAGCACTATGAGTACGAGAAGTACGCCTTCCGACAGAAGAGACTTCGCCTCAAGAACAAGGCGCAGTGCTCCAAAAAGCGTCCTTCCAGACTCCCCAAGGGTGGCAAGGGCGTCCGCATGAAGGACGGCAGCATGGTCGCATTCAATGCTGCGAACCAGCGGTGCGACGACCAGGCCTGCGATGGAGACTCCGAGATGCCTTAGGATGGCAATGAGGACGACACATCTGGCCAGGCAGGTGGTGAGATTGAAGAATGGGAGACTGACGACGAGCCGGAGCTGATCATTCCGATTGACGAGGCTCTTGCCTTGGAGAGGATCGAGGAGGAGTCTTCGAAAGTCGTCCAAGCGACGCGCGCCTTGTACAGATTCACCGGCAACGCAATGCGCCTGCGCCAGTTCAAGAAACTCAAGGAGAGCAAGATGACGATTCGACAACAGCTGTCCCGCCTCGGCACTAGGACCTTGCGCCCCGAGGACATCGCCTGGAACTATGTCGTCCTGCACAATGAGAAGATTCGGGAGCTCTGGATTCGTTGCAACCAGATGGACCCGTACGAGAAGGACCGTGTGATGAGGCAGATTGATGATCTCAACCACAAGCGCCAGCAACGACTTGCAGAAGTCAACCAGGATGACTGCCCCATCAAAGTCTGGGAGTTCAAGGCAGGCTGGGTCCAGCCCGAGTACCGCCAACCTCTTCCGCGCCTGGAACCAGAGCCTGTTCAGAAGCCAGAGACCGTTCAGCAGCCAGAGCCTGCCCAGCAGCCAGAGACTTTGGAGCAGCAAGAGCTGCTGGCCACACAAGCTTCTTTCACGGACTTCGCTTCTATCGGCTCCTTCAATGACAACAGCAACCCGAAGGGCAACTATGGCGTTCCCGAGGCGGATGTCGACTACATGGGTTCATTCAGATTGGACGACCACGAGAGCCACTTTGAGACCGCATTCGAGGTCACCACTTCCAGCCAGAGATATGAGGCTGATCTCCCCGGTCTCGATGCCTTCGTGGACAGCCTCTGGACTGTTCCAACCAACGACACTGCCAGCACCCCGCTAGATGCCGCTGAGGTGGCGCATCTGCAGGAGCAGTTGCAGGTTTCCGCGCCGAATGAGCCAGTGCCTACCCAGAGTCAGTTCGAACCTGGTGAGGATATCAACAACGACAAGAGCTCTCTTTTCAGCGACAACGACGACGATGAGGTCGATGCCGCTCCCGTTTCTTGCAAGGCAGTTGAGGAGCCTCAGATCCTCGAGGACGCTCCCCATGTTCTCCCCAACACCCAGCAGTCTTCATTCGAGGAGCAAGTCATCGAGAACAGCGACTGCGACTCTCTCTTCGGCGATGCTAACGAAGACTGCCAGCCCGAGTCTGCCGAGATGACTGGCCAGGCTGTCGAGGAGCCCCTTATGTCTGAGAACAACACGACCGCCGACGCTCCTCCCGCCAACCCGCAGGTTTCCGAGGAGCAGCATGGCGGCGAGGGCTACGTTGATGACGATGATGATGACTCTCTAGGCATCGAGTTTGAGGATGTCGATTTTGAGACCGCTGCCAGCTCCAACCAGAACGCAGATGAGCCGCAATCCAGCACCAACACTGGCAGTGACGTGTGCGATTCCAGGGACTTGACAAACTCTGAACCCATCGCGCAGCCCGACCATGGCCCCGAGACACAGCTCAATCCAGTCTCCGAAGCACAGCCCACGCAGCAGCTCGGCACACCATTCGACCAGGAACTCGGAGCAGAGCTCCAGATTATCGAACAGCCTGCGCCGGAGAACCACTCAGCCCCAGATGTGGCGCCCGTCGAGCAGGCTGCCCTTGGCCCTCAAGAGGGCCAGCCAACAACCGACCAGAGCGAGGCTACCAGCGGTGAAGGAACGGAAGCGCCTTTCATGTCGCAAGGGTCCCTCCCGGGCTGGCACGAAATGCGCCCGTATATGACGGGTCTAGATGCTGTGCGTGAGTGGACTCGCGGTGAGCTTCGCCGTTTCTGGCCCAACGGCGTACAAGTATGCTCGGATTTGCAGCTGGAACTTTTCGGCACCGGAACCGACGAGTTTAGGGAGTTGGAGCTGTTGAGATACGAAGCGTGCGCTCGAACTAACCAACATTACATTGTTGAGTTTAAGGAGGAATACCCCGAGATCCCGCCCAATATGGTGGTCACACCCATCGACAATGGAGTGTACGCCTTTCTTTGCCTTGTTGCCCAGGCGCCCGCTGGCATCGTCGACCTGACTGGAGACGATTCAGCTTCTTCCGCCACGGCTCCTCCTTCTGGCGTGCAGCAGGCCGCTCTCGCCGCTCCCGCGGAAATCGTCGCCGCCGGTGCGCCGGTGTCCGCCACAGCGGGTGGAGATTCTGTTGCCAATGGTTCTGAAGCTGCCGAGGAGGAGGACGAGGTGACGAAGAGGGTGCCCAAGATCCCCACTCCACCGCCCGTTGACGAAGCCACCTTCGCGCAAGGACCGGTGTCTCTCACCAACAACGCTGAGCCAACGACGCCCGTGCAGAACGGTTCTGATGGAGACATTGGCACCTGGAGCAGTGACTGGTCTGGACAGGCCTTTTCAGATGGTGGCGACCCTCCCAGGTCGCCTTCGAACCAGGAGATTCGTGTCATGGAGCATTCCGTTACCACTGACAAGTACGACCGCGAGACCAATCCCACGGACGATGCTAAGGGCAGCAAGAAAGCTCGTGGCAAAAAAAGCACTGGACCTGTTCCAGGTTCGCTCAGCTCTGTGCGCAACGCACACAACACTCTCAACCAGCAGTTGTTCCCAAACGCCCAGGCCGCTGGCAACGTCCATGGACCTCCCCCGGCCGCCCCAGGCCCAGTTGCAGGTCCTTCCAATGCCGCACCGCCCACTCAGCAGGAGCCAGCTTCACAAGGCGCGACAGGAAAGCGCCATGTCGGACGCCCTCACAAGGACGACAGCGAGTTGGCCAGCCCCCGCAAACGCCAGCTCAAGAATCCCAATTCTCCCTGTGCCGAGCCCAGCAAGGGAGGCAACAAGCGCCGCAAGAAGAACGCACCGGCGGCCGCGGACACGACCGACGTGTCCCAGGGACAGCAGCAAGGCACGTCGGAGGAGAGCCAGCCCGCACAGTACTACGGACCTTCGCCCGATCGGAGTCTGGATGCCAAGGAATGGGTCGAGGAGCACACCCAGGGCGGTAAGGGCAAGAAGCGGAAGGCTCCTGCGCCCAAGAAGACTCCCGCTCCCCGCAAGGCGCGGAAGACCAAGGAGGCCACTCGCGCCGCACCCAAAACCTATCGGCCTATTGCCCCGGCCCCGCCGCGCAACCCAGTTGATGCCAATGGCGTACAGATGCAGTCTCGTGCGAGCACCCCGATGGGCCACGGTGGCGCCACAGGCTCTTCGCCCAATGTCCAGATGAATGGCAACGGCACCCAAATGCATTCGGCGGCACCTCACACGCAGAACGGCCGGTCTCAGCAGATGGGCCAGCAGTCTTCCCAACAGGTTCCGCAACAGTCAGGTTCTCAGCATACCGTAGGCCAACAGAATGGTTTCACCAACCATGTGCAGCAGCAGCAGCCTTGCGAGGTACCGGACCAGGATGACTTGAACAACAAAGAAGCATGGTTGACAGAGAAATTGCGCGAGGTTCAGCAACAGCGAAGCATCTTAGCTCATCAGGAACAACAACAGGGTCAGCAGTATCCCGAAGTGTCGCCCCAGATGATGCCCGACCCTTCCATCCAGCAGGGCTTCCAGGAACCACAGCAGCAGGACTTCCAGCAGGTGCCACAACAGGCGCCCCAGCAACCAATGCAGCAGCGAGCGCAGCAGCCAATGCAGCAGCCAATGCAGCAGCCAATGCAGCAGCCAATGCAGCAGCCAATGCAGCAGCATTTCCATCTGGGTTTCCAGCAGCCAATGCAGCAGCCAATGCAGCAACCAATCCATCCGGGTTTCCAGCACCCGCAGCAGGGTAATTGGCAGCAACAGAGCAGTGACATGACCAGCGGCGAACCAAACTTCCAGCAGCAGTTTCGGCAGTGGATGCGGTCCGAGCTCCAGGAAATGTTCGCTTCTCAAGTGTCCCAGACTCCCATGGCTATGCCACGAATGATGTCCAACCAGGGCATGCCATCGAATGGCATTGCACCTTACCCGACGAACATGCAAGAGAGCCACCGGCAGGCGTCTCCAGCCGTTGGATACCCGGCGGCCGGGCCCTTCCCTCAGAACGGATACCCGGCGCCCATGAACTTCAACCAGGGCATCGAGGGGATGAACGTTCAGGGCATGTTTGGTGGCTTCGATGGGGGCGTCAACGGAGCCTACATGGCTCAGGAGGGCATGCCCGACTTCAGTGGTTGAGTTCCAGTACAGAACAGGGGCGAGTCTTGAGTGAATTTGACATGGCACATGCCATAACAGCTGCCCGAGGCTTCTGGAGCCACGGTGTTGGGTCTTTGGCAGAGTGATGGATGGCTCTAGGGGTTTGAGTCTTTGACAAACGTTGAGGGAGTTGGCGAAGGCTGTTCTGCTCGTCTCAATTCGGAGACAAAAGGCAGGTCGCGAGGTGTTTGGACAAGTTCTTCTGCTTATGTCTTGAGTTGGAGACAAAAGGCAGGATCGAGCTGATGAAGGCTGCCTGAACGGGGTGATGGATGGAGATCAGGCTTGATCAGTTTCATGGTATGTTGTCTCCCTGGAGAGATCGAGACGACTTTGACGATGACCATGACGAGGTTTTGCACCTTGTAAAGGGCAGGAACCGGAACAATGAATCGAGTGTCATCCTGGAAACAGAAAACAGAAAACAATCACAAAAAAATGGAGTATCATTAGAAAATCTGCCTCGTTCCGCTTGTGACCATGTGATTCTGGGACTGTGATTGCTGACGTGACGCCGATCGGGAGTACTCCAGGATGGCAAGAAGGTGCTGGACTAACACATGAAGCTCGCTGATTTCGGCCATCTTCCAGACGTGATATTTCCAATAGTTGTTTTTCCCCAGAGATCCAAATTGTCCACGAGAGGCCAAGCGAGGGGGGGGGGCCAAGAGCCATACGGGCACTCTGACTGATGGTGATCACGGCCGAAGAACAGCAGGGAGTGATGCCGCACAACCACGGGACAGGAAGTGAGGGAGGGCTTAAATACTGTAGATATATAAGAACTGTCAGGATTTATTGTTTATGGTCGTGATGGCGAGCGAGCAGAGGGTACGCAGGCTGTGGGCAGAGAGCGGACGGCCATATTGTTCCCTCAAGACAATGCAGGTGCCCTGAATGGACGAGATGTATATTCTGCACACGGAGTGAAAATTTCGCTGTATTGGATGCTTGCGATGTGACATTATTGGTGTTCTCGAGGCAGTTGCCAGCTGCTGCGTAGGTGGTCCTGCCCTCTGCAAAGCTCGAGCCGCGGATCCGAAAAGGGATTAGACCAGGCCGTTGCTTCCAACATGTGAGCGAGCCTCAGCAATGTTGGACTCGGGCGGAACGGAACGGGATTGGACTGAACTGAATCATGGAGGACCCTCAACGGTCAGAATCTTCACACGTGCAAGGCGTCTTCTGTCTCTGCTGCACACACGACTCTGTCCAGCCTGCCGTGCCTCTTTCCGGAGTGCTCTCAGCACCGTAGACGCTCCTTCCTGTGCTTTATCGGAATGGCTCAGTTGCCCTCACCGCCACCAAAAGAATCTGTAGGGAGCGGCAACAGCGCCGGCGGCAGTGACGCTAACGATGGGAATCGAGGCAAGAATGGATGGAGGAGAGAAGGACGGGAGGCTTGAAGATGAGGACTGTGGCCAGGCTCATCAGGGAGGTATGTCCGCATTGCTCTCTCACGTCCAAGCTGTCAGGTGTTTCGTCCTCGTGTTGCCTCTGGAAATCCACCTTCATCAATGCATCCTTTATTATCTATCGCCATCAGCACCCCACAGGCCAGACCGTTGCTTCCCCGAGAGACTCCATATTAAGCTCTTCGGCGGTTGCCCGCCCGGCAGTCTGCCAACCGGCCACGAGTCTGGTCATGTCTTGGAGCTTGTCCTGTACTGTCTTGCCTCCCAGGGTTGCACTTGGACCTGTGCGTCCTCGCACCGAGTCGCACCTCGCCCCAAGTCTCCTGCGGGGGGATGACACGAGTACTTGTACAGTACGGTACAGTGCTGTCCGTACAAGTTGTACCCGTCTTGTGTGCTTGTATGCCTCGCAGCCCGGCCCAGCCCAGCCCAGCCCACTTTGTTTTTTTGCCTTTGCATATTCCCGATTATGCTTCACCTTCCAAGCTTTGCATCCTGGCATCTGATCACCAAAGCCACCACCCGGGCATCCCTCCTGCATAGTCCCCTGTGCCCTGGCGAAGATCCATGTTTCTCCGCGCCCTCACCCTCGGGTGGTGCCGTTGTCCCTCCCTCCCTGCGCCCAACACATCTACCTAGACTGCCCACTAGGTCGGTAGGTCGGGACAATATACGGGGGTACGTGGACTACATCCTAGGTATATACGCAGGCGGTATATAGACCACCTGGATTGCCTGTCAGCCAGCCTGGGCACTCTATCCTGTGTGCCTGTGTCGCGTGAGGCGAGCATGAGCTGCTAGTGTGGTTCATGTTGAGGGCAGCCCCTGCTGCATCTGCGCAGAAGCCCAGACTCAGACTCAGAGTCCAGACCTCTCATTCTTGGGGGAGATAGCACCACCTGAAGATGCTTCAGCGGGTACTCCGTTCCCATCATACCACTTTTCCCCCTTCCCTCCGCCTCCTTCCCCGGCCTGCAGCCAGGCGACCTGCATTGTCACGAGCACCCCTCGCACTCTCCTCCCCTGCCTTGCTACGTACAGTTACGCAGAACACATGGTCTGTGTACATAATCACACGCGCCGACACTCGCTCGCTCGCACACCCACACACGCACACACACCCACACATGCACACATACGGACATAATCTACAGCACATACCCATCACAACACTGCAATTTCCCTGCCGTCGCATCAGCTCAGACAAGAATCGCAGGCTTTGCACCACACCTGCAGCGGCAGAAGCAGCAGCGGCAGAAGCTGAGCCTGCACCCGCAGCCGCTCTCCACACCCACTGCGACCGCTGTCGTTAAAAACTCTGGACGGCCTGGGGCGCACAGAGACCCATCCCCGGTGCCATCCTTGCCTCCCCGCTCCCCGCACCATCCTCTATCCAGCCCGGATCTGCAGCATCGGGTGAGCATCGCCCTGCAAGGACTGCCAGGACCGCCAGGCCTGCCTCGCCTGCGGCCTATAGCTCCAACCTCAACCGCAGACATTTGCCCGGGGGTCTCTCCTCCCCAACTGTCCCAGACGCCCCAGCCGGCAACCGCACCTTCTATCAGCCTCAGCCTGGGTCTCACTCTCCGCCTCACTCCCAGTCTCACTCCCAGTCCCAGACCCGGTCACATCTTCCTGCTCAGCTCCGGCCTCGAGGACCGGCTCAGGCGTCTCCGAATGCACAAGGAGACACCAAGGACAAGCACTACAACATGATCTTCACAGACTTGTACAAGTCGCCCAAGTCGCCCTTAGCCCGATTACGTCACTCGCATAACACCCAACTCTCCGTGCTTTCTGCGGACTATGACCCCGACTTGACCAGCAAGGATAAGACCAAGCAGAAGGAAGCCGTCAAGAAGCACCTGCAGTCCAAGGTCCGCAACGACTGGTCTTTCACTTGGCCACCGGCGGAGCACGCGGGCTCCTCACCCGCCGAGGACGAGCCACAACAGCCGGGAGCCACCGAGGACGCACCAGCGGTTGAGGACCTCGAAGGCTTCCTCGAGGTCGCTTCAGATGGCCCTGACCCTGACGGCCAGGCAGAGTATGGCCAGGATACTGACAGGGACTCGGCCGAGGACACAGATTCCGACACAGATTCTATCTACAGCACCATAATAGAAGACCCCATCCACTGGCGACCGAGGTTGGAATGGGCGTCGGAGCTCTCTGAAGATGAGTTGCCCCATAGCTCTTCGTCACCCTTCAAGTTTGATACCCCGGATTCAATCGGCCAAGCCGTTAATGCGTCCAACATCGCCGGCAAAACCCGCAGGCGCAGAGAGATTCGGAAGGAGGCAGCATGGAATGATGGCCTCGCATGCTTCGAGGCCAGGAGGAACGCCTGGACCCAGGCGAAGGTGGCTCGAGCCCGCCCGAAGCCGCCGTCTCCAGTGTCGCCGTCCTCGCCTAGGAAAGGCCTTTTCTGGCGGACGCATACCAACACGTCGTCCAATGCCGGCCAGACAGCCGCTTTGCCGGCCTCTGTGACTTCGCCCCTGACGCCAATCACGACGCCAATCACGACGACAAACTCACACCCAGACACCGCCCAGGCACATCCTGGCAGCGGAGGCAGCGGCAACTCCACGCCCAACGACAACCTGTCACCAAAGACATCGCGCAGCGATCACCTCCACAATGAGCCATTGCAACCCGAGCAATTGCCTGTCGAGACGCTGCTCCCAATCGCCCCGCCCCTCCTGCCGCCCGCAAATCCGATGCGCGCCAGCATAACCCCGGCTCTGTACGGCTCAATCTATGAAAAGGTTGTGGTGCACAGCCTGCAGCCGTCCTGTCCCATAAATCTAGGAGACATGGTGCGTGCGTGCGTGGCAGGGTGGAAGCGCGACGGTGAGTGGCCACCCCGGGTCACGGGCCCCGAGCCCGCCGCCCTGGTTGCAGTCAAGAGAAGGAAGTCAGCAACGACCGCGACAGCCGTGCCGCCGAGCCCGGCCGGGTTTGCTGCCATCAATGGTTCTGGCGCGTCCGGGCGGAAGCTGAGCTTCTCCTTATTAGGCGGGCATGGGCATGGTGGCGAGAAGGGGAGAAGGGAGAGTCTGGCCGAGGAAGGGAGCGGCGGGTCGGCAACGGGCAAAGCCCTCAGGAGGAGCCTCCAGAAGGTCCTGGGGATTGGGCATGGACAGCATCCTAATCAGCCTGTCGATGGCAGTGCCATTGTCCAGGAGCACTAACGGTGCCACTCAATAATGATGAAACGATTCGTATTCAAAACATGTTGCCGATGTGCCAGTGCCGCAAGGGAAACAGCAAACCCTCCAACCGGTTGGTCACTGATCGATGGGGTCTCGGTGATGTGAGACAAGGCGAGATCGAGAGTGTCTCTCCTTACTTGATTGACAGCTTGCACGTGCAGCTACACACCATCGGCTCGGGGTTTCAGGCCGAGAAGAGTGGACATGGCCATCCCTCCTGTGGCCCCCCCCCCAAAAGACATAAGTTGAATGTGTACAGTAGACTGGAGACTAATGAACCGCTGACAGAACGGTCGCCAACCAACTGGCACTGGTTGATCCGGTGGGATGGAGATCTCTGGTGTGCTTGGCGATGGGTTAGTCTAGGCCAACAGCCGTGTATGCAATTCGTGATGCAGCGAACAACTTTCTTCCTGAATGCGCACCAAGCCGGAGTGCCAGGGGCCTGAACGAATTTGGGACGTTGGGATGACTACCTGCATAGGCACGGCTGCAGCTCGAGGTGCACATGAGTCGATATTTGAGTCTGGCGATTACACGAGATGCCCTCATGACTGACTTCCAAGGCGGGCTTGAAAACATGAGACTGCATGTGCAGCCCACTGAACGGCACATACATACATGCCTGTGTGGGATATCCAGCCAGTCGCAGCGGTCTGTGCAGGAGGGCGTGGGGGATTACGGTTCTCTGCTTGGCGGGATCATCCAGCTAGCGGTGACGCCACTAGGCCAAGGCCCACCAGTCAGTTCCTAGACCGAGTCGCAATGAGGCAATCAGACTGCCGGCGCGCCCACACTTGTCCCATTGACGATGGCCCTGTAGCTGGACTAATTAATCGCCCGATTTTGTACATATTATCAGGCCGTTGCTCTTTCTACCCTCGTTATCCCGTCCGATGTGCGGCCAATACAGGTAGCTTCAGCCACCATTCCGCCCTCCGATTCAGCCCGGAAACATCCCTCCTCCTCTGCCCAAGCAGCGAGAACCACCAACACCGATCATATCAGGCCGCTTGCGCATGCTCCGGCAGCAGCAGCAGCGATAGGGGACCAATCCGCAGCAACGGCCTTGCCTGCGGCCTTGATAGGTACCTCGACAGGAGGGGGGAGTACACCAACACAACCAACTGCCACACACGAGCAGTACGAGCTTTCCGACTACTCAAACATCCGGGCGCGCCAGGAGCTCCAGGAGAAAGAGGCGAGGCGAGCTACAAAGTACACCGCGAAGCTCGCTGAGCTCGAGGAGGCATTCGAGATGAAGTAGGCTCCCTGAGCGGCTCCTTGTGACGCCTTCGGCTGGAATAAAGGGGCCAGCCGGACGAACGGATAAAAAAAAAGGTCATCAGACTGACAGTCGTGTTCTAGATTCGCTCATTCTATCCAGTTCAATGCTGTTCCGGATTGGACCAGCCACTACATCGCATACAGCAGCCTCAAGAAGCTGTGCGTTCTCCCACTCACCCTTACCCTTCTGACAACATCGCCATGCCAGACCCCACTGACTCGTACGCACGTCATACAGGATCTACCAGCTCGAGAAGACTGTTCACCAGTCTAGCGCACAGAATGGTGACGCCGAATCGAGACCTCTGATGCCGTCAGAGGACCCGGACGCCGTGTTCAAGCGCGCTCTAGACGTTGAGCTCGAGAAGATCAGCTCCTTCTACCAGCTCAAAGAGGGAGAGCTCGTCGACGACGTGAACGCCCTCCTGCGCGACATCGGCGACTTCGAGTCGGAGGAGGACGAGGAGGACAATGGCAGGCCCGCGACGCGGAGTAACGGGGGGCCAAGCCGGCAGATGGATCGGAGCCGACAAGGCCGCCGCGGGAGTGCGCACAGCCAGCACTCCACGGAGGATGGCGTCGAGGACAGTGACGACGAGGAGGACGGTGACGAGACCACGGCGCTCACTGCGCCCACCTCTCGGAAACGCCGCGTGAGCTTGCTCGGCGGGCGGCGGAGGTCGTTGGCCGGGCCTGCAACCGACATGACGGCGTCCACGGAACTGACCAAGTCGAGGCGGCTGAGTCTAGGCTACGACGACTACGAGCAGGCTGTAGTCTATTCGGGCGGTATCATGCTGAAGAAGCGCATCATCTCCCTCTACGTGCAGCTGTGCGAGCTCAAGAGCTACGTCCAGCTGAACAAGACGGGCTTCAGGAAGGTGCTCAAGAAGTTCGACAAGATCCTCGACCGCAATTACAGACCTGTATACATGGACAAGTACGTCGAGCCGGCGTACCCCTTCCAGCACGCCACGATGAGGGGGCTCGAGGAGACCATCTCCAAGATGGAAAAGGCCTATACGGATATCGTGACGAATGGTGACTACGAGGCCGCCAAGAAGGACCTGCGGTCGCACCTTAGGGAGCACGTCGTGTGGGAGCGGAATACGGTGTGGAGAGATCTCATCGGCATAGAAAGGCGGGCCGAGGCGGCCAGTCTGGGCCAGACTCTGCTGGGCACCGGCGGCAAGCCGCTGAAGACGCGACTGCAGGGAGACGATGAGCAGTTTCCTGATACTAAGGAGATCTCGACGCCCATCGGCAGGTTCACGTGTCCGGTATGGCTATTCAGTTCGGGCATGTTCTTCCTGCTCTCTGCCCTGGTCGTCTTCTTCGTCATGCTGTTCATCCCGATCATGTCCAAACCCGAGCAGCAGAATTGCCTGGCCATGTTGGTCTTTGTCAGTTTACTGTGGGCCACAGAGGTATGTTGTGTCTTCCGCCTTGGGGCAGAGACCATGATCACAGACAGCTGACTCCAGATTTCAGGCGATACCCCTATTTGTGACGTCCCTAATCATCCCGTTCCTTTGCGTCGTCCTCAATGTGGTCGTATCAGAGAGTCGGCCGAAAGAGAGGCTTAATTCCAAGGAGGCTACGGCATACATCTTCGCCGCAATGTGGACTCCGGTCATCATGCTGCTGATCGGCGGCTTCACGCTCGCCGCCGCCCTGTCCAAATGCAAGATCGACAAGCGCATCGCTACGTTTGTACTCAGCAAGGCGGGCACGAAGCCGAGCACGGTCATCCTCGCGAACATGTTAGTCGCTGCATTCGCCAGCATGCTGGTCAGCAACGTTGCAGCTCCTGTTCTGTGCATCTCTATCATCGAGGTTTGTCTCACGTTCCTCCCTCTGAAGACCTATTGTCATCTAGATAGCTGACGGAAACACACCACAGCCCATGCTACGGAATCTTCCCTCAGACTCGAATATGTGCAAGGCCCTGCTCATGGGCATCGCCCTTGCATCCAACATCGGCGGCATGCTCAGCCCTATCGCATCCCCACAGAACGTCGTCGCCATGGGAATCATGGTGCCGGAGCCGGGGTGGGGCCAGTGGTTCTTCATCGTGATCCCCGTTGGCATCATCTCCATTGTGCTCATCTGGATCTTGCTGCTGGTGACCTTCCACCCCGGCCGAGGGACCACAATCGTGCCCATCCGCGAGCACAAGGAACAGTTCACAGGTGTCCAGTGGTTTGTGACCATCGTTACGATCGCCACTATAGCGTTGTGGTGCGCGAGTCACCAGCTCGAGGGTGTCTTTGGCGACATGGGTGTCATTGCGATCATCCCTATTGTGTTATTCTTCGGAGTCGGCATCCTGACAAAGGAGGACTTCAACAATTTCCCATGGACCATCATCATTCTCGCCGCCGGTGGTCTGTCCCTCGGCAAGGCGGTCAAATCGTCTGGCCTGCTTGACACGGTCGCGATAGCTATCTCCCACCGCGTCGACGGCATGAGTTTGTACGGCGTGCTGGTCGTGTTTTCGTGCCTCATCCTGGTCATCGCCACGTTTATTTCGCACACCGTGGCAGCGCTGATCATCCTGCCTCTGGTGTATGACGTGGGCGCGAGCATGGAGGAGCCGCATCCGAACCTGCTGGTTATGGCTGGCGTGCTAATGTGCTCTGCGGCGATGGCTCTGCCGACGAGCGGGTTCCCCAATATGAGTGAGTGCCCCCCTAGTCGATCTTTTCGTTACGTGGATCGTCCGCTAACCAAGCCCCTTCTATTTAGCTGCCATCATGAAAGAGGACGCCACGGGCCAGAGATACCTCCAGGTAAAGCACTTCATCAGCAGGGGCGTGCCGAGCAGTCTAATCACGCTTGTCGTGGTGGTGACGCTTGGGTACGGGGCGATGAGAGCCAGTGGCATGTGAGCTTGCTTGTTTGTGCGGGGCCTTCGCGTAGATTTGTTCGCACGGTTTTACGATACACGGCACTTCTGGTTTGTGGTGCTGCTGAGATGAATGGCATTGAGACGGCGCATGGACTGAGTTTGAATATCGGGTTGTTGGTTGCATATGTCAACAGCGATGTAGCGTTTGGTGTGGATATTATTGAAAGTATAGAATGCGAACATGCTCTGAAGAGTATTCCTGGAGGTGGTTCAAGTATCATAGATAGTGTTGAGGCCAACAGCTCGAAGATGAAAGGGGCCCATTCTCAATTGTTTTGGTTGTTCTAGAGGGCGGCCAATCGGCAAGACCCGCTCGATGCAGGCAGACTAAATACTCCGTCGGCCCCCATGCGATGCGGTCATATGCGCGAACCGGAGCTCTCTTTCACTGCCTACAGGGGTCACGAAGCTCCACGAACAGCTGTACATACAGCCCTTGCGACTCAACCCAGCAATATCGTGTCCAGTTGGCAACAGTGTCGACAGACCTGCTGGCCCCAACCAGTCCGACTCAACGTCAAAGCCCTGATGTTCCCATAGCGTCCCAAGTCCCTGCTGCACGGCCAGCGGCGCACCCGTCGCAGCCATGCTCTCCGCATTCACTGCTCGGTCCATTATCGAGCTCAAGCAGAGGGACAAGTCCAAGATAGAGACGATACTTGCTTATGGTATTTGTGCAACCCTGACCTGAGCCGTTGGTGGTACCCGTTCCTCACACTCTACTCTAGGCGACCGCGTCCTCGTCGGCCTCAACACCGGCAGTCTACGTGTCTACCGACTCAACGATCTCGAACCTCCACCAAACCTACAAGTCCAATCTACGAACGGATCAACCGCTTCCCAGGCCGATGCTGCTCCCCATGAATCCGATGCCGCGTCCCAACCGGCGCCGGCCCCCAGTAAGCCCGCCGCGAAGAAGCCTACAGACCTCCTCCGCGAGGTCGAGAAGTTCTCCAACCGCGCGATCGAGCAGCTCGCAATCATCAAGGAGGCCAACACGCTGGTGTCGCTGTCCAACTACGCCATATCGCTGCACGACTTGCAGTCCTACGAGCCCATCGACGGGTGCGCCCCGCTGCCCCGCACCAAGAACGCGTCATGCTTCGCCGTCACGAGCAACATCGTGCGGGACTCGGAGACGGGCATCCCGGAGATCATCAGCCGTATGGCCGTGGCGGTGAAGAGGAGGCTGCTCCTGTGGCGCTGGCACGAGAGCGAGCTGGCGCCCGACGTCGGCGAGGTGGTGCTGGCCGAGGCGATCCGGACGGTGACGTGGGCCAGCGCCACCAAGGTGGTCTGCGGCATGAACTCGGGCTACGTCCTCGTGGACGTGGTGTCACACGAGGTCGAGGACGTGGTCGCGCCGGGCGCCATCGCCGGCGGGCAGGGCAACCGCTTCGGGGCCATGAGCAGCGCGGGCATGGGCTACATGGGCCTCGGCGGCTACGTGCCGAGGCCGCTCGCCACCAAGCTCGCCGACGGCCAGATGCTGCTGGCCAAGGACATCAACACGCTGTTCATCACCGACGAGGGCAAGCCCCTGCCCAACAAGCGGCAGATCCCCTGGCACAGCGCCCCCGAGAGCGTCGGGTATAGCTACCCCTACATCCTCGCCCTGCAGCCGCCGGCCAAGGGCACCTTGGAGGTGCGCAACCCCGACACGTTGAGCCTCCTGCAGAACATCAGCCTTCCCGGGGCCGCCAGCCTGCATTTCCCTCCGCCGACGGTCAGCCTCGCGCATGCGGGCAAGGGGTTCCATATCAGCAGCGAAAGGGCGGTGTGGAAGATGGACGCGACGGACTACGACAGCCAGATCGAGGAGCTCGTCGGCTCCGAGAAGTACGACGAGGCGATCAGTGTGCTGGGCATGCTTGAGGATGCGCTGCTGAAGGACAAGACCCAAACGATGAGGGAGGTCAAAATGCAGAAGGCCGAGGTGCTGTTCCGGCAGAAGAAGTACCGCGAGTCCATGGACCTATTCAACGAGGATGCTGTGCACGCACCGCCCGAGAGAGTACTGCGGCTCTTCCCAAAGTCAATTGCCGGAGAGTTGTCCGCACACAGTGACGACAAGGACAGTGACAGCGAGTTGGAGCCGGATGAGACCAACGAGAAGTCGTCTGAGCCACATGATGGGGAGCATACTCGTAAAGATACCGATGCGGCTTCCTCGGCTGCCGAGGAGACACTGTCCCCAGCAACGATGGGGGCAGGTTTCGCCAGAATGCTACTAGGGCATCGTAGCAAACCAAAGGACGCAGATACAGCGTCGCTTGACTCGTCTGCGAAGCGAGGAGTGGACAATGACGACGCAGTCAGCGTCAAGAGCAAGTCATCCAAAGCAGGTGACGACAGCAATACGCTAGAAGGCAAGGACCTGAAGGAAGCTGTTCTCGAGCTCCGGGGCTTCCTCGCCGGGACGCGCGCACGTCTCCAGCGCGTGTTGGACCCTGTCAGCGGTAAGCTGAAGACCAAGATGTCACAGTCTGGCTCGAGCGAGGAAGCTCTCAAGAGTCTCATCAGCACCACCGGCGGCAGAGACGAGTCGGACGATGTACTGGAGCAGCAGCTCCAGGAGACGTTCAAGATTGTCGACACGTGCCTATTCCGCGCGTACATGTTCTCTGCGCCGACGCTAGCCAGCTCGCTGTTCCGCATTCCCAACTTCTGTGACCCGGACGTCGTCAACGAGAAGCTGGTGGAGCACGACCGGTACAACGAGCTTGTAGACTTCTTCTACGGCAAGCGGCTGCACCGACAGGCGCTGGAGCTGCTCAAGCGGTTCGGCGAGGGCGAGGAGCCAGACGAGCGCGCGCCATCACTGCACGGCCCGGCCAGGACGGTTGGATACCTGCAAAACCTGCCGCCCGAGATGATCGACCTGATCCTCGAGTTCAGCGAGTGGGCGTTGCGCCGCGCGCCGGACATGGCCATGGAAATCTTCCTGGGCGACACCGAGAACGCCGAGACGCTGCCGCGCGAGAGGGTCGTGCGCTTCCTGGACGCTATAGATACGCGCCTCGAGGTCACATACCTGGAGCACATCATCAACGAGCTGAACGACCTCACACCCGAGTACCATGAGCGCCTTGTCGATCTTCTGGTGAAGCAGCTCAAGGGCGCCGACGCGCGGGACGGGCGGGACGCGGAGTGGGAGAGGAACATGAGCAGGCTGCTTGGGTTCCTCAAGGAGTCGAGGCAGTATAGCCTGACCAGGGCTTTTACTTTACTCAAGGGTGATGGTGAGTTTTCCGAGCACCTTGCACGCACTGTCGGCCACAGATTCTGACTAGTATTCCCACACAGATCCAGCTTTCTATGAAGCTCAGGCTATTGTCCTGAGCAACATGGGCGAGGACAGGCAGGCGCTCATGATCTACGTCTTCAAATTGCAGGACTATCACAAAGCAGAAGAGTATGTTGAGCCGTTCTCTCGCTTGTTCTCATTTGCATGTCTGACACTGGCGATCTAGATACTGCAATCACGTCCACTTATCCAAAGAGACACCGACACCAAGGCCGCCGTCCTCGGGGGCGACAGGCCCCGCGGGCACATTCAAAACACAGAAGCCTTCCCCTGTGTACGAAGAGAAGAATGAGGACTCAGGCCCATCCATCTACCAGACCCTGCTGTCACTGTATCTCAATCCCCCGCCGCCACACAAGCCAAACCTCCCGCCGGCGCTCAGCCTGCTATCCAAGCACGGCTCGAGGCTCCCCGCGGCGTCGACTTTGTCGCTGATCCCGGACATGCTGCCGGTGTCGGACCTGGAGTCATACTTCCAGGGCCGGATCCGCTCGGCCAACTCGGCCGTCAACGCGAGCCGGATCATCGCGGGGCTGCGGCAAACGGAGCTGGTGGCCAGCCAGGCGCTGCTTCTCCTGGGCGACGGGGTGCCGGGCGGGCAGGGCGGGCGCAACCGCAGGGTAATCATCAGCGACGAGAGGGTGTGCGGCGTGTGCCACAAGCGCCTGGGCGGCAGCGTCGTCGCCGCGCTGCCCGACAACTCGGTCGTGCACTACGGGTGTCTGAACCGGAGCCAGAGGGCCTTCTCGTCGGCGGCCGCGAGCGTGGGGGCCGGGGCTGGTGCCGGCGAGGGCGTGGGCATGAGCGAGAGCGTGCGTAAGGCGTCGACCTGGTCTAACGCGCCGGTGAGCACGACGACGGGGCCGTGGAAGACCGGGAGGAGCGGGGGAGGCTGGGGGACGAGTCCGCGGGCAGGATTTGACGGCTGATGGACGGATTGGTATGTATGGCATGTAGTATCCGGGGGCGCATAGCATGGTCGAGGAGCATTATAGCAATACCCATCGTGCTTCTTTTCTTTCCTTCCATCCTCTTCGGTATGAGCAGCATTGATGCTTCAATCCTCTTGTACCTCCTCCTCGCCATAGTTCTGCTCCTCCTTCGCGTCGTCGACCGCAGGCTTGCCGTTCTTGACGGCCTCCTTGGCCTTGGCCTTGTCCTCCTCCATGCGCTGGGTGAGCTCCTTGTTGACCTGGTCCTGCATGATTGCCACGGCCTTGCGCAGGTCGCTCAGGTACTTGGTCTTGTCTGGGACGGTCGGGTCCACGGTGCCGGACGGGGGTGCTTGCAGCTCGTGGGTGGTGGTGAAGGGGGCGTTGGTGGGGGATGAGTAGGTCCCGGTGAGGGACAGCTTCGGGCTGTTGCCGGCCATGGTTGTTGCTCGAAGGAAGAGGAAGAGAGGAGATTACCGAGAGGTGGCTTGTCGCGTGATCACACAGTCGTCTGAGCGTTGCAGCTTGTTGCGTGACAAGGTCAAGGGAAGAATATGGTAATGAGGGCAATAACAAACCTTGCGAAGATCTTCAGTGGGCGCCTGGGTACCTTGGAATGTCTTCAACGAAGCTTTCCGAGGCTGAATAGTGGGGTGCTGTTAAGAGCAGCAGCGGCAGAGCAGGGGTCCTGGTGTGAACACCAAGGAATGGGGGATGCGGTCATCGGCGGGATCCCTTGCCTCTGCCCTGACAAGGGGTTAAAATGGGCGAGGATCGTTGATGGATTTCGCGGGTGGTCGCAGCCCCAAGGCCACGGACGGGTTGCCCGCCTCCCACTAAGACTCCAACCACCGCATCTAAACGAGCCTAGACAAGACGACTAAGAACAGAGCCTCACCTCTTCACAAGTCGCACGAGACTCTTCTTCTTTCTCCCTTTCTCTGATCAGCCCGGAGAGCGATCATCAAACGGCCCCATCGATCGATCTGCACCCGCCGGCATCCTGCGCCCAATGCACCGAGGCACAAATCAAGACGTCGAGTCGAGACGCTGGTGATCTGGGACGAACGGCGCGCCCGGTGCCTGGCATCTGATACCCGACACCTCGCCTGCCTGCCCACCGGCCAAGATGTAACAGCTCTCTCGCATGTACTGGTCCCGAACGCCGTCCCACGAGAACAACAATGCAGCCAGCACGACCCCAGCTGGGGGGTGGCAGGGCCCCTGGGAGCTTTGCGCCCCTGCCTCGAAACGAGCCGAGCCAGGGCAACAACGCATTCAACAGCAACCCAAACGCCAACGCAACCAGCAACAACTCCAGTGCCAACAACAATAACAACAGGATCCAGGGCGACTCGCAATCCTTCTACTCCTCGGGTGTTAATGCTGCTGCTGCCGCCGCCGCCGCCGCTTCTGCAGACCTGCCACCACCTCAGCGGCCGCGAGTGCGACGGGTCGAATCATCCTCGAGCGAAGACTCCATCTCCATACATATCGCGAAAGCACGCAGTCCTACGTCACAGTACAACCCACAGTTCCCACAACAGGCACCATCGCCTGCGCCTGGCTCTTCCACCCCCTCCTACACACAGTTCACGACCGCCCACTCCAATTCCAGCGCCGCCAGCCTGCAAAACTTCTCCCGCCCGACCCCCTCGCCCCTCGCCAACGCCGCCGCTGCCGCCGTCGCAGCGAGGTCAGTGGCCGGTAGCCATGACCCACAACTCCGCAACGCTTCGCCTCTGACCCTGCCTCCATCCACCGCGAGTAACACCGGCATGAGCAGACCTCTGGGCCATTCGCGCAAGCACTCGCAGAACGCCGGTGTCTTCGAGCCGTCCTTGCCTTCTATCTCCACATCGAATCTATCCTCTTACGGCGGTATGTCTCAACAATCACCCAGCCAGCGCGACCTTCCCGCGAGCCATATCGCGGCGCAGGCCGCCGTCCTAAGCCACCAGCAGTCGCAGCAGATGCTGCAACATTCAAGACAGCGCTCGCAGACAGTGCCTACGCCAAGCGATCACTACGAAGCCCCACAGCCGACGGGCAAGAGAGGTAGCGGTCAGCTGAACCCCCCGGTGCTGAGCTTGACGGAGGCGAGCGCGCCGAGGGAAACAGGATTTGGCAGCCAGGGATATCACAACGGGCTACTCGGGAGCAACGCTGCCACCACGGCGGCCAACGTTGTCTTCCCTCGATCTGGACAGACGTCACCAATATCGAGCCAACTACCACCCCAGCCTCCACCGCCGCCGCCGCCCCTGCCGGAGAAAAAGCCAGAGAAGTCGTCCAAGGTGAAACTGTTCTCTCGGCCCGGCAAGATCGGCACCAAGGGCGAGTCGAAGGACAAGCCGCTGCCCAGTCCGAGCAAGATCGGTTCCGCCCTTTCTGCCTTGCAGAGGGCCAACTTCAGCACTACGAGTCTGGACTCTACGGGCCAGTCTTTCTACAATATGGCGAATGCCTCCTCGGCGACGATACGGCCCGTCGACCCGCCCGCTGAGAAAGAGGCGAAGGAGAAGAAACACCACTTCTTGTCCAGGCAAAGGATCAAGCCCAAGGACAAAGATGACTACCACCTGCAGCTGTCGTCTGCAGCGAGCAACTCGCGACCAACAGACCCAAGCGCCCCGAGCAGTATTTATAATTTCAACGTACCATCTAGCCCCGGCCCGAACTCGAGCGCGTTCAACTCGGGCACATTCAAGAATATCAGTGGGCTTGACCTACGACATGGTGGGCGAGCACTGAGACACGGCCGCAAGGAGGAAAAGGCCGATGTAAATGAATCCGTCAGCAATCCGAACGACTGGGCCGGGCCGGGAAGCTTGGGGTCCATGCACGCACACCCTATGTACCAGGAGCCGATTGACTCGGCCAAGTATGGCCTTAACAGCATGTCAATGGACGATGCCTGGCCGTACCTGAGAGCAAAACTCCTCGTCATCTTCGAGGCTGAAGAGCTTAAGCTGCCGATCGAGGACTTCAACCGCGTTGTGATACTGCACCTCCAGTACTGCATACAACGGCGATCTCCAAACATGGTCTTGGAAGACCTTCGTGGCCTGCTGCAGACAGGGTTCCTCAGCCTCGACCGAAATCTCCTCAAGGGCGCTGAAGACCGCATGATACCCGCCCTGGTAGACGCCTGGATGGCCGTCTTCACACACATCACGCCTTACCTACAGGCGGTATTCTTGCCTCTGGACCAGGAATTCGCCGGCAACGGCACGCTCATGACGCCGGACCAGGCCCGCGACTTCTGGGGCGGTGTGATAGCCAGCTCGCCGGCAGCCGACGGCAATATCAACCTTGCCCCGGCGTCGGCGGTACTCGACATACGCACGCTGGTGCTCACGAGCTTCCGGGACGTGGTGATCCTGCCGCGATACGAGAAACTTAAGACCATGTTCTCGCGGCTGTCGCTAGAGTTCCTGCCGGGCATGGCGCTCGCGAGCCCGATGCAGGCCGACACCTTCATGTCCACCTCCCCCGGCGCAGAGTCGGCACCGGGGCTCCCATTCGTGCCGCAACAGAGACCGGGCACGGCCATGTCCCTGGACCCCTCTACGGCAAGCTACAACTCGACGTCGACGACGCTCCTGGGCGACCTGGCCGCGGGCGGGCGCAGCCGGGGCCTGTCCAACGTCTCGTTCGCGTCGAGCGGGGCGCACAGCAACGGCGGGTCGGACTCGCTGAACATGTCGTCGGCGCACTCGCTGCGGCCCCCGAAGCTGACGCCCGGGAATAGCAGCCTCAGCCTGGGCGGCGGCGGCGGGCCAGGGCCGGGATCCTCGTCGACGTCGCTGCTCGGCCTGTCGCTCCGCGAGCAGAACGTCGAGGACAGCAAGCAGGTCACCGAGATGGTCGGGCGGATGCTGCAGTGCATGAGCGTGCTGGCGGGGACGGGCCAGGGCGATGACGACGGCACGAAGTCGGTGCAGGAGCTGAGCCGGCTGCTGAAGCTCAACTGGCTCGGCAGGGGCCGCACGGGAAGGAACAGGAGGGGCATCGTCGGCGGACGGGTCGCGAGAGGCAACAGCAACCGCGAGGAGATCAGCGTTGCTTAGAAGGCCAAAGACTGATTATGCCTCTCTTCCTGTTGCGAGGTTTGTGCGGGTCGTGCCCGTTGTATGATTACATTTGGAGTTGGCTATGTTGGGTGTGCTTTCATGGATTTTACGAAGAACAAAAAGAGAGGGCAGGACGCAATCTGTCTTTGCTGCAAGGCGCACAGGAATACACACATGGGGACATGCCCTCCGTTCGGAAGGCTGCTTTAGGTTGAGGGAAAGACACAATGTGATTATTCGATCAAGTCGTATTTATTCATGTCTGCGTGTCTATATGAAATCAAGAAAAGTCAAGCGATGGCTGTGCTCAAAAATTTCAACATCCATGCATCGCCGAATCCCTTCACAACACGAGATGCCTACCACAGTCCAGCGGGCTAGTGGAACCTAGAGAACTTGAACCCGGTCAGCATCTGTGTTGATAACGGTGACGGTTTCAACGACGAAGAGTTTTTGTTGATCAATCAGACATCCAAGGAAGAAATGACCTCTCATCTGTTCACCTATAGGCTTGAACGGGAACTCGAGTGGAAACTGCGAACGTTGATGGAAATTTCATCATGCGATCAGGGAGGGGGAGGAGGCGATAAAAAGAAAGGACGACGTAGTACGAACCTTGGCATGTGATAGGTCGTGAGATGCTGGCGAGGTTAGCATTTCAGCATGTCTGGGGATAGCAAGTGTCGAGTGTTCCTGTGATTTGCGAGGTCAGCAAATGGCCCATCGCGTAATCGCGTCGTCAAGACGCTCGTGCTGAGTGGTCGTGTGCAACAAAACAAGGGGTCCTTCATAGATTCAGACAGAAAATACTGGCAAGTAACAGGTATCGTCAATGCAGCTTGCGAAGGCGCACGCGAGGGAACCCGAACAGACTAGATTTCTTCATGGTCGATTCAGTTGGGAAAAGAAGACGTTTGCTTAAAGTTGTCATCAAATGAAGGTTTGGGGGAGTGCTTGTCGCTGTTTTGAGTGCTCGATGTGGCTTAGAAAAAAAGAGAAGGGCGCGAGCCTACCTGTAGTACTGACGTCCCGACCCTCGAACAGCAAACCAGGCGCGTCGGGGTCGAAAAGCATGCTGATGCTCGCCCGCTGTGCGCGAGCTAGATGCTTCTGAGGGGCGGGACGTCGCGTCGTATCGAGACGAGCGCAGGAAGAGGAAGGTTGGTGGTTGGCAAGAAGGTGAACAGAGGTTGTGAAGGTTTGCTGCAATGAGGCCGAGAATTTTATAGCATTCGGCGGCCGGGTGGGACCTTTATGGAAGTTGAGGGAAAAACCTAGCCAGTGTCTAGCGCTGCAAGATTGTCATACCCACCTGCTGATCTCGGCCGGCATTGGCTGGGCCGGAACCCTGTCGGGCCGGGTCGCAAAGTTTTGGAGACTACATGTTTTAGTTGCCTACGCCGTGGTAAGTGCATATCAGGAGACGGCAGCACTAGCGTGGCCTGGTCAGGAGCCCAAACGGATCCCATCGTGTCCAGGGTACCCGGGCGGTCTGGTCCGGCCCATCTAGGAGCTCTCGAGGAGAACTAGACTGGATGAGAATTGCCGCGGTCAGCAGTAAGCTCCAACTCAGCACCCGTTCGGGCCGGATAAGGCTCCCAACCGCTCCGCGGCTACTAATAGGTAGGTGCATTGCGAGATGAGGCAGATTGCCCGGTTGAGTAGACAGGCAGACTGGCAGAAAAGTCGGCGTCGACTCGACTCGACGGGGGGCAAGGGGCGTGGCTATTTCAACAATCTGACTGTCAGAGGGCCGGCATCACGCGCCCGTGCCCTGCCCTGCGGGGAGTCCCGTGCTCTATGAGTGGACAGCTCAGGGACTTCTGAGACGGCATACGGAATAGGTCTGGCCCCCTTTCCTGCATAATAAACTCTGCCCGCCCTCTGCCCGTATCATCATCATCACGATATGCGACGTTTGAAGGTCATGTTGTAGCTGTCGCTGCTTGCTGCTGGGACTTGGTCAGAGAAGTCGGGATTTCCAGATCGGAAGACCTTTTTATTAATTGGGATCAGAGTCTGATGCTTTTCTCACTGCCCGCTGCCCTCGGTCTGGGGGGTTTTGTTCTTCTGCTCTCTGTAGGTATGCTGGTTATATTTTTTAGCTATCCAAAGACAAGGTGCTGTCAGCCAGCCGGCCAGCCGGCCAGCCAGCCAGCCAAGTTCCCCCCGCCCCGTTAGCCACATATTCGATTGGGCAATCGTCGGCCATCCGCGCATCGGCTTTGGGCTTGGCCTTCCCCATCCCATCGCCTTTTTTGGAGCACCCACGTTGTGCAGCTGCACCGCATCTCCCTCTACCTTGCCATAGAGGGTCCCCCCCCCCCAATCTTGTCCCCGTCCCTCCTTGCTCTGCCCGTGGGCCCCTGGCAGCTCTGCTGTCTCCAGTCCCAGTCCAGTCCAGTCCCGGCCCAGTCCAGTCCCAGACACGTCGATCCGCTGCACCAGCCTCGACCGTCGACATCCTGCACCTGAACCTGCACTGCACCTTGGAAATCCCACCACCCCCCGACTGCTGCCACCTCTGCTGCCCACCGCCGCCCACCCACTCTCCCACTTCACGACCGGCTTCAAAACAGCCTTGCTCTGTCGTGCTGTCGTGTCGCTCGGCCACCGCTGCTCCTCGTCCCCACTTGCTCTACCGGCCTGGGCAATTGCAAATCACACGCACACACACTTTGGGTGCAGCACGGCACGCCCTATTGCTCCCCAGACATCAATCAACCTGGTCCCAACGTCCGTCAGCCACCCGCCGTCCGTTTGACTCCCGCCCTGTGCCTTAATCATCCGTCCTTCCTTGTTCGGTTTGGACCCAGCCCTGCCAACCCGCATCCCGTCCTTGTTCGATATAATCCACGGCGATCACTCGCTCCTCGCGCCGCCGTCCTCTGCTTCGCGATTGTGCCGACGATCCTCCGCGACCGCCTCCAGAGTCCCCGTCGCATCGACGCGACCCGCCGCACGCCCCGACCGTCCGCCATTGGTGTTGGTGTTGGTGACTGCGCCTGCTGCGAAAAAAGTCGGCCCCGGTCCATCAATCGCCCGCCCTCTGCCCCCTTCCCTCTTGCAAGAGCCAGCGCATGCGACTCTGAGAGCACAGGATAGGCACGACGTACATAGCCACGCCGCGGAGGGTCGAAGATGATGGCAAGCATGCAGGTGCCGCAGAACTTCCCACATCCTGGTGGCATGCAGCACCCCGGTGTCCCTCCCGGCCATCATATGGCTCCAGGCATGGCTCACAACCCCAGCCAGCCCGGCTCCCAGCCCGGAATTCCACACCACCTCGCTCACCAGATGGCCGTCTCCGGCGCTGGCGGTCAGGTAAACCCAGCCCTCATGGGCGCGGGAATGCCCCCCGGTGCAAACGCCCACGCCATGCAGCATTTAAACCCCAACGTCCAGCACATGTTCCCCCAGCAGCCCGTGACCCAGATGAACTGTGAGTGGCCTTGTGCGCGACGAGCATCGCCTCCCCCCTCCCTCCTCTTGCCCTCAGATTGCGTCTGGGCTGACCTCAATTACCTCAGATGCAGCCGCACAACAGCACATGCAACAACAGCGCCTCCAGGCACTGCAACAGCAGCAGAGACAGATGATGGCGCAGCAGATGTACGGCAACATGCCAGGAGGTATGCAGATGATGGGCAACATGCAGATCAATCCCGCGCAGATGGCACAGTTCCAAGCGATGCAGCAGAGGCAGATGGCAGCTCGTCAGCAGCAGGCGCCAAACCCACAACAACAGGTAAGCTTGCACCCCCATCGGCAGCACTCGGTCGCCACTCTCTACACGTCGCAGGCGATCTGACCTCGGCATTCACAGGCCCTTCTGGCGGCGCAACAGCAGCAGCTGATACAGGCACAACACCATCAACAACAGCAGGCGGCAAACCAGCAGATGGCTCAGGGGCAACACCCGAATCAGCCCGGTCAGATGAACACCCAGCAGATCAATCTCGCCCAACTCCAGGCAATGCACCAGGCCCAGCAGGCCCAGCAGCAGCAGGCTCAACAGCAGCAGCAGCAGCAGCAGGCCCAGCAGCAACAGCAGCAACAGGCTCAGCAGCAGCAGCAGCAGCAACAACAAGCCCAGCAGCAGCAACAACAAGCCCAGCAACAGCAACAGCAGCAGCAGCAGCAGCAGCAGCAAGCCGCCCAGCAGCAGGCTTCTCACCAAACTCCTCCTCAGCAGCAGCCACAACAGCCGCAAGCCCAGCCTGGGCCACCGCAGCCAACACCTCAGCAGCAGATGGGACAGGGCGGACCTGCGCAAGCTAACGGCCCTCAGCCAAACCAGGGCCAGCCACAAGGTCCGAACCAGGCCCAGCCGAGCCAGCAGCAGCCTTCGCAGCCTCCGCAGCCAGCCCAGCAGCCGCCTCAGGCGCAAGCTCAACCAAACCAGCCACAGGCCGCACAGCTGGTCGCTGCGCAACACCAGGCTAGTATGATGGCTCAGGCGCAGAAGCGCGAGGGTATGAAAGGGCACTGTTTGCTTCGGCTTATGAACTTCCAAGAGCATCTTAGTGGCTACTCATCCGTAAGTCCTGGTGTGTTGTGATTCACCAATTCTGGCATGAAGGCTAACTCATCTGTCACAGCAAGCCAAAGATAAAGACATTGCACACTGGCAAGAATTTGTGCATCGTTTCTTTTCTCCTAGGGGTATGTACCGAACCAATGTCCGCAACAAAGCGGACACGGAGGCTTCAGGCGACAAGCAGATAGAGATGAACTACCCGGCTATCCCGCACTACTTCCAGGCCAGCGGTGCGTCCAAGATAGAATTGCAGCTCGGCCAGGGGACGACAGACAAGCCGTTGCCGGGTGACTGCCATTTCATCGAGAACAGCAACGCCAGTGTCACAATGTGGTTCGAGACATCACACGTAGGTTTTCTCCGGGTCTCCATCCTTGAATTGCTTACTTAACATCTCTTTTGATCAGGTGGTACACATTGGCAACCTCCGTCTCCAGTTTGACGCCGAGTCGAAAATCGATCTGTTCGAGTTTGTGTCGACAGATCATGACGAGTATGTCTCGAGGACTGTGGTTGTTGATGGCGCGAAGCCCAATCACCAGTGGATCAAGGAGTGGCGCACGGTCAACTCGGAAAACTCACAAGCGTCCCCTGAAATGAGCAAGAAGAGCAAGCCCCGACCGAAGAAAAGCCCTCAGAATCCGCCCCCAGACCTCGACATCCCCCATTCCGCCGTCAAGCACGGTGTAGGGATCACGGAGCAGCAATTTCAATTCCTAGAGGTACTGAATCCAACATCTACTTTGTAGCTTGGATCGACACTAACGTAGGGGCCGACAGATTGTCGAGGTCATGGGCACGATGAACCCCCTATTCCAAGCCGCCCATCAGCATCCGACTATGAGCGCCTACCAGGTCTTGGACGATTATGTTTCAAACCAGATCCCCCAGCCTGGTGCACCGGCCATGAACGGTCAGGTCATGCCAAGCGGTCCGCGGACCCCAAGTTTCGGCCAGTTCCCAATGGGCGCGAGCCCTCACGCCGCGCATCTCCAGCTGCCAGGCTCACCGCATGTTGGCAGCCCGGCAGCGGGTGCAATGCAGGCACCCGCCATGGCAATGCAGCACAGCCAGCAGGGGAGCAGCTCAAACGCTAGCGCCACCACGTCACCAGCCGGTCAGAAGAGGAGACGCCCCTCCGGTGTAAAGGTTGAGGAAGACGCCCCCGGAAATGCGCCCACGCCATCAGCTGCCGGTGGCGTTCCGCAGGTCAACGGAGTTGCCGGCAACAAGACGAAGCCCCCGACGCCCAGGATGCAGAAGAGGATGAAAGGCAACCCAGCATAGAACGAACTGCTGGCAAGCCAATAGCAAGTTGCTCGAGACGGGAGGCGGGACGCAGTGTAGAACGGGCGAAGCGGCGCCGTAACAGGCTTCGGGGACCTTGGGTTCTTGGGCATCCTCTTCGGCCGGCGTTTAAATCCTTACCAAGCATGGCGGCGGCATCTTCAATATCATGACCGGCGTTCGGTATTACCACGTCTTTTCTTTAATCAGCCGTTTCCTCCGCCAGGACCCGATTCGAAGCCGCGTGGGGCACAACACAGCCGAGGACTCACGCGTGAGCCTCGTCAATCGAAACATCGGCTCAAGATTTGAGGCAGCCTCAAAGATGACTTATCTGATAATCATTGTGGCGCCCCACGAACTGCCTTCAACCTCCACGCAACGACGCAGAGCTTACTACGGAGTTGGCGAAGGCAGTTGCGGACCTCAAAGGTTGCAAAACTTACTGCTTTCCCCCGAATCGGCCGGCAGAACGTCTATTGCAACCCATTGAAAGGCAGCAACAGGGCTTCAGCGCAATGTATCACGATAACAGCAATGTTGCTTTCAACCCTTGGAGAACGACGTAAAACACAAGGGCGCCAATGCAACACGAATGATAATGAGAACCCAGTGCTCTTCAACCGAGAGAGCCTTGGTACGCTGCTACTTGTACGATAATCCCTGGGGAGGTTTACTGCTTTTGTGGCGTTCATTGGTGACATACAACCCCAATTATTTGTTCGCGCTGCATAATCATCAACGGGAGAAAATAATCTTTTTCTATTTTTGGACAGTTGGTCATCTTTTCGGACTGGGTGACGACGCGAGGCTGAGATGTGCAGCAGGGCGGTGGCCATCAGGTCCCCGAAGAAAAGCAAATCACGGTCGCTGGTGTTAACGGGAATTCTGGGTATCTTAATGGGTATCGTGGGGTATTTGTTATTATTTTCATACTTGGTTGATCTCTACTTGTTCAGGGCTCGGCGTCGGTGTGGGCTTTTGGTAGCAATGATGTCTTCAGTAGTAGCCGCTTGGACGAGGTTCGTTCTGATCAGAGCCATGGAAAGAAAGTCAATCATACCCAAATTCAACATAACAAGCTTCTTCGTCTTCTCTGCTTCGTGCGTGGTTGTCTCAGCCAGATGCCCACCAAGTAGGGGTGAGTGAGTCCATCCGCTTCACTTCAAGCCCGGAGGACCGGAGCAGAGTGTTCCCAAGCGCTCCCCCTGAAAATGCATGCGACATTCCTAAAAATTATCAAGCAAGTACAAGTACCCATTCAAGCACCACCCCCTTCGCGCACACTCACGCCCGTGATCGAGTCTCTATCAATTGCAAAGGTCTAAACACACTTTTTGCGACTCGCCAGATTCAATATATCGGCGCTGAATCGCATAAGCTGAACAGAACATTTAGACTGCTTGCAATACGTCGTCTTATGTGCGTAAGGTAGGTGGTGCTTGAGTGGGTAGATGGACTTACCCTCAGGTCACCTTTGTAGTCCCGGTACCTGTCAAGGGGAACAGCCTGCTCGTGCGGTGCCCCCGTACGGATGAGCTGCGCTGTCTGCCAGTGTTTTACACGGTGGATGTCTTTTATGTTCCAAAAGCCATAATTAACACTTGGGTGCAAGCGTGAGAGAAACTCGCACGAGTCTACACTGAAGGACTATGGATGGAACTCTCATCCGAATAGTAGTCGGACCCTTATTGTCTGATGTCCGCATCTGCCATGTCCATCAAAATGTAGTCAACTTCGCAGGATATTCCGGACAAGTGGAAGTGAACTTGCATGGGAGAGAGGCGAATGATGACAATTTCTAACAGATTCATTCGGAATTCGAGCAAGTATTCTTTGGTTTTTGAGCAGGAAACATGGGAACGCAATATTAAAACGGTGGCAGGACACGGTATACCATGGCCTGCAAGAGTAGTACAACTATATTACTATACATCTAGCTGTGGGCTTGATGTTGTCTTGTACTGATTTCAATCATATCTGTGACGGCAGGGTATATCCAATAAATCATTTCACCGCATGATGAACATGTGACCGCAACACGTTCACGAATGTTAGACAGTTCCCTGTATCAACGATGCTGACCAGGTGCTCGATAGCAAGTGCGTGGTGTTTACAGCTACAGACCAGCCGCTTCGCAGCCTCGAGAAGACACAGCCATGGGCATGGTTTCATGGCCTCTGCCTATCTGATGGTGAATACTGATGCGGGAGATTTGTACTTCTCAGCGATAAGAATATGGCTTACCCCAACGTGTTTAATGAATTGCCATGCAACTCCGAACTGCCTGAGTCAACACCACAGACGCACCACACATCTTGTGAGGTGCCAGATTAGCACATGGCATGATAATAGACGTATCTTCATGCTGTTAAGTGTAGACCGGCATCTGCTGGGTGGATGAGATTGATATGGACACTGTCACCTTGCCGGACATGTTCCCTCACCCCCTTGAACTGTCCAACAAAGTAAGAGAATACATTGTTAGTTTATTGGACTAGAGACATTAAAAAACTTGCATAGTAAGACTCGGCCTTTGTCCAGTACTTTGATCTCCACACATAGCATGTTGAGTGGAAGGCAAACTCCGGGCTGTTGGTGATATTTCCCCAAGGCATAAATAGGATCTTGAAGGTAAAGGCTATGATTTTCAATTGTCTTGTTCGTAGATTCTCGCAGTGAGTAATCGTCTCTCTAACTATTATCATACAACCCGGCCTTTTCATCATGAAGTTAGGTATCGTTACTTTTGTTAAGAGACGTTACGAAAGATGCGCGACTACCATTATGAGCCCCTAAATGAACACAACTGTGTGCCATTTACCCTAGATAGCTCTTGAGGTCAAGATGAAGCTTCTCTTAAATAAAATTAACTTTGCCGAATATCACCTTGCACTTTGTGTAAACAGCACTGGGCCACTGAATGCCAGAACACCTGTGATCAACCGAACAGCCAACATGTCTTGTTACCACCACCGGAGTCAAACCATAGCCGACATTGCATGGCGGTCTCGTCGCTGTCTCATACAAGAATTTGCCAGCATCATTAGAAACAGCACGTGATCATTCTGAAAGTGAATTTATGCTCTTTGGAGCTCGGTGCTGGCCTGGCATGAAACGGTATAGGTGATAAATCTCGAACCCTCAAGACATAACTAGAGCGACATACAAATGAGCTCGATGAGTGGAAGAGAAGATATGACCAGTACCAGATGACACTCATCACTGACAAGTGATGATATAACTTCGAACTTGACCTTTCTTACAGAGCTTCACATGCAAGGCGTTTCCTCTAGGCGGGAACTGCGTACATACCCGAAGGGCTCCACCATGACTGCGTACGTCGATTAAGTTGCCAAGCCATATTCTCGATACGATGATTTCTCTATCCTTCCAGAGAGCTTCCCAACACAAGACGCCGTATATCGTGTCCACCAAAATCCATAATCCACACGACATGCCAGGCGTAGCAACACCGCCCGTGGGGCAGCCCCTTTGGAGCAGTTGAGCCCCAGTTGTTGTTTCGACAAAGAAATTGTGCACAGTGCATCGCAATGCATGAGACTACACGCTGCAGACTTCATTGTGATACTCAAACAGTCCAACTGACATCAGACAGAGAGGCAGCACAAGGCAAATAAAGGGCTTTTGGGATGGGAAGTATCCGAGGTTCATCGCACGTCCCTAGGCTTCGAAGCACCATTTCACTAGGTATGCAAACGGGAATAACCATCAAACGCAATATACGCACTTGGCTGCAATACACCTGAGCACCAAACGTTTCTTAATGTGCGTTCAACTACTCGGCAATAGAAGCAGCGAAGCTTGGGAACTGCAAAGCAAGCAAGGCTTTGATTCTAGAGCGTCATGAGGGAGAGCAACAGCAAAGCAAAACCATGTCGTCAAAGCGATCAAATTCGGAAAAATACCATTTGAGTAGTGAGACCGGGAGGACAGGACCGTACGCGGTGAACAATCAGAGGGGGAACAGAACGCATGTCCATCGCCTCTGCCGGCCGTCTACACCCTTCCTCTTGGGAATCTCGGACTTCCACGAGCTCCTCAGCTGCCAGATAATAACTCTCTGCGTAAATCCATCCAGTCCCTTACTGATCGATCCCAACCCGAAACGCCCCAGAGTCGCCTGAAAAGTCATGTCAAGGTATCATTCTGCCGAATGCAGGTGCGAGGCTGCTCAAGCAGTATCAGATCGACTCGAAGCCTCCGAAGGTGTTCTCGCCGGAATACGTGATGTATAGGAACCTGCATTTGGGGGCATGTCTTGTCAGCCCGGTCCGCCACGTCGCAAAAGGGGCGGGGATTAACAAAAGGGGGGCGCGTACCCGTCCTCGTCCTTGTGCTCTTCGTAAATAGAGGACATGAGCGCGGCTGTTGGTGGGAGGACCTCGTCGACAAAGATGAAGATGGCCTTGTCTGGGGACAGCTTGATGCGCTTGCGGATGACGTAGACGAACTGGCCGACTGTCAAGTCTGCTGGCACGAGATACTTCTTCTTGTCGATGGTAGCAATGTCACTCTTCTCGACCTTTTCGCAGATAACCTGGAAGAAGAAGCGTGTCAGCTGTTGCTCGGTGGGTAGTGAGGGCGGGGACAGGCAGCAGCAGCGGCGGCGGCAGCGAGTATCTCGGGGGACGCCGATGTTGGTTCGTGGCCGAGGTGAGGATGTTGTAGGAAGTACTCACTGGGATACGGTCAAGATACTTCTGGCGAATACGCTCGGCCTCAGCCTTGCGCTTCTCGAAGGGGTGCTCGTCCTTGAACTTGGATCGCATTTTGGTGGGAGTCGGTGAGGTTGTCGCGCGGATGCGGTGTGATGGTGCTGGTTGTAGTGACTGCGTGTGTCTGTCTGTCCGGCGGGCGGGGTCAGCACTTTTGAAGCGATTTGGAGGGCAGGCAGGAAGTATGACGAGGGCTTACGGTTAGGGAGAATGCTGCGATGGCGTTGGTGATGGAAGAATGAAGGTGTAAGTTCTAGGATGGGCTGCGTGAGTACGTTGACGGGCTGGCGCCTGTGACCAAGGCGCCCCAGGTTGCCGGAATTGATGAATGGTCAGCCAGCTAAGGCGTGACGGAAGAGGCGGGGCTGGGATCAATGACTAAAAGGGATGGCGGCCCTCACTATCTGGACGGCGCGTTGGTTCCCACTGGGTGCTGTTAGCGGCTTCGGGCTTGTAAGCTGCAGCTTGTACCTCGCAGCTTTGGGGCAGGCGGTGTCCCTTATCAGTTGACCGACCGACGAGACGGAGGCACCTGCAGCCTGGGGCGGACATGGGGGCCCCTCAAAGGGACCAAGGGGCAAGAATGCCTGCCTCCTGCCTCCTTCCCCATCCCACGTGAACACAGTCATTCGGGAGACCTGACCGGAAGCAGGGTGGCAACTGGAACGCTTTTGTTCCCATGGGGTCGGTTGTTACATTGGTACTGGATAGAACTGTGCTCGTTCTCCCCCGCGCTTCCTCCAACCGCGGCCACCGACCGAGGGGAGAGCAAAGGAGGCAAACAATGCCCACGCAGATCTCGGATGACGACATGTCCCTTTCTCCCCTTATCGCCCGTCCCAGTCTCTTATCAGAATCTTGCTGAAGCCTGATGCTTGTTTCTTTGCAGCATGTATGTAGAGCAGCAGCTATATCTGTAGTCTATACAGTAGTCCAGAGGGTCGCGAGCCCTCTACCCCTTATGTCCGCCTCGTCCTTGGCTGATGAGTCCCGGCCCCTGATGACTGATGACCGATGACCCGTGAGCCGGATCAAGCCGGCCTCCCTCGAGTCTGCTCTCGAGGAGAAAAGTCACCCCACAGAATACGGCGCATCTCCCCGGAACCAGGCGGGTTGACGGGGATGGAGCTGTGTCTCGTTCTGCCCTGGGTGGTTACTCCAATGCACCTCGGGCTCGCCCATCCCTCGAACCATGATCATCGTTGGCGGGTTGCTCGCAGAGGCCGCGACCCAGCCAATCACGACTGACTCGGAGCTACAGGGTGAGCTGAGCTCATGCGGCGGCGTAGCACCACATCTGCCCATCGCAAATAGGCCCCGGCCAACATCTGATTTAACCACGCCGGCCATTCTTCCTAGCCCGCCCTAGACCTGTCGTTGTTGACAAAAAACTTCCAGCTACTCCGCCAGTGGCCTCACAATCGTCGTTGCCGTGCTGGCCTGGCCCCATCCCCCAGAATCCTCTCGGCATCTGGGCTCAGCAGTATAATTGCCCCTTCCAGCCGCCATGGCCTCGAGAAGTAGAGCCCTCCGCGCGACAGCGGAGGGCTTCTTCACTTCTAGAGTCACCTGTGCCAAACGCATACCCCCGAGCTTCTTCACGGCTACGACACGGAGGGCTTCTTCCGACTCATTGGCTGCCCAATTGACCAGCCCGACCTCTTCCAGGTACTCGTACTGGGCAGCCTTCTCAGGCGTGGCCCTCGTCTCCACGGCCCTCATCACAGCAGTACGGAGTCCCCCATGAACTGATCCAGCACCTGCGACGTTGAGGAACACCGGCTCACTATCTCGCGGATGCAGCTTGCCAGGGAACCCACACAGCTCGACATCATGTCCCTCCCTGAGCGCGATGCCCTCGCCAAGCGCGAATCCGGCGTGACAGACCAGTCGCCCATGCGTCTTCGCATGGAGAAGTTTATCAAGGAACAACAGCAGGAGATTATCAAGGGCCTGGGCGAGGTCGACGGCTGCAGGTTCCAGCAGGACGAGTGGCAGCGAAAGGAGGGCGGCGGCGGCATCACATGCATCCTCCAGGACGGCAATGTCTTCGAGAAGGCCGGCGTCGGTGTCTCGGTCGTCTACGGCGCCCTCCCCAAGGGTGCCATCGAAAAGATGCGCGCAAACCACAAGAATATTGGCGGAGACGGCGAGATACCGGAGAAGCTGGAGTTCTTCGCCGCAGGGCTGAGCCTGGTCGTCCACCCTCGCAACCCCATGGCCCCGACAGTGCACCTGAACTACCGATACTTCGAGACGGCGAACCCTGACGGGAGCTCGAGTTCGTGGTGGTTCGGCGGCGGCGCCGACCTGACGCCGTCTTACCTGTTCGACGAGGACGCCATCCACTTCCACAAGACGCTCAAGGACGTGTGCGACAAACACAACAAGGACTACTGGCCCAGGTTCAAGAAGTGGTGCGATGAGTATTTCTACAACAAGCACCGCGGCGAGTCCCGCGGCGTGGGCGGCATCTTCTTCGACGATCTGGACGAGACGGTGGCGGACAAGGAGAACCTGTTTGCCTTCATCCAGGACGGGCTGCAGAGCTTCCTGCCGGGGTACATCCCTATCATCACCAGGCGCAAGGACATGCCCTTCACTGAGCAGGAGAAGGAATGGCAGCAGATCCGCCGGGGCAAGTACGTCGAGTTCAACCTGGTGCACGACCGGGGGACCGCGTTCGGTCTGAACACACCTGGTGCAAGGGTGGAGAGTATTCTCATGAGCTTGCCGCTCACAGCCAGCTGGAAATACATGTACACGCCTCCAGGGCCCCGAGAGGAGAGGCTGACACAGATCTTGAAGGAACCCAAGGAGTGGGTATGAGACGTACAGGGACGAGGTGTCTCAAAGATTCTGTGCTGTCCTGTAAAATTGAAAGTAAAAATAGACCAGAAAATATTCATGATCATACAAATCCTTACTGTGCCCTAATTTTCAAGGGTCGCTCAGAGTGTAATGTACAGCAGATTCGAGATTGGCTGTGTCTGCCTTGCGAAGTCAGTCGTTAGCCCAACTAACAACTCAACAACCTCGATTATCCGTCATGTGAATGAATGGTCCAACCTCCAAAACCACTTACTGCTCCGTGTCCAGAATGCATGTTCACATAATGCCGGAACCTGCAAAGAATCAAGCCGGCTCATAGTAGTAATCCCAAATGGCCTCCAGACCATCCGCACACGCAACAAGATGTCCTCATCGTCATCTGCCCTCCCGACACCAAGGCAGCTCCTCACCTCGATCCTGAACCAGATCTCCAAGATTCCAGCGCCCACGGCGCCAGGCCCAGGAGATGCACCGGCACAGAAAAGCAGCACAGTAACCAGGACCGACTCGTTCCCCGAGCGGGCGCGCGAGCCGCCGACGAACCCCCTCAGGTTGATAGAAGCCAGCCACCGGCCGCTCTTCACCACGCTGCACGTGCTCTTCCCTTCCCTCCTGCTGCCGGCGCTCGACCTGTTGGACAGGGGCCTCGTCGCGCGTCTGCTGAGCCCGGGGGAGGCTGCCACATCCATGTCGGCTGAAGGAGGCTCACTCGCGCACCAAGACGGCGGGTCTCACGGGACTCAGCAGGAGGACGGCGGGGGCTCGCAGGTGCGCGATTCTACGGCTGCGGCTGCAGCACTGCCAACGTCACCATTGGTGTACCTAGTCCGCTCAGCACAGAAGCCGACGCGGCGGCCCTACGGCGGTGGCGGCGACGCACCAGGGACGACAGCCGCACCTACGACCACCAGCAGCAGCAGTAGCCAGAGGACCTACGTCGTGCACACAACGGCGTGGAACTGCACGTGCGCGGCCTTCGCATTCTCGGCGTTCCCGCCCCTCGCGGGCGCGCCCACCCTCCTGGGCCAGGGGCACAATGGGCCGGAGGATCCCGTGTCCGCGATCACCATCATGGATGACGGCGACGACGCAGAGGAGAGCGAGGAAGGAGAGGAGAGGGGCCCGTGGCAGTTCGGCGGGGTGAGCTTCGACGGCTGCACAGGCGAGGGTGGCGTTCCGCCGTGCTGCAAGCACCTGTTGGCGTGTCCTCGCCGAGCGCTGGGGTTGTGGTCTGGGGAGGTACGTGGACCGGAGGGAGGTCGGGAGGGAGGAGATGGCGGGTGTGTTTGCGGATGTCTGATTTACTGCATGAAGTGAGCACTGTAGAGTTGGATGACGATGTCTTTGACACACATAGACGTGGGAAGGACGGCAGGCCAAGATCAACTTGCATTTACACCAGAGGGTATCATGGGTAGCACGCAAGGCGTATACGCGCAACGGGGAGTTTGAGGTCTTTGGGTTGCTGTTTTGCTCATGGCATATGATTCTGGCTGGGCGCTCCGTCGGTTTCTTGTCATGAACCTCACGGGCAGTCCCAAAATATTAACAAATCCGTGCTCCCAGCCGCGGATCAGTCACTTTTCTATGTCGTCCTGAACTCGTACAATGCGTCATGGTCCCTTGCGCCGGCCTTATTCCCCTTCCCGTTTTCTGGTGCTCTATTTCTTCTTATCCTTTGGACTGTCATCTTTCTTCTCCGAGCCCTCCTTGCTGACCTCTCCATTCACACCATTCGGCGCCTTGTCCCCATTCACCTTCTTCTCGCCATCCTTCTCCTTCTCCTCACCCTCCTTCTTGGCCGCGTCTTTCTCCTCCTGCTGCTGACGGTTCTGGATCTTGTTCTCAATAAGATCGTGGAACGCGGTGATGGCCCGGATCAGGGAGCTCAAGTAGATGGCCATAAGCTGGTCGTTGGTCTTCACGTTCAGTGCATAGCTCAGCTCGCTCTCGCCCTTGCCCTTTGTAGGCGTCGACAGGTTCGGCAGCAGGTTGAAGACGTCCTGCAGGTTGCCCAATATGACGTGGTTCACGGGCAGCTTGCCATCGAGGACTTTCTTCAGGTATACCTGGATATTCTGCAGCCGCAGGTGGAGGCCTTGGAGGGACTGGAGTTGGTTGGTCACACGCGTAGACAGGGTACCAGCTGCAACGTCACGGATGTCACGAAGCAGATGCTCAACGCCTATCTCTTCCGCCTCCTCGGCCTCGATGATGGATGCTGTGTTGACGAACGTCTTGGATGCTGTTGTGCCGTCCTACAATTCATGTCTCGTCAGCGCCGGGGAAACAAGCACGGTATGGGGTCGCAGGCCAACAACGTACATCCTTGATCTCGTCCACCGCGAAGTAGGCGTCTGTGGGAACGCCAGCCTCCTTCGGTTGTACGTCGATGATGACCAGGAGTGGGTTTGGGGTGTAGCGCTTGAACAGTTCGTTTATCTTGAGGTCGGATGCTCGCAGCTTGGGGCCCGAGTGGTACCAGCCTATTAACCTCTCACGCGCATTGACCTTCTTGAACATCTCGTTCATGGACTCGATATAGTTGTGATCTAGGAACCAGACGGATGGGTCCTTCTCGTCTTCCTCGAAAGGGACTGTGGGAAAGTAGTGTCAGATCGCAAATGCTCCAGCATCGTGTCGCCCAGCCATCGAAACTAACCTGCGAAGCTGTTTGATACTCGCACCACCTTGCCATCGTTCTGTCCTAGTAATACACCGACGACTCGCTTGTTCTTGGATGATGTGGATGCGCCACGGTTGTAGTGATCAACGACTGACAGCAGTACAAGAGGGGCGACGCTGACTTTCCTCTCCTCCACCAGCGACAAGGTCTCTGTCGTTGTGGAAGGCATCGTGAGGGTATGGAGGGGTTGATGATGCAGCTGGGAAAGGGAGACGGGAGGTTCAAAGCTGGTGGATCGTTTGGTGTTGGTGTTGAGCAGCTGCGTAATGGCGGCTGCCTTTCGCTTGCCGTCAAGCTACCAGACGGGCAGGGGCAGCAAGCACGAGCCAAGCTTCCTGGGCAGGCATCTGGTCTAGGAGGCTGGATGTATCACCTCCCGCCCTCCCCCCCCCACACACTGTTTGGTCCGAACCCCCGTTGATCGGAACCCGAGCTAGGACAGCAGAGGGTTGCGGGAATAGAGCTTCTGCAGCCCAGTTTTGGTACTGCACTCTGCGATAGACTTCAAATAATGAAAAATAGTATCATCTCCTAGCATGATTCAATGGCAAAATATGACAGATTACGTGGAGGCATTATGCTCCAAGCACACGTAAACTAGAGAATATGGAGCTTGAGGGTACTTTATAGGACATGGAGGCCACGGATGGACATGTACCTGGAGAGATGAGACACCAGACTGATGTAGGCGGCAAAGAAAGAAGCAACCTCGAAGCAAGCTATGCTCACCGGCTGGACTTGCTCAAGACTGATGTCCAATCCGTCATGTGCTCTGCATTACCTTGAAAGCACTTCGGAGCTCCCTAGATAGCACACACCCGCAGTACGACGATCTCTTACCATCACACGACCGGAGAGGACTATTGGGTTCAGTGTCGCTTCGACAAGCGGAGTTTACGGCCACAAGATGATGCGACCGGCACAGCTCTGCTCAAGATGTCGGTTGAGACCAGCTAAGTTGCCGACGAAGTCTACAAACAGGGCTGCTTGCTCAACCGTGACAGTTTGCGTCACAGCTTCCCAGCCTCACTGCCTATTTCGACCTCGCGCCTTTCGTCTCTGCAAGGTCCCATTCCCAGCGATCCGGTAGTGGACTCCCGGGGACATGCGGATATGCCAGATTGCTGACTTCGCGGAGCGAGTATGCGCCGAGCCTCTCCGGTGCCTGTGTACCTCAGGTGCAACTATGTGCTGCGTATCTACATAGGTACGGCGCACACAGGTATGGACAGGCAATGTTCAAGTATCGAGGTATCGAGGTACCTACCCATGGCTCTCTCTCTCGGGGCCTGGAGCAGATAGACGACAGTACGACGCTCACACCTGCCGTCACTCTGGTTCCCAGCTAGGTTCGGTGGAGTGGATCGAAATCGCCGGACAAGAGGCTCAAAAAGTTAGCCGACACCCACCTATTTCCCAGATTTTAGTGTCTTGGAGTGGCCCCAAGTGGCCGATAACCCCCGGGTGACCACCCCCCCCAACAGCTTGGAATAAACCCCCTGCCCCTGGGCCACTCGTGCACGCCTGGGCAGCTCCGAACGGCCTGGATTGTGAACGTCGCTCGTCGTAACTTAAAAGCGAACCGCGGCTCTTTTGGCCAACTCTCACCCTCCTGCGAGCAGCGAGCAGTTTTTGATCCTGTCCAGACCGAGATCTGCCCAGCAGCAGCGCATCCCTCTTCTCCACTCTCAGCCCCGTCGCTACTTTGTCCCCCGACTCTCTGTACCACCAGCAGGCCTGCTGCCCTCCGCCGTCGCATTCAATTGCCTCGGTTGCTCCCACCGCCCCGTCTCTTTCGGTTTCCCTTCTCAAGGTCAACGGTCTATCCACCATGGGCATCATCGAGGATGAAGTCAAGGGCCTCCACGCCAAGCTCGAGGGGCTCGAGTCGCGCATAAAGTCCCTCGAATCCAGGCAATTCGGCGGCCCCCTCACCACCGAGCAGGTCCGCATGATCCTGATCGGTCCTCCTGGCGCTGGTTAGTTGTCGCCCGCGGGTGAAAGAGAGGACAGGGTGGGACTTGCGGGGCATCGCGTTGCTGACGGAGCTCTGAAATTCGCAGGAAAGGGCACGCAAGCCCCCAAGATCAAGGAGAAGTTCAACTGCTGTCACCTGGTATGCCAATTGGCTTTCCCAAAGCGCCGTAGCGCCCGGTCTGGCCGGGGCATGTGGTGCGAGACGAAGAGGAGAGATACTGACGGCGTTTGACCCGTACTAGGCAACCGGCGACATGCTGCGATCCCAAGTCGCCAAGAAGACCCCTCTGGGTCGGGAGGCCAAGAAGATTATGGACGCAGGTGGCCTCGTCAGTGACGACATTGTCATCGGCATGATCAAGGCCGAGCTGGACAACAACCAGGAGTGCAAGGGAGGGTGAGAGCCCCCGCCAATCTACTCAGGCTACCATGACCAGCCGCAAGAGCAAACCCTTTGTGCTAACGCGTCCTTTCTCCCCGGCCAGATTCATCCTCGACGGCTTCCCCCGCACCGTGCCCCAGGCCGAGGGCCTCGACTCCATGCTGAAGGAGCGCAACCAGAAGCTGCAGCACGCCGTGGAGCTGCAGATCGACGACGCCCTGCTGGTGGCGCGCATCACGGGCCGGTTGGTCCACCCGGCCTCGGGCCGTAGCTACCACCTGACCTTCAACCCGCCCAAGGTCCCCATGACCGACGATATCACGGGCGAGCCCCTGATCCAGCGCTCCGACGACAATGCCGACGCCCTCAAGAAGCGCCTCGCCACCTACCACCAGCAGACCACCCCCGTCGTGGGCTACTACCAGAAGACGGGCATCTGGAAGGCCATCGACGCCAGCCAGGAGCCCGGCCAGGTCTGGAAGAGCCTGCTGGCCGTCTTCGACGGCGACAAGGACAAGGCCAAGAGCAGCGGCGCTGGCATCCTGAGCAGGATCGCTGGTCGTTAGGGAAGCTGTCTCGCGCGCGCGCGGCTACTCAGATAAAGCCCTGACGTCCAGCCCACCTCAAACCGGCCGGTGGATCTCCATATTGAACAAGACACAGAGAGAAAAGATACCACCTCAATGTAGAAACAGGACGAGATCTCGAAAAATCGAAAATGATGAAAAAGCGAGGTGCAGGCAAATACATCCCATCGTCTTGCACCGCGAAACAAATACTCGGAAAGCATCCTCGGTGTTCTGTGAGCGCGAGAGACCACGGGTTGGGATATGCTACTTGAAACGTGCTATGTATATCAAGACGGGCGGCCGTGAGACCTCAGGTTCCCGCCCTGTATGCTATTATGAAAAGAAAAGTTCCACCTAATACGATATAGAGCTCCTGGTGATCTATCCACAACCAGACTCTCCTGTTAGCTGTTGCCAAATTGACGGTGATTTAGTCAGCATGGCACTCTCCAGCCGGGACGAAGTAAGTTTGTGCAGCTCGGCTCACGGCCTGGTACACTAGAGAATGTGAGAACCGAGAAAACCCCCATTCTCTATTCTACGCACTCAGTGCCACCCATGTAACTGTAAACAGCAGGGGTATTATACATAAAAGCGGAACATATATGCCAATCCCTTTCTTCAAGCATGCAAGTCAGGGCTCTCTCTCCTATCTTTCCCCTCTCTGCTCTATAATTCAACCACACCCACGACGCTTGTTCAAGATGTCGTCGTCGACATGCTGCCCGCCCTTCTCTGTCTGGGCGGCTCCAGGTCCTTCCCTTCTTCTCGTCCCCACCAAGATACTCTTGAGTATGATCTCCCCCATCTTCTTCATCACCCAGCTGTTATCCAGAGAGCGCCACGCTATGGAGTATAACAAAAGAAAAGCTCTGCCGAATATGCCACGGCTGCCACTGCCCCTGCTACTGCCCCTGCCCCCGCCGCTTCTACCACTTCTACCGCTTTGACTGCCAGCAGTGGTTGTATGATGATCTTGAGCCGTCGATGTCGTGACTATAATACGCAAGGAAAAAAGGCGGAAGGAAAAAGGAGTAAGAGAAGAGAAGAGGGACGTGCCGCTCACGCTCGTGCACGGGCGCCGCGGCGGCGGCGGCGGTTGCGCGCTGGGTTTCGTGCGCAGGCAAACATTGTGGTAGTCACCCAGCACAATCCATACTGACGCCGCCAGCAAGGTCCAGACGTCGCCCGCGTGCGAGGCCGTAAGGCGCGCCCGGAACCCTCCCGCCAGGATTTCCTACAAGCCTGGAAGCTGCTACCTTCGGGGCGTGGCTGTGTTTGGGACAAGTCAGCAACAATGCACACACACGCGCACACACACACGTGCACAGGCAAAGAGTCACCCGGTGCAGGAGAAGGGGTCCTCCTTACCATTCACCATCTGCCTCTGCTTGTTCAGCCAGCTTTTGGGCTGGTCCTTCCTCTGCAGGACGACGTGGTTGCTCTGTAGCCGGCTCGTGAGGTCGTACCATGCCGTGGAGATCATGGCGTTCTCGCGCTGGAGATTCTTGATGATCTGTTCGTGGGCGGCCTGCGGGAAAAGGTCCTGTGTCAGCCAGCAGAGCGCACACCAGGGATCATCTCTCCCGAGGGGAAGCCACGGAGTATTGACATGTTGTAGTTGGGTATCAATATCGACACCGGATCCCTCCACTGCGGATATAAGAATGAGAATGACCAGCCCGAGAGTTCGCGTTGACAGTTACAAGGTAATTTTCACAGATACAAGACTTGGAACGCATTTTGTGGGAACTTTTTATGAAACGGACACATTGAATTCATAAAGTAGGAAAAAGCAAAACATACCTTCTGCGCCGCCAACGCCGAGCCCGACTCCAGAGCCTTGAGCTGCTTTTGAAGCTCGAATCGCTCCTGGTCCGCTTTCTCGAGTTGCTGTGATAGTAGGCACATGTTAGCCTATGACCACCAATAAACTGAAATCTACTACTTGGACTTCTTGAAGCGAGAGAGCCAGCCGCCGCTCTTCTTCCTCTTCTGGGTCCTCTGCCAGGCCAGGTCCTCTGGCGGAGGCGTCACACGTCGTAGCAGCTGAGGATCAGATGGGCTCCGATAGCTACTAGAGTCAAGAGACCGCCTGCTCGCCACTGGTGGAGGAACTGCTAGCGCAGGTGCCTGGACAGTGCTTGACCTGTCATTCTCTTCAGGGGGAGGAATTGATGGCACAGGCGCCTGCACAGTACTTGGCTCGCCATCCTCCTCAGCCCGGTCATGCATTGGGAAGGGTTGGCCACTTGGCTCACCTTCCACAATGGAGCCAAGAATTGGAGTCATCGGTAAACGTGCCGAGGGCAATGTGGCCGAAGACTCCCAAGAATTCCTCCCGGGACCTGGGTCGGTCCGAATAGAAGTCACGGTAGCCAACGGGTCGAACGGTTTGGGAGGTTTCAAAAGACTTGCCTCTTTCTGGAGCTTGACGCGATCCCTGAGCTTCTCGGTCTTGGACTTGTAGTCCTTGACCCTGTCGTCCAGGTCGGCCTGGCTGACACCCTCGGGCGCCACGTTGGCGGGCGGGCCTTCCAGCTCCCTCTCCTTGGAGAGCTTCTCCTTGGCAACGAGGGCGTCGAGAAGCTGCGACTTGTGCAGGTTGTTCTCGATCTCGAGGCTGTTGTACTTTTCGCGCATCGACTCGAGTTCGGATCTGAGAGACGCTGCAATTAGTTGGTCAGACTGCTTGAGTCTCTCAAGGGCATCGAGACGGTCGGAGCCGACCGCATCCACTGTGGAGTCATCGTCAACGTCAGCGTTCTGCTCCCCAAGATCGTAATCAGGGTCCTCGGTCAACGCACGGTCGGTCTTCATGGAGAGGTTCTCGCGGTCCTTGTCCTTGGCTTGCTCTTCAAGCTTGCGGATTTGCACCTTAAGCTCGTTGACCTCTCTGGTGGCTTGGGCCAGTTGTTCTCGGATGCTGTTGTACGCCACATGCCTGTTGTAGTCAGATGTAAGCGTGCCGAGCGGACCACATTTCAGAGCTTCATCGATGCCATTGACTAACCCTTCGCCGGTCATGTTTGCAATGAGGGCATCGATCTGCTCCTGAGCAACTCCGTGCTTCTCGAGGATCGAGGTATATTTAGACGTCGCGATATCACGTTCGGCCTTCGCGCGATCCAGCTCTCGCCGGAGGTCGTCGACCTGTGAGCCAGCGGCCGCACCATGCTTGAGAACTTCGATCTCGGCCTCGAGTAACTTGACCTTTGAGAAGTCATTTGTCGTCTGCTGAAGCTCGCGCTCGAGGTTGCTGCTCTCCCCAGTCTGAGACGCAGGCGAGGGGGCCCTCGGTACCTCTCCGGCCCCGGCCAGTTGCTCCTTCAGGTCCTCCATATACTTCTCTACCACGGCATTCTGAAGCCTAAGCTGTTCGTACTCGGTTCTGACCTCCTCATACAACAGCCTGTACTGTTCTTTCTGGTCACGCTCGGCGTTGATGTCTTGCTCGATCGTGGTCATGGTAGCAATCGTTTCCTTCTCGCTTGTCTGCAGCCGATCGCGTTCGAACTTGGCTCTCTTTAGCTCTTCCTCCAGCGTCTTTCGGGAGTCCAGCTCGAACTTGAGGCCTGCGATCTCTTTCTCAAAATTCCGGTTGTCGGCAAGCTTCTGCTTGTATCGGTCAGCGGCATTGGCCTTTTTCTCCAGCTCCTGCGTTTGATGGCGCAGCTCGTCATATTTGTCCTTGTACTCCTGACCCTCCTCGCTGCTCGCCCTGTATCGTTCGAGGTCAACCTCCAGGCGCTGTTGCGTCCGTTTGAAGTTTTCGAGATCCTCCTCCTGAGATGCAATGAGCGCACTCTGTTCCTCGATCTTGGTCTGAAGCACCTGGACCCTCTGCGACTCGTCGGCGCCGTGGAGCTTGCGCAGGTCGGCCAGCTCGGTCTCGACCTCGGCGAGCTTGGCCTTGATCTCAACGTGGTTTTCTTGGAGGTAGTTGTGGCGGGAGTTAAGGTCGGCATATTTTTTTGTTGCGAGGTCCAGCTCGTGCACCTTCTGCTCCAGAGACTCTCCAAGTTTGGCAAGCTGCTCCTCGTGTTCCAGGTCGGCATCCCGATCGCCTGCCGCCTCCTCCTCCTTGGCCTTGGCGGCTAGCTCGAGCATTTGCTTCTGCTTCTGCTGCAGTATTCGCCGTATCTCGTTCTGTTCTACAGCATCCAAGTCGGTCTGCACCTTCATGATGGCTCTCGCTTGTATGGTTTTGTTCGGGCCCATGGCAGCAGTAGCGAGGAGGACGGCAGCGAGCTTGATTGCAATTGTGGTTAGTTTCTCCTCACACTTCTCGGGCTTTATGGCCCGGTGTTCCTGTTTGGGGGAAGATACCTGAGCGAGACCGTCGGCGTCCGGTTTCTCTGCGACTGCGCGGAAGTCGGCGACCTGGGCCAGAGGCAGACAGTCGGGAGCTTCGCGGCGCATGTACTTGAAGAGGCCCTTGTAGACAGATTGCAGGTTGCGCTTCTGGGTGAGCCACTTGGAGCTGCCCATGTTCTCGTCGAGTTCAGATGTGTCGTATGTGGGGTCGAGGCCGTGGAGCACCTGGCCCAGCACGAAGCCATCGGCGAGGTCGTCAATGGACTGGGCGGATTGCCCCTCGTCTGCGAAGGCGTTGACCCATTTTAGCAGCGCGCCCTGCGCGGCTGGACCGAGCGGCATGTTTGCAGTGTTCCCTGCACCGGGGTGGGAACGTTTGTATCGAGTACTAGATGTTGTTCAGGTTCGTGCAGCTGAAGCGTTAAGGGTGGGTTGCCAGGTGGGCAGGCGCGATGTGTCGGTGAGGATGAGGTGGCAGCCACAGGAAATACGTCCTCTCAGAGATAGGCGGGATAATACCTTGGAGAGAAGTGGGAAAAGGAAAGAAAAAAAAAAAAGATAGGTCGAGGGTGGTGTGTGAAACGGTTGGCTTGTTGGAATTGTGAACCGAGGGAGTGTTATTTGGAAGGGTGAGTGGACGGCTTCATCAAAAATTAAACGAGGTAACGAGTATATATGGAGTGGGTTCGTCAAAGCCCCTTTCTCAGGCGGATGGAATTGGCCTTGTGCCGCCCGAGTCGCTTTCACGGGGCCTCTTGCTATTATTATAATCAATCACCTTGTTGCGCGTAGTTGTCTTGTAGCTGGCTCTCGGGCCGGGTCTTGATTGTGTGGCAGTCCTGGGGAGAAGAGCGAGGCTTGTTCATTGTCTGCCCTCAGAAGGCCATTATGTCCCTGTCTGTCTGTCTGGCTGTGTCTGTCTGTAGGTCGGGCGGTCTGATTGTCACGCATGCTCGCATCAAGGGCGGGAGATTGACGGTAACGCCGGGCAGATCAGATCGGGCGGTCCATGGAAGGATTGTGGGAACACAACGTGCGAGACAAGATCCGATGAAGCAGGAGCACGAGGATGAGCAGAAGCTTTGGCTCTGTGACTCTGGAGCTCGAGCTCGAGCTCGACCCCTTCCGTTCCCCCTCTGCATGCAGTCCGCAATCTGCCAGCCAGTGCCAGGGTGTCTCGCGCCTATCAGTGTCGAGGCTCGTCCGCGATGCGTTGTATTCTTGGATTGGCCTAGTGCCCGGCATTGAGCGGACGCGGCGCGCTGCAGAGCGCTGCAGGCGGCAGCATGTCAAGGTGGCTTGTCTGACGCCAACGTTTGAGGTTTCGGCAGGGGTCTCGAGGCCCAAGAACTGGGGACAACCAAGACTTCTGAGGGTCACTCGGGAAACTCTCCAAGGCTCACCTCGGCATTGGGGTCCCGGGCTGCCTGGCTTGCGAATCGCACCTGCCTGCCTCTCTCCCAGCGCTACGCAATCTCGCAATCTCGACCTGCCCAGCTGGGTGAAACTCTAAATCGTGCTCGCCCATGCCCCCTCACCGAGAGCCTGCTGGCATTGGCAGTCGACTGCGATGGGACTCCCTTTGGTTACTACTGCAGACTAGCGGTAGAACATGCTGCGTTCCTACCAGTTGCCCCTGCATGCACAGCCAAAAGGGACGCAGTGTAGTAGTCTGCGCCATGTGGTTTGTTTCTTATTACCTGCACGCAAATCCTCCTGCATGAACAGCGGTGCCGATCGCTTGTTACACCGCACCCCTCCGCAGGCTAGTCACCGTCCAGCACAGGGACCTCACCAGGCTTGGCTGGATCGTCTAGATCGTACGCGGGATCCGTATTCGTCTGGCGCTCTGCCCTGTCGGGAACGACGCGTTGTAGTCTAACTCACTGAACATTGCCATTCGCTACTGCGTCTGCAGCGACCTACTTCCCCGGTACAGTGCTATTCCACAATGTTTCCTTGTTCGATGTCCCGTCCTCCCGTCGGCCCATAATGAGGTCTCATGATTGAAGTGCCGCTTGATGAATGTCCCGTGCGAGCCGCCCCATTGGTCCTGCAGGCTCGCCTTGACACTGATTGTTCAGAGTCAGAGCAGCGGAGATGAATTGCCCCAGTCCCCCCCCGGGGCCTCACCGCTTTGGCGCGGTAAGTGGAGGAGGCGACTCTCCCTCGGTCGACAAGTGGGTGCAGTGACAGATGACACCCTCAGCCATATGGGGAGACAAGCAGGGGAATCACGGACCAAGACAGTCAAGAATATCTGGCCAGCAAGACAAGGCATTGAGAAGCGTGGCAACCTACCTAGGTAACCGGGGAATGGCGGAATGGGCAACATCATCTCTATATTTCCTTGGTACGTAGGCCTTTAAACCATAGTTGACGAATTGTAAGCCCGCGTTACCTGGACACAAATAATCGGTGACACATAAGGCTGTCCCCGTGACGTCTACGGAGGTCATCTCGCGAGCCTCGCCGGCGGCATTCACCTGCCACGAGTTGCTCATCGGCCTTATCATTGCAGCAACAACAGCCATCAACATCCAGCACTGTCGCCCACCTCATGCAGTCCCTAAGACACACGGCATGTGACAAATAGTCCAGGCTACATACTTAAGTAGCCGGCTCCCAGGCCATGCGTTTAGGGACGGTGCCACAAGTGTAATCACGCTGACATATGACCAAAGCCTCGCTACGGAGCAAAGAGGGAAAAATACTGTAGAATTCATAGCCTGTCTGTTTTTAAACAAGAGTAGTCCTCCGGGACAGAGAAAAGGTATTATCCCGACGCCCTGGCCACAGAGGATCATCAACTTGTTGTACCAAAGGACCTCTCCCCATTTCCGCAGGATCTATTGCTCCTCCCAACGCCAGTCATTCTCGGAGCATCGTGGAGAAGCGTCGCCAAGAGTGGGCACAGCCGGGTGCCTCGACGCCGGATCCAGCCCCGTATGCCATCGGCCCGCTTAAGAGTGCTGCTTGTCAATCGAGACGACCTGGTCCTCCTCGACGATCGCGCCGGTGTCCTGGGCCCAGACCTGTAGACTCTCGTAAACCTTCTCCCCAGCGGTCGCGGCAAAGGCCCTACAGTACGGCGGGCGTTTGTCAGCACATCTGGCAGTTTGAACGGTACTGGGAAAGGGGTAGTGACACCCCGGGGCAATCCGGCTTACTTGATTATGGTGTACTCGTGGGTGATGACACCCTTTGCATCTGCGATCTGCTTCTTCGCGGCTGAGACCACGCTGTCGGCGGTGTCTTCGGGGAAAGAGATGATGAAGGACTTCTGCGCCTCGACGGCGAAGGCACCGCTGATGGCGGAGAGGGCCAGGAGGAGGTATGCGATCAGCTTCATGGTTGCGGTGTAGCGGTGGTGTAAGTGGGTTTGATGCGTGTGGACGGCCGGAGGTTGAGAGGTTCAGTGACGTCGGTCGTGATGTACTAGCGATGGAACACTGTCGTTGTCGCAAGGGGCTAAGAGTGGCGGTCGGTCCTGTTGATCTTATAGTGCTCGTTGACTCGGATGTCAGGAGACCTCGTAGTTGTTGCGTTGGAGGTACTGCTGGTGCTTTGCTTCAGACCTCTAGGTTGATAATGAAGTTTGTCTGGAGTCAAATAGTTGGGATGGGGTAGGTTGTTCGCCTCTTTAAACGCAGGCCGGAGTTGGGTTGACTTGGGGTTGACTTGGGGTTGACTTGCCGGGGAGGGGACCCCGTCCCGTGCCCAGGCTGCCAGGCCAGCTCATAAAGGCTTGGCTGCACACCGTTCGACATGGCGTGCCGCTTGTTTTACAGAGATGTCACCCAACGTCCCTAGCTTGACTAACAGTATCACCGCGAACTGATGATTTTGTATACCCCTCAACACCACAAGTGATCTCGAGTGACGGAGTGTATCACGCCGAACAGGTGTTTTCGCCTGCACTCTGCAGCACGAGTGATCTCGAAGTGCCATAGCATTTTCGAAAGCCGAACCTACCCGTCACCCCCAAGGGCCTGGCCAGCTCCCACTACTGACCGAGTACTACTTACGGATACCAGTGCTTGGCCGCACAGAGTATTTTGCGGACATCGCCATTGACGAGTTTTGGGTATGCTGTTCGCAAGGCAGAACGGCAAAAGAGGACGAATACGAGTGTGTTCTAACCAAACTCTTTAAAGTCGGTCTTGGTGTCTCACCACAATCCGCGGAAACGGTGTAGTACGTTAGTCGTCGAACGGGCAATCATACTCCTTCGTGTCTCTTAATTTTTGTTGTTCAATAGTCTATGCGCTCATGGTTCGTTGTTGAACAATGTGGGCAGAGACAAGTTTTGTCTGAATGGATTGGGTGAGCGGGGCTCAGGGCAACGCAGGGGGCTTGTGAGAATGCCATTCCGAACAATGGCGTTCTGCGGCATAGCAATGAGGTGCTCAAGTAGCCCAAGATAGCAGGTGGTGCAAATGGATCTGCCCCGGAACGACATGTCTAGTGAGACCAGTGGTAGAGTCAACTATCATTCCCGACCGTCATGTGGTGACGCCTTCGCAATGCAGACCAGACCGGGACGCCATGCTTCCGAGTGAGAAAAACAACAAAACACATGTGAGATGCTCAAGGCACAGCACTCGAAGGCACGCTCTCCGTTTCTCCCCATACGTCCTTGCTCTCCTGCTCGACCGCGCGCATTGCCATGGCCACATCCTCCAGTTTTGCAACAACATCAAGCACTCCCTGGTTGACCCGTTGGAAGTAGCGATCATTGGCCTCTCGCCGTTTCCGTGCAAACTTGATGTCGATCTCTGTCTCCTCCTCGAGCTTCTGACCCAGCCGCTCAGCGCCGAGGCCTGCGCTCCCTGGTCTCACACTGGCCGTTCCGGCACTCCGTGCTGCACCGTCTATACCGGCGCCTGCACCGCCGACAGTAGTCCCTTCCGTCTTAGACTCCGCAACTGCACCGCCTTTCTCTGATGCAGTCCCAGGCCCGATGGACGTCTCGATGGCCTCATCTGCTTCACTGCGCGCCCAGGCCTGAGCGAGCGCGATCTGCGCAGCCCGCAGCTCCCCAAGCTTCCGGTCATGGTCTGGCCCAAAGACTCGCGTCCCACCGCTGGCGGAGAGTTCCACTTCCTCCAGGGTGGCTTGCATCTCTGCCCATAGCGCATCCGTCCTATCGGTCGCCCGGGTAGACTCCCTTCGCGTGGTTTGTATGGGTGGCAAGTTCAACCCGCCGGCTCCGAGTGCGCCTGACCCGGAGCCGCCGGCTGGCCGGCGGGTGCTGGGAGCGGCCGGACCCGCATTCCTGTTGGCGCGGGACTCCATTGGCTTTGATAATGTTGAGAGGGCTGCAGCTAGGGGGTCATGAGAGAGCGTGGACGAGCTCCGCGGGTGAGCTTGCGAGGTAGGCGGTAGTCCAGTGATGGCGGGCCCGGGGCCAGCAACAGTACTTGGTAAGGAGACATGAGAAGCAGCCGGGGAGGGATGCAGGAACAGAGATGGCGGCGGGTCTCTCTGGGGCTTTGTCTGCGTGTGCCGTGGTTGAGACATGGTTTCTCGTCTTACTCATCCATCCAGCTTATGTCCGTAGTAGGTCTGGACTCCCTTGGACACGCGCATATGCGGCGTGCCGCGTCTCCCCCAGACCGAGCTGGGCGAGGTGCTGGATCCCGAGGCTGCCTGTCTGGTGGGCTGATTACGTACCAACAGCCACCTTCCCAAGGCGGAAGACAGCCGACCGAGAAAACGGCTGACAGTATTGGATAGTAAATAGGCGGGACTCCTGAGATCAGTTTGGTAGTGTTTCGTGGTGAGAGTAGACCAAACAGGGTCTTTGTGCGTATGAGAACGGAATGAGCTTGCTCGACAGTCTTGTTAAGACATGTCCGCTCCTGTCCTAGACAGGAGAGGATTGGACTGGACGAGTACATGAGTAGCTGAATGCTGGCCCAACTGTCAATGCTAATTGTCAAATGTCCATCCAATACCAAGACCCCATGAACAGGGATCCATCAAGTGGGCCCGACCACTCGCTCGCTCGCTCGCCGGGGGCCGTGACAATTGGCTCAAAGTTCACCTGGGGGGGTAGTGCAGTTTTTCGCTCGACTCGGAAGGCAGGAATTTCCTGCTCCGTGCCTAAAAAGAGTGGCCCGAGCGCCCGCTCCTTCCCCGAATCGAATGTACAGGGAGCCCGCACACTTTTCGAAGTTTTCCTGGCAGGAGCAGCCCGATCTGGAGTCTTCCCACGACAACCACCTAACCCCCCCACATAACCCAAGTTCAAGCGATCAAGTCATAATCGGTGAGTAGAGGCTACATGTCCGTTTCGACCGTCTTCCCAATCAATCCCCCAACCGACTGCGAACCGACCGACAAACGCCCGTCTCAGCGAACCAAGAACCACCTTCAAATCAATCCACCGATCCACCCGGTGACGCACGACAGCACACATCAAATTCAGATCTCCGGGGACGAACGTACGTGGCTGACATTTTGTCGCGTCTCTACAGCTATTCAAGATGGGAAAAGGCAAGCCTAGAGGTCTGAACGCCGCGCGCAAGCTGCGCAACAACCGCCGCGAGCAGCGCTGGGCCGATCTGTCCTACAAGAAGCGTGCGCTCGGAACCGCCTTCAAGTCCTCGCCCTTCGGTGGCTCCTCTCACGCCAAGGGAATCGTCCTCGAGAAGGTCGGTGTCGAGGCCAAGCAGCCCAACTCCGCCATCCGAAAGTGTGTGCGTGTGCAGTTGATCAAAAACGGAAAGAAGGTCACCGCTTTCGGTACGAACAACCCGATTCTCCTCCCCACCCGGTGGATGTCTCTTTTACGGAGCAGCGGAGCGCCCAGAGAGACGGGCAGATGCAATTGTAACGATGTGATGAGCTGACACATGATGACTCTGCAGTCCCCAACGACGGTTGCCTGAACTTCGTGGACGAGAACGACGAGGTGCTCCTGGCTGGTTTCGGTCGTAAGGGCAAGGCCAAGGGTGATATTCCCGGTGTCCGATTCAAGGTCGTCAAGGTTTCCGGTGTCGGTCTGCTCGCTCTGTGGAAGGAGAAGAAGGAGAAGCCCCGTTCTTAAGCAGTGTGCATGGACGGAAAATGGAATAGGGATGCTTTCGGTTCTGGCGTCATCTGTGCTTGCTCTCATCGGCATCTTATCAGGCAAAATGGGGGGTTCTGATATTCACACGGTAGACATGGTCGACGAATGAAAAGATCATCACGCCACGACGAAAAAAACAAGACAAAAGGATACCCGTCTCCGCTTTGCGAAGCTTCGATCGTGAAATGGGGGTGGCCAGAGAGGATTGTCAGATTGGGACCTGCAATAATGAGGCTAGTTCAAACAGGCTGTATGGGCACATGGCATCTATGGCTTGCCTTGGGTTTCCTCGGCCCCATCTTCAGAGATGTTCTTAAGAGTATAGTCCACAGCCATTCCAGCACTGACGGCTCCACCAGTAATCCAGCACCCATTTACAAACCACCACCAGCAGTCCTTGACGTCTTTGAGATTGACCTTCTTGATCATGTATCCTAGCGTGAGGGCGGCACCACCGCAGCTGCCCACGAAGAATGCCGGGCCAGCGCCAGCAGCAATCCCTGAAGCGGCCAGGAGGCCTATCTGCACGGCACCGAGGCCCACGAGAAACCGTTTCGACTGGTCGTGTGCAAGAGCGACGCTCTTGATGCCCGCCTTGGCATCGTCCTTGACATCCATGTGCGCATAAATGCCGTCATACAGAACCGTCCAAGCTACGTTCGAAGAGTAGAGAAGAGCAGCAGTCATCAGCGCCGGCGTGTTCGAGAGGAGATCGACGCCGAGCGCTGGGAAGCCCACGAACGCACCCCATGAGAAGGTGAGTCCCAGGGCGAACTGCGGGTAGTACGTCACCCGCTTGGCCAGGGGGTACGAGGCCACCAGGAGCAGACTCGGCGTGGCGTAGAAAAAGCACTCGAGAGGGAACTGGAGCAGGATGGCCAAGCCCGCGAGGAGCTGTGCGCCCGTGAACACCAGCCCCTGGAACGGCGTGACTGCGCCCCGTGCGATGGGTCGAAGTCGTGTGCGGGTGACGTGAGGGTCAAGGTTGCGGTCCCAGAGATCATTGATCGTACACCCTGCGCCGCGCATGATGAGCGCGCCGGCAAAGAACAGCGCTGAAGTCCCGATCACGGATCCCGGTGATGCCATGGGCGTTGCTAGAGGGGCGGCCATGAGAGTTGAGAAGAGGCACGGGAAGAAGAGGTAGTAGGTGCCGGCGGGCTTGTCGAGCCTTATGAGCTCTGCGTAGGGAACCCATGATGACGGCAGGACTGCGAGGAGGCCGGTGTTGGGTGGCTCGTAGACTGCGGGAGCTGGTGGTGGTGATGGGGTTTGCTCGGGAACAACGGGGGCTGCCCCAGCGGGAGCAGCAGATTTCTGAACGTCGTTGGACGTGAATGCTCTGGGCCGCTGGGCTCTGATTGTCCAGCCGTTGGTTCCATGGAGTACTTGAGGCTTACTCCGGACTGGCCATGCTTGGTTTTGGCGCAGAAATCTGCGAGGGATGACACAAGGAGCAACAGGGCGAGATGACGCTGTTCTTAGTCGGCCAGCTCGGACTGTATTCATGGCGATTGCGATGACGCCCTTTTCATAGGACCTGAAGTTTATGTTAGCTATCGAGTGCCATTTGATTTTGGTTCGCGTGTTCGCATCTAGTGTAGCCCAAACGGGTTCATCTTCCCATGCATGGTTTCCTCTGCTTAACGGACATACTTGTGGAAGTCACCGATAAGAGAGTGATCCCAAGAACCCTGACTTTCGGCAAGATAGGTGTAAAAAATCCAGCTGGCGAACTCTTGCAAGCCAGCTGCAGCGATCAGTCCTGCTGATCGTGGAAGGGAGGGAACGGGGCAGGAGAGCAGTATGAGTTGGGTTTGGAGATATTACCTACTTCAACTTAACCGCACAGTGCTGCCGCTTTCATACGGTCATGCGAACACAACCTGGCCGTCTCCTCGAGAACTCATGCCCTAATTTGGTGAAGGGGCGCTGTAGTCAGTGACGGGTAGGACCACTAATACAAAATCAGTGACTTTTCAGCCTTGTCGCTGGCTGCGAAAAGTTAAAATGGGGCTGTTGTTTTGGAGCACGGTGGTTGGTTGGTTTGCTGGAAGCTTCACCCCAGATTTCCCGTGGGCTGCTCCCGTCGCGTCTAAAGTACAAAGTACACAGACACCCTCTGCCTTGCCAACTAGACGACACTGCCCATCTGCATCGGCTACCATTGTCGCATCTGCTTGCAGTCGCGCCAACTCATTCGCGCAAGAAAACCACCCATATTTTCTGGGTCAGTTCCCTAAGAGTATGAAGGGCGCGCCGAACATGCGCTAAATGGTCCTTCCTCACCATCGCGTCGTGCAGTCGCATCGCCCTCCAGCCCCTCCCCGATCGTAAACCTCGGCCAGCGCCCTCCTCTTTGAAGCCCCGCCCGCGCGTCCGGCCAACCTGCTTCAAGATGCCTAGCATAGCAACGCATCCTCAGGCAAAGTTCGACCCGATTCCACCAGATCTCGACCTGCATGGCTTGGTCGACCGGACCCCGAACTTCGAATGGGTCCAGCGCATCCCCGCTTCTAAGATCAGGAAGATCGAATTCGAGAAGCTTGTGTGGTACCAGGTGATCAAGCAAGGGAAGCCTCTCGTGATCGAAGGTTGGAATAGCAAGCTCCCGAGATCTCTGTTCAGTTCGCAATGGCTCGAGGCGAATTACGACAAGAAGCGTGAGTCTTGCCTGCTCCTGCCACACGTGGTTCGGTAGCTAACACCTGTCCAGAGGAGGATGTGCGCGACATCAATACGCAGTCTAACATCCCGATGACGATGGGCCACTACCTGCGGTCGATGCGCCAGCTGACCGATCAGTGGACCCCGAACAACTTCCAGGACGAGCGAAGGCAACGACTCTATTTGAAGGATATCGATTGTCCACCAGAGTGGCATGACCATCTACGCAAGGTTATGCCGCCGGGACTGTTTTATTTCAACGAGAATGTCGAGGACCACGGCCTCAGAGACGACGACCTTTTCATGGAAGAGCATACGGCCGCTCCAGCAGGAGACCTCATGAGCAGCCTTCCCCCAGAAATGCGGGCACAAAACCTGATGTGCTATATCGGACACGAAGGAACATACACACCAGCACATCGTGAGATGTGTGGTTCCCTCGGCCAGAACATCATGGTCGAAGCTTCGGGCAATGAAAACGGAGAAAAAGAGGGCAGCTCGATCTGGTTCATGACTGAAACCAAGGACCGGCAGATCGCTCGAGAGTACTTCTTGTCAATGTTAGGTCACGACGTTGAAATTGAGAAGCACTTTGCCCAGATTAACGCTTGGAAGAAGGCAACGTTCCCGGTCTATATTGTCGAGCAGAGGCCCGGCGACTTCATTCTCATTCCGCCTCTCGCGCCACATCAAGTGTGGAATCGTGGTACCAGAACCATGAAAGTGGCGTGGAACCGCACAACCGTCGACACGCTTGACTATGCCCTGCACGAAGCGCTGCCCCGAGCGAGGCTCGTCTGCCGAGACGAGCAGTACAAGAATAAAGCCATCATCTACTTTACGCTGCAAAAGTACTATCAGCAGCTGCAAGATGCAGCAGAGTCTCAGATGTCGCTTCTTTTGGGTGATGAAGTTGGCAGGGACTCTGTGAGGCTTACGCAACTGAAGAAGGATTTTAAGAAACTCCTTCAGCTTTTCACAGAAATCTTGGTGGACGAGATGTTCGCCTCAAAGGAGAAGAACGTGGAGATGATCCCCTTCGACTCCTGTGTCATCTGCTCTTACTGCCGATCCAACATCTTCAACAAGTTTCTGACATGTAAGCATTGTGTTCGAGACCTCATTGATGGTGACCAGGACACATACGACGTCTGCATGGAATGTTACGCCATGGGCCGATCCTGCCTCTGTGTGTCAGGGCTTTCGTGGTGCGAGCAGTGGGACTGGTCTGAGCTTGTTGAGAACTATGAGGCGTGGCGGACCATGGTCATCTTCAACGATAATTACGTCGATATGAATCTGTCACCGCTGCCTCTCGAGGTTGCCAGAATGAAGATTGGCAGGAAAGCTTTGGCCCAGGTCTGCCAGGAACAACTACGGCGGCGACCTTTCAACGACATCTCAAAACCTGACAAAGAGCCTGATCCTGAGCCGTCAGATCCTGAAGTAAACGAGGAAGGACGACCCAAGAAACCCAAGAGAAAGAAGAAAAAGGGCGACACATACACGTGCCACACCTGTTGCCACAAAGATTACACCTACCGCCTGGCCTTCTGCACCACACCAGGTTGTAACCAGGCATATTGTTTTGGCGTGCTCTATCGGGCCTTCGATATGATGCCACAAGACGTACTACAAGAAGAGCGCTGGCAATGCCCGCGATGTCGATTGATTTGCAATTGTGGAGGATGTCGGAGGACGGGCATTACGAACCCATACGAGCCGAAGAATACGTACATTGGCCACGACACCCGTGCTGTTGCAGACGACCGCAGCCAAGAGTCGTTGGTCGATTTCCGCGTGCACAACTTGAACTGGCTCAATGCCGCGGGAGATGGCAGTCGCAATCACAATAGCAAACGGATCCAGCGGCTGCGCCAGGAAGCCGAAGCAGACAAGGCCAGAGACAACGCCGACGCCGCAGGTGACCTTGCTGGCAACGATGCAGCTCCTGACCAGGATGGCTTGTCGCAGCAGCCTGGCCTAGCTGGACCTGGAAACCAGGAAGAGATGGCAGAGACCAATGGAGCTCCAGCTCATGAATCTGATGCGAACAGCCTTCAGCAGCAAGCATTTAATGGTGCTGCCAATGGCACGGATCTGTCCATGCTTCCTGATGCCCGGGCTTCTCTGTTCCCCGAGAGTGAAGCCTACCCGGACCCTTCGACGCTTGGTGCAGAACGAAGATTGGGGATGGGCTACTATGAGCAGGACGACACACCTAACAAGATTCTCTTTAACCCGTACCAGGAGCCAACTGAAAGAGATGATCTCGTCAGCGATTTCGAGGAATCTGAGTGGGTCAAGAAGTCCCTGCGCGCGGCCAAGCGACGAGCTCGGCATGAGGATGAAGACCCAGATTTCGTCGTCGGCAGGTCACATAAGAGGAAGAAGACCAAACCCGATGCAGAGCTTTCGCGGGACAGCACACAAAACCTCGATCCGGCACTTCTCGGCAATGACACGGTCATGCATAATGCTGCTCCGGAGGGTATCGAGCCTCCGGAAGCGCCCGTTGACACAGATGACCCTTTTGCTGAGCAGGACGAGCAAGATGAGGGACCCATAGATCGTGGCCGACCATTCGATCTGAATGTACCCACACTGCGGCACTCGAGGCCCAAGGTCTCGTATGCAGATACGGGGGATGTTGACGAGTTCAATGAAGTTGTGTCGGCAAAACCCAGAAGTCATATGCCCAAGGCTACGCCAGCGCCGAACGAAGCGAGCAGAGACCCTGTCGATCTCGCTGCGCAAGCCATGCGTGCCATCACTGGTGTTCCGCCAACCCCAGATCCTGCGTCGGCTCCCATCCGCAAGAGAGGACCAGGCAGGCCTCGACGATCTGACACAGGCCCTGCTCGCTCTTCGCCTCAGGCGACTGCTAAGCCCACCACGCCACAAACAGGACCCCCAAAGCGCCGTGGCCGCCCACCAAGATCATCCTTAGCCGCCAATGCCCTGGATCCAGACAATGAGCCAGAGACCCCAACAGATTCAGCTACCGATGACTTCGAGCAACAACTCGCTAAAGAATTGGGAGACGAGGAGGCAGTTGGAGACTCACCAAGGCTACCTGTGTCTGCCCCAAGGCGAAGGGGCCGGCCTCCAAAGAAGGCTGCTCAGGGGTCTGAGAAGCCAGACCGCACAAGTGCAACGCGGTCCGGGGGATCACCTACGGCTGATCCTGCACCTCCTGCCGAGAAATTCATGTCGATGGCTGAGCGTATGGCGCTCAGAGGCAAGAAGGTCAAGATCGGAAAGAGGAGAAGTGGCCGAGAAGCGCCTGCAGCAGATGCGACCGCGGATGGTGGTGTCCAGGCAGCTCCTCCTACGGACGACGCTCCCGCCCCGGCAAAGGAAGCGCCAGATAACGATGGCATTCCCGGCCCGGTACTGGAAGCTCCGGATAGTGATGGAGCGCCTGGCCCGGTAGAGGAAGTGCCGGACAATGGTGAAGCACCCGCGCCAGAAGAAGATGCTCAAGACAATCATGGTCTACCTGGTTCAACAGATGTACCCCCAGAAAATATCGACACGCTCTCTCCTGCAGAAGCCTCAGAAAATGACGACGTGTCAATGGAGGATGCGGAGTCTGACGAAGGCGCGGAACAGTACATGTCATCAGGACCAGCAAGTGTTGCACCCGAGTCAAAGGAGGCCAGCGTCGCGCCTCGGTCGAGGCTTCAGAGTTCGGTGGCCCCTCTGTCAAGAGGGTCCAGCCGTGCGCCAGCCATCGAGAGGTTGGAGCCTTCGCCTCCACCACTTCCGGCCAAGCCAGCAGGCCCAACTGTCGTGCGGCTCGGTGATTCGGAGGATGAGGAGACGGGAGGGCCAACAATTGTGAGACTGGGCGATTCGGATGACGACGGATACAGCTACTACAGCGATGATGGCGCCGATGAAAACGGCTCTGTCTCTGTCTCTGGCTCTGTCTCTGGCTCTGTCTCTGGCTCTGTCTCTGGCTCTGTTGCTGGTTCCGGGTCTGACGAAGATGATGATGACGAGGATATCCCAGCGGAAGCATCGGCTCGAGCAAATCCAGGCCCAAGTGGTCGAATGGCTACGAGAGGCGGGGTCAGAGGTCGAGGACGGGGCCGAGGACGTGGTCGTGGCCGGGGAAGGGGCGGAATATGATGCAACTTTGACCGACCGCTACAGTACTGCGATCTCATGGTTGAGTGCCAGCAGTACGACATTTATTTGTTTGTTTGATACCTCTTTTTGCGTGAACTCCGTCTGCGGGAAGCGCATTGCAGTAGTGATCAGGGTGTCAGGTCACTTGCACGAAGGCTCAAGGTAGCCACGATGACACATGATAGAGTCAATTCAAAAAAAAAAAAAATCAATCCTCTCTCTCCCTTCTGCCAATGCTTCCCGTGCGGCGCTCCATGCGTGATTAATCCCGCCTATGCTCACCCCATACCCTCCGTGCTTGTGGATAGCAAAGCTGCCATACTCGGTGAACGCCTAATTCGCAGATTCAAATCGTCATTCCTGTCCTCTCAACTTGATTGAGCTCATGCGTTAGCATTCGCCGGCCCATTTCGTGGTTAGGTGTCCCTCTCGCCTTTCCAGCGTCCCTCAGACCCAGGTTGCAGATCCCCGGAACTTAGTCGGTTGAGTTGGTCGTGGGAGTGGGGCAATGGAAATAAGATCAGGGAAGAATGACTGTAGTTACCCGGTTTTGCCTTTTTGGTGGGAGAAGTGACAAGTCGAAGAAAATAGTGGGTGGGTGTGTGTCCTTGGTTCGGATCCTTACATGGGGTCTGTACCGCTGGTGCCGCTCTTCGACTTGTCCTCGGCGTGCTTCTTGGTGCGCTCCTGCAGCTTGGAGATGTCCTCATCTGGGGTGCGGTCGGCCTTGACGGCCTCCTCGCCGTCAGAGGCGAGCTCCGGCTTCCAGTGGCCCTTGCCTGTCTTCTGCTTGGAGAGCGAGTCTTGCTTGTGCTTCTCGTAGTCTTTGATATCTGCGCCAACAAGGGAGAATGTGTTAGCGCGTGATTGCTATTGGGGTGAGGAGGAGGGGCGTTGGAGGAGAGGGCTGACCACCTGAGGACTCCTTAATGCGGTTGACTGATGACACGGCGAAGCTCCGTCGGAGAACGGGCGTGGAGGAAGCCGTTGGTCGCAGGGCAGCGGCTGGGCGGAGGAATCTGGATGCCATGGTAGCTGTGGTAGTGAGATGCGTTGTGGGTGGTGGTGGTGGTGGAGGAGCTCTCTTGGAACCGTGTGTGAGGTGGAGGGGAAGTCTGGAGGATTCAATTGATCAATTGGAAGGAGTGTTGATTCGTGTCACGAATGCAGGATATTTTGGTGAGCAAGAAGAGACAGTTGATCATTAACTACTCGGTCTTGGACCTGGACAATGACCTCGGGCAAGGGGCCAAGGGAAGATGCCCATGATGTCATGATTGCGGGAGAGCTTCGAGACAGGGTTGCAGCTGACAATCCGGGCTATGTTAGTGGGTGGCAGGTGGGCAGCGACAGACACCTCGTCATTAGCCTGGCCACTTGGACTCATCTCCTGCCAGCCCGCCGAGGTATTGAAAATCCTCATTTCACTGCCCGTTGCTGTGAGAGCTATGCCCAGCTCAGCGTTGTCGGTGTTCTTGAGCTGCGGAGCTTTCGGGTCAAGTTTCCATTACATACCCCTGGATCCTGGCCATGCAAAGAGCCGCAAAGTATATTTCAACCACACCATTTACTTCCCCAGCCCCGTCACTCACGGCTCAAACCAGGCATCAATGGTCCAGAATGTTTCTTCATTATTCATCGTGTGTAAGTCCATCGCCAAACTAGGACGACAAGTCACCCGAGTCGACACCCCATGATCAGTTACTTGATGGGGTAATGAATGAATGGCTGTCGACGTCTGCCAAGCAAGTCTCGGAGCGAGCTCAGAGCATTCCAAAATCGTGACTACTCGGAGGCTTCTGGTAAAGATCCGAGTCTCCGTAACAACCCAGGACCTAAGGGCTCCGAAATATGCCCTGAACCATTTGCTCCTTTTTCATGTTCACTGCGCGAGCGGCGCACCCCCTAACCTCCCCCAGCTTTGCCTTTGCGCTTCCAATGCTTCTTCCTCCTGCCACCGTGGTGGCCTCACGAGATGAACAGCGACGTCGCTGTGCGATCCGACAAGAAACATTCATCGTGTTCTGGGAATCATTCCCACCGCCTCGATGTAAATACGCATCAGAATGCGGTGTGTGGGAAGCATCCGAGTGGATGAATGTGTAGACACCCACGCTCCTTCAAACAGAGGACCCCCGCTGGACCCTTCTCCTCTTTGGAAGCGGCATGATGATATCATCAGCAGCCTTACCATCCAAGCTCTCAATCGCGTCGCTGAAGATGTTTTTTGGAAGCGGGTGGTGCCGAAGCATGTCGCCAACCACCGGCAGGGGGCCTCGGGCAGGGAACGGCATTGCCAGCGTCGCCCGCTAACAAGCCCTGGACATCCACCAGCGGCTCCAGTTTCCTCTCTCGCACTTGATTGTCTTCCGTCAGCAGGTAGTTTCCCTTTGCCCTCATCTTTAACGGCATCTTTTTGTTGAGTGAGCGGGGAAAGCTGTATGTGAGCATGTGTTTCAAGGCAGCACGCAAGAGGAATTCTGGTAATCCCTCTAGGAACTCATCCGCAATGTGATTCACTCCTGGGTGCATGTCGAACATGTCCTTAAGAAGCCAATCCGTAAGGATCCGGTGCATGGGAGATCCGTCCGGAACATCAGCGACCAGGCGTTCGAGGTCTTCACGACAGATTGCATTTCGCCAGACATGTTGCGGCTCGAAATGGTAGATGCTGGAAATGATTGCATTTTGGAAATCGTGGCAGGCGTATTTGTGCGCGAAAGCGTAGAGCTTGAGTTTCTGCGGGACTTTGAGGTTCTCGCATTTGAAGGGCAATTCCGTTGACTCCGTCCAGACCCTGTAAAGCGAATTCACGAAGAACTGGAACTCGGCTGGTCCGTCGTCTGGGAGCTCTTTGATGTCCCGGAAGCCGTCGCAAAAGGCTTTGCCGAGGAAGTTGCCCGCCTGAGCTTGACGGAGCACGTTGTCGTGGATGCGAAACCGAATCTTTTGAGGCCCAACCAGAAAGGTGATAATTCGTGAGTCGAATTTGGAGGCCCTTGACTCTATTCAGTAAGATACGAGGAAGAGAGAGCACCATATGAGTTGACTGCAGGGGCCAAGACAGCGTTACAATCGACGTTTCAATCGCATGCTGTTGCGCATCGAAGTTCCGCAAGCCCAAACCTTCCGTTTGTGCAATTGGTCGTTTGATATTCGTTCGTTGGGAGTGACTTACACGTCTGCCGCCACGTGGGCTGCGTCGTTGCTGCTCATCTTAGGCCCCTTCCGGCTGTCATTTGCTACGTGGTGAATATTGGGTCTAGAGTGTAGACTGAGGTTTTCAAGTGGGATCTTGGTGGCCAAGCCTGCGCTGCTTGAGGTTTCTTGTCGACGTGATTCTCTTCCCAGGTGGACGAGGTAGATAGATGAACTCTGGTCTGTCCACCAGTCATCACCTACGTTGAGTCGTCAGGCTTTTGGTACTGTTTGGCGTGTACCCTTGTAGCGAAGGGGAAGCGATGTTGCTAAGCCGCAGAAGGAAGAAATAAAGAGATCCCCAGGGCTGGGGGACAATTGGGTCTGCTCATCAGCTACCTACCTTACAGAGGGAGCGAGGAAAGCAAGCCGATGGAAAGGTTTGGGTCAGAGCTTCCAACGGCTCTGCGATAGAGATGGCTGTGCTTCAAGCATGTGCAAACGATGCCCTTCCTCTCACTGTCATGCCCCAATGCTACTTAGAACGCAAACATTCGACTTTTTAGAAATGAAGCGACACCACCAGATTTGTTGCTCTCTCACTTGACCTGCATTGCCATTGAGATTCCGTGGCGTGGTAGACGGAAATTGCTCTAAAGGGGGGTGTACCAAGGTATAACAAGTTATGCCACATGAGGTTGTCCCACAGGAGGTCATCCCATAGGGATTATTCCAAAAGAAATCATCGCACAAGAGGTTATTCTATAGCTGGCTACCCGTAGAAGGTCGTCCCACAGCAGATTCTCCCATAAAAACTCATTAAACATAGGGTTATTTGACAAGCAACAATGCGCTATAACAGCGATCTTGCAGTGTTCAAAATAAGTACCGTTTGTAATGGGTCTCCACAGCTGTGGACTTGCCTGCGTTAGTCTCCCGGGTATAGTCTTTTCCTATGAAGGACTAGGATTAGCTTTTTATTAGAAAGCGAATCGCTACGGAGCGAGACTGGACCACAATAATGTGTTCATTCATGTGGACCACGGCTGAATATGTGGCTAATGAGCGAACGTGCTCCCATCGTGTGGACCCAAGCCCTTTCCACTGCTCTCCATTAAGCCCAGTGAGTTAGGGGACAGGCACTGAGTGCAATTTGCACACAGTGCTTCAAGGACTCTTGGAAAAGACGTACTTAGAAACCGGAGAGAAGGCAGAGACGCTGTGGTTGAAGCCTGATGAGAGGTCCAAAAGCTGAAGCAGTCCAGGTGCAGCTCCACATCCAGTCGCGGAATTCAAGAACTAAAGATATTATATGATGCTCGAACAGAAGAGTCGGTTGGATGAAACAGAAAAAGGTCGGGATAAAGATTAGCTGGCATTTTGGAGAGACTTGGCAGTTTTCTCGGTCTGTCATTCTTCTCCGGGGGGGGGGGGGGGTTCTCAATCTAGGCAGGAAAGAAAAGAATCTTAAGAAAGACATTTGAAAGAAATATCCTACTTTTTTGATTTGGATTACAATTCAAGCCTTCTTGAATTTGCATCCAATTTTGCTTTGCATGCAATGCAAGCCCCTAATCCAGATGCTTCACTTATGAGAAGAGATCCATACGATTGAAGGTCTTGCTGAGCTAGAGACGCTTTCAGGACAAAAGGAATTGTGACCCCCGGACTGAGATGATTCCATCCTATAACATCAACACGTGGGCGTTTATAACTCGGGCTCCTGGTGTCCATAAGGACGCGTTTGGGTGCGCTAGACTACGTCACTATCACGAAGCATACTCCTCAAGGTGGACTGGGATTTTGACTGGATGTCAGCTTTCCGTCATGTGAGTATAGACTGCGAGATGGGGTACGCCAGCTTATAGCTTGTCCCTTGTCAAGTTGATATCCTTCCGGCAGGGTGTCCTCTTAACAGGAGGTCATGTGCCTGCGCGTGTCCTTCTTCCGTCAAGCTCCTAATCGGTCTGCTGCTTTCCCGATGAACCTAGGCACGATGCCCAGTAGAGCAAGGATCGTAAGTGGCACCAATACGACCAAAAATAATTCCTAATTTTAACACCACCAAAGCCAGAAAAGAGATTCCCAGTCCACTGCCTCACCACAGCTTCCTTGCCTCCAGCGGATTTGCCCTCGAAGTTCCCATGCTGCAGGTATGATCACCATCCGCTTGCAGAAGAGCCAGCACTACCAAGGTCCTCATACCGCCTGAGGAACTTCATCTTGTATCCGACGGTGTTGTCAAATCCCTGCCTCCAGGCACCCAGCGTCTTTAGGAGCAAGACCTCCTTCAATATGGGGCCGCAGAGCTCGCTCGGTACGGAGTCCATCACTTTCTCCACCTGAGACTCCGTGGCTAGCGTGCTCGGGCGGGCCGAACAGCGGAGTTCCCTGCCAGGCTCAACCAGGAGATATCCAGACCGCAAGCTTACGGAGTACGCCAGGGACCGGACCACAAGTCTGTACAGGTGGCTTTCAGAGGGGATCACCCTGAGGAAGGTCTCGAGGGCGAGCTTGTCGGAGCCGAGAGTCAACCAGAGGTAGCTGTCCCTGGCGAATTTCTCGTGGAGAACAGAGACAATAGCGTCTTGAAGGTTGTGGATAAGAAACTGGTAGGCAAATGCGTAGAGTTCGAGGAGGGCGACCGTGCCAGACTCAGGGGGCAGGGCGAGGTGTGTAGCGCAGGTGTAGGCGGCATAGAGCCACACCATGAATGCCTGGAAAGTCTTCGGCTGCTCCTTGGAGAGATGGGCGGGGAAGACGCCGTCACCAACAACGTCAATCAAGACGTTCTGGTGGACCGTGAATCCCTCCTGGTCCGGTCCCACGCTGATGTGAACCACCTCAGCACCAAAGCGGGCATTGCTTGGATTGAAGTTTAGTATTTTTTTCAAGCACATTCTCAGAAACAGGCAGATATTGAAGAGCGCTGGACTTACTGGTTGCAAGACATGGTCTATACCGTCTCGTGTCTTTCGTCCGGTATGTTTCCTCGCGTCTCGTCCAGTGTTTGGGACGATTGGTGAACAGCTTGGCGGTCCTAGATAGCTGAGAAGTGTTAGTCTGGCCTTCTGTGGCTGGTGAGGTCAAGTTGTAAAGGACTAACCCGAACGCGTTGACAGAGATATTCGCTGACGACCTGTGATGATTTGGAGGAAGAAGTCTGAAAGTGCCAGGACAGGCTTTGCTTTAAATGCTAAAAGAGATGGGAAACTTTAGCAAGCACTCTGATGGGACCTGAGTCACTCTGCATGCAAAGCCACACTATTGAACAATCAAATACCACAAAAGAAAAGATGGGGCCACTCAAGACTCCATTGTAAGGCAAATTACAAACCGCTGTAGTTTGAAGTCAAGGTCGCGATATGTCCTGATGATGGTCAACGCATAATTGGTCACTGGCCTAGGCAGGGTTTGTAATAGCAAACACCGTATGAACGGACCCACAGGCATTGAATATCGTACATGTGCTTGTATCCCTGAGAACTGTTGTGATGACTATTGAGACTGATAGATACACCTTGAATTGAAAATAGCACCTCGATATTGCCAAACACATCATTTCAAGGGTGACACTATCAAAGTCTTCAATGTGGACCAGGATTGGTCACAAACCGCGATAGTCATTGTCGATAGTCACTGTCGCCAGATCCAGTCTCATGTATAGTGCGTCATTGTTCTTATTTCTTTCTCTCGGGAAGAACAACTATCAAAGCTGACTACCCCTTCAGATATTGCCAGGCCACCCAAGCAATCACTCATCTTCCTTGGGATGGCTGCCCGTGGCGATGCCAAACTACCTCAACAAAAGCCTGATACCACCCTCCGTATTGGCTTTGGGCGCTTCATCAGTGCGAGCACCGTCTGCAATGACAACCAGAGATCGGGACGTGGCAGGTGAAACTCGGAGTCTGTTCCTACGCATGCCTTGAAGCCCGTGCTGGCCGACCAGCCGCGGGACTTCTTGCGGAAGTACCCCTTGAGAATGTCGTGCAGAAGAGCGGCGGGTACAGCGTCCAAGATCTCGTCCATGTCAACCTCCTCCGATACTCCACTCCCACAGGCGTCCATGATCTTTCTGTGGTTTGGCTGCATCTTGGCCAGGTCATGGAGGATGAGCATCTGTGGCATCTGTGGAAAGATACCGAGAGCTCTTCCAGGGGAAGGAACGATTCGGTTTCCATCGACGAACGGCACGCTAACTTTTTGCTGCGAGGTCACCACAGGGAACATGCGGTAGGCCAATGCGCGAGTGACGAGGGTGTACAGGCGAGCGCCGGTGCCGACGTGGCCAACTAGGTACTCCAGTAGGGCGGTGTCTGAGCCCAAAGTGGCCCAGACCTCGCGGTCATCGGAAAGTTGAGCATAGATGGTGGAAACGATCGAGTCCCGCACAGCCTGTATTTCGCATGTCTGGGCGAAAACATAGAGCTTCACGAGGTCGAAGAATGACGCAAACCAGGGCGCCTGTGAGGCAATCGAGCTTGGGAAAGAAATATGTGGCAAGGTAGGCCCAATTGACGCATAGGCTGAAAGTCTTGGGCTCAGCGTCGGCTTGTTATCTGTTAGCTGCCTGATGCAGTCCAATGCAACGGGGTTGTATGGAACGTTGTTCGACGTACGGAGCGTGATGGAATCAGTGCCGGTCGCTTTGGCGAACGCATCACGGAGGAAGGCGCTGAAGCGACAAATTATCAGCTGGTGGACCAGGAACTTGACCTTCCCTGGTCCCACGAAAACGGTGGCCATTGGAGGACTGAAGAATGAGTTGCTACTTTGCAATCAGTGCTGCTTCATCAACAGAGTGTACCCGGCTGACCGATGTGCGGAGCGATGGCGAATTGGTAGGGCTTAAGCAGTCCGTTTGATAGGAGTGCCCAGGTGTGGTGATTGAGGGTGGGCATGCTTACCTCCCCTCGGGCTTTGTTGGTAGGTCTCTTGTATGTATGATAATCGTATGGGGAAGCAATTGTTGTATTGGTATTGTTTTGTTTAAGTTTTAGAAGGCTATATACTCCATAGGGGATAATTAAAGTAGCTATATAAAGATAAGGGTTATACTTATTAATATTTATAATTTTCTTTTCTTTTAATAAATACATATAATTCTTATTATAATTAATTTAAAATTATAATTTATTATATTAAATATATATAATTTTTATTATTATAAAATATTATTAAAATAATTTAAAATTATAATTTATTATAAGTTTTAAAATAAATTTATACATTTTTTATTATTATATTATTTTTTAAATTTTAAATATTATATTTATTATTTTTAATTAAAATTAACTTTTTAAACTTATATTTATTTTTATTATATATTTTTATATAATATATATATTATTTTTATTATCTTTATTTTTATTATTAAATTAAATTTAATATTATTTTAATTTTTTTCTTTAATTATTATTTATTTATTTAAAATTAAATATTATAAGTAAATTTTTTTTATTAATTTCTTTTTTATTTTTTCTTATTTTTTATTATTTTTTATAATTAATTTAATAATAATTTTTTATTTTAACTTTTTAAATAATAATATTTATTTTATAATAAGTTTTTATATATAAGCTTTATATATATTTTATAATAAGTTTTTTTATATATAAGCTTTATATATATTTATTAATAATTTAATATAAAAAGTTTTAAATTTAAATTAATATAATAATTTAACTTTTTATTAATTTAATTTTTTATTAATTTTTATTATTAAAAATATTATATAATTTTATATTAAAAATTTTAATATTTTTAATATAAATATATAATTTTTTAATTAACGTGGTTTATCATTAAGTGGCGGATATCATTAAGTGGCGGATTTTTATAGCTTTTTGCGGGGAATGCAGGGAAAAGGTACTTAAAGAGCTATTAAGAAATGCTAATAAATTTAAGCTATTTACTATTAAATTTTAAGTATAATTATCTTTATAAAAGATTTAATTTTAACTTAAAATATAATATGTATTTTAAAATATATAATAAAGTATATATAATAAAATTTGCATCCTTTTTAAGTTATTATTAAATAAGGTGCATAGGTTAATTTTACTTATTTTTTTTGCTTTATTATAACTATACCTTAAATCCCAGTTTTTAATTTAATTTAAAATAGCTGCAACCCTATAACCCTAACCTTAAAACTATATAAAAACCTTATTTAAAAGAAGTGTTATTTAATAATATAAGTTTTGTTTTAATATTTAAATTTAATTAAAATATAATTAATATTTAAACTTAGCTAAGTTATAAAAATTCCGCCACTTAATGATATCCGCCACTTGGTAGTAAACCACGTTATATTATTAAAAATTATTAATAATTTAAATAATAATTATTATAATAATATTATTTAAAAAAACATTTTAATTTTAATTTTTAATTTATTAATTTTAATAATTTTTTAAAATTTAAATTTAATAAATATTTTATTTTTTAATATTTTTTATAATAATAAAATTATTAATTTTTAAAGTAATTTTTATAATTTTTATAAAATTTTTATTAATTTAATTTTAAATATTTGTCAGGGCCGTGGGGCTGATCATGCGCAGGGGCCCTCTGGGCCCGTCTGGTTGGCTTATCTTATCAGCCCAACTGGCCTTCAAAACCACTCTAATCTGCCCTTTCGGCAATTCTTCCTTTTCCTTTCTTTTGTCTTAGGCAAACCTAGTTGTAAATTAACCATTCTTCACTATTACATTGTGCCCTTATTGCCATTTAAACGTAAGGACCGTCTTAATATTTTTTTATTAAAAATAATTAAATTATTATTAATATTAAATAAATTAAAATTATTATTATAAATAACTTTATTATAAAGATTAATAAAATTATTTTTATAATTTTAATAATAATTATAATATTTATAAAAAAATTTTAATTTAATTTAAAAATTATAATAAAGTTATTTTAATATTAATTATATTAATAATAATTATTATAATATTTATAAAAATATATTTTTAATATATATAATAAATATAATATTTATTAAATAATTTTTATTTATTATTATTATTTTTATAAATTATTATTAAAAATTTTTATTATATAAAAAAAGAGATTTATAAAGATTTAATAAATAAAATAAATATTTTTAATATAAAACTTTATAATAATTATTAATTTAATTTATAATTAATATAATTATAAATATATTATAAAAAAATAATATTATTAAATATAATAAATATTATAAATAATTAATATTAAAATATTAATAAATAAAAATTATATATAATAATATATAATTATTTTTAAATAATTTATAATTAAAAAAAAGTTTTATAATTTATAATTATAATTTTTTTATATAATTAATTTAAATATAATTAATTTATTATTAATTAATATTAATTAAATTTTAATATAATAATAAATATTAAAAATATATTTATTTTATTATTTAATAAATTATATAGTTTTTAATATATTTATAAAAGTTATTAAAAGTTTTTATAAATTATATTAACTTTATTAAATTTAAGTATTTATTAATAATATATTATAAAAAAAATAATTTTATATAAATTATATTTTTTTATTTAATAAAAGTATTTTTAAGGTAATTTATAATTATATTAAATATAATATATATTTTTATTTTTTATTAATAATAATAAGCTTTATTAATTATATTAATTTTTAATAAATTATATTATTAAATTTAAATTTTATAATTATATATTTAAAGTTAATAAAAATAATAAAAGTTATTTTAAAAATTATTTTCTTAATAATAATTATTATTTAAAGCTTATTTATAATATTTATAAAAAATATAAGAAATATTATAATAAAAATTATAATAAAAATTATAATAAAAATTATAATAAAAATTATAATAAAAATTATAATAAAAATTAAATATTTTATTAATATTTTTAATATAAAAATTATAAATTATAATTTTATTAATTATATACTTTTTAATAAAAGTTAATAACTTTTTAATATTATTAATTATATTTATAAATCTTTATAATAAATATTATAAAAAATAAAATTAAAATAAATAATATTTAATAAAATAAGTTAATAATAATAATTTAAAAATTATAATTATAAAAAAAAATTATTCATTTTTTTAAACCTTAAAAGTTAAAAGTTTTTTTTATTATTAAGTTTTTTTATATTAATTAAAAGTATTATAATTTATATTTATTTATAATATAATATTATATTAATTTTAATAATAATAATAATTATAAGTTTTATTTATTAATAAAATAAAGTTTTATTAAGTTTTTTTAAATTTAAAAATAAAGTTAAAAATAAGATTTATTTTAATAAAATTTATATATAATAAATATATATTTCTTAAATAATAAAATATATATATATAAGTATTATAAGAAATATTAATTAATTTATTTAATCTTTATAATATTTATTTAAAAAATTTAATAATATAAAAAAGCTTAAAAAAATAATTATTATTATATAATATTATTACGGTTTAAGCTTTGCTTATTGTAATTAATTAGCGGGCTTTAGCCTTATAAGAATAGGCTTTAACATAAGTGTAAATAAGGAGCGGATCTCTTTCTTTGCACTTTAAATATAAACCTTATTTAAGCACCTTACGGCAAACAATTCAAGGTTAGCCCATAATAAATGCTTATTAATAAAAAAAATATAATTTTTAAATTAAGAAAATTCTTATAAAATTATTTCTTTTACTTTATTAATTTATAATACTTATAATTATTAATTAATATTAATAACTTTTTTATATATATAATAATTATATAAGGAAGTAATTATTATATTAATATTATTCCGTTTAAGTTTTAAGAGGCTATATGCCCCGTAGGGGATAACTAAAGTAGCTGTGCAAAGGCGAGGGTCGTACTTGCTAACAGGCTTGGTCACCTCCTGAAGTCATAGCTGGTCAGATCAGTCTTGGTTGAGTCCGGCTCCACCTGGATCTGGATGGACACGGTATCGCCAGGGCCAAGAGAGTGGCTGGAAGTATCGCCAGTGGAGTTGCTGGTGACCTTTGAGGCCTGAACAACAGTATCTTTAATAACAGCCATGTCGAAGGAGTGTTGATCTTCAGTCTGCAAAGGGGGTGTTGCGGTGGCGCAGCACTGGACAGCAACTTTTTCTGTTGCTGAGGTAGGTGCAAGATTATCTAAACTAAATGGAGGGGTATTGAAGATCTAATGGCTATGAATGAACAGGAAAACAGCGAGTGTTTGCAAGATGGCATCAGATACCAAACGACCTACTATCAGAGCAGAAAGGCATCATTCACTTTGGAAACCATGATGGAATGATCCAGGGCAAGCTCAGCAAGAGCAACTTAAAGGTTGTCAAGCCATTATGTTGAGAATTATACTGGCAGACATTCTTTTCAAAAGACATCCCCAAAGGACAAGATCCTTACTTCGACATGACCGTCATGCCCTTCCTTGCAATATTCTTTTTTTTGGATGTGCTTTTGATAGACTGCGTTCAAATAGACAGTCATTGAATGGCCTAGACATAGGGTTCTATGATATTTGTATGTCCATCTACGACGGGAAGTACAATTTGTGCCCTGCAAGACAAAAGGTTGACTCAGATTCTCCTATCTGAACACAAAAAAGGTCTGGTGCTTAATGTACCACTTCACCATCCTAATGCCCCCTGATTGTACTGCCTGCCTGCTCATTGCTGGTGCGTCGTATCACAGTCCTCTATCAGGTGATCCAAACAGCATTGTCCAGAAAATGCGTCCTCCCCAATGTGTACCTCTTGAACACACTGAATACATGCGTCCCATCATCCATGCTCAGTCATGTGAAGAAGGTGAGGGTTGCACGTTCAGTCTGCACCGCCCAAGAGGTAGTCGTCAACTTTGTCATGTGCATCAGCCAGTACCTTTCCTGTTGGAGCATGAACATTCAGGCAGCTCGAAGATTTTCTTGAAGGCGAGTCGAACGAGCTGGTCTGGGATGTTGTCCATGAGCTTTTCGGCATTGCTTGTTCGTGCTTGAATCGAGTTGTTGACCAGGTAGTTGACCAGGAACTGGTGCATTTTCGATTCCTGCGGCACTCTGTCCACCAAGCGGTCAAGTGAGCTCTTATTGGTCAAGAACTCACAGTGACTCCAGCCCCTCGAGTGAGATTCCTTGAAAAGGGCTCTCATGACCGCGTCATGCAGCTTCGTGATCTTGTTTTGGTGGGCAAGGACGTAAAGTCTGACAAGATCGTCGGACCTGACACCCTTGAGGGGGTCTTGCGTCTCCAATTTCCCTTCCAGTGATGCATAAGCCCATGTGACAAGTAGCTTGAATGTATCGAGCTCCTCATCCAAGAGAACCAGAATTGGGATTTTGTCACCTTGGCCATCCGGCATGGAAGAAATGTGCAATGAAAGATCGCCAGTGACTCCAAAAAGCTTGATGGGAAAGTAAATGCTGAAATACCATTTTGAAATGTAGGCTTTGAGACAGCCAGACTCATCCACGTTTCTTCTTTCAAAATTCAGTGTCAAACTTGACTGCTAAGCAGTGTATTACACAGACATACACAGGTAGAGAAAGTGTGTATGTTTGTGTAAAGATAGTGTAAGAAAAAGGGAATTCGGGGCAACATACGAGTCATAGCCGGCGGGTGCCCAATGAGAGGTCATTTTTCTGATGTATTGATAGTAGTGTCTGGTGTAAGTCTGCAAGTGCTCATGCAATATCTGTGTCCAATATATCAGTCCAGTCGTTGTATTTTGGAGAGCATTTGTCCCGAGTGATCATAGCCGGCACTGGTGCGACTGATGTTGTTGATGGAGGAGGCTTTGCTGGATTGTCTGTTGAGACACGCGGACCAATAATCACTGATAGGCTCTGGCGGGGTCTTGTGAGCTGAAGTGGACAGATAGACTCAAGAAAGCAGGCGCTATGATCTGTTGAGGGAGAAAGTATGAAGGAGGAGGAATGTAAGGTATTGAGCAAGAACCGGTGGTCAACAGGCAGGTTTATAGCAGGCTCGGGCACGGGAATGACGAGGACTGACTGGTCGGGACTGGTGACGGGAAAAGCTTGGCTCATAGCATGTTCCAATGAGATCAACACAAACTTAAGGAAGGTATTACAGCAGCAGCCAGTGGGCCACAGCAAGACGGTGACTATGACAAGCTGCCATCAAATGACTTTGAATTAGACCACGTATCATGAGCCATTGAACCATGCGCTCTGTTGCAGAAGACCATGGCGACGGCAAAATGGAACAAAACGTGTCTGAGGCGCTGTGTGCCAACCGAGGGCAGTGTTCACCTACATCGCTTCCTTGGGTGTCCTCGCAGTATCGCCATTTCCATGGTTGGTTTTCTCAAGCTCGAAGCTCTCCAGCTCCTGCCCGAAGTTCGACTTGATACTGTCTCCCATGAAGAACACGCGTGCAGACGAGATCCAAGTATGCCACCTCTTCGCTGAGATGCGTTCTCAAGTTCCGTTAATCTTGAGCGTCATCATGTCATGTAAAGACATAAGCTGGCCTTGCTCTTTTGTGTCAAATGCGAACATGGTATTGTCTTCGGGATTTTCATCATAGTTCTTCACGCGAGGCAGGCCACTCTGAGCAGCTTCGGACTCGCTAAGTAGTACACGGGCCACATAAGAGCGGTGTTGAAATTGATGGTATTTGAATATGGATCTATCAAAGCTCAACGTAGGATACGAGCAGGATGAATACGTGCGGATGAAGTACGAGAGGAATCCTGGGGTCAGACCGACTAGAATGTCCTGGTGTGGATGACCAACCCTCAACAGGCAGGGGAGGCTGAGCTAGGAGCTTGATCAATCCCAAAAAGCCTGACATCGGCCAACACCAGCCCTGACCAGCCGCCAGGTAGGCCATGGTTTCAAGAATTAGAGCCTGGAGGCGCGGGTCAAGGTGAGAGCCTGGCACACATGTTGCTTCTGTCGTGGCGATGGAAAGTACACTCATGGGCTGGTGTCTTAGCGGAGGCGTTACCGCCCGCGATCCAGTTGTAGGAGGCAGTCTCGCTCACAATGTCGTAGCCCAGGTCCGGCGTCTCGTTCATGATTTCTCTCCACTCGGGCGTTACAGGGTTGTGCTGCTTTCCCTTAAATAGGCTCATTGTGAGGCGTTCCTTGATCAGCCTCCTCATACCGCAGCCGGGCATGGTGTGCTCGTAGACGTATTGCACTGAGAAAGTCAAACATGTAAGCGTACTACTCGGTCACTATGAGGGGTACTGTGATGGGAAGCAGATTATGAAAATGCGGCATGGTCATCCGTACCGTCCTTGATATCAGGTCTTCGCATGCCAACACTGTAGAATGCATGTGCCATATCCACGCAAGCGTTTTCCAGCTCCTCCACCAAAACCTTGGAAGCGAGGACGTAGAGCCGTAGGTAGTCCTGGATGCACGCTGTCGAGGAGCTCGCCGTGAAGTCCTTGCCTAACATGACATTGGCCGCTAAGGTCGAATTCGAGACGGCCGTGGGCGTCAGGGTGCGGATGTACAGCCACCGGATGAAGAGCTCGAAGGAGTGGGGGTCGTCCTCCGGCATGGTGAGCTTGTCCTCAAGGGACTCCTTGAATCCCGAGTTGAACGCCGACCTGAAGAAGTCCGAGATGCCCGACAGGAGGTTTTCGTGCCTACAGTTTTCAGAGTCAGCTGTCAAAACACTGAGTACGTAGTTCCATACAAATGTGGGGAGGAATAGACCACAGCGTGGCCACAGCCTGTCTTAAAACTTGTAGCCTGATGAAGTTTCCCAGGCACAGGCTACAGATGGAAGAGGTCGCTTCTTGATGGGGTTGAGATTGTAGCCGAAAGCTGCTTACAGTCTCCACTGGACTTCGCTCGGGCCCACGAGTACTGTCACCACCCGCTCGGAGAATAACCTATGGTTGTGATGATGGGTCAGTTTCAAGACTGCTAGAAGTGACGTCCCCGGAAGGTTGGACAGTGTGCGTGACCGGTGGTGGGTCGTCGTTCACAGGTTGTGAGTGACACCATCACGCCCGACCTCGCCCGCTAGCGGCCAAGAAGCTTAACAGTGAGAGGTGCGCCACCCACCTGTCGACTGGAGGCTCTGACGGCTCCACAGACTTGGACTTGTCCCGACGCTTCCCTGAATTCGTAGGTGTCTTTGCGCTGTCCTCGACGCCCTTGTGGCCGCCAACATCGGGCGAGGAAGCAACACCACCCATCGCGTCCGCCAGGGACCGGGTCACTGCGGCTGGCTCGGCAGAAGATGATGGTTCTGGGGAAGCTTGAACGGTGCTGCTGGGGCCGGCAGCATCGTCCGACTCTGGGGGCTTGCTGATCATCCCTGTGTATTGCGACGTGGCCGCGGGTCAGCCATGGTTGTCAGGGTTTCGAGAAGGGAACGGCGGTGGTGAGACGGAGTGCGTTTTCATCAGCCCAGCGTCCCAGCACTGCGGTATGTGGGGAAGGGGCAACACAGAACAGCAGGCGCGGAAGGCCGTGGGGAGGAAAGAGCATATGGTACTTCGCTTATGTGGTGGCCCCGGTTGGGTGTCAAGACTGCGTGCATCGTCAAGATGCTTCAGGCTGTCACGGCTTGAGCTCATATTCGGCGAACCGGTGTCTGCCTCTGTACTCGTGTGGGGTTGAGAAGAACAAGTGCAATGGGCTTGGGCACCAGATCGTCCAATCGTCAGCACATCCGACCGCCTGCTGGTACAGGGCTCGCTCCCCTCGAACGCTTCTTTCGCATGTACATTCCTAGTATGCTTTTGACTCGGGAGCTGTTCGGATCCCATGACGTTTGTCGGCCATCCATTATCATCAACTGTGAAGGTCAGTCTTTACCACCGGCAATTTTTCCAAAAGGGCCAAGACCACCCATCCGGCGCCCATCTAGAACCCAAGGAGTCGACGCATCTGCACATTTTCACTGACACAGAAGATACAAGTGAGGGCGCAGTCTTGTCAGAAAGGCATTGGTGTTGCCCATTTTGATGTTGCTGAAGACAGAATATCTTTTGAGCACACGCGCTGCGCTCCATCCGGGTATAAGACCCCTTTGAACACCCCCAAACGCTCCAGCCAAACCAGATGCATCAATCAGTATTGCCCCCCTTAAGACGTTATGCCAGGATTTCCACAGCGCACGCATGCACCGTGCATGCAACCCCATTCAGAAACCCTGAAGATAGCGACCGAGGAGAAACTCGACAGAAATAAGCCGGCAGATTATGGGGTGAAAGCGCTGCCCGAGGTACATGAAGTTAAAAACAGATATACGACCCAAAATAATGTGTCAACCAACTCCGCTGTCCGTTTGCCGTCCCCCCAGTAGCCCAGCGTTGCATATAAGACTCGCATCGCAATAACACGTAAATCCACATTGTCTTTGCCAGCCGCCTGATCCCCTCCAGGTCTTTGTTTCCGTAAGCCCAAAAAGCATCAAAAACCCCGACTGTGTGCAAAGAACTCCGCTGCTTGAGATTTGCCGCAACCCCGCTCAATGATTTCGTTCTATGTGTCGAAAAGATCTTTTGTCTTTGGACAGCTCAAGAGACCCAAGATGAACCCTTTTTTATCATGCGAAGTCGCCGCTTCTCGTGTAAAGTGGAGAGAACCCCGTCAAAACTCCGTCGTTAAACACCGATGCAGATGATTATGTCCTCGAGTATGCAGGTCCGGGAAAAAACTGAACGCCCATTCGAAAATCAAAACAGCCCCCATCTTCGGGAGTCGAAGCACCGAACCGCTCAAGTTGTAATACAAGCAGCAAAAGAACCGACAAACTGGTATCGATAAGTTTTCGTGTGGCGCCGTGAGGAGAGTCAACTCCTACCTCGGGTCGGAGGTGCTTATGTCGAAAAAGTGTCTTTATACAATGTGATGCGGGCGTGGGCCCAAAAGTCGGTTTGTCGAAAGGCCAGTCGACCAGAATGCGTGCCTAGCCTCCCCTGAGTGAAATCAAGATCAATTGCCTGCTTGTTGAAAGTCGGTGCCCGCCAAGATGAATCAGCTGTCTGAAAGAGGAATGTGCGGCGAACCTAACATCCTCGATCACATCAATGACGACGGCCGGAACGACGTCACCCCGCCTCTGGTGAGAAGCGGAGCGACGTCACTTACCAGCGGGAGCGAAGGCTCTGCTGCATCCGGACCGATGGCGAGACCGACGAGGGCGGCGAGGGCATGGTCAGGCCCTGGCCGTTGGCAGGGTTGATAATGGGGATGGCATTGCGGGCCCTGGTGGCGGCTGGCTGGTGTAGTTTAGGGTGAGAGTGGTGAGCCTGGAATGAGGGCGGGAGGAACGCGGGAGAGGACGAGTTGAGTGTGTAGGAGGCAGCAACTTGTTGGGGCTGTTGCGTTGGTGATCCCGTGGGGGAGTTGCTGGCCAGGGATGATCGTTCGGAGCCACTGTAAGCCAACTGCGAGTCCCGATTGTCAGTATACCGTCGTGGCATGGTCTACTCGTCCATAGCAGGGCGGGTCCTAGGCCAGGTCGAGGATACTCACATCACTCTCGGTGACGAGGCCGGGGCAGAACTCCAGATCGTCCTCAAGGTCGAAGGAACGGCCGAGTTCGTACTTTGAGCGAAAGCTCGACACAGACTGCGACTCAGACAGCTCTTTCATACTTCGGACACCCCGGAACTGCTTGTGCTGCGAGTTCTGGGAGACGGAGAGCCTCGGGCCCCGGCGATTCCGGCCACCATGGTGGTTGTGCGAGACAGCCGAGGCTGTGGACGGTGTGGGATGTTGCTGGTGGGTGTTGAAGTGGTAGTACGAGGCCATGGTTGCTGAATTCTCGAGATTGCGTGTCGATGGGGTCGTTCAAAAGTGCTGGGTCTTGCGTTGGGGGCTTGTGGCTCAGATATGTTTGCGGAGGGGGTCCGTTGTATTGCACGCCGATGATTTGCGGGATTAAGGTCAGGTTTCAGCGACAAAGTGTAAAAATCAGCCGATGGTTCTTTTTGAGACGGTAGAGTCAGATCCGGGTTGAATGCGTAAGTTGATGATTTCCGTTTTTTTATTATGATGCTGTTTGGATAGCCTTTTGGTTCGGAGTGGGAGATGATTCAAAGATAACGGTTGTTGGTGGTGTGTTTGATGTATGTGGGATGGGGAAAGTGGCCAGGTGAGGTAGGTAGGGTTCGGAGTGGTTGGGTAGAGATTGGAGGTGGCAGGTGGTGGTAGAAGTAAGGGAAGACGAGAGGCGGAATGAGGAGGGAACGGAGCGGGTGTTTGTTGGACGAGGGCGGGCGGGCGAGGGACTGGCCCTGTCGACGGGGGGATTGGGGGGTGGTCCAGGTGTCCAGGGTGGGAGAGGGCCCTGTTGATTGGCGATGGGGGGCAGGGGGGTTGTCAGGGTGGTGCATGCGACTTGCAACTTGGCTTGAACGGACTAGACGGAACGCACCTTGGGGGGGCGAGGCAGGACAGACAAAAACGCACTGTGGCACTGTGTGCGGGCCCGGGCTCCCACACGGTATGCCGACCTACCTGGGCCTATGCAGCACTCAGATCCCCTGGTGGGCAGGCTGGGCCCGGCTGGTGTGTCCAAGGAGATTGGAGCCCATGATTCTACAGCCACCCTCAATTCCTGCAGGTGGTTCCTGGTCCTCCTCCACCCTCAGTCACCCCAGCACATGACGATGACGGCTGTTGCTCACTCTCCCTCGGAGTCAGAGCCAGAGGCTGGACAGCCGAACGAATACTTCTCCATTAAAACATAACGTGGCACGGCATGGCATAACTCATGTCTGCGATGCGATGCGATGCGATGCGATGCGATGCGATGCGATGCTGCTGCCACCATCCTCCTCGCCCGGGAGTAGACACGCACACACACACACACCAAAGGAGACACTGTGCTGCCCACGCCCACACCCACAATGCCGCTTTCAGCCCTCGAGCCCCGAAATGGCAAGCCGCTCGAGAGGAATGAGAAGAAAGGAGGAGTCGGCCTAGCAGTGGCAATGGCCAATCAGCAGGGGGTTGCCGCCGCTGATCTCCATCTTGGACGCGGAAAGTGAAGTGTCGTGAGTGTCTGAGGTGTCCAACCACAGCCCCACCCCTCCTCAGGATCTAGCGTTGACCTGACCACCCTTCGGCTCCTGCCATTGGGCCCTGGGCTCTCCATCGTTCCAAGGGCTGTGCTCCGAAACGGTCAAGCGCTCTTCCATGATGCCGTCACCGTCTGCGTTGCTCCCCATCGGCACTGTGCCCTTGCTGCCCACCGTCACCGCACCGTCCGACATGATCCGAGGCCACCCAGCACCGTCACGGATCATCTTCGTCGAGGCCACTTCCTGACGACAGTAACATGCATGTTTGTCTATTCACGATTCCGAAACCGACCCAGACAGGCACACACGAGGACGGAGTACAGCCCGCAGGCTGCATGCCCCGGACATGGCCGGCCAGGGAACACCAGCCCTCTTGCTCCGTCGCGGCGGTCGACGGGGCCACACCACACGGCGCACAGGAACGCCGTTGAGGGAGGGTGGCAGGGAGGAAAGAGAGAGCCGCCCCGACCGTTGGGACACCCCCCCCCCGCCCACACCCCATCCCCGAATTCACAGAATCAACCTGGCCGACCACAATCTTGGGCTACCGTACTTGTATTTCCGTTTCGATGTGCATACTTTCATACCAGCTCCCAGATGGCGCATTTCTCTCTCTCTGCCCGAAATGGTCACGTCCACGTCTCTGGGAACTCCTTCAATCTACACCACACTCCCCACAAGCACACGAGGCGCTTCATCCAAGCCTCAAACGAACCCTCGTCATTGTCACCCTCGGCAGACAAGACCCTCGAGAGTCGCTGAAACCTGCAGCCGGGTCAATGCCCCTTCGCGGCCCTTTGCGATCCGGGTCTGAGGCACCACCTGCCTCTCGGGCTGGGACTCCCTGGCCCGCCAAGCCCCTCCAACTTCGCCACCCTCCCACCAAGCGGCACAGCGCAGGAGTGGTCGGCCTGCAGGCGGCGGCGGCACTCTGTGCCAGTGTGCATGAGCATGGACGAGGCATGGCCAGTTAGCGACACGGACCCGCCGGCGGCTTTGTCAACCCCAAGGCCCTGTGGCGAACCAGGTCCGCGACCCCGATCTGGTTGGCTGCCGCCGTTCACACTCGCAGCGTTCCCTGATCGAGGCGGGGACCGAGGGCTGAGGCCTTGTCCCGTGTGACCTGTTCTCCCACGTCGCTGCGTTCCAGTCCAAAACGTGGCGGCTGGCATTGGCTGCTACGAGCCACAGTGTCGAGCGCTCTCGGTTGCCTTTCCGTAATCAAAAGCGGAGCGGACATTCTCATATTCGGGCTCTCGGGCGGTGCCAGCAGTGTACTGTATGGGGGAATCTGCTGCCGATGATTTGCCTGCTGCCAGCATCAACAAAGCCCTCGCCACTGGCCTGTCCGTGGTGGGCTCTGACGTATTGCGGGCTGTTGCCCATGTCGGCATGCCTTTCGATCCTGTCCTATCACCACAGTGCTACTGCATGCCGCTCCCGGGGTCGTCAAATCATGCTTGCCCGATCCTCTCCCCACGACAATTCAACTGCTGACTGTTGCATGAAACCCACGCCATCCAGTGATTGGGTCAAATTGACTGCATGGCCCACATTGGGCGTCTGTGGCCTGGGGACGAGCTTGACAGGGCACAGAGGCCGCAATCGTGCGCGCCCCGTCTGTGCATATGGAATGATGATCCCGATCATCTTTGGGTTGGGGATTCTCAGAAGGGTGAATCGCTCGACGGTGGCCGCGAATGGGCCCAGGCCCGCCAGGGGTGCTAGAGAAGATGCGCGCCGGCCGTGTTTAGCATGGAAATCTCTTCGAAGATGGAAGCTTTCCTCAGACAAGCGCCTTGGCTGATTGGGCTTAACGGTAGCATTTGGCCAAGGTGCTTGCTGACTGCTTTATGCTTAGCATGGTCACCCCACCCATCACATCCAGGTCAAGCTCACCACCAGCTCATGCCCCCAATGGACGGTGGGGTGACGATGACGAAGCAAACAGGTTAACGGAACCTCTATCCTCGTCCACCTCGACATGCCACGAGACTCACCTTTCGACCATCTCTTGCTTTCACTAGCGATCAAACCATCCTTGCGTCGTGCTCCGTGAAGGCAGCTGCAGATGGACCTTTAAGCGAGTCATCTCCAGGTCGAGGTTTCACTCTGCACAGCGCCCCAAAGCAGGTAGAATAAGGGGTCGGATTGGTCAATGGGTAGAACGTCTGCGGTGCGGGGGTTTAAAGTGTTTCTATTTTAACCCTTGCCACAACGTCCCCTATCCCGAGATCCTTTCTGTCCTTGCTCGACTGCGCTGTTGACCTCCTCAATCCAGTCCAGTCATGACAATATCTAACACCTCCGGGTAATCAACTGGTCTAATCCACTCCAGCACCACAGAAGTCACGCGCCAGAAAGCGCAGGCAGCATAGACAGCTCATCGAACTCGTCCTTGCCGAGAGTTGAAGGCTTCACCGTAGGGCCTGCTGTTGCCATCATTCAGCACCGTCTTCTTCGCCGGTTACATGCGAGCCACGGCCGAGAAGGTTTGCTTGAACCCTGCCACACCGCCGTTTGGAGAAACGGGTGCCCGAGGCAAGGGGAAGCCACCCACACCCACCACCTGCCACACAGCCCATCCCACAACCCCACGGGCCGTGCTCATTTGAGATGCGGACGCTGGCACCCACAAGGCGGTAGCTGCGGCAAGCTCTGCCCCTTTCGGTCCTCCTGCAGAAAGGCTGTAACACCTGAAGGGTGCGGCCTTGCTACTCGCTCGAAAATCGAGGATCTGGCGACCACCGCGCGGCAGCGGATGTGCGTCGGAAACCTTGAACCATGAAATTGCAACCAACCTGCAGCCACCTGCAGATACTAGTAACAAGTTGCTGCGCCTTTGTCATGCGAGATGGCAGTCTCGACCTCTCTGGCCTCTGTAGCCGGAGGTTTCCCGCAACCATTCCGGAGTATCAAATAGTCGAGTTTGCTCATCCGCCAACCTTCCCCGGGCTGTGGCACTTCTAGTGTGGGTGAGGCACGGCATTATTGAGCGGGAGCTATAGCGGTCGACGGCGGAAGCCTTGGCCATGCCGAACCTAATGTCTCCTGCGCCCTCCCGATTGCCAGATCTTTTTATGTTTCATGTCTCTCGTGTGGTGTGCTCAGCATGTGTCAGATTGAGAAAATGACTAGTTTGCGTCAGCCCAGGTACGTCTAACCATTTGAAGCCAGGCATTCAGGGCCGCCATCTCCGCCTTTCCGCCGCCCCGTCCCGAGATCTCACCGACGACACGGCGGCCGAGCCGAAACCACTCTACCCTTAGCACAGTCACCGAGTCGTCCTGTCACCCTCGAGAACTATCTCGTGGTGACCATCGGAGGGCATAGACTTGTTAGACTGGACAGTGATGTCCTCGAAACACACCTCCAGAAGCCTATATACGGTTGGGGCGCCGGCTCGGCGGCATATACACTTTCTGCGGGGGGGAATTGTGTGTGCCTATCCCACAGCACAAGCTTACGCACAAGGATCATACGCATTTTTGCTGCTTGGGATACTTTCTAACATCTGTTGGACTTTCGGGCCAGTAGCAACCATTGGAACCGGCACCCCAGACTGGAGTTGTGCCGCAATTCAATCACCGATCGAAACCTCGAGCATGTACCTGCACTGAATCGGGCTTTCGCAAATCACCGTCCAAGGTCATTGGGTATAGCTGCCAGAAACTCACTGTTGCTAAACCTCCAGCCGATGTGGATTGAAAGACCATTATTATGAGAAACGTTTCCTTGTCGCATGCCATGCTCGAACACTCGAAGATGGAAGATTGTCTGAAGCACTGCTTGATATAACGAGATAGACGGTATGGCCTGTCATGGGCTGGTTAGTGATATCGCAAATCAACAATCACCTCACCCAACCTCCTCCCCCTTAGCTTTTTGGCATCTTAGGACACGCCAGGCATAGGCGGCGTATTGCCTGTTACATATGCCTTAGCAACCCTACAACTTACCGGTTTCATCGATTTCTTTAGGAAGTGGTCATACCGAGTATTCCTCGAAATGTTCAGGAGCTGGCAATGATTTGTCCAAACTACTCAGGTCCTATCTTTGTCAACTCTGCCGTTCAATCATCTACACCTGCCACCGCCTGTCATGCTGAGTACACTGACTACCGAACCACCTTTCATGTGTGATGAGTCTTTCAAATCACACACACACACACACATCTGGTCATGACACGGATCACGGCTCAGCTTCGTGGTTTCGTCGTGGTTCTCAGTGTACAATGCCCATCGGGGACACTTAATTTACACAAGACACCACAATTTTGTGATATTCATAATTGCCTCCAAATGAGGAGCCTCACAAGTCCCTGTGGCATTTCGTGGTTGGTCCTATTGAATGGTTTCTCCGGTCGTGACCGAGTGAGTCACCAGGACCGTCGCCAGGACCGTCACCGGGATAAGAGGCAGAACCACCAAAAGACACCAGAGGCTGAATGCTGAGAAGTGACCAGGCGTTTGCGTACTGTGGTGCAACAATGTTCTGCCCTCATATGAATATCAAAGAACTCGATGGTTGTAACGTATTTCCCACTTTGGTGCTCTGCGAGAGCCAGCAATGCCAGGAGATTCTCACGTCAGTTCCAGGTGTCATTCATATATTTCAGGGTAGAACGAACAGATTGTCAGCCTTGCAGTCATTCCATAAGTAGTGATATCCTGAGAGCACGACTTATTTATCATGAACCATAGAGATGTTCTCTTCGTCTGCTGTGCAACGACGTCGGGCATGATACTCGTCCCCAGCCTTGACTTTCGGGAGGTGCAGTTGCGGCTCCGCGGGTTAGGGTTTGACGAAAGTTCTCATGATGTCACCCACTCGACGTACCGAAACGCACGCTGGTTCTGGGGCTGCCCAACGTAGAGGAGAGAGGTGGGAATTGAGTTGGCTCTTCATCTTTTCTAAGAGCACCCAGGCATCCGAGGGACCGAAGTAAGTCCAATTTTTCGCCTCATATTCGATTGACTCATCCGCCCTGAACTTGACGCCATGGCGCTCATCGAGAACTGGTATCCTCCCTCGAAGGAGAACTACGACCTGGTCCTGTTCATCTGGCAGTTCTTCCCATTGGTAAACACCGACCCCCAATCACCCCTTCCCCGGCTTTTTGACTCAGCTGACAGGTTCCAGGGCGCGTCACTGCAATGGGCCATCTCGTGGTACGGCATGGGTAAGACGTCGACCAACAGCGCGCTCAACCTGCCGGGACGCATAGCCTGGATGACCATGGAGTGCCCGGGCTTCATGACCCTGCTGTACATCATGAACACGCTCCCCGCCCAGCACGGCATCACGGACCTGCCGTGGCAGAACCAGGTCCTCGCGGCCCTCTTCGTCATGCACTACATCTACCGCGCCATCATCTTCCCCTGGATCCAGCCCTCCATGTCGCCCATCCACCCGCTGGTCTGGGCCTTCGCCGTCGTCTTCCAGCTCCTCAACGCCACCTGCATCGGCGGCTGGCTGGCCGCCTACGGGCCCGTCACCAAGGCGGGCTGGGACGCGCAGCTCGCGCCATTCTCCACGCTGCAATTCGTCGTGGGCATCGCCGTCTTCTACGTCGGCCTGTCGGCCAACTACTTCCACGACGACGAGCTGCGTGAGATCCGACGCCGCGAGCAGCGCCGCCAGGAGCGCCTGGCCAGGGAGCAGGGCGTCGCGGTGGGCAGCGTCGACAAGCACTACAGCATCCCGCAGGCCGGCCTGTTCAAGATCATGCTGTTCCCCCACTACTTCGTCGAGTGGGTCGAGTGGACGGGCTTCTACATCGCCTGCGGCCTCAGCTGCGTGCCTGCCCGCATGTTCGTCATCAACGAGATAGCGGCTATGCTTCCGCGGGCGGTCAATGGGAAGAAGTGGTACGTTGAGAAGTTCGGGGAGGAGAAGATTCGGGACAAGTGGGCTGTGATCCCCGGGATTTGGTGAGCGTGAGACTACAGCGCTTGCAACAAGGAAACACCCAGCAGTGCCAATGCTGTGTGTTGCTCTTCGAGACAACTCTTCGAGCCATGACGGCTATAAGGCCCTCTGTAAGAGAGGATCTTGACGCTTCGTGGCTACCTAGGATCCCATGGTCCTGTCGGCTCGATCATCAGAAGCAGGCAGATGCGCTCCCGGCATGTTATCAGCGTGGTTTCTGATTCAATGCTGTGTGACGTGCACCACGATTCAGTCTGTCTCTGATCCCAAACTTTTGTCTTACTTTATGTAAACCGAGGCGGCGCCGCAGTAATAACCTTGTCAAGCATGCTTCACAGAAGAATTTCATCTGCCGGATCAGTACTTACATAGACTACAATAGACCAGAGGAAAAAGAACACCATACATGGAACGTCGACATGGCGCCTGGATCTGTGCTCAGAACTATTTGAATAACTGGTAGTCACGTACAGAAAGCCTAATACTGTCAGTATAACAGAACGGCGGGTGGGCATGGGCGCCACAGCCACCGCTTCAACATTTATACCTCTACCAAATGGTGGTTAGCATAGACTAGTATAACCCTCCTGGAATTTTGAGCAAGACATTTTGTTCTGCCCGTCGCACATAGCCAAAAGCAGTCATGCTCACCGCACCTAAAACAAGGTTCCACAATCGAGGTTCCACAGCCAACTGGCTTGAGGGATCACCAGATCAGCGAGGTTTTAAGGATCCAATACGCTCATCTACCTGATAATCTCCTCTGTGAAGCAACACCATGGCCAAAGCTTGCGCTTGTGCACGTGGATAGGTCTGGTGAGACATGAGATCTTTCTTCTTCGCCGGAGGACAACGCCACATCTTAACGTTACCGTGCGCCGGCCTAAGCAGCCTCGCGCATCGTCCAAAAGGTTGACAACGTGCACTTTCTGGACTACACAGTGTCAGAACAAAGTCTGGCACGAAACCCGCTTCTTGGTAAAATGGCTTCGCTGTGTTTTCACACCGCCTAATTCGATGAGAGCCAACACTCGAGCGGTCGGGCGACCACATGGCCGAGCTTAGAGCCGCGAGGAGCACACGGCTTTAGCTCACACCGTACATGGATGAGCCGTGAAGCTTGTGCGAGATATGTTGGTAGGTCAGACTCAGTTGGGTCCTGCGGCGGTCCTTTTGTGCCCGAAAGACCAGCTCGGAGGTGTGGTTGAAGTGACACGACACGACTTGAAGGTGGCACCGCTCGGGAATCGACGCGCATTACATGAATGTGCAATCACCTGAGCTACAAGGACGACACCCGCGGATGTCTTTTCTGAGACAAGCGAACCATGTGTGTTCCACTCCTGCGTGGCTAGACCGCAGCAGTTGGAGCTTCGAGCGCTGCATATGTCACACGTGCAGCTCTACTGTGTACAGTGGACATCAAGCAGCACGCATATGCGAATGAATCTGATAAACGCAACCAGTGGTGAGATTTCAATGCATATACAGTTCTTTGTCTAATTTGCCCGGTGAATAGGTGAATTACCTCCAACTCCGGGTTGTGGGTTGAACCAAGAGACATGGTGACGGGGCAGCGCAGGCTTCGCGGTAAAGAGATTACATGTAGCAGTCTTAATGTCTTGGATCTTCGTTATCCACGGCGGCAGACGAGTTGAATGGGTCCGGCGAGGTTCTACATCAGATCGTGAGCAACTTTGAGCCATGGCCCCAGTTTCCAGACAAATGATAGGGAGACATCGCACTCACTCTGCCAAATTCGTCTGCAACTGTATGCGCTGGAATTAATCCGGTGCTTTTTGTGGGTTCCGCGGTTGAGAGACAAGGCTCAAGGACAGTCGTATGCATACATGTAAGCTCTAGTTTTGTGCCCAACTGGTGACTTTGTACCAACAACGGAAAGAGTCCAAATGTGCAGGTGTACTTGCGTAGCTATCACAGTTCCCGTTCAAATTACCGGAGTAGACATTAATAAGCAAAGCTTGGCGTTATGGATTTCGTTGAAATTTGGGAACCGTTTTGCAGCTACCGTGTCTTGATTTGGCTTACATATTTGAGCCTGAATTGTCTTATTTTCGAGAGTGATAATGACGACAACAACTATGTCAGCTCACATATACGCATATTGGCATCCAATTCCCCTTCTTATTCATAACCTATTGGTATTGTAAGAACATATAGTTATGTGCCGCACTGGTTGCTACTCTTTCCCTTACCCAGTGCCGCGTCGCTGACTATCTGAATACCTACATCATGATATTAATGAACGGATACATTTAACAGCTGATCAGTTCCGAACAATTCCTGTAGGTTTACAAGGCAGTTGAACCTCAGCATGTAGGTCTCAGATATGTACTGGTGATACCCAGATGCTTACAAACACTAACAACAGCTTATAGTCATCAAATCCGGCGTGAGTAACTCATCATTGACACGGAGTCCCTGTTGGATCCAGAACATCAAGAGTTAGCCTTTTCATGCATGTATATATGCTTGTCCCGCGTGTTCATTCTCATCGTAGATTTTCTTGTAGTCGATCTTGTGCTTTGGTATGTACTTGTCGATTCTAAAGCAAGCAAGTATTTGTGCATATCCTCAAATTGGCCGGCCCACGTCTAATTAGTCTTGCGTTTCCTGTATGTACGTGTGTAGAACCAGGGTGGTAAACCTGGGTCTCGACAAACACTTTTATTTTTCACTATGTGACCTTGCGTGATCCAATTACATTATGAACAAGTCCACCATTGATGGCGATAGGAGCGTAAACATGAACCCTGACTGATTCAGGTTTAAGGGCGCAACATGACGGCACGCATAATCGCATACCAGTATCATGTACACTATTTTGTCTATTACAGCCTGGAAAGGCTCATGCTTGAGGCCTTGGAGCCGCTTGAAGCTCCGAGGAAAGTGGAAGTACTCAATAGAGCACTTCGATCACCACGGCGGCGATGACGAGTGTCTTCATAATCCAGTCTAGTCGACAGGTCCATGAGCCCGGTAAACTTCAAAGTGACATGACTTGTCCCGCAAAAGACTTTCCTGAAGTCTTTCATGTCCCGAGTATCAGGTACTACAGCTATTTGCAGTACAGCTCTTCCTACTACAAACCATGAGATTGAACAGGCTAGCACAGCCACTCTCACCACCCAATTGCAGTAGAGAATTCCTAATTTGGTGCGAGCGTCGCTGCCCTCAAGATTAACTATGACACGACTCTCTGCATCTTACAATCAAACAAAGTCAATCAGCCCTTACCCGCCGGACAGACCGCCCTAATCTTCAAGAATAGAAACACACGGCAAATCCAGGGGCTCTAATTAGGACCGTCCGGTCATTGCCAAGGCCAAAAGTTTCCCAGCCCCTTGGGCACCGAGGCCCTCGAACCCCCCTCAGGCCGACACCACCAGGGCGCCTTAGTATGCTACTAGTATGTCATCCGATCGCTAGGTGACGGATTGCAACGCCAGCGTCCGCGCCAACGGCCGCGTGGCTTGGTCGCCCGCCCACCTCCCACCCCATGCCTGATTCAGGCCTGTTCTCCTGAAGATCTCCCTCTGCACGGCGGCGGGCGTTCGCCTGCGCCAGCAGACAGCCGCTAATGCAGTCAGTCTACTGTACAGTGCGCTGGAAAGAGTTCGTCGCAGTTAGTGCAGCATTCTGCCTACAGAGGTCACATCGGGTGCTGCATTCAAGTGGATTTGTGGCATCTCTTCATTTTTAGCCTGGAGTAGTCTATTTGGACGTCGTGTGCTTGCCCAAGCCAGCGGCTGGCTCAACCCGGAAATCGAGGAGCAGATTGTGGAATCATCATCGTCGTAAAATCATCGCCATGGAGATCTTCTCTATGAACGCCTCGTGTGTGTGTGCTCGTGTGCTTGTGGTATTGCAAATTGCAGGAAAGCATGAAACCTGAAAGCCTAGGCACTAGGCCAAACTGTCTGCGAGCTAGGCATCAGCTCGGCACCCCGAAATTATCGTCGTGAATCCATTCATGCAAATGACGGTCTTGAATATTAGTTTTTAGTTGTTTTGTGGGTATGAGGCTGCCAGGAGGTCATGATGTCGACGCCGGTCACGGCGTCTTCATGCTCGACAGGCTGGTCTTCTGCCTTGCGATCTTGATCTCAGCCGCCTTCTCCGGGTTCTTGGTGGGATCGTTGAGCGGGTCGCCGTCTGCGCCAGGGTTGACCATCTAAAAAGGACATCTTCGTCAGCATCACAGATCTCGTATCGTGATTGGAGAGTGGATTATCTTACCTCGTACTCAAGCGCCTTGATGAAACGGTAAAACAACCACGCGATCAGCGCTCCGAGGAATGGGCCGAGCCAGTAGATCCAATGCTCAGTATCGAAAGTGGCTGTGACCACACATGGGCCAAAACTGCGCGCAGGGTTCAGAGAGCCACCGGTAAACTGCACACCGACCATCTCAGCAATGAAGAGAGCCATGCCAATGCCGATGGGTGCCATGAAAGTAGCCCTGTGCTTCTCCGCCGCAAGCATGTAGATGGTAAAGACAAGCTCGGCCGTGAGGAGCGCCTCAATGAAGATGCCTTGCGCGATGTTGGCCCCGCCGCCCAAGGTGGTTCGCACGTTGAAGTTCTCGGGAAACAGGAATCGCACGAGGACCGAGGCCATGATTCCACCCAGGATCTGCGAGATGAACAGAGCGATGGCGCGGAAGACCGAGATGGCACGGATGAGCATCAGGGCGAGCGTCACGGCCGGGTTGAACAGGCCACCGCTGATGCGGAAGAAGATCTAAAGCGCTGTCAGAGTTCTGAACATGTTGTCAAGGCCGAAAGGTAAGTACTTACCCAGACGTTTACCATGAGAGAGAAGCCGAAGGAGAGCGCAATGTACAGCAGCACGTTGACATTGAAACCGGTCGATCCACCAGTCGTTGTGTTGGAGTCTGACGAGTTGCTTGAGCCGTTGGCATTCGATGCAATGTTGGCGACCTCGGTGCCAGCGAAGGCAAAGAAGAGGAACATGGTCGTGCCAACAAATTCTCCCAGGCTGGCAACGAAGTGGTTCTTGAAGTCCGAGTTCATCCACTGAAGCCAGGGGAGACGAAGTACCTCGGCCTTCTGCTCCTTCGTGAGGGCGTTCCACTGGATTCGCGGGCTGTCGTCAGTGGAGAACGTCTGGCGATTGTTATATCCTCCCGGGTAGCCCGGGCCGTAGCCTTGCTCCTCGTCGAAGGTGTAGAACCGCTTTGGGGGCTGCATGGGCGAGAAAGGGTCATGGTAAGATCTTGACTCCTCCACCCACTGCTTCGTGCCGGGGCTCTGCTGGTTGTTGAGGAAGGCCCTTGGCGGCTTCCCACGGTTCATGTACCGGCGGTCTTGGTAATCTGGATGTCGGATCTCCTCCCTCCAGGCGCGGTCAGAGCCGTAGTGAGGGTCGCTCTCATACATCTCGTCCTGAAAGCGAGGGCGGTTGGACCTCGAGGACATCATGCGCGGCATGTCTTGACCATAAGTCTGAGGATCTGAATCGTAGCTCTTGGGTTGGCCTCTTCGAATGCGTGTCCGAGAAGCCCGAGACGAGAGCTGACGAGGGACTGGTGGTACGGGAGGAGTGGAGTCATCTGAAAGCTCATCCTGTTCCTCCACGGCGGTGTTGGGTGATAAGCTGTCCTCAAGGCGGTCTTCGTCGACATGCTTCTCTGTTGTCTCCATCACATCGTTGTGTCGATCTTCTGAAGACTGCTGCCCGTGCATATGGGCCGCATCATCGTATGCAACCCTAATGGGGATGGAGTGTTCGTTTGCCATGGCTGGTCCTACTGAGGGTGAGATCACCCGCAGAGAGTGGGCGAGTGGATGGTAAGGTGGTGGCAAAGGCCTGTCGCCCAGCTGGAGAAATGGGAACGAATTACTGGTGAGGGCTCTGGCGGTTGATGAAACTGTGCAGTTGGAAGAGTGCTTCTACTGGTCTTCGAGAAAGAGAATAAGGGTTACACGCATACATATATCCCGGGGGTGTGCTTCTGGATCTGGCTGTGGTTCCGCATCGAATACTCCGGCCGAGCCAGGCAACTACTTCCTGGTTTCCTGGTTTCTTGGATGGCCACCCACCGCTGCCGTCGAGGGTGAACCTGACTAGGTTGCTGCGTCGTACAACACGCCGATGATGGCACCCAGCCGCTGAGAGACAAGGAGAGGCCCTCGAGGCGGCCCGGTGGGAGGGCACAAGGGTCGGGCCCAGGCAGGTGGCCTGGGCTGATGCGTTCCAGGAGGGGCGGCCGATTGACAGCAGGAGGAGGCGGAGGAGGAGTTGCGCAAACTCAATCGACGGCATGATCCAGGTTCCGGCGCCGTACGGTGTGTCAGAGGCACATTGCGAGGGTCAGTCGGATGGCAGTCGGGAAGGGCCTGCGGGACCGGTGGACGTGACGTCAAGTCCCAAGAGATATTCAGGGTTCGTGGGGAGAGTATGATGGCGTGAAACTAGACATCCAGGAGTTGGTTTTCATGCAATCCCAAAATGGCTGGTGTTGGTTGTGTTCTGATAATCCGAATTTTATGCACCCCAAGCCAGGGTCACCGTTGCTTCCCGTTGTCACCCTCCCGGCACACCCTCGCAGCCTCGAGACCGGATGAGGGCGAAGACACTGGCCTTCGTCACAATCTCACAGGCAACGAAGAATTGGGAGCCGTTTCCTAATGAACCATTGACTAGAATTCAAATCAGACGAAAACAAGCCTCTGCCACGAAGCCCGTGCCGTGTGCACTTGATCACAGGCGGTTAGAGACACCTCGTGTGAGCAAATATCTTTATTTGCCCCATGAAATGGTGTCTTTTTGGGCCTTGGACAGCATCAGAGTTCCATTAGCTGGCAGCACTCGATGCAGATCCAGGCATGCTGACATGTGGAATTGCTGTTTGGCGAGTAGGGACTCAGCTGTGTCTTGGCCCCGGACTGTCATAATTCACCGTCGAGATTTTCTCCCACGGCACATGAGCGGCCAGGAGGCTGGAACTTGTCCACTCCCGCAAACTCGCGCTGCATGTCCGGACCGCAGGCATCTCTCTCAGTCTGACACTGTCTGACTGGAACCGGCCTCCCTCTTTTCGAAAATCAAAGGTATCTTCCCAAGGTGACTGAGTCTCCAGAAATAACCGCCTGCCCTAAACCCAATTCCATCCAGATGTGGATTCTTCTTGACAGAGATCACGAGGGTCCAGCCTCGGAGGCTGTCTCAGGCCCAATTCAGCCGCGTGAGGCGCTTCGCGAAAAGCACCTTAATATCGGCGATATGTAATACCCACTCCGTCGCGGCTACGCATCGCATGATGTGGAGAGACGGCCAGCCACTGCACCATCTCCACGCAGGCCTGCCCCAGCTTGAGCGATCCTTGGCTCAGCAGAGTAGCCAGATCCAGAACGCATTGTCCAGCCTCTGCACCCGCCCTTGACTTGTTGGCATGACCTGTGAGGAGGTGACATCTTCGGTGAACATCCGCTCATGAACCCTTCGCGAACGCTGCGACATCAACTCGGCAGCGGCGGGGCAGTTCATGAACCAGACGAGGAGTTCGTCCTGGACTCACCGCCACCTGATCGAAATCAGCGCAACGTGAACATCGAAAGGCATGCTGTCCTGATGCTTGCCAGCCGTCGGGCCGCAATGCAGGTAAGCGGATGTCTACCAACGAGTTGAACGAGTCGGTGTCCATTCTGCGCAGATCGATGTCAGATCGGGAGACCATAATCCTGAAGGTCTTGCAGAGGAAAGCCAGACCCCAAAGCAGTGGGCCGGCACGCATTCCATAGAATCTGTCGTCGATGATACCGGCATCGGCAGCACTGAAAATTCCCGGCCGTCATGGGCTGGCTCAAAATTTTCCGAGAAGATCGCACTCTTAGCAAGTGCTCAACCTCCTCCTCGGATAAGCCAACATCGAAGCCTCAACCTTGCCCAGCTCCCTACTCAGATAACGGTGGCTGGACGAGATATGACGCATGCGCAGACTGGTCCAGCTATGTTCCTTTGTCAGCTTGGCCTTAAATGTTCTGTCGCCAACTCACAGGCCGCGCACTGAATAAGGTGTGGCCACGAGGAAGCGGCTGAGTGCTAGCTGGGCTGTCCAGACGATGTCATCGCCCGCCTCGAGGGCCAGAATAAGCCTCGACCAACGGTTCGGTATTTTGCTTAGGATGGTACCAGCCGCGCAGGGCTGGCACTTTAAGTTTGCCCCATCACTTGGCTGTCGGGACAGTCTGGCTTTCGACCTCGTCGGCAGTTGCCACATATCTTTCCTAGCCACCGCCCCGTTCCTTCGCGAACACAGGCCACCCAGACCACGCTTGTGGCCACCAACGAGTGGTATGACGCCGTCAGAAGCTGTTTGCACAGCTTCTAGCGCCATCTAGACTGACGAGGCAGACGAGACCTCGTGTCGACACGGAAGCCGGCTGGGCTAGAACAACGCCAGGCCGAAGACGATAATGCATGAACGACCGTGAGATGGCTCGCAATCTGACAGCGGCAGTGCGTCCTGGGCTCGCACGGATAGTAGATCGGATGATGGTGGGTTTCTTGCTTGCTGCACTGACGCCCAAAAGACATGCACCCTCATGAGTCGGTCAGATGGGCCCGAGGATCCCGTGAGCTTGTCGCTGATGTACATTTGCAGGCTCGGGAGGTTTTCTGTTGCAGCAGACGTCTGGAGGTGTCTTATGACGATCATTATGCTTGGCGGCTGGCGCTTAGTTCCCCCATCGAGCTGGGCCGGTGGCGATCTGCGCCGCTCCACGGCCGGTGCGACCTTGTGTGCCGAGCCACTCAGGCGGCACTGCCAGTCCTTGCAGTTCAGGCCAGTGCAACGAGCGATACAACAGCATTATTACAGGCACATGTTGATCGGTACGACAACGCTTGCGCAGTAGCCAGGAGAGCGTTGTGTTTCCGGAGCAGAACGGCGTTCGTCCGGTCACACTGCATGGCGACCTAGGGTCGGTGACAGAGCAACGGGTGAACGGTCGAGTCCAAGGTGTAAGGTGCAGATCTGGACTGGACAATCTTCAGATGTCGCTGCAACGGCGTCAGCCCTCGGTCCTCGATGGAGAGGGCACGAGCAGGCAGGGCGGGAGTGACGAGGCTCCTCACCCCCTCAATCAGGATCCAGCCGGGCCAGGCCAGGCGGCTGGGTTGGGGTTAGGTTTCCGATGACGTGGGGGAGGCAGGCTGATGCGGTGGGCAAGGAGGGGTGGTTGAGTTGATACAGAGTTTAGGGGACCCTCGTCCCCGCGCGACACAAGAACCAAGAAAACCTTGGCTGTGGTCGGGATCCACCCGCCACAACCCCTGTCAACCTCCCCGCGGCGCAGTCTTCAGCCTCATCTGGACCTCGTGCCTTCCCGCTCAAAGGGCTCTCATTGGACCACATCGCACGCAACCTGCCACCCTTCAAATGTCATCTCACGACTCGGATCCACGCAGCACAGGTACGCAGCTCCGAATCTCATCAAACCCCTCATTCACACGGCTGAGGGCTGCCAGCCTTGGAACACATCGTCTTCCACGAAATAAGGTTCAGTCTAGGCCAGGCCGGAGGCTGACATGCGCGCTTCTCTCTTCCAAGAGATCGGAGCATCGACCAGAGGGTTCAACCCCTAAGAGTGATGCGCTTCCCTTCGCTCGTACCATCCTAGCAAGAATTCCCGAGGCGATCGAGTAGAGATGCTCTACTTCGAGGCCCACAAGCCGGCACAACACTCGCCCGAGAAGGCTGGTCTTCAGATGGGGGGCATTGATCAGTCATATGACTCAAGCACTTCACACAATGACATTGTAGACATGCTTTCTTGCGTTGCAGACCAAGGTGCGAGAGGTACATACTGTACCAAGTCGGACACACCGCTCTCGGCTGAGTGCGCTTCGCCCGGGGGCTCGGCCGGGCACCCTGGAGACCAGCGAGGATCCTGAAGCATGATAAATGAGGTTGTTTGCTGAAACAACATTTCAGGGGGGACTTCATGTGATGGAATAGATAGAAATTGTGTGATACAACTGGACTTCAAATGAATAATGCACCTTGGCTGTGACTGGCAATACTCCAGCCAGGAGTGTATTGGATGGTCATTTATCCTTCACGGAGACGGGGTTTCGAGGGTCTAGCCTAATCTATAGAAGATCAGGCCGCAAGTTATATTGAACTATAGTTGTGAGGTTTCCTGTGGGAAGTGGTTGACCACGCAAGCACTTCAGACTGTACGACTGGGAGGACAGTTAATACATGCCTGAGGCGTGTAGTTGATATTGACATGTAACATTCTATTACGATTTCCTCACACCCTATTCTTGAGCTTGTATACTCATTAGTCAGCAGTCGTTCTTCCAAGAAAACAAGGATGTAATTAAGCCACAGCGGTCATGGAACACATCCTGCATGTAAAGTAAGAGGTCTGTATTCAACAGAATCCTGGCGGTGCGTGATCTCCAGCTGCGAAGGTTTACACTGATATATGTGCGCAGCTAATTACTGTACAGTGACTGAAGTGATTGCATTTCCCTAATGCAGCTCAAAGGATGATATTGTGAACTCCAAATTATCATGCTGTATGCGCATTATGACTTTGCTGCATATTGAAAAATATGGCTTCCTCAGGTATCTTTGTATTTGGCTTCTTCCATGGCCATGATTGTGCGACGTGTTTGACGATGCTGCGGAATCTCACTGGTCAGGCAGATCACAGGAGAAAGAATTGTTAAGGTCGAATATTGCTATGCAGACTTTGTTTACCTGAAGTCATACCTCGTCTTGGCCATGAAAGATCAAATGAAGCATAACCTTCACCGAGTATCGCCAAGTGAAGCTTTAGGTGGCCTTAATATGAGATTGAATTAAATATACTAGAAGGGAACGCCACAGCCGAATAGCATTATTATTCAAAGACGCTTTGCATGATCCCAAATGGCCGCATCTATACTCGTATAACTGAGCAACTTCCGAGAGAAAGAGGGACTGGCGAGGAAGAGCAGTAGTAACCAAACGCCGATGGGTAGGTGAAGCTGCCTGCAGTCGCCTTGCATACTAGTGATCACTTCAATATGGGTGTCACGATTGAAGGCCCGAACCGAGTCGTGCCTTTAGTAAGTTTCTTAAAATCCAATGTAGCCTCTTTTCGCTCAGCGCGCCCGTCTCCGTGTCACGTTTGAGAAAGGCTATAGCGGCGGGGCCCTTCAGCTGGTTCGCGACGATCAAGTACTGGCCCTCCGGGTCCAAGCATATGCTGTTCGGGTTGATACCCCTGGAGGAGACAATGCGGTCTGCTGTGATGTCGGTGAGATCGCCCGGTGCGGTGCTCTCATCGTCCTCGGGGGCTGGCAGCCGGAAGTGGGCGATGGTGTCCGTGTCCGTGTCATCGTCCTTGCTTACGAACGTGTTGGTCACATAAAGGTCGGTGCTCCTGTCGCTGTTGGTCTGGAGCAGCAGGTCCGCGACCGACCGCTTGTCGCCCTTGGTGTCGACGGACGTTTGAAGCCTCTGCAGGAGCCTGAAGGTGCCTTGGGAGAGGTCCACCTCGAACGAGAGGAGCTCCTTGGTGGACTGGCACAGCGCGAAGTAGCGGGTCGGGTTCTTCCCGTCCGCGGCATAGAACGCGCCGCGGCGAGGGCCACAGCTCTCCTCTATGGCGATCGTGCCGAGGGACTTGATGTCGTTATCGTCGGTGGCGCTCAGGATCATGAGCGAGTTCGCTTTCCTGTCACTGACGACGTATATTTTACCGAAGGGATCAGGCACAACTTGGGTCGTGTAACTCTCGGTGCTATTGTCATCCGAGAAGAATGAGCCGAGCAACTCGAGGCTGCCGTCCGAGGCAGAAGAGTCCCAGATGTCGACTCCCACACCGGTTGAAGCCAGCAGTCGGGTGGAGTTCTTGTTGTACGTCATGTGCCTAACGCCGACCGATCCGGGTAGTAATGGCCGCTCACCGTCAAGTTGTTCGACTGCTTGTTGTAAGCAGTATCGATCAGGGACCCGGAGTTTGCGTCACTGGTCAGGTAGCCGATGTTGCTTGGTACAAGCCATGTTGGATTTAAGGTTAGATCTCCCTTCTCAAACTCAGAGTCGAGACTGATAACACCGCCATCGCGTCGTGCGGCGTAAACATAGTCCTCGCCAGAGAATATGAACTTGGTAGTTTTCGATGCCTCAAACGTTGTCTTGAGCAGGCACAGGCTTGGCCGAAGCGAACAGACCGACCGCCGCGACCATAGCAAATAGTTGAAGCATACTTTTTGTCGGATGAGGGAGGCTGGCGATTGCAAGATATATGTGAGAAACGAGTGTTGGTAATGAGTGTTAGTAACAAAGGCAAGTAATGAACGTACGTAAGGAGCACAGGTAATGAAAGTAAATGAGAAATGTATGAAGGAATGTAATCTGCTCTTGCTCTCTACTTGAAATTTAACGGGTTCGCCGCGGAGAGGTGCCCGAATAGGAGCAACGACTGTTATATCGAAGCACGGAATACTTCAGAAGCCTAGCAGGCAGCAGAATCGGGAGAACCGACAAAGATAGTCAGTCCATTGAGATCTCGACTAGTGGTTTCGATACGGAAACTGCCTCAATGAAAGAACTCCAATCTCGCAATCATTGCCGTCGCATGGTCAAAGGCGCCACGATGGACATAGTGGGTCTAGGCCCCTTTGGAATCAAGGCAGTCCCAACATGGCTGCTGTCACTCATTTCGCCATTGTCTAGGCTTTGCGTGGCCCCTGAGAAACAACAGCAAGAACCACTCCCTTTTCAGGCAAGTTTGCCCTATTGTGAACCAGAGTTAGCGACTTGGTCGACAGACTCGGCATCTGCGAGGGCATAAAGAAGGATTGCTTGGGAAAAGGGTGGGGAACCGGTTCGAGCGGCCCGGTTGGAACGGCTCGAGAGACAAGCTACAGGCTTGTCATTGACGACGTACCGGAACGAATGGATGGCCAGCACTTAGACCGCCATCAACAGCCCAAGCTTGACCGTTCACGTAGCTGCTCTCGTCGGATCCTAGAAACAGCGCCACCCGCGCAACCTCATCGGCGGCACTCCCTCTCTTCAGCGGGTTCAGTTGGCCAATCTTCCTCTCCGTACCCCTTGCCCTGGCTGTCTCGTACATTGGGGCTGTCATGCCGGTCTCGACAACTCCGGGGCATATGGCGTTGACTCTGATATTAGAGCCGGCAAGTTCTGTCAAAGCGATTTAGCCAAAATCAAAAGCGCTCCTCAAGCACGTGCACAACATAGACTCACGGTACGCCATCGTTGTTGCCATGTTGATCACCCCCGACTTCGAAGCCGAGTAGGGCGTCGGGCCCGCGTTAGAACGGATGCCAGCAACAGAAGCCGTCATGATGATGCTGCCGCCCGAGGCCTTCTTCTCGGGAGAGGTCTTGGCCATTGCGCGAGCGGCGTGCTTGGCCGCAAGGAAGGGCCCAAGTGTGTTCACTCTGAGCACGTTCATGAAGTCCTCTTTCGTTGTCTCCGAGAAGATGATAGGGTGGCCAACGATACCCGCGTTCGCAAACATCACATCCAGCCTTCCGTAACGACCGAGCGCGTTGTCAACGACCTCCTTGACAGCCTCCTCGTCCGCGGCGTCGAACTTCCGCGTGTGGACTTCCACGGCAGGGTAAAGTGACTTGATCTGTCTCTCATGGTATCCGAGGTACTTGTCATCAAAGTCACAGATGTAGACTGCTTTTGCGCCGTTCTGGGCAAACTGATGAGCCGTAGCCCTTCCTATTCCCAGAGGCGAGTTCGCGCCTGGGGGTTCGGGTTCGGTGTCAGTGAAATGATGGCTTCCTTTAGAGACACTGTGGCGATTGTGACAGTGAGTAAAGTACCGTACCTGTGATAATGACCACCTTCCCCCGGGCACGGGGACCGTTGGATACCGGGCCAACTTGCTTGATGGGGGGCACGTCTTCGAAGGTCTCGTCTTCGACGACTGCCGGGGCGATCTGCTTGCCGATGGCGTGGAGCCGCTGCTTTGCTTTCTCGGCCATTTCGACGCTTATTCTCAATCGAATTATGATCCGTGTTCCTAAAGAATGGGCGCAGCAATGTATAAAAAGATGACAATCAAACGGCGGCAATGGATTGATTTATGAAGATGGTAGATCTCACGGCAAACAGGAGGTGGATTGAGGGGATCTCCGGGTCTCCAACTCCCAACAAGTTGGAGATCTGAGCCGAGGCACAACATCCTCGGATGCGACTCCAAACATCGCCTCTCCCTCTACTTTCACCATGTCGCGCCCAAAACTAAAACCACCCAACCCTATCTCTGCGGCAGTGTACGAATGGTTCGATGGCCACTCTGAAGAATTATCTGTGCTAGAGGCAAGTGCAGACTCTCTAGTGGCAGAGGCACCGAAAAGATGGGTCACGCATGAGCCGATGGTCTTGCTCCCTAGTGGCAGCTTTACCTCGCCAGCATGGAACAAGGTTCTCTCAACTGTCTCTTTGGATTGCAGCAATGATCTATGGGAAACCACATTGCGCAAAATCGGAGACAAGACACGAGAGAAGGTCACGCACCTTGCCGCCAACGATGGCATCCCTCTGACCGTGGGCACGACAACAGCTGCAGAAGGAAGTGCACACAGCAGCCCCGAGGAGCAGCAACAGCATGAGAACATCTTGAGGAGCCCGATCGGCCTGCGCATCCTGCGCGGCGATTTCGGACCGTCCGAGACGCCGGGGCGGACCGTCACCAGCGGTGACTTTGACCGGGCCCTCTGGGCACGCACAAAGCAAAACGGCATTCACCAGACCTGGGCCCCGCGGTGGACCATGTTTTCCAGGGGCAACGTCAAAGAAAAGGCCCGGCTACTGGCCTTTCACGACGCGCCGAGCCCTCCAAGCGAGGAGGCTTTGCAACCACTGGCGCACAGGGTACAGCCACGAGCTGCGCTCAGCAAGTCATGGGCGGTCGACCTCTACGCGGGGATCGGCTACTTCGTCTTCTCGTACGCCAAGCTCGGCATGAGGGTCCTGTGCTGGGAGCTCAACCCGTGGAGCGTTGAGGGCCTGCGCAGGGGCGCGCGTGCCAACGGGTGGCCCGTCAAGATCATCCAGGGCCCGGACCTGGCGCGGCCGACGCGCGAGCTGGTGTCCGAGGAGGATAAGATCGTCGTCTTACTGGAGAACAACCAGGAAGCCGCAAGGAGGGTGCAGGAACTGCGGTCTCACGGCCTCGACCTGCCTGTGAGACACGTCAACTGCGGGCTGTTGCCCAGGAGCGACGACAGCTGGGAGGCCGCGCGGGCGATCCTGGGCCGCACGGAGGATGGCTGGCTGCATCTGCACGAGAACGTCGCAGTCAACGACATTGAGCGGCGCAGGAAGGAGATACAGGAACTCTTTGATGGGTGGGACAAGCGCGGTGGGCGAAACAAAGCCGCGAAGGTCGAGAATGTTGAATTAGTGAAGACATTCGCACCAGACGTGTGGCACTGCGTCTTCGATGTCTACAATTACAACGCATAGATCTATTAACACACCATGATGAACCTCCTCATCGTATATCAGTCGTGTACGTCGTTCCGGTGTAACCCCATTGTAATCCCATGGTCGATCATGTCGTATCCGTCGTGTTGGCCAAGGCTGCTCAGCTCGATCTCCTGAACTTGTTGGGAATGTTCTCTTCAACGATCTGCCGGTGCTTAAGCTCCTCGATCCTGTCCTGCTCGTCCTCCATCTCCTCGTGCTTTTTGAAGTGCTCGATGTCCTCTGGGTGTGTCAGGTCCTCCAGCTTGGTGTTCTCGTCGTGATAGAGCTCCCAGTGGTGGATCTCGTATTCATATTCGTCATCGCCATGGTGCCCAGGCCCCGTACCAAAGTCTGGAAGCGTGCCGCCCTCAATCATGAAGATCTCAAACTCATCCTTGCTAATGACGCCGTCCTTGTTGTTGTCGGCCAGCCGCAGCACCTCGCGGACGATTTCCTTCTTGCGATCCTCCGTGACTTGTTTGTTTGACTCGTCAAAGAGACCATATGTCCTCAAAATCTCCTCGGGCTCCCACTGCCCATCGCTGTTGTAGTCGTGCAGGACGAAGAAGGAGCCCGCGTCGAAGTCGTCGGCGTGGTGTTCCTCTGCGGGAAGGGGAGGATCAGACATTGCCAATTGCTGTCGAGGTGCTCCTATCTACGCAGGAAAAAGACAGAACATACCGGCCATGTGCTTCGCCATCCAGCTCGCATTCTCGTCAACAATGGGCTTCTGGCCGTGATCTCCGTGGTCGCCATGCGCGAGGCATGCTTTGCTCAGAGCAAGCGCGAAAACAATGGTCGCGAGCATGATGGCGAGAGGTTGGGTGATGAGGAGAGAGTCAAGAATGTCAGGCAGATTGACCAGTGCGCTGTTTTAAGGAAGGCCGGGAGCAGCAGCTGGGAGACGGATGTCGTCAATCGCCATGTTTCCCCGGATCGCACAGCTCCCCAGAAGTGTCAGCATCCCTGTTGGTACGAACAGGGCGACCCGCCTGCCCCGGCAGTCACTGCCTTCCCCTTTGAGCTAGCGCCGGGGTATTTGCCGTGGAATTCAACTTGTCCAGCAAGAGACTACGCAGGCAGGCAGGTTGACTTTTGCAGGGAACAAAACGACGATGCCAATAACCAAGACATTCCTACCTCGGTATGTGCAGGTGACTACCGAGGAGTAGAGTAGACTATAAAATGGACTATACCCAAGACCGGCTTCCCTTAAAGGACGGGCCTAGTTCGCGCCTATTCGGACAGTTGCGGATTGAAGGCTCAAAGCAACGGCCAACTTAGTCTTGCAAGTGCCGCCTGGCCGTCTCCTGCTGGCTGTGCAGCATAACTAGGTAGGTACTTAAGTACCTGCTTAGGTAGAAATATGTCTGGACTAGTGCCTGAGCGATTGGGATAGGTTTAATGACCCCAATGCTTTCTTGAACTCTGGTGCGAGAGCAGCACAAAGCGCACAGTCTCCAGCCGTCTTGGTTTAACCTCGAGGACGGCGGCGCACGGCTTTGACAGACTTGCATAGTAGACATGGTCATACGGAGAGAAGGCAAGTAGGAGCTGAAGCGTGATCTTTGCTTTCCTGCATGATAGAGAAATCAGTACTGGAGCAGATACTGTACACATTCTAGGTCGTTGCATATGTTCTGCTGGTCAAGAATGGTCTGCGCCGAGCGAGAGTATAGATGGAGTATTTGGTGCAGGTGCTCGTTGAGTGTTATCTCGTCACCGTTAGACCACATGCCCACTGCCTTCCGGCCTGCCACCACCTAACGTGTGCTAGTGGCCAGCTGGATTACTGAGATAGAGTCTTGACAGACCCCAGGGGCCTCAGATCGCCTAATTAAAGCCACACGTGCTCTCGTGTCGCAATCAAGGCACCCCTGACCCGCGTCTTCCCCAGATTTGCCAGCAAAGCTGGAGCTGCCAACGCGACGGCTTATTTCCACACAAGCTCAACTCGACCTTCCGATTACACCTCTCTGTTACCACCGCCGACAACAACGCACGATACCCTACCAGATCACTTCGCATCGCATCGCATCTTGATCAATGACATCCATCCTACAAGTCAGCCTTGCACAAACATGAGTCGACAAATAGAGCAGGCTCTACTCTCGCTCCTGCCCACCCAGAACTCAAATCTGCCCCCACCTCTCGTCGAGCTCGCGGGCTCTCTCCTCGCGCAGTCTCGCCTTCGCGCGAGCACGCTGAAAGCCGAGGAAGACGTCGCGCGATTGTATGCGTGCTGCCATCTTGCGTGCGACAGGTAGGCCTATCTATGTCAAGCTGGTCTCGCCCCTGGCCCACCTGCTGAACGCCCTTATAGACTCAAGATCACCCTTAACCTCCCGCCTATTGAGCCAAGACCTCCCATCCCACCACGCATCTACAAGCGTCTTTACATACATCTTGACAAGATCCTCCCTGCCGCCTCGCTATCTGGCCGCGGCAAAGCAAATGGCCTCGGCACGCCAAGATCAAAGGGTCTCAGCTCGCCAGCGTCTCGCCCTGTGCCGTCCAGGGGTACGCCGGGCAAGGAGCTTTCTCTGGCGGCGTTTCGCACGCCTGCAAAGGCCGGAACGCCGACCAAGTTGAGCTCGCAGAACACGGCAAGGAAATCGGACCCCTCGTTCCCGCCGTGGCTGCGTCCTGCGATCCGCCATCTGTGCACCACTCTCCACCAAAGCGGCGGTCCGGATCTGGCACCTACAATCGTCTTTGGTCTCGAGTCCATCATTGCACCACATCGTCGAAGAACAGATGACGACTGGGTCAATGGTCACCTGACCGCATTGGTTGCTGCCATCTACTGGTATGTGTCTGAGTCCGCTCGACTCGCCCCCGGTGAAAACATGACTACGGACGCTTCGCGCTCAAGCCTCAATGCCACGCGGAAACATATGCTGGGGGCTCTAAAAAGCGCCAGACAGGAGGTCAAACCTCCCCCGGCACGAGGGGAAGAGGAGTCACGCTGCCACCGAAGAAGAGGAGGCCGTTTTCTGGGAGGGATGGCAAGAAGGCCTCAAAGCGGCTGACATCAGCGAAGCCCTCACAGTAATTGCGGACCGTGGCTGGCTCGACAGCGATTGGTTTCGGAGCATCGATCTCCTCCGGGACGCAGAACAGGACGCAGAAGACGTGGACCCGAGCGCCCATGAGGAAGACTTGACATCCACGGCCGCGGCTGTGCAGATTCGGAAAGCGGACACGATGCTGCAGGACAGGTTCGACTATCTGAGCGAGCGAAGGAGGGCCGAGTATAGGCACTGGAAGGCGGGAATCTTGAGACGGGTTGAAGCACTGGAGCGTGCTCAGGGCAGAGAGGCCACAGGAGGCGTCGGCTCGTGAGATCGATTGCCGTGGGCGGGGTCGCTGCAACCGCAAGCCGACTATTCTTTTCGGCACTTCTTTGGTCGACGATCAGATGCCATTCTCGGCTCACATGCGTTGCCAAGCATGACCTCGAAGCACCGTACGGACAACGATGCACCCCTTGCCCTTGCGCATCAGCTACTGCAGTGCGGCAGCTATGCGATTATCGATAGTCCCGCTGAGTCGGAGCTTTGGACCTTTCAGGAGCCTCGGGCGATGAGTTGGCAGCATAAGCGATCCGGTACTGTCTTGCCACAGTATCTGACATATCATTATGCGACTCGAGACTGGCCCTATATTACTACACTGCACACGTGCCGAGAGCGCATGCGGTGCTAACTAGCCTTATGCCAAGGCCAAGGTCCTGCTTAGTGAATCGTTGTATTCTTCCTAACTGCCTGACAGACATAGCCACCTTCGTGGATCTATGTATACATCCAGACAGTTCTCGGGATAGCATGGCGGAAGATCAATGATACGAGACGATGACTTGACTAGCACGCAATGCAACGAGACGATCCCCAATGAGCATAATGCTTGTTCTCTACAATACGGCGGAACATTCTCGTCTGGCCCGTGTCCGAGGTTGCTCAACATTAGGGCTGACACGTCAAAGCACGAGCACTCCACACTTCGTCCGGGTTGCTTGCTGAAGGCCTTCTTCAGCCAAAGCGCTCTAAGAGTTCGGCGGGTCAAATTCTCTCAATCAGTCGGTGTGGGTAGCCACTCCTCGCTTGCTTTTTCAGCGCCTGATTCCGGGCCAAGACGGCTCGGACCTTCATAACCCAACTTGCTGAAATCTTGCAGGACCTCAGGACTTTTCTGCACGATGATTCTACAGAGGGGTTATTGTCTCGAAGTCCAATCGAGATCAGATACATTTTTTGCTTACCCTGAGGCTTACGGACTTGCACTCTAGATCATGGTGCGTCGCGAGGCAGAGTCACCCTGATGTGCTGGCAGGACGCAGACGAGAGTGCTTACCCTCCAGGCTCCTGGGACGGCCTACGGCCCGGCGAGCAGGGTATCGCACTGCTTCAATACTCGGGAATACGCTCTGCTGAGTGGATGAGCGGCCAGGAGCACTGCTGGCGTGCCACTTCCCGAGCCCTCGCAGTCGGGCTTCTGGAAGCTCGGGAACGCCACTCATTCAACAGCGTTCGTATCCATGTCGAAGTCCAACATCGTTGCGGGCTTGTATGGGAGAACGGCTTTCATGTGTCTCAGCCATGTATAATGCAGAGTTCAAACAACCAGTGCAGTCTCTTGTCTAATCAAACCAGGGGCCCATGCCACGGTCGTGGATTCTCACGTGCCGCCCTCGTGGGCGCACTGGATCGAAGCATGGAAGGTCAAGCAAGCGGGTTGGGCAGGCAAACGGCTCAGACATGGTGGACTCGAAAGGAACCTGCATCAAAGAGTAACACGAGGAACGGCAGAGACTTGTGCGTCACGACAGTGCCATGATGGGACAGCGTCTTTGGCAGTCTCACAATCGTCTGTGGTTCGTCGCGTACCTGAGCTGGCCATTGGCCGCAGAGGTTGCCATTCGCGCCGCAGTCTGGTCTTGTACCTCCTTGTAACCTTTCTGCGAGACTCTGCAGCAGAGGCGGACAGGGGATGGGGAGGAACTGGCCCCAGACAAGTAACCTGGGCGGGACTGAGCGCCAGGCTTCGGGCTTCTGATTGGTGTCGGGGAGTTCACCTGTGATGTCCAAACAGCCAAGTTGCCCTACCTGCGTTCTTTCCACTTATTCCTACGAGCTGCGTGCAGTCCATGGCGGCCCCTGGCGATCCTGACCGAGCTTCAGCCGCATCGCTCTGGCCCTCCATGCTTCTGCCCAACATGATTCGTCCAAAACCATCCAATACCATTACACCCGCTGGCACACAGCCGCTCTGGGCAGCAGCCGACACTTGGTATCAGGTAATCCCGCATCTCTTTGCATACTGCGCTCCTGAGAGGGGTAGGTGATATCCTGATCTGCCCTGGAGTCCGACAAGTCCTTCAAAGACGGGGCGAGTGCTCCCTTGTACTGCTGTTTCAGTTGCCGGCTCTGACAGCACCACGCCTCAAACATCCGGACGGTGTTGAGCTCGACAAAACCGACCCACCGCAGCACGATGCACCCGCCAAGCCCTCGCCCATCAATACTTCGGGGTCTGGTCAAGAAGCTTCGGGCTGTTCTAAGCCTGTAGTTCGGCCTGCTTTTGCTGATCTGCCAACGCGCATATGAGCTGAACGGGCCCAGGGAAAGGAAAGGCGCTTTGTCGGTTGGCTGCATCTTTGTCCAGGGAACGCTGTGCACCCGCGGCCATCTTCCATACGAGCAGGCATTCTCGTCCAGCGGCGGGAGACGGCAGGCCCGTGTAACCTTCATGTATCTGACCTGCGGTGGGGCGCACCTTGCAGCCCATAGTCCGCTCCTCACCCCACCCCCAACAGCATGCCGCATCCTGTCATGCCATGATAAGGCCCCGGGGGTATGGTGCCTGGCTATCGCTGTGGAATCCCATCTCCAGCCCCAGATTATCTCAGTGGCCGGCCCCGTGGCCCCCCCAGGCCCATGCTCAAGTGACACGGCTGTGGGCCTCGACGGATGAACACTGATCACGAAGCTGGAGCGGAGAGTGGCCTGCCCCCCCTGGCTCTGGTGGTTGTGATATATAGCTGTGACATGGGCTTTTGTCGTGCGTGCATGGATGGAACGATAGATCTTGGGGTTTCTACACACAACCTATCGCTTCCATGTTTGGCATAAGCTTTGCCTAACTCCGTCTTCACCTGCTGCCACCCTCTCCCACACTCTCTCTACCCCGGGGCCGATGCTTGGCTATTTACCTGCCGCCTTGCCCCCCACGCTCGCTCGCTTGCTGTGCTTTTGCTTCTTGTGTTTCTCGCATTTGAGCAGTGTCGACATCGTCGGTCAAGAGGCTTGACATGCTCTGGGCTCTGCATGCATGACTGCCCAGGAATGGAACTGCTTTCTCTTTCCTCCTTCCTCACGGTCGTCATACCCTACCCAGTTAACTGCCTCTACCTTCCGCGACTGCCATCCGTGGCGAGATTGGTACAAGGCTCAAGATGACGGGCGCCAACGGGGAGATGGATCTGGGGCGACGAGACGAGTGCGCCTGCCCCTTCGACGCACCGGGAGAGGCTCCCCCCAAGACGGACCCTAAGAGCGCGTGTTTCGAGGGCTGCCTGCAAGCGTTCCTGATGCGCAGATATGGCCAAGTTGACATCAACCAAGCTGTGTGCCAGAACATATCAGACAGCGGAGGAGGAGGCACTGCATTCTATCCCCTGTACTATCTGGACCACAAATGGTGCGGCCTGCAGTGGAATGACCCGTCCGCTCTTGACCAGGACCGTAAGTTTCAACCTAAGATGCTCTCATCGAGCGCGCAAGAGTTGTGATAGCTGACTGGATGCCAGCCGGCGTGGACAAGATCATAAATTCTTGCAACGGGTCTGTCAGATGTCCCTCCTCTGTTACCGTCCAGCCGCACACTGACGGCTTGATTAGTCTCGGATTCCCCTATTTTGTTGATCCTGGGGTGCCTCCCGATTCATATCAATGCAGCACGTGTTCCTCCTCCACTCCCAAGCAGGCGAATCCTCCCCAAAGTCCCGGGTTCACTGCACTCTCCGCAAGCTCGACGTCGCGGTCTGTGGAGCCGGCAACGACCAGCGAACCATCAACTACTCCGACGTCTGCAACCTCATTAAGGCCGTCCAAAGTCGAAACCACTGGGGCGGCCTTGACGCGCACAGAAACGCCCTACACGGACAGCTTCCTACCGACATCCGCAGCCACGACGCCTGCCGTCACACCAAGCCGCGCCCTTCCTACCGAGGCCATAGTTGCCATAGCCGTGTGCACAACGCTGGCTCTTGCCAGCGCGGTGGTCCTGTTGATTTGCGTCCTTCGCCGGAGGCAAAAGCAGCTGGGAGAGAATGATGGTGACATAAGAAGCCGCATAAGTAGGATTGTGCAAGGCTTCGCTGCGCCAGCAGACTCTCCACAGCGTCTGATCTCACCTTCGCAATCATATTGTACCGACCCACCGCCTCTTACTCCCCCTCTCCCCCTGCGCGACAGGAAGCTTCTTCCCTCGCTTCTGGGGCCAATTTCCCGCCCTGCATCAATCGTCTTCGGGCCACCGTTTGAGAGGCATCACAGTAATAACAGTCAGAGCAGCTGTTACAGCAGTCACGGGCGGGATGACAAAGATTCCTTCCCATCTTCTCCGATTTGCAGCCCGACGTACAACAGACTTGAACCGCGGCAGGAGAAGATGCACCAAACGGCGCCGTCACTCGTCAACTCCGCGGCGTCGCTGACGTCGGAGCCCTCTTCGCCCCCATACACGCGGCTCAAGTCACCTCCACCAGTGAGCTTCACATTCCCACCGTCCAGCCAGGACAGCACCATCTATCCGGTCTCTCCATACCCGAAAGGAGGGGCATCTTCTCTACGGAATGAGATAACATCAACGACGTCCACCACCACCAGCAACTACATCACGCACGAGAGGCACACAAATAGCACCGGTACAGCAACAATTTCCGTGCTGGACGCGGCGGACAACCCTTCGATATCTGCCAGCCCGACCGCGCCGACCCCACCATCGTCTCCGATCCGGCCAAGACGACCGCACGAGAGGCCCCTCGAGATCCCGGACCTCGTCAGCCCGCTAAGCATACCAAGGTCGCCCTCACCCGGCCCGCCGCCGAGCAAGGCCCTGCCACCTCCGCCACTGTCGCTCCGCCCGAACCCCGCGAGCATGGGGATCGGGATCGCCACGACCACGGGCCGACATCACCACCGACACCACCGTCATAATCAAGACGCTGCGGCTGCTGACGGGACGCGAGCCGCAAGCCGGGACAGCTGGGGGAGCTGGGAGGACCTCACGCCAGCGTCCTTGATTGGCAGGGCGATATCACCGCCAGCGGGGCGGACCGTCTATCCATATCCTGACAGCTGAGTCGGTTGAATCGAGACATTGAATTGTTTGGGGGCCGAGGTCTGGCGGCCTCACCCTGATGTTTGCAAAGGTACAACAAGGAGCCGGGAGTAAAAGGGACTGGGGGAAGAGGGAAAAGTGTAATGTATTTCGGCGAGAAAGGAGTCACCCCCGCCACGTATACCATATCCGTTGCATGTCTTTTGCACTCTGTGTATTCTAGTCTATTCATTGTCTTCTGATCTCACTGTCTCTCATACTAGGAGAGGCTGGGTAGAGTATGGGGACATCTCAACGCTTAATGATGTCTTGTTATGTGGTCGGGTTTCTAGGAGTACGAGATAATAAGCAGAGAGGGGATGATACCAGTACGGACTCAATCAACACAATTTTCTCCCACATGCTGCTGCATTGACTGGGAATTGATCTCAGCTTTTTTCGTGACGTAGACTGCCGACTTCAAGTGCGCCCGTAGCTAGATGACAGACTTTAGAAGACGAGGCTTGCGGAGTATCCCCACCAGGTGCACATAGCACAGTAGGGCGCTAGCAGAGCTTGAACAGCCATAAATCGTGACATTCAAGCATCACAGCGTCGCTCAAAGATGAAAAGTAGCTGGTGGTGAGTGTTTGTCTTCCCCCCCCCCCCCCCCCTTTTTCATTTCTGATGTTCAGTGTTCTGTTTGTTTGTTTTTCTTGTCCGATTCATCAATGCCGTAAGACAGATGCTTTTCTAGATACGCTTTGAAAGGGTACCACGATGCGACTTGCCCCTTGGGTTTATCAACGCTGCGGACTCCATTCGAGTCCCGTCGTAACCACCACCCGTCGGTACAAATTATACACACTCGCTTAGTCCATCCACCTCCCGGACGGAATGGAGTTCCCATCCCCTTCGTGCCTCAACCGCCCGACCACTACACCGACGCAGGGGGTGCCGGAGGCGGTGGCTCGGAGCCGCCCTGCTGCTCCCCTCCGATCGGCGGTAGGCCTTCGAGGGGATTTGATGCTATCGGAACCGTCATTGGCCCATCCCTCGGCATTTTTATGCGATCAGTCAGCGATTCGCCTTTGATCACCTTCAACACCTCCCCCTTGTCCAGAGTCTCGTAGTCGACGAGGGCCTCCGCCAACCGATCAAGCTCCTTCCGCTTTGCGACCAGCATCTCTCGCGTGCGACCATATGAATCGTTCAGCATCTTCTGCACTTCTCTCTCGACCTGTTCCCTGGTTGCCGGGCTCAGGTTGTTGTACCTGGACCCGAAATCCATCGGGGCTAGACCTCCACCGCCCATCCCGAAGTATGCAACCATTTGGAATGCGAGGTCGGTGGCGTTGTTGAGATCCTAAGAACAGGTTAGTGAAGCTGAACCACAGTTGAAGTTGGAAGGGAGACTCACTGAGCTGACACCCGAGGTCACAAGGTCGCTGCCGTAGACAATCTCCTCGGCCACCTTGCCACCCATGGCGCAGTCAATCCTGGCATGGTAGTCTGATGTCGTCCAAGAGTGCTTGTCCATCTCGGGGAGGAAAGCAGTGTGACCAAGACTTCCGCCACGTGGGAGAATTGTGACTTTGTACAGCGCAATCGGCTGGGCCGCAGTGTACAAGGCCGCGAGGGCATGACCAGCCTCGTGGTACGCCGTCATGAGCTTCTCCTTCTCACTGATGACCATGCTCTTCTTCTCAGCCCCCATGACGACCTTGTCCTTGGCCCAGATGAGATCCTTCATCGAGATGAACTGCGACTTGTTCTTGCTGGCATGAATAGCAGCAGAGTTGACAATGTTCTCGAGCTCAGCGCCGGATAGTCCTGAAGTACCTTGAGCCAGCTCCTGCAAGTTGATCTTCTCCGCCAACTTGACCTTCTTGGCGTGGTGTTGCAAGATGGCCAGTCGCCCTCGGACGTCAGGCAAGTCGACTGAGACATGTCGGTCGAACCGGCCGGGACGAGTCAAGGCCTTGTCGAGAAGCTTCGGGAAGTTCGTTGCCGCTATGATGATAATCTGACTGCTCTGGTCAAAACCGTCCAGCTCGGTCAGAAGCTGGTTGAGGGTTTGCTTCACGTAAGTGCTGTCTCTTGTGTTCCTCTTCCCTCCTATAGCGTCCAGCTCGTCGATGAAGATGATTGCTGGGGACTTGGACCTGGCGGCATTGAACAGATCACGGACCCTCTTTGCGCCGACGCCAACATAGACCTCATCGAACTCACTGCCAGACATATAGAAGAAGGGGACGCCAGCTTCACCAGCGACAGCCCGTGCCAGGAGGGTTTTGCCGGTACCGGGAGGGCCAACCAGGAGAACACCTTTTGGCAGCTTGCCGCCCAGGGTCGAGAACTTATCGGGGTTCTTGAGAAACTCAACGATTTCCTGGAGCTCCTCCTTGGCCTCATCGCACCCGTGGACGTCAGCAAACCTGGCCTTCTGGCTCTCGGCCTTTACCTCGGCATCAGCCCTGGCAGTGCCGGTTCGTTTGAAGGAGTTGAAGCTCTCAACGATCATGGTAACGACGACCAGACTAAAGTAGCAAACGAAACCGAAGATCATGAAGAACCTGACCCATTTGAAGATAGTAGAGCCGAGCGATTCGTCCACCACGACGTGAATGGGCCCCTGTTTGGCCCCGGAACCCTGAGTAGATACCGCGATATTGCCGCCCTTGGCACTGGCCGCGACGGCCTGGCCGATTGCTTGAAGCTGAGACTGGTTAAGTCCGCTGGCCTGGCCATCGACAGCACCGACGTCAGAAATCTTATTGCCGTTGATCATGGACAGTGCCTTGGCATAGACGTCCTCAACCGCTTGGTTCCTCGCGTATCTGCCTGACTGGTACCGTTCGACGATTATCCCGGGCATGTTTGCCTTGAGAAGAACCTGATAGAAAGCGTTTTGAGCGGTAGGGCTGGTAGGATTCCGGTTGGCAGCAGCTTCGAGGTTGGCCAGCATGTTGCGAGAAATGCCTCCGTTGCTGAAATTCCGGTTCTGCAAGAGCCCACAGTACGGGGTAAGACCAATAACACGGCCAAGAATGACCGACGAAGTTATACGCGATGGGGCGGACCAACGAGTGGCAAGACCATGGAGAGGAGACCTTGTTTGTGAAATCGTTGCGCCGCGCTGCGCCGCGCGCACAGTCGATGTCGAGAACAGTCTCATTATAGGGATAGTAGAATTCTGTGCTCCCGTTCGGAAGGCACTCTGTCGAAGCAGTGGGTTGGCTGCGGCAGCCAGCGCAGACGATGGCATGGTAGAGATGATGGATCGGATATCGCAGGACGTGGGCTGGTGGCTCGGTAGAGAAGACTTGTTGGGTTGGAAGCCATTGCGGAGAAGGCCAGGAAGACTCGAGATCCGATCCTGCAGCGCGGATTAGTGAATCGGCTCCAGGTAGAGTTCATTATAGGATTCGGCATACGGTAGTGGATGGCGGGGAGGACACGGGGTCAGTGTTGCGGGCAGAGGTCGATGGCGTCGTGCGCCTTGTCACAGACGTGGCCGTCCGTGGCATGGCCAGGGCTTTGGCGACTGAGGGCCAGATCTCAGCTGTTGCTGCTGCCATGTTCTAATAAGATGCAGCATCTGTCAGCATGCGGACATGTCTTCGGGGATGTGTTTGCCCGGCGAGGGTCGACTCACGGGCAGCAGAGCAGTTTGAAAGGCCATGACGCCCTTCGGGAGCGCAGACTGCGCAATGAAGATGGAAGTGTTAATCAATGCCGGATGCTTGTGGATGAAGCGAGAGAATCCATATGTATTGGCTTGCAGGTGAATGACTGGACGCCCGATACAAAGTAAGGTGATGTGTCGGCAGAGAAAACGGCAGATGGCGGTTGGCGGTTGCGACGGCGGCGACAGCGGCGGCGGCGAGCGGGCTGATTCATTCGAGCAGATGGATGAGGTCAGCTTAAAGTTGCCTACGGTTCGCAGGGGTCCACTGCACTACAGCCCGGCCGCTACGTCGCCGAGGTGGTGGCGGCGACGGGGGCAGGCACCACCGGCCTACAACGTACACAACAGATGGGTTACCAACAGATCTACCTGGAAACAGCCACCCAGATGCAACAGAGGACACACTCGAGTCACTGACAGTGACTATTCAGAAGAATATTTGGGCAACTCCATCATGGGCCCATCGACTGAGTGGAGGGCTGTCCTCGGCGTCGAAGCACCTGGTTCTTCCCCCAACAGAAGCAGTCGAGACCAGACATCAGGGTTAAGCGGTCCCAGGAGGGTTGAACCCTGGCCCGCCAACCCATCAAACTCATTTGTGTCTCGACATCATCACTTCCTAAAGGACCTTTACATGAAATGAAGTCAGTCGCTAAACTGGACGTTCTCATGGGATCTTGAGGAGCCTGAGTATCTTTACCTCGCTATTTATACTGAAAAACTATGTGGCATCCTCCTGCCCGGCAGTTCCTGGGAGGATGACCGCATCCCATGCGACACTGCTCCAGTGCCGCTTACATGCATATACCACGACCGCTGGCCATGCCAATATTCATGTCCTACACTGGGTCCTTCTTCTATACAGCGTCCATGACAAGAGATTGGTCTAATCGTGTCCCCCGCTCAACTAGCTCATCAGCCTCCTAGGCCGCCTGAGCGTATTTCCAATCATTATGTGCTGATGCCCTCAGGTGCAGGATTCCGCTGTGGCATCGCCATCCGCCATCGAGTTCGCAACACTCCCGAGAGCATGTTTTCACCAGAAAGCCTCGGCAGAAATACGCCCGTTTCTTTTGGAACTACAGTATTTCTGCCCCGGAACTGCACTTGTAATTCCTCGAGGCAGCTGTTCCCAGCATGAAAATAGTTGTCCTCGGGCTCGGAGTCGTGTTGATGCCGGAGTGAGCCTTTTCTCACTCCAGGGGGCACAAGACCAAGTCTTTCAATTTTTTATTTTTTCCCCCCTTTCCGATTTGGGAAACGGCTCTTGATTCTATGGTGTCCTTCTCTGAAGCGGCATAATTTTTCTCCGTGGACGTCTCATCAGCTTCTTCCTCACGCATCCTAAGCCGGACAGAATCAAACACACGCCTACTCCATCGATGATACTCTTTCTTTCATACACCCGTCACTCGTGTGTGATCAGACTGTAAAATAAGAGACTCTTGTTCTCGTCCCCTGCTTCACTTCACAAACGAATAAGTTCAAAAGAACCAAGTCCGTTCTCGCGAGTTAGACTCGATGGTCTCTTCCCAAGTTCGCTGGGGGCTTGTGGAAATAGCCATCGAAAGGGCCAGATTGTGGGCAAAGATGAGCGAGGACGCACGTGTGCATTCTAAACAAGCGAGTGAGCCTGCTTAGAAGATACAAGGCGCATTCCAAACGGTCAACGTGTACAGGCGAACCACACGAGGGAATTCAGCCCGAATTCCATCAGGGTGCCGCATGTGGAAGAACAGGCCTGCCCCTTGGTCCAAAACATCTTGAAAACCATCCCTTCTCGACATCAAGGTCCATCAAGTCCATACACATGTCAGAAGAGTATTCGGTACCTTGTCGTCGAATATTCTCCGATCAACGTCCCGGCAGGCCACGTGGGTTGAGGCTGCCTTGGTATCAACCGTCAACTCTCGCCGGTTTTGGCAAAGGCTGGCCTCAATACCTCACAAACTGCCGGCTTCTAATCAGGTCTTCCTTATTCCGGGTCGGCAGGGTCGGGCCGCTTGTTGTTCACAGGCCGGGGTGGCTGTTCACGCCGTGGTCGAAGACCTCGTTCACGTGCGACTCATTCCAGGCCCCGAGTCCCAGGCGACCGGCCTTGGCTGAACCCGGGGCCACATCGACACCGCGGCGCCGGACCGGTATTGCTTGCGGGTGGTGAGACCCTCCCGTGCTGTCTCAGAAGTCGAACCTTGGCGGCCGCGCGGACCAGACGCGTCGTGTGAGTCAGCGACTTTCGCGGCCCCGTCACCTTTCGGTAATCAAGGGTGATCACTGGCGATCCTGGCGATCAGCCAGCGCAGGTCACTCAGTCAGTCAGGGCCCCGCCCCGACGAGGCGCCGGATCCGGGACGCCATCACCATGTCACTCCATTCCACAGCGGAGGACCCTGGATTGGCGCCAGGAAGTCTAAGTCATGAGCCATGGAATTTAATAACCGAACCTACGCGGAACATTCTTTCCATCCCGCTGCCCCTTGCCTCAGATCGGCCTCTCCCAAAAAAAGAAAAAATACCGCCCCCCCCCCCCCGGACCCGGAAACGGGCAGCCCCATTTCACAGTGCACGGTGAGGTGCACTTCCCACTCACAGCTCGTCACCCCCTTCCCTGACCCAGCAGCCCGAGAACCCGACCCTGACGAGCGTCGGCTCGGTTCGGTTCGACCCGAAGAGCTCCGACAGGAACGACGCGCAGTGCTCTGTGTGGTACGAGTTGGCGATGACGGCGTCGAACACGCGCCGGCCTTCGAATAATGTCCAGAACTGCTTCCGCCACAGCATCGCGCAGTGGTTGATGTGGTCCCGGATCGAGGTGTAGTAGTGGTCCCGCTCTCCCATCGCGTCGGGCCGCAGGGGCTCGGTCAGGTTCACGCTGTGTAGGCATTAGTGGTTAGCAATGGTCCTCCCCTCTTCTGACATGTACAGTCTTTGGCCGCGGCGGCAGGGTGGGCGGGAAACGCACTCGGAGAAAGCAGTCCAGCTCGCGTCGTCCTGGTACTCGTCGATCCATTCCTGGTCCAAGCACTGCGCCGGCACCCATGCGTTCAGCAGCGTGTCGTAGGTGCATCCCTTGGCCCGCGCCTCCTCCGTCGAGTTGCCGCATGAGATGTACTTGGCGCCCGACGTGATGTTGTGGAAGCGAGCCATGTCCTCCCCGGTGATGACGCTGCTGCCCTGGCTCGGCATCTGGGCGGGTGCTGTGTCGTCGGCGGCGGGGCTGGACATCGGGGAGGAGGAGGAGGAGGAGGAGGAGGAGGAGGAGGAGGAGGAGGCCGTGCCGGGGCCGGGGATGAACATCCAGATCACCATCACCCAGAGGAGTGATGTCGCGAGGCATATGAGAAAATCGCGGAGGAGCCTGCGAGTGCCGGAGGTCTTAACGTGCCCCTCACGAGGCGGTGCAAGGTTGCCGTTCCCTTCAGCAGCGCCTCCTCGCCCGGCCGGGTCGTCCGAGAACGCCAGGAAGGGCTGGGTCTCAACTTCTGATTTCATGATCTGGGCGGGAATCTTCACATAGCTTATCTTTGTTGTTAGAGACGAGTCTCAATGAGGGAACGAAGAGATCGATACGGCGCCCGCCAGCTTTTATTCCATCATTCATGTCCCAGGTGTGTGGCGGCTTACACTTGGCAGCCGTTTCACGATGGGCTGCGCTGCCCATCGAAGCCGTTTCGAAACCATCCGAATTTGGTCGTCTCACGTATCTTGTGTGCGCACAGCCCTGGAGTCGACCGATGGGTTGTTACACGCATGATGCACAATGAGCTAATTGAACGGCGAGAGGACGCTGCGAGGGCTTGCGCTGAGCCCAACAACCTGATGATTCTTAAATCCACGCACTGAGGCCCCTCGTAGCAACTAGTCGTCGCCTGGAAAATGTGAGGAGGATTTAGCATGAAATCTTTCCTCACGAGGAGTTGATGGTGATAATATCCTCGCCACTGCTTGGTAATGCTTGACCACAGAGGAAAATGGATGCACCCGTGCCCTCAGAGCGTAATTTCATGCGTATAGCCAGAGATTCCAAGTATTAATCATGACCTCTGCCTACTCGTAGAATCGCTCCATGATTGGAGTGACCTCCAGAGAAGAGCTACATCTCGATGACAAAGATTCGTAGACGCCTAACAATTTCGGCTTGATTTCTCAAGAGCAGACTCAATGGTCAATGACTACAATCTCCACAATCAAGCACGTGGACACATATCGACTGATTGAAGTTCTCTTAGATTTTCTGCTTCCGTATAACCATGACCGTAACTTGTTGTCCAACCTTAATGTAACCCAGCTCGATTTTGACCCCGTCTGCCATGGCCAGTTTTCATAACTCTCAGGCCAGACACCGTGTGATTCACACTCATTAGAAAATACTCCCGAAGACCCATACCGCAGGTATCAAGCAAACCCCAAGCAAATATAGTACAGCCAAACAATGACACAGACAGACACACAGAGAGAGAGAGAGAGAGAGATATTGAGGAATAGAGAGAGACAGGAAAGAGAAAGCGTGGGGGGGGAAAAAAGATAGTACATCTGTAACAATAGACTGGGCTAGTCAGTCTGAGACTGCCAACCTGATTATGACGGCCACGTGAACACCACAAGTGCGCTTTTCCTCTCCACTCGTGAACGCCTCTTTGATGAGTTCTTTTTTGTTCTTCCAAACAAGACAGCCGACCCCGCCCCCCTCCTGCTGCGCCCCCACGATCCGTGGATCTCTGCCCCGAGATCTGTGCAGTTGTTTTGACGCCTTTGACAGATGACAAATGTTTGCTGAAATACAGAAACAGCGCGACCGCCCCGAGTGTCGCCAAGGTGAAAGTGCATGGAAAGAATGCAGAGTTACAAGAAAATAAAGTTTCGTAAGTCGTCAGCGGGGTTGACTGTGATTAGGACCAGGCTCGACGCGCCGTGGGGTATTAGTGAGGGTGTATCGGCGGATGAGAGCCACACTACAACTGTGTGTGCTGGTCAACGTGCGCTTCGCGCGGGTCCGGGCGTTTCTGGAGTGCCACTTTTCCTTTACCCTCCGTTCTCCTTGGCCGATGGCTCCATCGGGAAGGATGTTGCTCAGATGGTTGCCTCTAACCCATTTGTGCGATTCTGTCAGAAGGCATGCCCATGCCCAATCCAGACGGGTCCTCAAATTTGACATCAGAAATGCCCCATCCATAGGACGCAGGCACATGCCCAGCACTGACGGGGTCCTGGTAGGCAGGAAGTCCGGCGGCATACATGGCCTGTGAATTGTCCGGCGCCGAAGCAGCAAGCTGCTGGTGGTACACGCCTTGAGCTCCCGGGGATTGCGGGTGTTGCTGTTGAGAGTGTTGGTTGTGCATGGGAATTGTCATCATCGGCTGGTTCGGCATCATTGCCTGTGTCGTGGCTGGATGCTGGAACTGTCCCATGGCGGCATGCTGGTGCTCGGCACCCTGGAGGGCGTGCGTCGCGGCTTGCGTCGAGTGAAGGGCGTAGTTATTAAAGCCGCTGTCGCCGACGGGACTCCGCACAGATGCCGAAGAGAATGTGCTCGGACTGCTATTCAACGAGGCGGTCAGGCCAGGTTCTGTGTAAGGGTTGCTGTGTTGTCGCGGTACGCTTTGGAACTGGCTGGCGTTCATAGTTGCGACGGCTGGGTTGTGTGCTTCCACGAAGTACTGTTGGGGCATGGGGGCATTCGACATGCGGCGCATCATAGCATGCTCCGAGTGCATGTTGTTGGGATACTCGGGTCCGTTGGAAGAGAGACTGTGACGATGTTCGTATGGGGGTTGCATGTATTGTCCCGGCATTGGTCGCTGCATTCCCATTCCGTTGTGCATCATCATCTGTCCGTGTGGTTGTTGGCCCCATATGTTGGCGTGATGCGCCCTTGGCGTCGACGGCGAGTCATCTCCTCCGGATTCGCTAGTAGCGTCGTCGACTAGAGCGCCTGGCTGATGGGATCGGCGTTGGTGCTTGACCATGGTCGTCTTCCTGCAGAATCTGCTCTGCGTCAGAGCGCGTCGCTTATTTGATGGCAAAGCATGAACTCACGTCTTTACACAGCCATGGTGACCGCACATGTACGGTCTCTTCCCTGAGTGAATCCGGCGGTGCCGGGCCAAACTAGAAGACTGGTATACGCCATCAGTAGATGTTTCGTCACACTATCATGGACCATGGACATACATCTGAAAACCGCTTTCCGCATCCACTATACTGGCAGGCATGTGGCTTTTCTCCCGTGTGCGTGCGAATGTGGACGGTCAGGGCACTACGCTGGATGAAGGCCTTTCCACAACCGTGTTGGGTGCAGGCGTAAGGCCGCTCGTTCGTGTGTATCCTGAAATGCCTCTGCAGGTCCGATTTTCTGTTAAAGCTCTACGGTTGTAATCAGTGAGCTATTCTTGTGGATCAGTATTCCCCTGGTAACTTACCTTGCCACAGGCCTCCCAAGTACATTGGAAGGGGCGAGGTGCTTGTTCAGTATCCATGACCTCGATGAGTTCCATAGCAGAGAGAGATTAAAGGACAATATCGGTTTGGGGGTTTTCAAGATAGGATGTTATCTGTACCAGCCGAGTGTTAGCGCTAGACAGGCTAGTATGGCGCAGAGTGTGATTCCAGACGAAAACCAGTGGTTGGTCACGAGTCCACATTCAAAGAGACAGCGAGTTGTGTGTTTGCCTCTCGGGGTTGTCTGCCGGGATACAGACTCATCCAGCTATTTTCAGGGAAGCTGGAAGAGAGCGTGGGTGGCGAATGTGGACGTGGTAGGCGTGAATTGTGGTGCCCCATGCACGGGGAAAGACGAGGGAATTACTTGCCGTCTAAAAATGTGCGAGGCACAACGTTGAGTGAAATGGACCAGGCGAAAGTGAATCACGGGAGAGGTGTGAAGTCCTTGGGCTAGGTGGACTGAGTGGCGATCGTGAGGGTGAGGAGAGTTGAATGCCGTCCCGGTGAGATGCGGTCGGCGATGAGTTGCGGAAAGAAATCCGGGCCTGGAGTGGGACGAGGGACGATCGCAGGTTACCGGCCCTTGCACCAGACCATAAAACGAATCCGGCCCTTGCGTGGATGTGAGTGGTGGCCGCCGCAACGGTCGTGAAAGCTGGTGCTGCAGGCTGCTTTTTCTGTCCTCTTCGCAACAGTCTCAGGGTTGGCGTTGCTTCTTCTTGGTATCTCAACCAATACCAGTGAGACAAGCGTGGACGAGTAGGCAAAACTGAGATGCGGCTTGCCGTATTCGAGGGTGACGTGTGTGCCTCGATTGAGAAGGACCTTGCTGCTCACAATATCCAAGCGGCGCGGAGGTTCCCAGGTATGATGAGGATTCCTCGAGGCAAAGAGACAGGACCAGGCAAGGCGGTGCTTCTGGTGTTTATATGTGAGCACGGGGTCTCATGAGGAATGGGGGGGGGGGCGGGATGTGGGCACAGGTGTGTGTGAAGATCATGAGAGGGGGAATGGAGAAAAGTGATGGGACCCGGAGGGGAGGTCGTTGATATTCATACCTTTGGACGAGGGGAGGGTGGGTTGAGGTCGAGGCGAGGGGGACGAGGTAGTGACAGGGTCTCAAGGGTGAGGGCACAGGTAGAGGTGGAGGAGAAGCAAGAATAATATATACCAGTTGAAGTCGTGCAACGTCTGTTCCTCTGCTCCCCCTGACTAAAGACGTTGGCGGTCGTTTCGTTTCTTTTAAGCCCCCCCCCCTGGTGGTAAGGTGGATTACAGTAGGCGTGTGTGGGTGAGGTGGAGAGAGTGCTCGAGCGTTCAAATGCTGGTGACAAGCACCAGGTCCACACTTGCAGGCGCGGGAGTGAACGTCGTGTTCCAGGGACGGCTCCACGATAACTAGGGACGATGTGGCGCTCACTCGGTTCCAGGTGATGGGTTGAAGAAAGGCGGTTGCGTGCACGAACTCTTCCGCACAGACTGAGAGGTCCTGACTCCCGATATTGCTCTCTCTCGTCTGGCCCGGCAAGGAGCCTTCGGCAATGGGGATACGGGTCCTCGGGACGGGGATAGCCAGGCTTTTGGGGCTGTGATTGCTGCAGCAAGAGCGCCGAGCAGAAAGTGTGCGACGACAAGACACGACAGCAGAGTTGTCGAGAGAGGTGGGGCTTGCCTGGGTTTCGAAGCAGCAATGCCGTGTAGGTACGGGGGCGCCGGCAAGAAATATGGGAAGACGAAGGTGAGCGAGGATGGGTGAGGGTCCAGGCCGGGGCGTGCTGTATAAGATGCTCGGTTGCAGAGGCAGCAGAGAAAGAAGCCTAGTGGCAGACCAGATATGATCTTCGTGGGAGTAGTATGATATCTAGCCCGCGAGGTCGGTCGAGGGCGACGGTCTAGCTATGTACTGCGTAGCAAAGTAGTTTGTTCAACGGACGCCGCTTTGCGAGTCGAGCGAGCCGGCAAGGCAAGGCCAGCAGCAGGCATGGCAAGGAAAGGGCATGTTGGACCACGCACTTTCCCTGCGAGCGAGGAACAGGGTCTGGTCCACCTAGGTGTGTACATTACATGACATTACATTACAGCAGCGTGCGGCATGGGGGCGCGCAGTGGCCAGGAGCAGGAGCAGGAGCAGGTGCGGCAGCGGCAGCGGCAGCGGCAGCGGCAGCGGCAGCCCCAGGGCATTGAATTGGATTGTACAGTACTCAATTGAGTAGAGAGATGGCAAGCACGAACCAAAGCAGGAGGAACTTGGTGCGTATGCTGCAGCAGTGACAGCACGGTACACTGCGGCAGCGGCAGCAGGTAGTCTAGGCGCAGGTCGAGCCTGGGGAGAGCGAGTGATGAGAGTTGAGGACGGCACGGTACAGGAGGAAAGGTACCTGGATACCTGCAGGACAGTACGTACCGCTGCCGTGGTGGCCGACCTCAGGTATTGCAATACACCCTTGCAAGAAAGCTAACGGAAACCTTGTGATTCAAACAAAATATTCGAGGGGAACAGGGAAGGGGCCACCCGGGAGTGCAGCCGGTACCTTGCCGTAGCATGTGCGCGTCAAGGTACCTAGGTACAGCGCTACAGCCAGAGCGGACCCGAACGACTCATGAGCTTACTGCATGGGGGATATCACAGCCGCATGCCGTCCAGCACTACTTCCACTCCGGGCCTAGCCCCACCGCCAACCTGCCTTTGCTCAAGCTTCGCCTAGCTCTTTCCGGGTCGGGCTCTCGGAACGACCCCCTTCACATGCTTGTACCATGCACCCCTCGCCTCCTGCTTGATCATTCTTTGCTGTGCTGCCTTGTACGCTGCTCTGTTGCGCTGCTTGTTGTCGCGCTGGCCGCATCCGAATGCTGCTATTTACTAGCCTGTCCACCATAGACCACTACCATCTGGTACTACGGGCGTTTTTGGTTCGCGCCAGGAGAGACAGTAACTGCGGGCGACATGCGGTTTGCGGTGGTGGTTGCGGCAGATGGGCTGGCATTACCACAACATGGGCCATGGCCCTGCCCGTTCTCGAGATCGAATCGAGATAGCTGCCAGACCACCGCATCCGCATCCGCATGCGCGCACACAACATTGCCTAGTGCGGATACGTGAACGTCCTGTACGACGGCCCTGTGGGCTGTAGGCTGTGGGCTGTAGGCTGTGGGCTGTGGGACTAATCGCATGCCATGTCTGGTACGCGCAGTAGCACCCGGGGAAAGCCTCTGGGACAATCCTGCTTGCCTCATCGAGGCAAGCTCAGCCACATCCGGGGACGAGACGAGACTGAGAACGACTGCCACTCTCCGGCCTGCAGTCAGTCCCGGTCCAGTCTGCAGCAACAGCAAGACTTGGGCCGGCCAGTGGGCGTGTGGGACTCGACTCGACCGGGAGGGTACCTGGGCGTCAGGTATCGAGCTGGGCCGTCGAGATGGCGAGAACTGACAGATCAAGGAGCTTGCAGGGGGGCTCCACCCCTCCGTCTTGGGATCTTCCTTGCTCTGCAGATGGGGAGTGATTGCCCACCCATGCCCCTGGACGGTTCATCTCCACGAGTGGCTCCGGACCGCCAATGGCTCTTGTCTGCTTCGAAACTCTAACGAAACCTCCCAGTATCACCGGAGAGGCGTCGCTCTGCTCGACACACTGTGGCAATCAAATCAACCTTTTTTGCTGCAATACATACGTCTCGCAATCATGTCTGGGGTGAGTTCGCTCGTCATACGTGAATGCCACTTACTCGCCGTCGTGCTGTCAACGGGCGCCGGGCCCATCGATGACGGCATCTATTAAGCCTCGAACCTTGAGCAGCCTCTGCATTCTATCCTGCTGTCGGTCATGTGCGCATGCCCTGCGGCTGAAAGCTTTTCTCTCCCAAAGTCATGTCGGATGCCTGTACCCATCCCATGCATGTCTGCTCCTGCCTGTGCCCCATCCGGCCTCGAGGGGACGCGAAGGCGGGGAACGAGCCGTTGGAACAAAATGTCAAGACCGCATGTATGGCGGTGGAAATTGGTGGAGGCGCCCCATATGTGATAACACTTGACGCCTGATTCATCCCATCGGACATAGGCCAGCCCGTTGCTCGCATCAGCGGTCGGTTTCCAGTCAGTTGCAATAATAGCAGGCCGGCAGCACGTCGTCATGGCCTATAGCGGACCCTGGTATGGCCCAGGATGGAAGCTCAAGCAAGCTGCACAAGACAGAGTAAGAGGTCGCCCATGGGAGCGGGGCACCTGCCTTCAGGAACTCCTCCTGCCACCCCTCCACACCAACCCTAAAACCGGCGAGCAGCACGGGGTGGATGTGACACAGGTGACGATGCGACCGAGCCCACAGAGGTGTTCTTGACCTGGTGTGTGATAGGTTTGGGAGCGCAGTGCAGTGCGGTGCAGCGCATCGCAGCGCATCGCAGCGCATCGCAGCGCATCGCAGCGCATCGACTGTGCTGTGCTAGTACTATAGCGAGTGCACTAGCCACATGGGCACGGAGAAGGACGCGCAAATGTAGATAATGTCGCAGGTGTCACATGGCGGCTTGGGATGGGGGTGGTGCTGCAGCCGATACAACCAGATTGTGCAATGCACACAGAGCCCGCTCGCTGCGGGTCCAGAAACCCGTAATCCGGCAAGGAGCATACGAGTGCGACATCCCTCCACCCTTCCCCGGGCCGGCAAGGTTGGCTCACTGTGACCGACTGACCGAGTGAGTAAGTGAGTGACCTGCGGAATGCAGCAGAATGCGGCTTTCCTGCTCTCGACAAATTTGACACCACCACCACGACCGAAGTGGGCCCCCCCCCAACCCAACGCAACCAGACCCCCACCAGGGACCCCAGAGGTGCCGTAGCTAGTGCCAAGCTGCTGAGTCGTTTGAGCTGGACTGTCCCGGGGCGGGCTGCTCGAGGCAGGCCAACTCGTCGCTACACTGCTACATCGTAGTGCAGAAAAGAGAGCCCGAGTGGCGCCAGAAATGCTCCGACGCAGGTTCGTCCCTCAAGTACCTGCAGCTGCCAGGTGCGTCCAAAGTCTATTCGAGGCAAGCTTGCCCACAAGGTTCAGGCCGATGCGGAACCGGAACCTTAGTGTACCACCGTCAGGTTATACAGGCAAAGGGCCTGACGGACGGCACCCAGCTGATCCTGCGAATCCCCGATTTGCTGCTTAACCTTAAGCTACCCGCGATTCATACTCCAGGCCCGGCTCAGGCCAGGCAGGCCCGGCTCTGCCATCGTCGGGCTAGCAAGCCAGGCATCGTCTAAACTTCATCGATCGATTTGCTACTGTCGCCATCGTCGCCCGCTTCAATGTGTCCGCGTTTGGCCTCGAACCTCTAGTTCAGCCGAACATTGCCGAGCCGTGAAGCATGATGGCATGATGGCGTGGAGATGGATTGATGGATAGAGTAAAGGGCAGCTTGTGATCGGATGCTTTTCTCGTCAGCCCTCTTTCTTGGATCATTTCCTTTCCATTGATGGCGTTGCCCCCAGCCACTGTGACTGTGATAGTGGCCCGTCTTCATGCTCCTCAGCACTCGTCCGTGAAGCTAGCCACATGACTCTCCTTCCCTCTCTCCTGGGTAGAGTGATCCCTAGCTGGAGCTAGCTTGAAAGCTCGTGGGGTGTTTGTTTTGCCTTGCAGTGAGATATTCCGAACGGTTCACGGTTCAGGCTGCATTGATATCATGCAAGCACGAGGTCTGCCAGTCTGGTGCCGGAGTATCGCTATCGTCAAGCACCAGGAAGGTGACAGATACCAGGCTAGGCGTCGCAGGGGACCCCGGATCCCGGATCCCAGCCTCGCTGCTCGCAGCCAGCTGGGCCCGCTGTGCTCCAGACTCGCATGTGGACGCTGGGGGGGGGGGGCACAGCTGGCCCTAGCCTGGGCTGCCTGGCTGCCTTGTCTGCCTGTGTGCACTAGCATGCGGCCTCGACGCTACCGCGACAGGATATCAAATCACAGCGTGACCCCTCATGCCCGGAAACAAGTCCATCGATACCCCAGCACAAGCCATCGCTGCCTTGCGACGGTTGTCGGCAAAGTCTTCGCCTCACACGACATGCTGGTCGTACGTGGTATGCGTCAGGCGTCTTCCAACTCAATTAGATGAGGGGGGAGGGGGCTCGCCGTCATATCTTGGTTTGGAGGACTATCTCGACTGCCGGCCACGAGGGTGCCAAGGTAGTCACTTGAGACGACAACCCCGCGAACAAGAACTCAAGCCTATGCACGCTGATATACCCTCCATCAACCAGAGTATGCTGAGCACGTCGACGGCTGGCGTTACATCATTAGCACAAAAAACCTGGTCGAGCACACGCCAGCCACCGAGCCGTGCAGGGAGGGCATGATGTCGTAGTACCGTAGCGCAGCGGTATTTGGGCCCCAGAATTCCGCATTGCATCTGAAACGAAACGAAGAGGGGGGAGCACCAACGTTCCCGCGGCTGCGTTCCGAAAGTATGAGCTGACTCGGAAAGCCAATCGAGGATATCAATCAGGGTCTTCGAGCCGAATGGTGGCCTCTGAAAGTCTATCTCACCTTCTGCAGTCGCCTCTGAAGTTGGCATGCGTCATTGGAGCCAATTGAGCACCAAGTCTGTCGGGAGCAAGCCCAGCCGACGGCGATACTCTTATCAAGAGTCATTTGCCGCTTCGCCGTCAAACGCTGGCAGTCAGAGGCTATCACAGCCAACTTCTTGTTAATTAGCCTTCAGTATGATTCTGAACAGAGTCAGTTGTCTCGATGCAACTGAGGGCTTAGGGTCTGGTTCCCCGGCAGGCACAGCTGGATGTCTACCATCGTGGGCGACAGCTGCACGTCGCCAGAATGTCAAGCTCAGCCGCGCGTCCGAGGCTCCAATTGCCTGTGTACTTGGTACCCACCAGTTCGTCAGGCCGGGCACCTCGCCACACCTCCTCGTCCACACCGAACTTAATTCGTATTGCGCGTGTCAGTACCACAGACATCAAGCTTAACTGACGTGATGCGCACGTCCGTGGGGTTTTTGCTTCAGTCCTAGGATCCGGAGGCGTGTGAGTGAGTGGCTTCTTCCGCGCGGCTGTTGCCATTTATTGACACGCAGAGGCACTCCACTCACCAATATTTCCCCGCCCCGCCGACTCCTGTCCATCCCAAAGTAGAAACTCTCCGGCCGTATGACTGTCCTCGAACAGCAGGTGCTGCTTTGTCTCGTGGAGGTTTGACAGGCTGACAGCTGTCAAGACGTGCTAGCCTTGACGTGCCTTGACTTGCCTCGTCTTCTCGCTTCAACACATGGTGTACTGTACTGATTGTACTGTTCTAGCCCCACTCGCCGGCGTCAGGATGGCATTCCGCGCGCGGTGACCGCTGGGGCTGCCTGCCCCGTGACCATCCTCAAAACGCAATCGAGAAATCTCGAAGGCTATTATTGATGGGCCGCCAGGGATGGCCGTGATGGACCGCGTAATTTTATGTTTCGCACCGCGGAGATCAACATGAGCCGACGTCCTTCTGGTACCGCCGTTAATGTCGGAGCTGCTATTAAGACAAATCTTGATATCATAAGACGCCTGCTATAGCCTCCGTTAGGAAGCAATTCTTGACGGTTCAGGTACGTTGGCCCGCAGCCCTGGCCCTGCCAGCCAATGTCGGGTCGACCCTCTTTCTTTTGTGTGACATTGGGAGGAAATATTCGGCGCACCTAATCCCACTTGCTGACTTTTGCCTGCGACGAAGACTCGGGGGAGGGTGACTTCTGGATCCCAATACTCCGCACAGTTGCAAAAAACGGTGGCCTCCTGCATCCTGCGGCACCAGGCACATGTGCCTTGCATTTTGTCCGACGCGACGCCTTACCCCGAACGGCTAGGCCATCTGCAGCCGGCACTCGAGACAGCCCATCTCCGAGTTCCCACACCTTACCTAGGTACTTACGCACTTGTTGCGCAGTTTTGATTGTCCGCGGAGTTTTACTGCCAGAAGTCGACGAATCCCTACGACGAAGCCACGAGTAGTCGTCATCGCCTCTCAGGGGTCGACGGACTCTTCTCCTGACACTGATTCATCGCTCTCGCACGAGTTGTTGATCACTAGTTGCACCGGAGGTTGGGGGAGGCGACTGGTGCAGGATTGCCCTTGAAAAATGTGGTGTCAGGGGGCCGTGATCCGCGATCCCAAGCCCGGTTTCTGTCAAAATGGTATAATCCCTGAGTATATCCATCCGGGACGTTGGCGTCCTCGTCCCGAAGCTTGACCAACGTTCTCAATGGCTGAGCTGAAGGGGGCTACAGGGAATCTCCTTACTGACAGCTGCCAAGAGGAAGCAAGAGGGAAAGTTGTTGCAGCCATCATCAACACTTGAGTGCTGGCCCCACCGATGCACCAGCCAGGCTCCCGTTCCCCTGAAAGCCACTTCTCAACTGCAAAACATTCCTTCGCCTTGAGCTGAAGCATAAGTTGTAATCCGCCTGTCGATAGCGTGTTGCCCGACTTCGAATGGGCTGGCCCAAACGATGCGGATCGTGATACTTCAACGGCACTGTCACGCTCAGGTAGAGCATTTCCTACAGCAACGCCCACAGTGACCAGACCCGTCCAGCGTCGGCACTGAATTCATCAAGTCACTGGCTAGGTGGCTCTTGATGGAGCTGGACCGGATGGGCTGAAACTCACGCAGTGCTATGTAGAGGGACTTCTTACGAGTTCCCCTTTCCCATTTGTGGCGATCGCAAATGACATTAATTTCATTCTCGAGGGAGATCGTGGGGACGATTGCCTCTTTTCGGCCGACGTCCTCGTGTGGATTCATCTGTTCCCAGTCATCCGGCTAGGGTCAACTATGACCCACGGCCGAAACCATGGGAGCACCGCGAAAAGTGGATGGCTGGCAGGGAGTCGAGTTTCTAAGAAGTGGGTACTGGCATCATGCTGAATTGACTGCGACAGGGGGCCTGGGGCTTGCAGTAGCGGTGCGTTGATCTTGAATTTCGATAAACTCTGCCCGTTTGGTCTCGAGAGACGCGAAGACGGGAAATAAGGGATACTGCGCCTCGGCTCTATGTTCACTCGGGAGCCGCAGGAGAGTCAAGTTGTTATCGCTGTGCGTCTAGACAACGACTGCAGGCTGCCAATCAATTTCGCTCCAATTTAATGGGCGTCGCCAGGCACTGAGGGTTGAGTTCGAGTGCCGGATGACAGCGGCCGCTCCATCTAGTCAGGCGCCGGGCGCATGGTGAAAGCCTGCCGTTGACGCACAAAGCTGGCCAACGTGGGGTACCCACACCGAGGCCGTCGGTGTTCTTCGAAATGCGTCCCACTTCATCGTTGATAGCAAGCCCTCGCGATATCACTGATACAGAGTGTTGTGGTAGCAATGTGACGGGTTGGCAAGGTTCCGCGTCGTCTCGAGGCGATACAATGTGTGACCATGTCGGCTGCACTATCCCAGGCCAACGTCACCCCAGTCACGAGATCCAGTCGCAGCAGTGGCGTCCACTGTGGGTAGCAATTTTGCTGATGGCTCTACAAACCTGCTGGGTGCTGTGATACGCAGCCGGTAGGCTGAAGAAGCTCCTGGTTCAGAGGAGTCCACTTGTCTCGCTTAGATGTCAGAGTCAGTGCACAAATGGGGGGGTTTGTGATGAGTAGCCCAACAGTAGTATGTAGTGGCGTGGGATCAGCGGCGGTGAGTTGGTGGTGCTTGCCCTGGGGATGTTTTCCAGGGACGCAGCAGGTTTGCAATATCGGCGGCTTGCTCGGCTGAGGCAGCCTTCACTCAGCACAGCGGTGCTCGATTTAGGGCGTCCAGCCGGACCAGATGTGGCGCTTGTCAAGTGGAATCCGGGCCTGGGAGAGTGTGTCAGCAATCAATGTGATGCAGCCAGGGCAGGCTCCAAATGTGTGGTAGCGAGGTTCGGAGTTCAGAGGCCCTGCAAGGGTCTCGACGCCATCCAATACGACTCTGTGCAGTGCATCCTTGGGTACAGTCCACGTGTGTGTCGAGAGCCGGACTGGCACTACTGTTAGCATGGCACTCAGGTCCAGCCCCCCGCGTCCTTACCGAGTGCGGCAAGGTGGTGTTTGAACGTGGCAGAACGCGAAGGATAGCGGATATGGATGCCTAGAGGCAGCGAGGATGAGGGGACTCGACGGTTGTCGCCGCCGTCGTCGCCGACAGTGCAGAGAGGGGCGCTGTGGCTTGACACAGATTGTGCCCGATGCTTGGAATGTGAGAAATGACAGAGCCTAACAAATGCCCACAGGCAGTTGATCTCCGCGATCTGCCTGCTGCCCAGTTATTAGAGTTTGGAGGAGGAACGGCCGATCCCGAGAAAAAGCAAGTTGATGCCAGGTGCCTTCTGAGTTTGGCCAGCTGCCATTTGCCCAGGAGGCCAGGAGCCAGGAACCAGGACGGTCAGTCCTGGGCGTGGTCCACACACAGGTCCCCCAGCTGGCAGTCGCAGCCGTGCCCCACCTTCTGGCTCTTTCTCTGAGAGACCTCTACCTGGTGCATCTTGCGACTGCCACTCTTGTCTGGGCCTTGAGGCTTCACACGATCCATAATGCGGTCTAATGCATGAGCGAAGTTACGCTTGGGCTGAGTGAGTCTGTCACAGCATCCACCCAAACCATCGTCGACAACACCAACCACCTGCCCACCTGCCGTCACGTCGCCTTGCCTCGAGCCTGAAGCAAGAATAACAGAGCGACCACGATGCATTCTTTTTATACGCAAACCGCAAAGACTATCCCGCGCACCACCCCACGCACATCACACCACTCGACAATCCGTACACACGTATTATAATATACGACCATGCACCACATATCACAATATGGTCAACGCCAATCCCGGACGCCAATGCCCAAGCCAGCAGCAGCCATCCAATCGGCGCCCGCCGGCAAGCTTGACCCACTCACCCCACTCGCTAGAGCAACCGGTCCTGGGGCAGTTTGGGAGCTCAGCGAACAGCCCTGGGTCTAGCTGACGATCATACGGGCCCCCTCCTAACTTATAATACTAGCAGCAGGCGAGAGACGTGCACCCCGAGCATGCCGCCTCCCAGCAGTGCACTGCACAGAGCAAGCCTCTCCTTGGCCGCGTTTCGTTTCGTCTCCTCCAACGCACCCGGCCGGCCGAAAGCGCGGCACCATCGACCATGACAATTCCAGACGAGTTCATCACATCTCCAGCCCTCTGAGTGTGCACGGATGCGTCGCCTGTCCAGCCCAGCTTTGCTGTGAGAGAGTGTGTGTTCGTGTGTACTGTACCTGCGGCTGATGCATGCACCACTGTACACACGGACAAGCACCAACGTGAACGCTTCCTCCAGTGGCGGCAGGCTCATTGAGGCTAGTCAGGCACATTGCATTGCATTGCATCCAACGTCTCGCGGCTGCGGCGGCCGTCCAGCGCTCTGCCCAGTGCCCACTGCTGCTGGATGCAACCACATGTGCTGCGGATGCAACATCGCTGAAGCACGTGCGCCGACCAAAACATAACATGGCGACGCCACGAGTCGAAACAAGTCACTCGCTGTCAAGGTCGGAACGCCAGGGCGGGGAAGGTGCTTCTAGTTCGGCACCTCACTGCATCTCGAGGCTGCCAGTCACCTTCTCTTCCTCCCCTGGTAGCACTACAAGGACGTGGCCCACGAGTCACGATCGCCCCTTCGTCAGTCTAAGCAGTCTCGCGCAAATTGTCAAGCATCCGATTGACGACGTCCGAGACAGCGCTGTGCGACGATCGCTGCAGGGCTGGAGTGCCACTGCACGTGGGACCCATATCTGTTCGGCCGGAACAGCGCGGAGAGGTTCAGTAATGCTCTGACGGTACTGGCTTGCTGCCCGCGTTGTGGCTCCCAGCCAATCATATACCGCAACATCTCCACCCAAGTGAAACGAGGTCGAAACGGGAGTCGATGGCTGTTGGTCTCTGATGTGCCTGGCTGTTGCTACCTAAGTGGTTTGCAGTGGCTGGTTTTCCCACGCAGGCCTCCATTTTCCAACAAATTGGGTGCGTTCGGGCCCTAGCCAAACGTCTCTTTTTGTGCTGCTCATAATCGTGAAAATGTTCGCGGTCCTAGAACAACCATGGCACCCAATCGATATGGGGCTGCTTCGCCCGTGTTTCCAAAATCTCACCAGTCTGTCCGTATACGAACCGGGCCCACGCAAGATCGGGGCGCTGGGCGTGACTGGGCAATGTTCCCGTCACGCGGCCAACAATGCGGTCGACTAGACCCCTATTCTAGGAGCTCTGCACACACAGACCATGAGTTCGCAAGCCAACCCGTGGCTTGCCCTTGCAGTAGTGAGGTTGCACACTAATAACTTGGTAGGCTAAAATTGCAAAACACGACAAACAGGAGCCCAGATGCTTACAGACTACGGCATGCTGATCATCATCCTTAGTTGGCACCTGCTGCCATGTGCGAACGACATTTGTCGCCACCTCTTTTTGGTCCGATGCAACTCCGCTGCGTGCGGATGACGGCTCCCGCTTGTCCGTCGAATCGCATTTTCAAACCGCACGGAGGAATTCTCTAGCGCCCGTACCAAACCATCAATCGCCCAAGGACTCGCTCGCTGGTCGAAGTGCGTCTAGGCATGCTCCTGGACTCCCACGTTGCCATCCGCACGTCGGTTGAGAGAGCAACTGCGCAGATCATGGTTCAGGCTTGTAAATCTTTTGTCCGGCATCACGTTTCGCGGTACACGACCAAGTGGTGTTACCTCTTGAAACAATTCCCATTGCAATCGACCGATAATGAGATCACTTGAATACACAACACTACTGGAACACGGGTCCGGACACATCTCCGCGCGACCTGTGTTCCCGGGTGAAAAGTCGACTACTGCAGCCGTTGACCAGTCACATCTTCAACTTCAGACGCAGATATATCCCTGATCGATACCATCGACTCACCAGGGTCCCAGGCAAAAGCCCTTGCCTTCGGCCTGATATACCATTTTGGGTGAAAACCGCGGACTTCCGCCGGCTGGCAAAAGTCATCAACCTGGCTGTCAGCCTCGCAGCTGTTCCGTTCTCTCCTGGAAATCCAAGGAGAACACCAACGACGAACATTTTGCGAGTGATCTGCAGTGCGTGGGCTCGCACAATGCTGTCGTTTTGCGGGCTGCGTTGCGAAGCAAGCGTACACTACAACCCCCGTCGCTTCTTGCGTGTTACAGTAAAATTGAGAAGCCGCATGGCTCTTCGGCTTTGCAGAAGACATCCGTCAGCCACGATTCTGGATCTCGTTAAACGTAGTCGAGCAAGCTGGCAAGCTGTTCAATTCAACGCTATTCGCGGTCTTCCTTGGCACGGAGCAGCGCGTGCAATGTTAGGTGGTGGGGCATACTGCCCGATACTTTTGCAGCTCTCGGCAACGGGCCGAGTACCACAGATCTTTGTGGTTGGAACATCGCCGCCGGTCGCATTCTATACAGCAGATCTCATTACAGTGATTAGCCCGCCCTGGCTTATCAACAGGAATGGACCACGGGTGAACGCTTAATGCGTTATCACAGACTGAAGGCGCACGGCTCCGTACATGATTTCCTGTGAAATCGTTGTCATACTGCCATTTGGAACTGGCACATTGGCTCGAGGCTGCAAAGCAGACGTCACAGGTATTGGGGTGAGGCTCGCGATGCAGATTCCCGCGAATCCTGCAGGCCGACAGCGGAATGCATCATTTCTGCGATTTGTGTCGCGATAGCGCAGCCTCGATTGATTGTGCGAGATCTGTGCAATCCATCAGGGTGTTGGCGGTCCCACATGGCACTTGGGCTGACAGGTTCCACAGCAGACGGGTGTGCGCTGTGAGACTGCGCCAAACGCCCCATATGGACCGTCGGCTGAGGCTGAGATGTGGTGGTACCTTGGTCAGCGCTTCTGGTATCCCTTGGCAACCACTTCACAATGCCGGCTACCTTGGCCTGTTGCGAGTGTCACCGGAACCTGGCACCCGGAATGGTCCAGATCCTTCTTCCTGCATTCGCGAGTCCCGCTCGCAGTGAGGCCTACTAATGATTCCACCAGGTATCATCGCCATCAAGGTAGACGGAATATACCATGAAGACATCAAAATCGACTTTCAAATTGGTCTTAATAAGTGCTGACTGTAGATGTTCCAGTCGAAGAGCGGGTCAATTCTCGATCCTGGAGTGGGGACAGTGACAAGGACATCCTGGCTGGACCCAGATGTCGCCTTCATTTCAACAGAAAAAAAAAAAAATCGACTTCTCGGTATGCTTCCCGCTGTTTTTGCGGGTTGGCGCTTCCCCGATCAACCCATCTGATATTTTGCTTCACCACCTCCGATCCTCGGCTCTCACGACTCGACCGCATGAGAATCATTCTCGGGCCGGCTGCCAGAGAACCCGCGCCCACTGTTGGGTGCGATTACGTGTGGATCCCGTCGTGGATCTTATGGGAGGAGTCTGCCGTCTGCAGCTTGCTGTGCGAAGATGGGGTGCAGGCGGGGCTCGATGCAGGTTCAATCTGTCGGAGACTTCGAAGGATCATGCAGGCGAGCATCTTGAACGATCTGGTTCCTGGATTTAGATTTCCAGAGGATTTTTGTGTGGATTCCCTACAATACTTTGCAGCTGTTTTCACACGCCGCTGGATTTGAGCCATCCCGAGACGGGGGCTCCGTCGCAGCAAGTGCTGTGCAGATGTTGGCAGCAATCAGCACAGGAGATCCCTTCCACACATTCATCTGACAGTCGGTCCTCGAGAGGTCGGCACACGCGGCGCGCGCCTGTCGATAGCGACTCTGCGGCGAACTTTTTGGATTGGCGGCAATGGCATAAGCGGGTTGTGCGCTCAGACGCTGGGTCAACTCCAGCAACGTCCCTGAATTTTGCTTCAACGTTCAGCCGCGCACGGCCTGCAGACGCTCTGAACTGAATGGACCCTCCAACCTGCGCCGACCCTGCACTGCGGGTCTCGAACGCTAGCATTTCTCTTGCGACAGCACATATCTCTACACACGAGAGGAGTCCATTGCTGGGGGGTTTCGCTGGGTCGACGAGCGCACTGTTTCGCAACCTCAGGGGCGCAGTGGCGGAAGGGCACCCAGGAAATCAAGCTCGCTTGCTCGTCAGCATGGAGATATCTCTCTGCGTACAGACAGCCTGGCCTCATTCCCCGGCTACGTCCTTTGCCGAGACGTTGAGGCATCTCATCATCGGAGCCGGACCGCCTGAGTCTCTACGCGTCCCCACGCTGTTCGCCTGATCTTGATCGCTCTGATCTTCACTTCGCATAGCTGGCATTGCTCGCACGGGCGTGGGAAACTATGCTGGAAATCCTCTTCAGTTGACGACTGGATGGGCCGTCAGACCGTCCAGTGCCGGCCCAGCGCGCGGCTTTGCTTCAAGAGCTAGGCGTGCGAGAAGCTAACTGGACCGGTCACATCACAGGGGCTAGGCATCACCCATTTCGCAATACGATGACCCAACAACAGTGCGGCTTGTGGCGTCCGACGGAGAATCTGCGCTGAGTCCCAGTGGTTGGGCCGATGGTGTCGAACACACACTATGAGGACTACTCGCATCGAGGCAAGGCGAATATGTACGCTCGGATGGTGGGGCTGAAGGGACGACGCTCCTTGGCGGAATGCGGCACCCCCACGACCCCATGGCAGCAAGTGATCAGTCAACTCGCTGGCTGAGATATGCCACTATGGGTTTGTGGGCAAGGCAAGACAGCGCTCATCTGCGGCCTCTCTTGCATGCACATCGGAGATTCTTGCAGATCTTCATCCAAGTTAAGGATGTCTACATGGACCTCTCCAAGGCTGCGTATGATGCGCTTCACCCTGGGAAACCCCTCGCCGCCTGGGCTTGGCTGGCTCAGCCTGGGTGCGTTTGGACCAGCGAATGTGACGGGAGCTCGCCTGACAGAACTGGATGGTATCTCAAGGGGCAGAGCCAGGGGCATCAGGGACGATCTCGGTGACAGCTGCAGGTGGGTGGCTGTCATTCTCTTGGTGCAACAGTGACAGGGAAGGGTAGGAAGATTGACGACGGCAAGCCAGAGCATGTCGTTGCTCCATTCCCAGCCCATCACCTCTCAGCTGGCCTACTAGCCGTCTTGCTAATCTCGGGCATTACTTTTGGGTTCTGGCCTGATGATCCTACCGATGGAGGCATGGCAAATGAGATGGGCAAAGTTGTCATGCAGGTCACAGCATCCAGGCGACGGCATTGTCACTTGCGCCATACAGAGATGCTGGACCCCTTGAGCATCGGTCGCCCAAGCTGGGGCAACTAGCCTCAGCTAGCGTCCTCATTCTTGGTCGAGGCACGAATGCGAGAGCAAGAACGGTATCAAAACACGAAAGGCGTTCAAACGTCCGCCGAAACACACGGAAGGTAAACCCGACACTCAATCCGGTCTTCCCAAGTTTATTGAGCTCAGGTGCTGCTGCGACGGACATCCGACCTCCTGCGTCTGCTAAGCCGGAAGATTTTCTGTGCTATGGTCCATTTCGGCAGTGTGGCATGTCCAACGCCTGTCAATCAGGGCGCCGTCGTTTTGGAGTCCAGCAGGTATCAGACAGGCGGACCTAGGACGGGGTGTTGAGACACATGTAGTCCATTACAAAGATTTAGGATCGACAACGACGACCTCACCACATTCAAGCAAGCCAGTAATTCGACGGATGCTAACAATAGCAATGGCAACGGCTTGATGAGCTGGTCCCTGGAGCTGAGGTGTGCGACCTGAGGTGCGACTGAGACTGGTTTCCCCTTCGGGAAATCATCAAACACCAGCCTGTCTAACTGACCAAGAAAATTAAACTTTGGTGGCGCATGTGCTCCATGCCTACCAGATGTGGTCAGAAGTATGTAATTGTTTAACTGCATGTATTCGTTACGAGCAACGGCCCATGGGCGGAGGATCAATTTCCCTGCTCTGCCTGTCCCCATTTGTCCCCGGAGCCCTCAGATCCGTTGACAGCCCGCCACATTTCCCAATCCGTCACATCTCCCAACGCGACACATCGAGTAGAGAGCCCCATCTCCCCATTCTCCCCCTTCCCATCCCAGGCGAGAGGTTCGCGAATCTGCATGAACCAACAGTTTCATAAATAGGAAGCGGAAATACCGACACGGCGGTAGGCGGGTTTTCTCTGGAGCAGCTGTCAACGGGTCCCCCGGAGATGGGCCTGTCATCAGCCCTCCAAAATCCCCGCGCCGTGCCGCGGCAAACGTACTGTGTCAACATATACGTCAGCCGTCCAACGCGGTAGCGAGCACGAAGGGGAGAGGGGCCAGTGGCTGTGCCAACAAGCTCAGCAGGGCAGAGAGGGCCGTCGGGTAGGTGAAGAGCTCCATGAGTACCGCGCCTCGCGGAGCCGGCGGGAGCATGTTGGCATGTCCGGCACCTACGAGATGTGCTGATAATGTGGACACCCCGGAGGCGAGTGTGATTGACGTCTACTTTGGGACTGGCAATGGAGTTCTTCCTCTCTGCGCCACGCGGCCGTTCTTTGTGATACGCGTATTCGCATGGGCAGACAGTCAGAGCTGGGGCCAGTCGCATCATCATCTCCGCAAGGTTCACTGCACATCACGCTTGAGGAAGGGGCGGCGGCGGCGACGGCGGCGGCGGGTGGCAGGGGGCAGCCAGGGTGACGAGGCTGGAGCATCTTTTTTTTTTCCTTCCAGACAAATATTGCTCGAGAATCTCCCTACACGAAGGCGGGCGGCCTTGGCGGAGATCAACCCGTCAGTGACAACGGCATCAAGTCACTCTGTGAGCAAGGCCCTGGCCGACGAGGTCCATCGACAGCTCGGACGAGATGTTGTTTTCTGGCGCGACGTATCCACCGCCGAGCCGGGACCCTGGATATTGGGGCGGGCCACCCATGCTATTTTGGGCGGTGAGAAGCTCCTGTGGGGGGAGGCTGGGTTGGAGGTGTTTCGCCCGAAATTAGCCAGAGTACGGGGGCAGAAGCTGTGTCTCCCTGGGCCTGTGTCTCCCCTGCCGGCCTGCCAGCTTCGCATCGACGGCCTGTGGGGTCCCAAACGGGGTCCCAAACGGGGTCCCAAACGGGGGGACCTGAGAGGGCCTGGCATCGGAGAATAGTCGCGTCTGGTCGAGGTGGGTGAGCTGTCGAATCGGGGGACCTCATTTCCAAGATTGAAGGATGACTTGCCTCTTTCAGGTGAGCCTCCTGTGCGCTCCTGATTTATTAGTGGCGCATCTGTCAACAACGCGGCTCTCACGCCATTTTGGTGCCCTTCGGCTGAGAAGACAGTTGGGACCAGGGGTGTGCCCCTCCCCGACTGGCGATCCCGGCGACGCTCCCGTTCTGTCACCCCCCGCATGATCTGCACGTGTCCGGATTGCCTTCCGGTGGTAATGGTTGGCACATTTGATCGCGGGCCTGCTCTTGCTTCCCCCCCCCCCCCTTCGGCTTTTCTGTCAGAAAGCTTGATGAGCGCCTGTCCGTTGGCCCGCTGTCATAGTCCCTCGCCTACAGCGCCAAATGCTCTGCCTGCCATACCATACCATACCGCATCGTACCATGCGATACTCTATCTCATGCCATGCCGTGCAGACGCGAGGATTGCGCCTTGTGTCGTGGGCAGTCCGTCGCGGCCTCTCGCTTGCATGGTCTCCCTCGCCAGTGCCTCTCGGCTCGAGCTGAGTAGGAGGATCGGCCCACGACTCAAGATGTCCTGGCTGATCTCGGCTCACCGCAGATAAAAGCGTCCCGACTTCAGATAACCCGTTTGGGCACTTGACACGGACAGCCTCCGGCAACCACGCACAAGGAAGCACTCGGACAAAAACTGCCTTCGGGAGACTTGCAGCTCCCTTGCTTTCCCCCCTGCCACAACGCCACCACACAGTCTGCTGTACCACACGATGTCCTCACACGGCTTTTGTCGAGGCTCCACAGCTTCGAGAAGCATCCGAAGAAGCTTCAAATGGGCGTGGAGACCTCTGAGTGGCCCCTTGACCCTTCGTCATCATCCTCGTCGGTCCACCTGCACTGCTACGCTATGACGGACAGATGACAGAGTCGACTTTTGCTCCCATCGAGATTAACTAGCGAAGTTGAAGAAATGGGGTTGGCCAGCAAAAGGGGCATGACCTGGGGGCCGCTGGGGCCATCACAGAAGCTGTGGGCGAGGCTGCAAGTCGTGATGCCCTTGGCGTGCGTGATACATCGCGAGAGCACCCCGAGACTTCGGCACGCAGAGAGACAGGGAAGGAGAGAGAGATGCTCCCAGTGACGCGATGTTTTGGCGCGCTGCACCCGAGCGCTCAGTCGCGCTGAATTGTAAGTCCCCGACTCGCTGGCCCCCATCTACATTGAGTTTCGGGTCTGGCGTGCCCGGAGCTTCGAGTGAGCCCCCGCCCGCGCCGCACCGGGCTCGCGTTGACTCGACAAGACTGGCAACTGGCAAGTACATGGTATAGTGCGACAAAAAGCTTGAACGGCCGGCCCACAACATTGGCAGCCGCTGCAGCTCACAAAACTCTAATCGCTCGAGGCGAGATAGCCGCAGCCGCTTGATAACAAACAGCGCCCTAATGCAGCATGTGACGCCGAGCTGCTGCGAGTCCAAACCTTGAAAGGCGGGTTCGCTGCGCCGTCGCCATCCGTGCTGCTGCATGCAGGTGAGCATCAGGGCGCTCGCGCTGCTTGCCCCGGATCCTCACAACGCCCCCAGTCGACGCTCGGGGGGGCCAGACAGAGTCGCAGAGGGCAGGGCTAGCGGCTCGGACGGCCGGGGTTGGCAGAGAACACGGTCTCGACGGGATGCTAATCCGGGGGCGCGGGGAGATCTCGACGCTGGACGCATGCCAATCAGGCAGTCAGGGCATCATCCCATCCTTCGCCTGCAGCAGTACTGAGCGTGCAGGCCTAGCATGGCAGACAGACCAGATGGGCGTTTCTCGTGCTGCCGGCCCACTTTCCCAGTGCCGCAGCGTGCCACTGCGTGCTACATAGTACATGCCGACAGCCAAGTGGCTCCGGGGAAGGCAATCCGCATGCCAGGGCTATGCACAATCTGCGGCGATCTCACGCGAGTTAAACAGCTCCTGCATGCGGCTGCTGCAGGTTGGAAACAGATCATGGGCAGCGGGCACTACGGGGCGGCGAACATGCTCTTGCTAGTGCTGGCTGCTGCTGCTGCCCTGCCGCCTCGCTGACTCGGATCGGCTGGACTCGACTCGAATCGACTCGGCCGACGACGGATGTCGAGTCCAAGTCAGGAGGGGGGGGGGGGGGGGGGTAAAGGGCAGAGGGAAGAGGAGGGGAGCGATACTCGTGGCTGATGTACTACGGTACAGTCCCTGCGGCCATTGTTTGGGTTCATGTCACTCGCATGAAGCGGCGGGCTGCAAGCGAGGTCGGTAACTGGTTGGCCACAGATGGGCGAGGATGCCACCGCGATGCGATGCGAATTTTAGGCTTTCTGCGCGCCAGGTGCGGCAGGGAACATGATGCGATGATGCTCGCCAGGGGACTTGGCCGTCGATCCTCGCGGGCGTCGCTAGGTGCTCCCTGTGCCCACGGGCGCGACCAGCAGGGCGATACAACGCCAGCCTCAAGCCTTGCCGCCCGTTTCCCATCAGCGCCCATCACTGGACAGCAGCGACGCCGGTCCAGGCCCGGCTTGACACATAATCAGCCTATTCTTTCACCTGTGCGGGCCATCCGATGGGAATGAGATGCCTGTGCCCTGCGAGGACCAGGTACTTGAAGTAGAAGTGGGAGATGTGGTCGGGGAACACCCCTGGGCGAGCCTCTTCTCACTCCTTTGACGAGGTTGAATGTGTGTGTCTGGAACGCACGCCATCATGGTCCATTGAATTCCAGCGCGAGGGCTTGAACCATGCTATTGCTGATCCGGCGACGGGCCCTGACCAGAGCGGGCTAATCCAGGCCCGCAGGCACGGCCAGCCTTGCCTCGCCTCACCACACCACACCACACTACACTACCACTACCACTGCCACTACCACTATCACTACCACTGCATCGCAGCCCACACACGGCTGGTCCATTTCCCCGGGTCCAGCCACCATTGCAAATCACCGCGGGACGACTCTCACAGAAACCTGGCTCGTTAGGGGATCGCCGCCGGGCCGGCATCTACTTATCAAACTACCGAAGTTGGCGCTGGTTTTATTTGACTCGTCATCTCCAGGCTCTCGGCCGCCATGCGGTCCCCGAGCCCTGGGATGCAGGTCGCGTCTTCCCCGTGTCCCCATCAGCAGCCATACCCTCGTTTCACCACACGGGGAGGGCTCCCAGCGTCGGCATTTCTTCGTGTTGCAACGGGAAGCTTGACGAGAGATATCCCTCTGCCGAGACGAGGCAACATAACGTAGTCAGTCCGGCACGGGCGCGTCTGTCGCATGCCTGAAGGGGGCGAAAACTCAGAGAAAATCAGCACGATAGACTTTTTATGACAACATGACTAAGTAAAAGGCCCCCCCGGGGGGGGGGATGGCCAGTCAGGACGATACCAGACGCCAGCTGCCTGCGGTATGCAGGAACGACTGATGCGGGCTTTGACGGGCTTGGTTTGTGGCGGCGACGCCCTCGCCAGACGTCGATACCGTTTTGGATAAAGCCATACATGCCTTGGCTGTTTACGGGATAGAGTTGTTGATGAACCATCACGAGTCGTCAATGATGCCAAGGCAATGTGAGTTCGTCCTGTGGCTGCGTCCAAAATCGCGCAATACGCCCTGTCTCGAAACCAGCAACCTGCCGGTGTGTTATTCCCGTCACCTCTCCATTCTCCACACTCCCAGACAATGAATCTTGCCCCTAGTGCGTGCGGTGCAGGAGATGGTTGCGTTGGCGTGGGGAACTACATTACGTAGTGGAGGTGTTCGTGTCAGCGTCTGGACTAGAGCGGCATATGTTAAAACTTCCGGTCTCTCTGCAGCGCACAGACGGGCTCCCTTGGGCCATGGGAAACAAACAAAGAGGTCTAACGCAGTTCCGTTTCCATCCAAGTGGCATCGTAGCTCGCGCAAACCAGTATGGGCTATCCAAGCACGAGAGGCTGAACTAAAAAAGAGACGGGGCGCGGCAGTCCGCTCGGGGACTGCGCGTCCCGTTGGTGGTCAGGGGGGGGGGGGGGGGCGTGATAGGGGCGTGATGGATTGATGATGGATGATGAGCTTGCGGTTCGGCACATCATATCACAGCCTGGTGATCAACGTGGCCCAGCCAGACACGGCATGGTCTCGACGGCGTCAGGGGTCGTCTCACGAATCCTCTTCGGGGTCCTTGACAGCTGTTCATCAGATGGGCCACGGTCGTTGGATGTGCCGGTCAGTGCTCGTGTCATTTCAAATTCACGAGTGAGCATGGTGACTGCGGCCACGCCGGCTGCCACTAGGGGCGGTCTCAAGTCTTCGCTTGCGGCTAGAGCCTGGTGGGATACGGGATGCCACTTTCCTTGAGCATTCGGATGGATTCAAATGCATGCTGGAGGGACTTTTGGCAAAGTGGATGTAATCAAGCCCGAGACGAGATGTGTCATCGACGTCGACGATGTTGGTTAGGACATGCTCGTATCTTGAGACGTGAAGTGTGCGCAGAAGACAGAGTCGAGAATGGGTCTTGAAAGTGACTCGGGACGAGGTTGAAACTTCTCCACAGCGCCGTGGACTTTGCTTCACGTACGTGCTTAACAAATCGCATCGAAAAAATCCAATTGTCCATTCAGATGGCTGTTTCGATATTGATACATACCTAAGAATCTTGCTGAGACGCTGGCGGAGACGTAGAACTAATCGCCTTTGAACCATGTTACTCGCAATCACTTGCAGTTCGGGGAACTCTAGCAGAACCAGTCTTCCACGCCCAGGTGAACCTGTACAGCGGTTTCCCAAGTATTCTTCGTTGCCTTGAAGTGCGTAATGTGAAGCTCTTGTGAAGGCAGTGGCCGTTTGATTCGCAGATCACCTCTTGATTAACAGCCAGGCGAATTCTTCTCCCGACTCGACCCGGATTCAGGATATGGAGTCCCACTAAGAACGTGATTCAGAGCCGTTGGGCGCATCTCACGAGCGTTCCTGAATTGCAAACCAATGTTAGGCCTGATACCATCCGTAGAAGTCGACAACTGTAGCCTGACCACTCGTGTGGTGAGCATTCCTCTCGGGACAGCCCTGACCCAACATGGCCCCCAACGATACCAAGGAGTATTATCGAAGGAGCTGCTTGCCGTCACACAGGCTCACATGAGCTGAATGGCACGTGGCTGGTACCTGGATTCTTCGGGTCACAGTGAGACCATTATCGTGGACCAAGACATCACGTGTTGTTAGTCCCGTATAGGGCCGGTGCTGTTGTTGTTCATGCAGGCATCCGACGGCCTCCTTCTGGGCGGCCAGGCCAAAAGTTCCGAACAGACGGGTGGCACACCCTACTCTGTTGGCGAAGATGAGTCTGGCAACCCACCGGAGATTTGACTGAGTCGAAAGGGTGTGTTTCATCACACGAAGATGATGCGTGACGCACATGACTGAAGTTCCAAGACGCAGCGAGAGAAATGATCGATCCAACACGACCGGCTAAGTCGTAGGCATCGGCATACTCGCCTCGACTCCTTCTCGACAGCAGCAGGTGAGGTATCACATTTGAACCGGAAGGGCCCGCTGCAGCGACAACGTATATATCCCTTCAGGCCGTGATTGCGGCCTCAAATCGTCGTGTACTATGCACCACCTCCGGAAAGTTTAGCCGTGCCGCCAATCCCACACGCGAATGACAGGCCCGAAAAGGAAGTGCTGATACGAGCCGCGGGTGGCAAGGTCGACTCGCCCTGCATAGCTGGCAAATCCCGCTACAAGCATGCAGCGCGGCGGCACGTTGGAGGGAGGAGAGCTGGTGGGAACAGAGTACCCTCGCCGCCAGCGCCATAATTCTGTGACGAAGCCGGCGAGCAAAGATGGCAGCCCAGCCCGCCTCGTCCGCCACGCCTGCCTGACATAGCAAGAGCCGTGGTGCCGTTGAGGTCGTCCACCGGCGATTGGTGCTCGGTAATCTGAGATCTGGCGCTTGTTCGATCCAAACGGTCATCGGTGTGGTAGCGGGCGTATGCTTCCGACCGGACAAGACTTGCTCCTCTCCCTCTCACTGCTGCAATACAGACAGACCTGCAGGTCGCAAAGATCCCGGGAAGCAGGGTCGGGCAGAAAACCGGTTGGACGCGCGAGAACCCGGTGTGGCAGCTAACGCGGGAGCAGGGCGACACGGGATACGAAGGCGCGCAGGGCAGGGTGCAGACGAAAATGACAAGTTGAGGCAGAAGACGCCAGAGAAGCCTGACGGATGAGGATGTGATAGTTGATGAGTTGCGGCTCCCCCTTACATGGCGGGCTCTTATGGGGAGAGTGCAGCCGGAGAAGCAAAGGCCCTGATTGTGTAACCTGCCATAATTAGCTGAGATTGTGATGCACTGCAGGCGGTTTCGACTTTCATAACGGTGATTGATCTGCTGCGCTTGCAACGAGACACGCAGACACGCAGCCACCATCGAACCTCTTGCAGCTCACAAGACAACCAGAGTGACATCCTATGAGGCGGTCTGCAAGGCCAGCATCCCACGACCGGTTCAGGGCGCCTGCATCCGGTAGCGCGATCCATACACATCTCTCGGAAAGAAGCATGGCTCGGCGAGTCTGGTTCTTGGAGACGCCCACATCAATGCCTGCGGAAGAGGACATCTGACAGGTGAGAAGCGACGAAAGCTGCGTATTCACACTCAATGCCAGGCGCCACACCAAACGGTGTGCAGCGGGAATAATCCTCCTGCTGGGCCCATGCTCCCATACTGTGACCGCTGGCATGAGATGCAAGGGCAGAATCGTGCAGGAGTAGCGCCAGGCTCACCTGCAACAGTCCCAATAAACTGACAGGTCGGAACTGAAGGTTGTACTTGACTTTGCTTTTCACCCCCGATGGCTCCTCGGTCGCCCGTCTTCGGCCGTCGCATGTGAGTTGTCAGAATTGGAAATCGGAGAGGAGAGACTTGATGCAAGGTAACTGCTTCGTACCGATACTTCGGTAGTTTTTATGAGAAAAATCCCATATGTATTTGGAACTCTCTTGAATTGCAAAACGGATGGAGGAAAAAGAGTACGTCGCGGATTATGCACAAACCCGATCAGTCGTTGCAAACATGAGCCTCCGCTCCCGACTGAATGGGTCTGCATAGGTCCCGGTCCAAGAATAACCACACCGTGACCCCTTCATTTGCGGTGAACTGAGAAATGATCGGTCCCGAGGTCCTCGCCTGTGACACGTCGGTGCCGGTCAAAGGACATAACCGTGCCGCTCCTGGCAGCTTTGCGACTGGCCGACCTTAGACTCGCCAGACGCAAGCTGCTGAAGTCACCAGAGTCCTCGTTCCTGCAAAGCTATCCAGCCCTGGGGTAGTTGGTCATGATAGTCAGCAAGCTGGCGAAGGATATTCCTTGTTTGGAAGACACCATGATGCCGAATCAACTCTGCATATCGTAGACAGTCATGCTGCAATGTTGGAAGAGGCTGACTGCCCGCGGACGGAGTGAAGCTGCCCTCCCTTATCAACCACTTGGTAGGTGAGCTGAATGAAGTTGATTCCTGCCACAATGTGTGACTACTGTGAATCTTCAGAATCATCCTCGGCAAAACGAAAAAAAAATGCGTACACTCCTGTACTTCCGAGGACGTCGCGGGCGAGGCAGCGACGCGAAGCGAGGGTCTTAGGTCGTGTAGGTTCGAACGGTGATGACGAACTTGCGCCTCACTGCCACACGACGTTCACGACTGGATTGAGTGCATCCATCTTCGCTTGCTCAGGCACTCCTCCGCGCACTCGGTATACGTCTGAGCTTTCCGAAGCCGCGTCTTTGTGGGAGCACTGCTGGTTGCGTTTGTGGTCCATTTCTGCACAGAGGACTTCGCCTGAACAGCACGCCAGCCGGAAAAGCTGGCTCGAAGTCATGACAGCCAGGTGAAGGTACTCATAGCCAGGCGACGGCCAACAGCTGCCATTGTAATCAAGAATAGTCGTGAGATATGCAAGAAAGGCGCTTTCCTCCTTGCCACCTGCGACTGTGGTCTGTACAGACACGGGAGCTGCGTACTTCGCTGGTACAGGCTTCGTCAGACAACTTCCTGTCGTGACCAGCCGCAACATCTCATTTCTGTAATCACTCACACCTCCAGCACTTCACGTGTGCCATTCTGGCGAGGGTGTGAGTCTGGTGAGGGTGTCAGTCTGGTGTCTCTTGGGATGGAATTGCCAATTTTCTGATCTGAGGGCTTGATCAGGGGCTTTGAACCGCACCTTTGGGGCGCTGCCTTGCTTGACATCCTAGAGGATGGCGAGAAGGGGCGAGCGACGTATGCTGACATGAAATGTGTCTCTGAATACTTGATTGATAATGTGTATGCCTGGCCAGCGCCGGTGGAACCTGTGTGGAAATGATGGAATTAGGCCAAATACTAAGGCCGAGAACCGATTTGGCCAAGTGGTCACGTCGCGCAGAACCCGACCTCGAGTCTTATTCTGAGAGCATTCAAGCGGCAATCGATGAATGAGCTCCATCGACCTGAATATTGTGCGATGCGCCCTGCCGTGCTTGCGTGATGCGCGGGAGAAATGGGCCAAGGTGTTTGATGTTATCGCCGAAGACACCATGTTAGACCAGCTCCGATGGAACACCGCTAGACTTTTGCCGGTGCTCTAGTGGCGAGCCTGTTTGCCCGTTGCCGGCAACAGGCTCAGGCCCAGGGAAACCATGGCAAACGCCGATGGCAGGAAGGAACGCCCGCCGTTATTGCCGATGACGTGACGTCTTCGTTGATGGTGGGGCTCGTTGCGGTGATGGCTGCACTTTGGGAGCTCGGTCTGTACAATTGCGAGAGCAGAGGGCTGTTGGGCGTTATTTATAAAGCTACACCAGGTCACTTCTCCAGACCAGCCATAACCCCAAGATCAACACAACTCCTGTAGACACTTCCCGGTAGCATCTGGCTTCCGAAATATCAACCCAAGTAGATCCAGGCCACCCAACCCAAACCGTCAAAATGGCCAAAGTCCTTCTCACCGGTGCGTATGCGAAACCACAGCGGCCTGGTTGATCAGTCGAGCTAACAAATCTCCGCAGGTGGCTCTGGCTTCATCGCGGCTCACGTTCTCGAGCAGCTTCTGGAGCGTGGCCACAACGTCGTGACCACTGTTCGTTCCGAAGACAAGGCGGCCAAGATCCACGCCGCCCACTCCAGCCTGGGCAAGGGCCGTCTGCAGACGGCCATCGTGCCCGACATCGCGAAGCCAGACGCCTTTGATGAGGTCGTCAAGACTCCGGGTATCGAGGTCGTCCTCCACACGGCGTCGCCGTTTCATTTCAACATCACAGACCCCCAAAAGGATCTTATCGACCCTGCCGTCATCGGCACGACTGGCATCCTCAAGGCCATTGCTAAATCGGCCCCAGGCGTGAAGCGCGTGGTTATCACCTCGTCCTTCGCCGCCATCCTCGACGCATCCAAGATAAATGACCCCAATACGACCTTCACCGAGAAGTCCTGGAACCCCGTGACCATCAAGGAAATCCACAACGACAACGCGACCGCCTACCGCGCCTCCAAGAAGCTCGCCGAGAAGGCTGCCTGGGATTTTGTCGCCGACAAGTCCAACAACGCAAAGTTCGACCTCGTCACCGTCAACCCCCCAATGGTCTTCGGCCCCGTGGTGCACCACCTGGCCAGCCTTGACACTATCAACACCTCCAACGAGCGCATCGTGGCCCTCGCGCAGGGCAAGTGGAAGGAGGCTGGCGCTGTCCCCGCCACGGGCGTGTCCAACTGGGTCGACGTGCGCGACGTGGCCAGGGCGCATATCTTGGCCTTCGAAAAGCCTGAGATCGGCGGCCACAGGCTCTTCACGACGGCGGGCTCCTACTCCAACAGAGGTATCCTAGACGCTGCCAGGAAGAACTTCCCCGAGCTCAAGGACAAGCTGCCGGCGGAGGACGTCCAGGGTGGAGAGCCCGCCCCTGCGGACAAGACCTACAAGTTCGACAACTCGGAGACCACCAAGCTGCTGGGTTTCGAGTGGATCCAGATCGAGACCACTGTCGTTGACACTATCAAGAGTCTGAAGTCCTTCTTGTGATGGGGGTTGTAGGACCGGGGGCGAATGATGGTTGGGTGACTGCGAGCAGGTGGCCACGTAGACATGGCTCAATGAAGCCGACACATAGATAGACTTAAACATGATTCCTCGTTCGCTGACACCGGGCATATATCGGGACTTGACAGTAACAAGCTGTGTTCGCCTGAGTTCAACGGCGCCTGATCACAACTACGATCGTCAGAGAGCCTGTCAGTACGAAGTCATATATCAAAGTAGATTTCGTTTCGTGTATTCATTCCACCAATCTCGGGCGGACCTGAGTCGAGTTCCAGCTGCTGACTACTCCCATATTCACACGTACACAGGGGCCACACCTCCATAGCCCAAGATGGCCCGAAATAACCTGTCAAAAAATCAGTGGTACAGAAGTCATACTGATATCCTCATTCATCTAATCTTGTTGCAAGCCCTGCCCTCTTCCGGTGGAGGGGGTATCAATCAAATGCAGCCCATTCATCACAAAATCTTCCGCCCTATTTATACAACAGGGCCAAGCATTGTATCCCAAACGCCTTCCGCAATGTTTCTCCATGGTCCGTGGTCCGACCCATCTAGTATCTACAACACAGCCGTCAAAGTAAGGCGTGATCATGTGTGGCGCCCTGTGCGCCGCGAAACCAGGCCCGGTGACAAGAGGCTCTCGGAGAAGATCACAGGAAGTAGTCGCTCGGGCCCCTACGGCCAGCAGGCACGTGCCGTTGGTCATCGGGCACAGCGGAGAAGATACTGAACTTGGTATCCAGGTTTGTGTCGACTGTCATAATGGAAGCCACATTGCCACATCTGTAGCAGTAGTTGGGCGCAGACCAGACTGTCACAACGGACTTCTCAGGGAAGTGGTACTGACAGATATTGTTAGCTTTGTGGAGAGCCCAAGTTTGATGGGACGGGGCGGAAGCTAACCTTATAGCCTTCATTCACCAGCTGGTGGGCTCGTGCAATGGTCTTCAGGCCGTTGACATGGTTGAACTCAGTGGCAACCTTATCGCCGAACAACCAGCCAGCGCCACGGGGACTCACAGCCCATGTATCGATGTCTTCGGGGTCGCTCCACACCAAGTCGCAGAATGCACCCTCGTGAGGAATCTCCTGGGCTCGGGCGACGACCCTGATCTGATCAATAGTCCGGATCTCAGGGCTGAGGCCACCGTGCACACACAGAACGGTCCCATCCACAATGGCGGCAAGGACAAGGAAGTCGAACACTTGGCAGCATGCCTTCCAAACAGATGCATTGCCATACTTTGTTTGGCATTCCTCGTAGAACCCGTAGACCTGGGTAATCTGTCGGGACTCGTGGTTTCCTCGGACGAGCACGATTCGGTCAGGATACCTGGGGCTGGTCAGTCACGGTGCGGGATGTCATTCTGCGCCGTGCCCCGACTTACTTTGCCTTGAGACACATCAGTAACGTGAAGGTCTCGAGACTGAAATATCCGCGGTCGACGAAATCGCCCAAAAACACAAATCGAGTATCGGCTGACTGTGAGGGACCGGTAGCGGCAGCACCGCTACCGGAACCCGAACTGTCGGGCCTGGCAACGCTCTCGGAAGATGTGTTGGCCTCCTCATCAACGACGTCCCCACCTGCCTCGCCACCTTCTTCTCCAGATGCCTTGGACTGCTTTATCTTCTTCCTCAGTTTCGGGTTGGTAATCTCTGTTGGCGGCTCGATATCTTCTGAGGTTATCACCGTCGTAGCCGTCTGTGGGGCTTGTACATTGGTCTCGCCAGGCATTCCGCCGGCGACTCGGAAGAGCTCCAGGAGATCGTAGAACTGGCCGTGTATGTCTCCACAGATTGTGACGGGCGTCACGACTGGTTGTATGTTGGATTCTGGCAGGTCTGGTCAGCGCAAGCCCTCGTGCACTGGGCAGAGTGACGAACCCTCCATGAGGACTTCCTTCACCATCTCGCACAGCTGCTTCATGACAGACTCGGGAAGATAATGACATTGTTTTGCCTCCTCCAGCCATTCGTCTAGCCCAGCACCTGGCGTCAGGTTCGCCGGTCCGGGTTTGGGAACATTAGCCATGGCGGACTGCCTGTCTTCTGCAGCGCGGCTGGCAGTTTCGGGGAGTCTGAAATGGGTATGGAATCGACGAGGGCGCAATCAGAGGAAGCCGGATCGACTCGAGCCAAGGCACCGAGGTCGGGCGGGACACGTGAGAAGGGTCTGTGTAAGATGCCGTCAGTGTCATGTCCTGGGCCATCGCGATCTTTGCCTTATCCATGACCTACGCAGAGACCTGGTCACAGCTTCTGGGGAGCTGAAACTTAGCTGTGCTCTTGATGATGCTTGAAGAACGGTAGCTTGACGGAGTCTGGGGCCGAGGCGTTGGGATGGATGCTAGATAGGTCAGGTACAGTGCTACACAGCAATAGCATTGGCCCAGGGTCTTGATGCCAAAGCAGTCGGCACTAGGGGTTCTTCCCCTTCCGCCGCATGCTCGGTTAGGACGGGGGTTTTGAAAGGAGGGGGGGGGGTGGTGACGGCTGGTCCGTGAGCCTAACTCCTCGCTGAGCTCATGGGCGCAGGGGTTTGTCAGAGTGGATCCTGCAGATCGGGAGGATGTGCTGAAGTGGGATGGCATTTGCAGACCACAGCACCCCCACAATCGACAGGGAGCTCTATCTATCCAGCGCGGATTACCCGTGTGAACTATCACTCATCGCCGCAAATTCCCCGGCAGACGCTCAAACGACATAGTGTACCTTAGCATCCACAAGCTTCCAGGCCAACAGTTACCGGACAGATTAGCTACTACCATCCTCTGGAATTCGGGGATGAGGACCCATCAGCCTATCCCAGGTCTATTTGTTTCCTGCAACGAACTTACCTGACCGGCGGTCATATGTCAACAAAGTCCGCGACAACAGCCGATGACCGTGCCGAATTATACTTCTCTCCCTGTCGATCACCAACGCCTTTCTGAGCGCCGTTTTCTTCACGTCACAGATCCACCACGTACGACCTCACCATGGCCACGCCCGAGGGCAAATCCGGCCCGAAGCAAGCTGGTGTCCTACCCATCCGTCCTGCTCAGACGCAGGGGCCGGCCGATTCGTCCAGGTCTGCCAAGTCGAAGGCTGCAGCACAGGATGGCATCAAGGCCAAGGTTAGGAGACTGCCCCCTGGTCTGACCGAGCACGAGTTTCTCACAGTCCTCGGCGACTCGTGGAAGCCGGGTAACGGAAAGGTTGGATGGTTTTCATACCACTGCGGGCATACGCCCAAAAGGTACGTCGGCTATGAGCATGCGTTGGGAGATAGCAGCTGACAGCATGGTGTTGGTGCAGCGCCTCCAAGGACTCCACGCCCGCATTCGCTTTCCTCCAAGTCAAAGAAGAGGACCTCGAAGCACTCGATCAGGCTGTCCAGAACTCTACTTGGGAGGACGCAAAGGGCACCTTCAACAGCCCTTCTCTCGTCGGCCCGCCTTACGTGGAGCGCTCTATCTACAAGAAGATGCCACTTGCTAAGCCCAAGAAAGACCCCAAGGAGGGAACTATTGACCAAGATGAGGATTACAAGGCGTTTTTGGCCAGCCTGGCAGAGGATCCGACCATGAAGCCAGACGAAACCGCAGCCGACGCCGAGGACCCTACAAAAGCCGAGGCGGATGCTAAGATCACCATCGCCCCCCTGGCCCAGTTTATCAAGGAGAATCGTGAGAAGAAGGCGAACAAGGCCAAGGAAGCCGCGGCTGCTAGAAGCAACAAGCATTCAAGACAAGAGTCGCAAGGCGCTAAGGGAAAAGGCTCATCAACAGCACCGGATGATTCTAGGAAGAAGTCCAAGGAAAAAGCCACTGAGAAACCTAAGGAGACAGTGCGCATTCTTAAGAAGCAGGCCGCTACGGAGGCTGCCGCTGAGGCTGCTAAAGCAGTTGCCAAGGACATCAAGGCGGGCAGCTCCTCCTCCGACGCCGCCAGCAGTCGTCGTGCTGGTATCCAGGGTGTTGCCAACATTCTTAAGCGTGATCTCGGCCTGTCCAACGGTTCCGCTGCTAGAAAAGCGCGTCAGGAGGTGGCAAAGCAGGAGGCTGCTAAGAAAGGCGACGCTGACCCGAAGGCTACGGAGTCCAAAGGCAAGGACAGAGGGTCCAAGACTGCAGCAACAGCAGAGCCCGCACAAGCAACAGACCGGCCTCCAACGCCTACAGCACCGAAAGCACAGGCGGAAAAGTCGAGGCCAGGGCGAAGCAGAAGGGGTAAGGAGTGCAAGTCGTCCGACTCTAAGACCGGAGGGCCTGTAGAAGCTCCAGCCGCGGCACCCAAGGCCCCTGTCATATTACAGAAGAAGAAGGAAGACAGTGCTGGAGCATCCGCGGCTAAGGAATCGCCAAATACTGCCAAGCCTGGCTCTAAACAAGGCGCCCCCTCGGCAGCACCGACACCTCCGACTGGTCCGAAGGCAGCAGCCGCAAAGGGCAGTCAGTCCGGAGGCTCCCAGAAGAAGGGCAGCAACCCAGCGCCAGCAGCTGCTTCTACACGAGCGTTTCTTAAGCATGCCAATCCATCTCAGGGAGTGACCGAGGCGCTTTTGAAGGAAGCCATGCAGGCCTTTGGTAGCATCAGCTTCGTCGAGATTGACCGTCGCAAGGGTTTCGCATACGTGGATTTCTCAGATCACGCTGGACTGGTCAAGGCGATGTCAGCCAGTCCCGTCCCTGTTGCTCAGGCAACCGTACAAGTCCTCGAGCGTAAGGACCAAGGTTCTAAGAAGGCTGCCAGTACACCTAGCAACCAGGCTCAGTCCGGTGCTGTCAACAGCAGCAGCACTACAGCAGCCCCAGCCGCAGCTGCAGCCACAGGCCCTGCTAACCCCCCGACTGCATCTAATGCGGATAAGAGCGCCAGTGGAACAGCTGTCGAGCAGCAGCAACCTAAGCGCAGCCGGCGACGCGGTCGCGGAAGAGGAGGAAATGGAGGCGGGGGAGGAGGAGGTGGTGGTGGTAACAACGAAGGGAAGACGGAGACCGTCGCTGGGTCCTCTGCACCGGTAGCCGCGGATGCTGGAGGGCCCGGCGCTGGCTGAACAATTGCGACTTTCACGATTCGATTATTCAGGGTGTGTGCATTCGGCCCGCCGCCCAAGACCGCCAGGGTCCGCAAGGGGCCAGATAGCACTTTCAGATTGATTCCGGGACATGTGAGCTGGATCGATGCGAGGCCGGTCGGGGAATTAGCGGGCATGTTTCATGCATTCAGCAGACTCACTACACGTCGCTGGTGTCTACGGCATCGCCGTATGGTATTCGACCGCACGGAACAGAACCTACGATCATTGAAGCGGTCACTTGTTGAAAGGATGTGTCGAAGGGGAGGAATGGGCAGTCGGCATTCTTGCCATCAGAGGCCCTCATTCAGGTGGCAGAGAGGGCGATCTTCAGCGTGGGTTGCGTTTCAGCCGAACAGTCCCACGCCGCGCAGATGTCCGGCTGCCCGAGATGTCCACATAGTTCAGGTAACCGGCGTGTTGACGCTACCAAGAAGGGCAATCATTGATGCGCGCGCGCGCGACGCCCTCCGCACCTCGGGACGCCGTCGATCTCTTGTGCCCATTGTTGTGTTCGCTTTCCAAAGATGACATGCATAGCCGAAACGTCGGGCGAGGGTGACATGCTGTACCACACTCCTGCCAGGCTGCCCCGTCCCCTCTCACCCTCCATCATCCGCCCTCTAACCATCCCGACAGAGCCTGGCGGCATGATCAGACACACCCACGTACTTCATGTGACGGGTCGATTGACGTCACCTTGCCTCGAAGCAGGGCTGAACTGGGAACGGCTGCCTCGAGGGGGGAAAGGCTGGGGCGCCCGTCAGTCCCCCGGCTACAACGGATGGGCAGAGGTGTGTTGTTTGTTCGTCACCGATTCCGAGTCCAGGTCACTACGTGAATAGTGTGATTTCCTGCTCCTTGGTCGTCGGTCAGAATCAGTTTGAATTGGATCCCGCTTCTCTAACTATCTTCGCTCTTTTTCCAAAACTTCTCTCTCTCTCTCTCTCTCTCTCTTTTTTTTTCTTCGTCTTCATTCGTGACAATCGTTACGCTTCATCCAACAGGGGGTATATACTCGGGCAGTGAAGCCATGGTTTCCCTTTCTCGAACCCAAGCCCCAGAATGGGGGCCATCTGTCTATCTAGAAAGGGCTGGTGTGTGGTATCTATCCTAGTAAATGAAATGGAAGAAAAGAAGAAGAGGTGGTATCACATTTCCCAGAGAGCCCCGTCCCGCCCCGCCCTTTCCCAGATGGCCAGCCAGCCTGATATCTCCAGACAGATTCCACATGCCCGCCCAACCATCCATCCACATGTTCAACCATCCAAAAACTCCGTAAAAAGGCATAGCCCCCAAGTGGTAGGCACCGAGAGCCGTGAAAAATGTTTTCAATTTGACCAAGCCGTGAGACGTGAGACGTAAAAACAAAATGAAACACGCATCGTGTGCCAGTGTCCCCGGCCGTCAGGACCTGCATGGCTGACTGCCAGCTCGCCCAGAACCGGGGGTCCAACAGGTACTCGTGTGGGGTTGTCAGCTGTGTGTGTGCGTGTGTATGCGTGTGCTTTTCTGTGCCCCGGTGTGGTGTGGTGTGGTGTGAAGAGGAGGGGCATTCTTCAGCAGAGCACCGCCCTGTGTGGGCAAATCAAGGTCTGCCTCGCAGGGTAGTCTGTTGCCCACTGTGCGCTAGTTGCCCAAGAAATGAGCACGGAATCTGCGCGCCTGCTCAGAAAGACACCGCCGACGTGGGACTCCAGGGTCCCGATAGGGAGCTCTAGCAATGAGAGCCCGGGCCAGGTCGGGGATCATCAAGATGGTATTTCTGGGGGTTTAATCTGTAGTAAGCCGTGCTTTTTCGACATGGTCTTTGTGTTGCGTTCGTGGTCTGACGACCAGTATGAACAAAGTGATGACAGTCTCCACAGTCTGCGCAGTGAATCCCGGTTGCCGCGTGCAACGACATGTGTTGGTGAGATTCAGGCGAGGTAAAGATGTTGATTGCGACATGGCCGACCACTCGTATCCTTAGCACCTTGTCTAGTTTTCAGCTGAGAGGTGAAGGGGGGTGATCAAGGTGGCGCTCCAGCTGAAGGATCACGAAGGATCCACGCTGCTCGGTGAGCCTCGGGGCTCCCTCCCTGGAGAGAGCAAGGAAGCATCGCCGCGTGGATGTCGCTGTGTTGCGATTATAGAGGGTGAGGGTAATAGTTCCCATTCTCGAAGGCGGTTGGAGACATAGCCCCGTCGTACTGGTAAATGACAGTGGGCCGCTCCATGCCGGCACTGCGAGGCGTCGAGGAGTAGGCCGGGTCCTGGTAATGAGACATTGCTGGCTGGCCAGTCTTGGACATCGCGATAGGCCCGTCGAAACGGCGTCCGGGGCTGACCACACTCGGCGATGTCGGTATTGTGACGGTGGGCCGTGCAGCAGGGGGGCCAAGGGGCTCAACATATGGTCTGTCGGAGTAGGAGACATGGCTCATGCGGCGACTGCTTCTGGGGGCCTTGGAACTTGACCGCCTGGAGCAGCTTCCATCGCTCGAGGTCTCGCTGCGTTCGAAGCGGCCCTTGAGGCGGTCTTTCTGCTGGTCGACATCCGACTCCTTGGACCGCTTGCTCTCGCTCCGGTGCAGCTTGCCGCTCTTGGGAGAGGGTGTTGTGGCAGGCTGGCTCTCGTGGTCCCGGAGCTTCTTGTGGAGCCTGTCGTTGTTGGTTCGAAGGTCCTCATTCTCGTCCTGTAGTGCTGTGAGACGGGCCTCCAGACCTTTGTTGGCCTCCCTGAGCTTCTTCCTCTCGTGCTGGAGATCTTTCTTCTCATCCTCCAGGTTGTCGCATCGACTGTTCACGGCTTGCAGGTTGGCGTCAGCCTGTCTGAGTTTCTTGGTGAGTTGTCTTTCGATATCCAGGGCTTTCGCCTTCCACTCGTCGACCTGATTCACGGTCGCTTCCAGCGCCTGCTTTAGAGCCTGCTGCTCATACAGTGGGTCTGTGTAATGATCAGGATATGCTGTCCCTGAGTAGTTTGAACTCGTGGTCGACGAACCAGCGCCTGAATCACTCCTCGAGGTCGAGGAACGGGAGGACCCACTGCGGGAGGTGGTGTCCTCACCGAACCTGACAGTCTTGCGCGAACTGTCGCTCGGCATGGTGCCGGGGCGAGGCCGGATTGTTTGATATGGGTTGGCCGTCTGCTTGTGCCAGGGCTGGCGACCTGGGCGAGGAGACGATGCAGGAACACTGAAGGAATTCAGCACGTGTCCCACGTTGATTTGGCCAAAGTACCGGAGAAAACTGCACGAGTGCCCAATCTAAGAAGAATCGAGAGAAGGCGAGGCGAGGAGAGTATTTAAATCGGGCGAATTGGGCAGTGCCGGAGCTCAGGTTAGACAAGGCTGTGGGTAATACGCCGTCTTAGTGGGAGCATTAGGCTGCAAGGAAGGTGGTTAAAAACCAGGGGTAGTCAGAGCCCAACCGGGGCTGGATGGGTGTGGATGGACGGGGTGGGATGGGGATATAATAAGGAGGGCCGAAACCACCGAGTCTCCCTTGCAAGGAAATGGATTTCGGAAGGTTCTCGAGACAATTCCAAACAGGCTCAGTAATGGACAATGAAGCGAGAAGGGAAGAAGGCCCGAGAACAAGAAAAATGCCTTGCCACGGAGGAGAAGTGCATTTGTTTCCCAATGGAGGGAGGCACCGGGTGGAGGGGGGGCAGAGGCACGGTCAGAGAATCAATGAGCCTCACGGTTGCCCACCTGCGCTACTACCCAGGTACATCCCCAGGTACCTGCCTCCGGAGCCAGCCATGACTGCCTGCTGCCTCGGGGGCTCAAGTGACACAGCAATGCGAACTAGCACATTGACGACACCATGCGGGCAGGGGGTCCTGCGAAGTGGATTAAAGAAACTAGGTGACTCGAAGGCTGCCTTACAGCACTGCGCAGCAAGGCAGAGACGGATCGGAGCAAAGGTGGTGTGCGTGTGATACCGCTACCGCGATGCTGGGTGGGTGGAGTGCCAACGGGCGGTGGCTTGTCCCTTGCACTTGCATCCTGCGCTACTCATATGGCGCAAGCTGCCAGCGCTACTTGAAGTATCAATACCTAGGTACCTAGGTATGTAAGGCAACCAGTCTAGGATCTGCCACCCCGAGAGTGTGTGCAGTGCACCCCCTGTGTGGCAGTGTGGGCATAAGCTAGCAGTAAGTACCTAGGTAGACACGTCCTCTGAGGCTCGAAGGGCATAACTAGCAAAAGAAGAATTACGAACCCTGTTGGGATTGAATCAATGACCTCTCACGTCCTGCGTCCCGCGCCCACGGGCATGGGCAACAACGAAGATGCACTTTGTTCGAGCACTTTACCACTGAGCTAAAGGACCGTAGGTATCATCTTCCGGCCATGGTGATTGTGGTGCAGGGAGAGTGGTTTATACGGGCTAGAAGCACCCAACCTGCTCATTCTTTCCAGCACCCTGCTTCCCACAGCATCACTACCAGATATTTTTGCAGCAGATTGGCACAGTGTTGGTCTACACTGATTTGTGATTATCAAGTGCTTGGCATCCCAATCGCTCGTATTCAATGGTTCGCAGGAGGTTCGCAGGAGGTTCATAGGTAGTAACGGAGGCAGGAGTCCTGTCCACAGTGTTGAACTGCAAGGTGTGGAAAAGACAGAACACTGGGTTATGTTCAGCAGAGTTCCAATGAGCAGTGGGCTCAGAGAAGCAGAAATCTAATTCAGGCGTGCTTCTCCAGATGCAGTGTTGATTAAAACCGTGTATTAAATCATTTGATGGAAGAGAGACTGTGAAGGCACTATCTCAGCATAGACCACAATCTGCTCTGGAAGTGTTGAGGTTAGGTGATGTAGTGGTGTGAGCTGAGGTAAGCATGCGCGTCGGCTGCAGCATCAAGTCGCATCTCGGCGCGCCTGCCAGTCGCTTCCTTCCTTCAGGCTCGTCACATCGTCACCGTATGTACCCATTGCCCCCTCCTTCCACCCTTGCAGTTGATTTCACAACGACTCGATGATTTCCTTTCGAGTGATCCCTCTCAGACACAGCCGTCTGTGAAAAAGGGCATCCAAGTGGCATCCCCTCACTTTGTGGTGAACACGCATGCTAACATTGTTTCCGTTCCAGTTCTCACGAGATCTTCCACTGCCTGTAAGCAACTCCTTCGTCGTAAATAAATGGATTTTACTAACTTGTAATGTAGACCACAATGTCTGACAATATTGTATGTCTTCCTTCTTATGCCCACAACACACCGTCGTATCCAATCCGGCCGGTACAGATCCGGCTTCACAGAAACAAGATACCTGCTCTGTGGTGTTCCCATGGAACTTTCCTCAGACACTGTTCCCGGACACTCGTCCACTGGCCAATACACAATATCCCAACCGGCCACTATCCCAACAGACCATATAACTAATGGTATATAGGACGAGAACCCCGCGATGGCGCCGCCGCCGCCAGCTCCAGCACCAGCAACAGCAACAGCAACAGCAACAGCAACAGCAACAGCACCGCCGCTGCCGCTGCCGAGCCTGCCGCCGCCGTGCCCGCGCCCGCGCCCCCAGCGCCGCCCCCAGTAGGTCTTATATAACCCTACATTGGCGTATAAATGCAAGCTGCTGACAAATCAGCTGTTCTCACGCGCCCAGATGGCGCGACGATGAGTCTCCCGGTGGGCCTGCCGGCGCGGCAGGCGCTGGCCCTGACCCGCGCCTTCCTCGGGGCTCGGGCTCCCCCGCCGCCGCCCGTTGCAGGCACCAAGAGAGTAAGTAACACCAGCTGGCATATGAATGACCAACAAGCTAATTATGCTTCAGAAGGCCGGCGCCGGCGACGGCGACGGCGACGGCGACGAGGACGAGGACGAGGACGAGGACGAGAAGAAGAACAAGAACAAGAACAAGAAGAAGTCCCGCGTGAGTCCTCATGCTGCTTGTCCTCTGACCCATTCCCTCATCAAGCCATTGTCTCTCCGGAATCAAGCAGCAGATGCTAACTCCTCATAGTCCAAGAAGGGCAAGGGCGACGGCGGCGGCGACGGCGACTGCGGTGGTGGTGGTGGTGCTGGTGCGGCCGCCCCCGTCGACACCACCACTGTCGACACCATGCAGGAGTGTAAGTTAATATCCTTTGGTCTCTTGTATATCCTCATCTGATCATCATAGGAAGAGGACGAGGATGAAGGAGCGCCCCCCCCTTCTTAATAGTTTTTTTTTTTAAATAATAATAATAATAATAATGAACGATACTTTCGTTGTCTCTGCTGCAAAGTCTCACCCCCGCCGTGAAATGTTTCCCATCAGCATGTCTGTGAACATGTTGTAGCAAGGAAGCGAGCATCCGAGCATATGCACGCTCGCTGCCTTGAAATTTGACTCGTCGTACTGAGAATGGTTCATGTGCTACGCAGAAATACCATGACCTGCCCTTGATCGATCGGCCGTCGAGGCACATAACACTGGTACCATATCACGTACTAGAATGCCGGGAAGGGTATGTTATCCAAGTCCCAAATTGGGCGGAGAGGGGGAACAAACAGCAATTGCGAGACTTCAGAGCCATCGGACGGCTCCGTGTCCGGTGGGTTGATGTAAGATCTGGTTTCTCATCAGCCTCGTGTCCGATATCCTTGCAAGTCGTGGGGATACCACCTCTGGTGACGGGCATGTCAAACCTCGTTCATACACCTTCTGGGCTCTCTTCAAATGATTTTTCTTAGGAGGATGAACCGCTGAGGATAGTTTCGTTGATTCCGTATTACCATGGCCACACCTCTGTAACTTAACCCCTGAAGGGTAGCAAATCCATTAAGGCAGAGTCCTCGAACGACGCAAGCTCTGTGTAAGAGTGTCATCCAGGTGCAGATGTGACCAATGCATCACAATTCTTGACTCGTCCTGGTAGCAACCCTTGGTCTTCCGATCTGCGTTACATTCGTGATTTGGATTCTCTTCAGACCCCACTGTGACACTGACACAAGAATAAGAGGCGCCCTTGTTGCTGGAAGTTGGCCTGCGCACATGTTGGTAAAGAAAACATGGATGTTTCCCCAACGCGCGGTTGAGAAGTTGAACGTGACGAAACCCGGAGCTTAAGTTTGAGCACAGCTGCCACCGACACGAACATCGCCGGCCTCTCCGCACCGGTGGCCGTGGCTAGAAGAGGGGCAATGCGATCTGATGTCTGGCCGAGCAGCATGTCCGGTCCGGAATGTCTTTGCATGATGATCAGAATGGATGAGCGGCAGATTACCACGAGCTCTTGACTCTAACCATGTGGAAGTAGTGTCCTGGTTTGAACCATTGGAGAGTGATTCCTTGGTGAGGAACCTATTCGTTCTTGCGGGTTGGCCCTCCGAGTCGTCCTGTGCACTCTGCTCAGGACTTAGGAATGGCATACTGCTGTACTATCCGACACAAGCCCGAATCAAATTTGAGTCCATTGCACATTTGGTATGAGAAAGTTCTCTGTACCCGTCTGGCCAATGGTAAGGTATGCAAGCTCTCATGTCACTACCACACCTCGGCACTGTGGACTCACTATATTAGGCCTCTCTGGGTCTTGCCCAATATCTCATCACGGTCATTTGAGATTTTTGTAATGTCGAGGCTCTCAAATATCGATTGGCCGGGCAGCCTCGCAAACTTGAGCTGCTGTCGTGCTGAGGAAGGAGCGCCCCTTCCCCAACAGGCAGCATGAGCGTACCTCTCCAGACTGCGATGGCAGGTGCGCACCTTCCACGGAAGGAGCGTCTGCTGCACTGCAGGAATTGTCCCAAGGTGCTGTCCGAGGATTTCCATGATGTCCTCTCTGACCAGACGCCCGACACATGAAGACCAGCAGCGCTCAAAATTATTCAATTGGTTGAAAGCTCGAATTCCCGATTGAACAAGTTTGAAAATGTCTTTCTCCCTGCAGTTCAATGACTTCCAGCTGCCCTGCGCCCCGGAGTCCTTCGAGGCAATGGGGACAACGCAGAAGGCAAAGCTGAATCGTCATCGGAGGGTAAGTCTCGGGGATATTTCTTTTTGTTTCGTCTGTATGCAATTTCGTCCCCATCAATGTCATGGTATTTGTGGTCGTCCGCCGTTATTGTGCCGGCCAAGCGTTTCGAGCTCTCAAGTCGAACGGCTCATCCCAAGCTCTCTCGTGCTTGGGGTCGCGCTTCCTGTCGTCCATGTCGAGTGTCTCCCAGCTCCCTCGTGCTCAGGGTCGTGCTTCCTGTCTTCCATGTCGAGTGTCTCCAAGGTGATCACTTTGCATCTATGGCAGCCCCAATGGCTTAGCATCTTGTCGTTGTTCCCAACTGCGCAGTTACGTGTTCTTGCTAATAACGACGTGCCAGCTTCTCTCGTAACTGAATAAGGAAAGGCGTGCTGTTGATGATACAGCGTTGGGGCTTGATTGGGAGGCTTTTCGAGCGTCAGAGCCTTCTAAGAGTGCAGTACAGGGCTTGAAGCCAGAGCATCTTGTCTCGCCGGCCGGTTCGCTTGGATCCGAGCTGTGCTTTGTACTGCACTACCCAACGTTTCAGACCAAGCATTCGAACAACGGCGAAGTCTTCGACATAAGCAACCGTAGTATTACGCGGCTTGCAGGCTCGGGCTTCAATGCCGACAATACTCTTTGGCTTGACACTTTTTGTCGCCGAAGAAATACAACGACCAAGAGTGGCGAGCGCTTTCAGCCGCGCAAGCATGCTGAACCCGCTCTTTTCAACCACCATCTTGAATGGTTAGAGCTCTGCCTCCAGACAGCAACTGCGAAAGTGGTTGTCTTTTTCGGTAAGCAGAATGAAACCCTCTTCAGAGAGAAATGGGGTAATCGGCTAGGGGAGATCAAGTTGTGGGGTGACTACGACGAGATCTCTCTGTGGATGCTGTACCCTGAAGAAGACGAGACCTACTCTCGGGTCGAACGGCTTGTCCTGTTTGTCTGGCACCCCGAGTATCTCGGTCGCAGTGAGGATATTGCCAAAGGCCGGGCATACGATCGGCAGCTGGGCCTTGTTGCTCAGCTCGCCGGTCTAGCTCGCACTGATGAGCAGATCCGATTTCAAGAGACCTCCTCCACCACGCCTGGTTCGATCGAACGACCCATAGCAGCCGCTGAGGCCAGCGAGGAGGACAAATATGCGATTATCAAACGCGGGAACACAAAGCGCAAGCGAGGATTGACAAGTGATGCGGTACCTCTCGAGGTTGCTTGCATCGCTTGTGGGTATCCTCGACTTGATGTGAACCCATATTATTATGTGCCCGATGAGATGACGAGTCTCGCCTGCCGGGTGTATCTGGCAGCATACACCCAGTGTCCGGGCTGCAACAGACAGAGCAATCAGCAAGGGCTCCAGATTGCAAGAGAATTTATCCCGGTCGACGGGAATGTCCGTTGGTTTTCTCGCGACAGTGTTCAATGGGGGCGGGCCTTGCACCACCTATTACACGCTCGAGACTTTACCGAGGGGCGTGGCATCCAGCCAGCCGTCGGTGAGACCAGGGGAGAAGGCGTGCTGCTGGCGGGAGAGTGTGCGCCGAAGATGATCTCCGGATCGGAGGTGTATGTTCGTCCCACATCAGCCGATAACACAGTCTGAAAGACTCTCCATAACGGTCTTCCCAGACTTGTCTGGTTGAAGAATGTCAAAGGAGATTGGTTATTGCTCAACACACAGCGTCCCCTCCTGCCGGTCGAAGAGTGTTGCATCTGCGTACGCTCCTCCCGGTGGTCGAAGGGTGCTGTTTCGATTGGACGTATTATTATTTGCTGGGCATTCGCGGCGTCCCTTCCTGCTGGTCGAAGAGTGTTGCATCTGCGTACGCTCCTCCCGGTGGTCGAAGAGTGCTGCTTCTCTTCCGTACGGTCGAGTGACAAGAATGAGAGTATATTAGCAAATGCGATGTCACTTCCCACACTACGTGTGGTTGAGGAGACGTTGCGAAGGCAGCTTCCGGCTAGCGTGAGCTGGCTGGGGGTTTGGGCGTCGTCCCCCACCCGGGATGATGCCCAGCGCCGTGCTTCGTCATTCAGCCTCGGCCTCCCTGCACCCACGCGGACACTGGGGCGAACGCCGTGCTTCGTCATTCAGCCTCGGCTCCGGCCCACAGAGTCGATGCACCTTCGCACGGCTATGTCCTCTGCTTATTCGATGGCCGTCATCATTCATGGTTTCAATGCGTCTCTTCAGCCATCCGGAACTCTGACTCAAGAAGAGCAGCTGTTACGGGTCAGAACCCTGTTCCAGCAGCTAGGACACCACAAATGCGCCGCCGGGAAGGTAAGCAAGGTCGAGCTTCGATTTGAGCAATGTCAAGCTGATTGCACGCCGTGACTGACTCCTTCGATGCAATAGCTCAGTAGTCTTGCCTCGTCTTGTAACTGACCAACAACATCTGCTCTTCTCATTTTCCTTGGAAAGGATTGTGCCGGCTCGGAATTCCATTTTCATCATCTGAACACTCCCGCCTCGGCGCAATACCGAGCGTGAAAGCAAACAGCCACTGAATCTGTGTTAGTCGAACATCGAGTTCTCAAGGATGTCTAACAGGAACTTACGTGATAGTAGCATTCGGCCGCCGCCTTTTAACGTTGACATCCAGCCAGAGGTCGGAACTGAGCCGTGCAAGGGAGCGCACGAGTCCATGAATAACAGTGAACTGTTGACAGGCCCTCCTCAAGCTCCTCATTCACTTCAAGGCTCTCGCAGTGTCTCGGCGCGCTGCAGCTGGAGTGTTGGCGAGCTGCTTCTCAACCCAGCCGCTTCTGCCTTTCTTTGGCTGACCGACTTCCGCCCATGGCTCGCCGATTCGTCTCTATGTCTCCGCCGACACAATGCCCTTTGCAACGGGCTTAGACATCTGCCTCATCCGGCGTGTGCCAGCCTCGTCTCTGCGACCACTCGATCAGGCCATTGTACATCGCCGTGAAGGCTCGAAGCCTGCGCCCAATGACGATCTCCTGTATGTTGTTAGCCCACCCCTCATTCGAAACACAACCAAAGCGACCGGAATGTACCCCTCTTCCCAAGACTGGAGCTTCCTCGAATGACATTGACAGCCCAATTCATCCGGCGGAGCACGAGGGAACTTGCCTTCTTCCTGGCCCCGTTAATGCCAGTGGCGCTGCAAGCCGGACGCGAGGTCACATTCAGAGACTATTTCCGCTTTTCGCCGCCCCATCAATTATCCTGTCGGCGGTATGATCTTGTTGCATTGCGAAGACGATGGAGCTGGGCCTGGGGAGTCGATTGAACGGAATCGTCGCGTTTCGTGAGAAAGCAATCAAGAAGTGGGGTAGCTGCCGCCGACGTGGAGGACCGAAAACAGTAAAGACCGAACGGAGTCTGCCGAAACACACCAAAAATGTGGCTGTCGTTGGCTGCACGGCCGGCGTCACCGTAGTGCGAAGACACAAACACCTGAAATCCAGCCACTGCACAAGCAGGCCTGGCACAGACCAAGCTGCGACTCCGCCATTCCCCAGATTTATACGACGATGATGAGATCAAAAGTCACTTCTCAGGCTAGCGTCGCCCGCACCTGTAGCCCCAAGACTCCCGCGACTCAAATCAACTCCATGGACAGCGCTCGGAGCTGTGAGCTCATCGCCGGTTAGCAACATCGGATGAAGCAAAGACAAGACTGCAAACAAAAAACAAAAAACGAAGGACAGGAACGATTCGAGTACGACGTACCGAATGCTGTGGGTAATACCCTAGCCCAACCATGCAACCAGGAGCCACGCAGAGGATCCGCCAAGAGTAGAACTCGTGAGCGCTGCCGAACTTCTCATCCTCGACCAAGGAATAATTCGGGTACAAGCCACAGCTGAAGATAGCGTCAAGACGGCGCTTCGGAGGGCTAGAGTCTGCTTAATCTGGTCGTTGGGTCCATGGAGACTCACCAATACCGTCCCGTCCGAGTTCTTCAAACCGCAATCTTCCGGCAAGTCTTCTTCAACGAGCTCACACTATACCACAGACGGGGAAATTTTTCAACGACACAAGCAACGCGGAGTGGTGCGGAATGTTCTGGATATCTGTGCTGACCGGAGGTGACTGTTACCGTCGAGGAGAATCAAAGACCTTGGCCATCTCGATAGGAGATAGGTTCGAGAACACCCGGAAATATGCACGAAAGTCCGAAGAGCTGCTACTACAAAGCGGTTCCGGCAAGAACAGGTGCTGTCGCAGCCAGTTACACGTTGCGATTACTTATGGACCTCTATCAGGCTTGCTATCCCAGCCCATTCCGAAACGGTATGATCAGTTCGCAACGAACGAGCGACCACGTCAACGCCGTTACTCGTCTCGCCGATGCAGACGCTGGTAGCCACCATGACCGCCATGCTCATCCCTCCTTTCAAGTATTACTTGCCCCTCGCACTTTCTTCCTCACGTTTGCCGACCTATGAGCATCACGGTGAGGATCATGTCTCTACCTGTCGATCAATGCTAACTTAACCAGGAGCAAAGTTACAAAGAGCCACCACGATTTGGAATGAAAGCAAATGAATAGAATCCCTATAGGATCTACGGATTGTGTCACCGTCTTTGAAATCAGCCAGGCATTGAGCGTGACTCACATTGCCTTCGACCGCTAGCGAGCGCCTTCTCTGGAAACCGAGGACCACTATTTCTAACTCATTTCTGGTTTCGAAAACCACTCGGCCTTCCCACTGTCTGCCGACGTCATCCTTCCCATCGAACTCAAACCGATTGTCCAAGCCACTGTTCCCGGAACTACTTAAACCAGTCCTATACTGGTCCGAATAAGCTGGACCATGTTTTGTCGACCGAGGTGCACGTGGCAGGTTCGCAGACGCTTGGCTAAGCTCCGCTTGCCGCTCATGCAGCAGCCGCGTTTACGAGACGTTGCACCCTATTGATGGAATGCGCTTATCAGCCCGGAACATATCAACTAAGGTGCGACCGACCTTTTGAGGTTTGCGCGTGTGACTGGCGTGGGTGCGGTTCCGAGCTCCCTTACCGGGTCCCAGGTTGTCTTCGAAACCAGCCCAAGATCCATAATGCGCGTGCAGCGGTATCAATGCAAGCTGAGGATGGACGCATGTGAAAGTCGAAAGTTGAAGGTTTCATTCTGGGCACCAAACTCAACATGAATTATAGTACGAGATGTTTGACAAAGTTCACCTCAGCAACTTGGACGAACGGATAACGTGCAACACCAGTTCCATCTCCCCGCGCCAGATGGGAAATCCAAGAGCACAATTTGGAGGGCATAGGGGACTTGAAGGTGTGGCCGCTTAGGTGAAGACCGTGGAAGAGAGACAGGACTTGAGAATGGATGTGAACAGCGGCGACGAAGGTTACGACCACCATGAGAAGACCTTCATTGGGAAAATGGAGGCACGGAGAGATGCGAACAAGGGAGTGAGGGAGTAGGTGGACGTGTAAAGGCGGCAAGATGGAGGCAAAAAGGGGCTGCGAGGGGAGAAGGGGGAAAGGGCAGGAACGGTGGGATGCAGCATACTGCGGGCTGCTGTGAGGCAGGTTGGTGTGAAGTGAATATGGGAAGCTATGTTGTGATGAGCATCGGATATCAGGAGGGTTGGACTTGAGGTACGCAAAGGCGTAGCCTGAGGGAAATACGTGGGAGAGGAGGAGGAGGCACCGAGCTGCAGGGGAGAGATCCAGGAACGACCAGACCTATCGACGCACCCAACATCGACGCACCCAACATCGACGCACCCAACACCGACGCACCCAACACCGACGCACCCAACATCGACGCACCCAACATCGACTCACCCAAACGCGACTAGATGATTTCGACATGGCCCGCTCTGCAGCCAATACGAATCAGCCAAGGCATAAAACCCAAGGCACAGAATGTATGAAACCTCGAAGGCGACGGCACACCTCCACATCAATCACCACAGATCCTTTGCCAACCAGGCCGACGGAACCATGGTGTCAGCCATGTACAACAGAATCACGCCATCTACAGACCACCAACCTCCAAGACAAAGCACATTTCGAACCCGGCCCTTCGCAAAAGCTATAATGCCCGCCGGCAATACGCTACCTGTTGGAGCAAACTACCTAGAAGACATCTGCCACGAGAGGTTAACAAGACAACCACCAATAACATGTCTACCAACAACATGTCTACCAACAACATGTCTACCAACAACGTGTCTGAGACATATAACGCCAGACGTGCCTTCTAAGGTGGAGAGTCTGCCAAGACTAAGGTAGCTATCGGTCCCCAGAATTCTCCGCCACAGCACCACAACGCGTCCCTATGACGGCTATATGCAACGGTCTAACCACGCCCTCGCCTTTCTTGATACTCACTCAACCGAGAGGGCGACACTCCCAAGCCACATCTCGATGTCGCCACTCACGCCCTCGAACCCTCGCCGCGAACAACAAGCAACGCACAGGAGCGGAGACCAAGCACCAGCACAAGGGCCACTTCGCCAACCCCCTTGTGGACTTCGTCCCGGGTGGTTCCCTGATCCACGGCAGCGCGCATGCGCATCACTGCGCACCACCTCACCCTACGCAAGAACAACCGTCTGTCTGGCTTGTTCTTCTGGCTGTTTATTCTGGCTGTTAATTCTGACCGGTTCTTTGTCCTACGGCAGCGCGCATGCGCATCCGTATGCACCACCTCTTCATGCGCAAGAACAACCATTCTATCGCTCTCCCGAGAGGAGAACCACGAGGAGAACCACGAGGAGGAGAACCACGCGGAGGAGAAGCATGGGGCAAAATAGAATAAATTAGCAAAATATTCCTCTGTGTCTGGGCTAGCCAACTCATGGGTTTGAAATCTGTCAATGATGCTGTTCCCGTCTCCCCAGAGGGTATATTCCCCAGATCGATCTATTGACCACAATCTCTTTGAGCTTATACCATACTCGACAGCCGACACTAACCCCGTGGGGCGATGCTTATTTGTTTTAGGGACTTGAAGCTGTCTACCCCGAAGGGTACCCTCATCACTGCCTGAAGCCGGATACAAAGACGGCAAACCCGACTTGTTGTGTAAGTTTGATATATTTAATAATTATTTCCACCACTTCTCGAGGCCTTTTTTTGCATGTCTTTCGCCCTGGGCTCGCTGCAAAGCCATCTATGCTGATTGCTGGTAATATTGATGGTACTTGCTAGAAATCGCGTGTTCTGCCCGTTGGCATATAAGTACGGGCGGTACAAGTCACACATATCACAACGTAAGTCTATAGTCTATGGTCTACATCTAGTCTGGGTGGAGAGGCTGCGCCTCGTTATCACAGCTAGGCCATAGGCCTGGCCACACGTGTAAAGGGACATCTGAACATGTGAGATAAGTGAACTGTGCTGTTCTCGATTTCATGACAGGATAAGTGCTCATCTCCGGCATTTATTGAGCATATTCGTGTCCAGTTGAGTTTGAGCGTAAACTAGATCCTTGATCTTTCCCCAAAGACGCTGCTTTGGCCGAATCACACTGCGAAATGGTCGCGTCTGGCAAAAGTAGAATCCGCAGCCTGAGTTGTCGAGAGCATCAAGCCCTTTGCCCGTTTCGACCTCCAGACACCAGTGCCGTTGCTGATATGAATCAAGAGACCATTTATCCGCGAAACTGAGAATCCACGTCGCCCCGGAGATGAAATTGTTGGCAAGTACGACCCTCGTCACTTGGAAGGCTACTTTAGTTATCCCCTTTGGGGCATGTAGCCTCTTAGAACTTAAATAGAATAACATTAATATATAATTGCTTCCTATATGATTATTATATATATAAGAGACCTATTAATATTGATTAGTAGTTATAGGTATTATAGATTAATAAGGTAAAAGAGGTAACCTTATAAGGATTTCCCTAACCTAAAAATTATATTTTTCTTATTAACAAGCGCTATATAGTAATAATTGCTTCTTTAAGCCTTTCTATATTATTAAACTCCCTAAGCAAATATTATAAAGATTAAATAAATTAAGTAGCATTTCTTATAATATTTATATATATATTTATTGCTATTTAAGAAATATATATTTATTATATATAAGACTTTATTAAAAATAAACTTATTTTTAAATCCTTTTTAAGATTTAGCAAAACTTAATAAAGCTTTATTTTATTAAATAAATAAAGCTTATAATTATTGCAATTATTAAATAAATAAAGCTTATAATTATTATAATTATTAAAGCTAATATAATGCTATATTATAAATAAGCGTAAGTTATATATTATGCTTTTAGCTAATATAAAAGGACTTAATAATAGGAGAAAGCCCTAGCTTTTAAGGCTTAAAGGAATTAATAACTTTTTTCTCTTAATAATTATAACTTATTTATTATTAAATTATTATTATTAACTTGCTTTTAAATATTATTTATTTTATTAATAGCTTACTCCTTATAATATTTATTATAAAAACCTATAAGCATAATTAATAATGCTAAGGAGCTATTAGCTTTTATTAAAGGGTATATAGTTAATAAAATGCTTGCTTAAACTTTAATTAACTTAGCTTATTATAAATATATTAACTTAGAATTATGATTTACAGCCCTTATATAAAGAGCATTAATAAAATACCTAGTTATTTACTTAGCAAGTACTTTAGCAAGCTATATATAATAAAATCTTTATAATAATAACCTTTTTATTATTTATTATAAGAATTATATAGTGTAAATATAGGTAATATTTAAAGCATTGCTAAATTCTTGCTAATAATGCTTAAAAGTCTTTCTTTAAATATAAGGCATTTATATAAAATGTAATAATTAACTTATAATATTATAATTAGTTATTATAGCTTAAGTTAAGGAAAGATTAAAATAAATTAATAATAAGCTTTATAATGCTTTATTAGTCTTAAAATTAAGCATAAATAAATATTATATATAACTTTAGAAATAATAATTATAAGCATAGCCCTTATAAGCATTATAAGCAAGCTTTAAATAATAATAGTTGCTAAGAGGATAGTCCTTAAGGTAATATTTATTATTGCTGCTAGCTTTAAGTATATAATTATAAAACCTAGATTTAATAATGCAATTTATTAAAAATTAATATAGCTAGCAAGGCTTATTATTATTAGCAAAAAGATAAAAATAAAGCTTATATTAAAGATATATATTATACTTAGCATAACCTTAGGTTGCTTTAAAAATGCCTTTGCTAAATAAGAAGTATAACTTATATAAAACTCTTTCCTTATAATATATTTTTAATAAATGCTTAAATTTAATAAAGTTAATATAATTTATAAAAACTTTTAATAACTTTTATAAGTATATTAAGGATTTATATAATTTGTTAAATAATAAAATAAAGATATTTTTTAATATTTATTATTATATTAAAATTTAGTTAAGTTAATTTTATATGGTTTTTCTTTAAATGCTTAAAAATTAAATTAAGGCTTACTATCTTTATTTTATAAATTAAATTAATATATTTATAATAACATACCTTAAAATTAAAATGTATTTTAATATAAATTTTAATTATTAGCATTATTATATAAATTAAATAATAATAATGTTTATAAAGATAAAAGTATAAAACTTAAATAAAGATTTGCATAAGGTTTTATATTTAATGCTTAATAAGCTATAACTTTGCTAATAAGCATTAAGCTAAGATTATATTAAAGAGGATAACTTAAGAATAATAATAATTAAAGCTTGCAAAGGAGTTTTTAAGCTAGAAATGGCTTTTTTTAAGCTAGCTTAATTATATAAAGAGTTATTTTTAAATTTAAGATTTATAATAAAAATATAGCTTAACTACGTAATTATAATTTATATTATAAATAAAATCTTAAATTAATATTATATTAATTATAAATATAATAGCTAAAAGCTAAGGAAAGGATAATAATTGCAATTTTAAGCGTTTTAAGGAAATTAAAGATTTAGCTAATTAAATTTAAGCTATTTAAGCTTTAAGTAGTTAAGATTTTATAGCATTAGCTGTAAAGCTTAAAGTAATAATGCTTATAAAGAAGGAGGAGGATAACTTTAAAAGAAAAGATATTATATTTATAAAAAAAAGGGATATTAATTAACTAAATATTTAGCTAATAAGCAATATTTAATAAGAAGAAGTTACTTAATATATTATAAATATAAAGGTTGTAATAATAATTTTAATACTTTTTTAAGTAAATTTAAGGAATATAAAATAAATAATAAAGATAAATTTTATAAATATAAAGATAAATAGGATTAAGATAATAATTGCAATAATAATACCTATATTATAAAGATAAGACTTGATAAGGAGGTCCATTATATAAATATTAATTTCCTAGTTAATAAAGCATTTATATATTAAATTACGGAAGATAATGTTTTTTAAATAAAGATGATTATTATAGCTAGTTAATTTATCTTAAAGAATAAATATAATTAAACTTATTTTTAAGGAATTTTGCTAAATATAGGAGCATTATTAATATTTATAACTAAATATAAGTAATTTCTTGCATTATAATGAGAAGACTTAAAGTATTAAATTAATATAATTATTATAAGAAAAGCTAAAGTTAAATTTAATAATGGGATAATTATTAATTTGCTTGGCATAGTAGAAGTTTTTACTTTAGTTAATTATATTGATTTTTATATTGTTTATATATAAACCTTATTTCTGCTTTGCTTAGTAAATATAGATAGGCTTTAAGTATATTATAATAATATTATAGATAAAATGGTTTCCTTTAATGGTATGATTATTATATTAATACTTAGAAAATGGGGTTACTTATGGTTTTTCCTAAATTAAATTATTAATGCTATATATTTCCTT